TCGCATGCTTATTTCGATATTGATAAGTTTCAAGATGAATTACATAAGTACGACATCTCGTGTACGGTTTGCTACGATAATTGGCGATATATATTGGTACTTGATGAGAATAAATCTACCGGCCCATTTACAATGGATTTGATTGAACCGCATGTGGCATTGACACAAGATCGAATTGATTTCGACGTGAGTAATCTATCGTTGGAAAAAGACTACACCCACGAATTGGGTATGCGCATTGATATTACTCAAAAGCCGTATTCGATTGAATTGGAGGCTATTGTTGAGAATATAAAAAACAAGCGTTTTCTCACTCTTCGACCCATCGATAATAATCTCAATAGAAGAATTGCAAAAATGAAAGATAGAGGCTGGACACAAATGGAAGGCGGTTTATCGGTTATCCCAGAACCGCACAAGGAGTATCATGCGATTCTCGTTCCATTACCTCGATCATCTGATTTACACGCTGCGATTTGTCAGAAAATGAGAAATATACCAGGTGTACAAGTTAAATCTATCGAAGAAATACGGAATCCATTTTTGGAAGAAATCTACGAAGGCATGAAGAAAATAATCAAACGACAATGTCCTAAAACGACTTCGTGCGAGCATCCTGGATTATTTCATGGAACCCAAGGAGATGGTATCGACGGAATCACTGACGACGGGTACGACGACCGATTTTTCAATACCGGCGGTCTATATGGCAAGTACTCAAACTCGATTTACTCTTTCGTCTACGTTTATTCTCATATTCCGTTTAGGACATGGTGCGTATTTTGCTGACGATCCGCTCAAATCACATAATTATACTGATAAAACTAGCAAGACACGTGTTATGTATTATAACAAAGTCTTACTGGGTGAATCGATGGTACTAAATGAACCGGACAAAAACTTAGTTTGTGCGCCAAAGAATTACCATTCGATTATCGGAAAACACAATCAGATGACCGAATATATCATTTATCGGTATGGGCAAGCTTTACCATGTTTGAAAATCGTCTATACCGTTTAGCTGCTGTGCCATCGACGAAACATGACAACAAAAAAATTTTTTTACATTATTTACTCATGAATTTTATCAAATAAAGTAGAATATGATTCGATTTTTCGAGAGAAGTACGATTAAGGAAAAAAAATCAAATCAATACGCGATCTTCTTTGTCATAACTATGCTCTGTAGGATTATTTCATCGAACGATGAAGCTAAATAATTACAAAAGATTGTTCGGAAGGCGCTTATCATTGGACAGTACTTTCTAGTTGACTTTTCAAACGTTGAATTTCGAACTTTTGCTTCAAACATAGATCTTCCGATTCTTTCAATTTCGTTTGTTTATCCTTTAGTTTCGCTTGTTGTTTTTGTACGAACAATTCCAGAAGATGACAACGTAATTTAATTGGAAGTTCAGGCTTATTCCATTGTCCCATATCGAAATGACTGGTTAGTTGTTCACAGATATGTTCTTCAAGTTTGTTCAAACGATACAACTGAGCTAATGCAAGTAGATCAAATAGGCGCGTTTGGTTATCACCGTATTTATACGAAGCGATGTTGGTCGTTGATGAAATTAGGAAACGTTCGATATTTTTACGTAGAATCAATATTGAATATTCATCAGATAATGGAAGAAGATATGTTGCATTGACATTATCGATTGGTTTCAATATATTTGGATAGACACATTTTAATAGTTCAACAATGTGAAGGTATTGTTTGCCCGGAAGGTTAATTTCACTTGTTCTAGATTCACGAAATCCTGACGAGAATAACATTCGCCCGAAGACAGGTGACACTTTTGCTGAAAAACAAGTGAAATGAAACGAGAAGATTCTTCAGCAGTGTTTTTTCTTTACCGAGAATAGATTTATGAGCAAAGATCTTCTTCTCTTCTACAATTAAGGTCACATCAGAGATCTCATCAGCTGTTGTGAATGAATCAATCATTTGTTCCTCTTCGCCCATTTGTTTTCTTTGAGATGAAGTAACTCGCATTTATTTATAAGCATTTTTTTTATACAGGTAGAGTATTACCATATATGGTCAAAAGAAGCTAGCATGAGTCATGGGAGTCTTTCATATATATGTCCTTTTATGGAAATTGCATAGAAACCGACGAAGATATAAATAACTCATATACCAGCGAGGAAGTAAAGTATATTTTTCGCTTATTTATCTTCAAATTTTAATTCAATAGATAGCGTGTGATAGTTTGGATATCATTAGATTTACAAAAAAGAACATATGGTCAAAGCTTGGGCGATTCTCCGTTTAAAACGAGTTCAACACGAGATAGAATCGTTCGAAATCGATTATTTTATACGTAAGGATTCACAGTATGTCTGTTTATCGACGAGCGATCGGAAAGATCGTTGGCAGATCGAGGATAATCGCTAGCTTCTGAATCACCATCTGATCCGTGCTCGGCTATACCAAAATTATTGCGAGGTATTGCTGGAAGCGAACGATTACCAAGACGAGCAAGATTTCTATTAACAGTTTGACCATTGCCTCCCGTGGTGTTTGTATCAGGATATTTGTGTCCAATAGTACTCCCATGATCAATACCACCGCCAGCATTGGTATTTTCACCAATATTAATATTCACATTACCACAGTGGGAATTACCCTGAACAGTCAGATGAAGCATAGGCTGTTGGCGGTCGAGTAGAACTGCTGGCTGAATATCAGGGTTTACAAAAGGTCTAATGCGTGCCTCAGAAGGAGAGGTAGTTTTGTGAATATCGTGGACCACTGACGCTCGGGAATTTTGGTTGGTATGAGGTAGTTCAATGATAGGCTCACCAGGATTCGTTTCACGAGCGACATCAATGTGTGCACATACGGGGGAAACAAAACGGCCTGAATTTACACGTTGATTCTGACTTGGGCATCGATCGTCTCTCAGGTGTTGCTCGTCGAAATCGTCTAAAAAATTATTTAGATTTATTGAGATATACACTAGTTCAATGTATATTCAAAAATACAAAAATTAATGTTTGCCATTGTATCTATAATTCTCATGCTAACTCGTATATAATGTTGGTGATGGTTTCATGATGTTTGCATGCTCTTACCATTGATTTGTGTTGATATGAGTGCTAGTTTTTTTCCTACAGTTTCACTTGCGAGTGACGAATCGATGTTGATAGAACTGTGATTCGGATTCTTTTGGTTGTTTTGGATTTCTGGCGTAGATCCACAGTAAAATTCGGCAGGTCTATTCTCATATTTCTGTTGATCTACTATTCCCGATGTTTGTTCAATGCAATTTAAAATTTGGGCGATCGAGGCTTGAAAGTTTTCCAAAAGATTTTGCACATATTGGCATTGTTTTTGCTGTTCGATTATGACACCATTTTGACGAGCATTTTCAGCGGCTAGTTGCTCTATTTTGTCGTTCATTTGTTGTTGAGCAGTATATGATTCAGCAATTTGGTCTCTAAACAGGTAGAAAAAACATTTTTCCAAATGTTTCTGCAGCTCACGACGCGGCCCTTTCCACGGACATTTGTCATTCGCTGATGAACATTGAACAGCAACTTCTTGGCACGTCTCGCGATAATGAGTGTCGAAGTCACCTCGAGTTAGTCTTTTTTCCTTACAGTATGAGCATTTGATTCGCAATTTGTTCAATATATCTTGAAGAAGTTCGTTGGTATTGGGTGTTAGATCATCTTTTGACATATTTTGGTTGCACGTAGGACAATACTCATGAGTTTCCAGATAAATTTCTATACATCGACGGCAAAAGGTATGTTGTCTACTCACACATTTTGTTGATACAGGGTCTATGAATGGATCCTTACAAATATCACATTTGAATAGTTTATCGAGAGATTTATGTTTTCTATATCGATATGCGTGCGCAAGTGCCATCAAGGTCCTCAAATCAAAGATATACCTAAAACAAAAAGTATTCAATAGTCTTTTGCTGAATCTCGCAGCAAGAGAGAGTCTGAAGAAAGCACAAACATTTTTGTATTTTTGGTGTATGAAAAGAGAAAAAAATCTGTAACATGCTACTCTTTTTTTTGTGACGACAGTGTTTTGATTATGCATGAGAACAGAAAAAATGACGCACTTTTTTATCAGAAGACTTTTTATGATGTTCTTCCGGGGTAAAAACCAACTTAGGACTTTACTTCTAAATACAAGGAACTTCTTGGCCAATCAAGTGCGTATTTTATTTTATCCATGCATTCTATAGAATTCAATATATGTAAAACGCCGCTTGCTGCCAACTTTAACGGGTAAGGGTGTGGATGTGGGTGTGGGTGAGTGAGGGTGAGGGTGTGGGTGTGGGTGAAGATGGAAGTTTGAAAGTTTTAAACTCGAGTACTTAGGTTCTAACTTTATAACGTTTAGAAGTTGGATAGTTTAAAACTCGAATGCTTGAATTCTAAACTGAATGATTTAGAATTTGAACGAAAGTTTCAATATTCGAATCGAGTTAACGGTTTCTACACTACTCATTAATAGTGGATCCGAGCTCTGCGACCTCGATTACCTATCTGCTAGGCGGTCTCTAGTTGATAAGAGTAAATTTGAGGGTGGGTGTGGATGAGGTTGGGTGAGCTATTTTTATGATTGGAATACATTTGTGTGCGAATCCGTTCAAGAAAAGGTCGAATCCGTGTCCAAGATATCCTACATAACATATGTTTTGTCTAGATGACACAACAAAAGATAGGAATAACACGCATCAAACGATATTTCAGAAATAATTCATATGGTCATACGTGAAAGCGAGGGGTACAAATATATGTCATTTTACTTTCTGACTGTAGCGCCCAACATAAATATTACACGCTTCAGTCACCATTTATAGGTACAATACGTTCATGTATCTTGATTCGCTCACGAATCTTCCAATACACATGCAGACTGCTCCAAATAACGATAGGCAACCCTTCAGTCAGTCCACCACATAAACCAAGAATCGTAGTCAACAAGTATACAAAATTTTTTCTTTCGGCATATGGGTATTGACACTTCGATGGTGCGCATATCGAGTAATAACTCGAATAATTAGATGAATTCTGCCATGATTCGATGAACAACTCATCAATCAAAGCACCAATTGGTGTTGATGAGATTGGTGTGAAACGACTAGGAATCGATCGATCCAAAGGCAACAGAACTAATGAACTATTGACAAATTTAGTTAATTTCTCCAAGCATCCTGAACTGTAAAAGCATTCGAGAGTTGAAAGTCGAAAGCCATGAACAGGTAAACATCCGACAACGAGACCTACAAGGAAGAAGAAGTAGAATTCTATTCTTCATCAATATTTTACCAGCGAATGTTTCTTGGTTGTTCATGTTTTTCAGCTTCGATCTTGTGCATGTTGAGGAGTTTCATAAATATTATTCAACGACACTCTTTACCATCATATTCATACTCAAAGTTTTTCATCTACGAAAAGAAATGCAATGCAGTAAGATAAGATCGAAGATGGTAATATTTATATAAAGAAAAAAAAAACATGTACCCCAACACACACTTTCTTCTCTATCGAACATGTTCTATATCTATGCGTTTGTTATCAACTGTGTCCTAAGAAATGTTGTGTGTCAAGAAACTACAGCTCCTTACGATATACGTGTCGATCATTATAAAGTTGACGTAACAAAAGATTTAGTAATCAATACTGCGCGTCCTCAAATATCGTGGAAAATCTCAGCGTTCAACGACGATCGAAACGTCTATCAAACAGCTTATCAACTTCAAATTCAATCACGCAAAACACAATGGGACAGTGGGCAGATAATATCAAAACAATCACTTCATGTTTTTTATACTAATCTCGATGAATTGCATTCGACGACGTTCTACCAACTTCGTTTACGAATTTGGACCACATTATCGAACGAATCAAGTGCATGGACCGAATGGATACGTTTCCGAACGTTTATGTTTGATATTCAAACGACGATTGCAAACAGAGCAAGTGAATTCATGTGGATAGGATCGAATATGATACCTAGAAATGAGTTTCGAAAAGAATTTCAAGTGCCCGGTGGAAGTCCAATTCAATCGGCAGTCGTTTTTATATCTGGTTTGGGATATTATGAATTATATGTCAATGGAAATAAAACGGATTCGAGTCGGAAACTAGATCCCGCGTGGACTGTATACGAAAAACGTACATTATTGGTTTCATTCGATTTATCCGCTATTATTAAAGTAATATGACATGTAGCTTTACTTGTAAATAGAGTTGTAACTATTTCGTTCGCTATCTACAGGTGGGAATGAATGCAGTTGGTGTTCGATTGGGGAATGGATGGTATAGTCGAGAGCAAAATACTTTTCCAATGCCACCATCTCAACTTCTCTATGGTAGTTATTGTAAACATTCTTTTGCAGAAATATTTTAGTGACCTTGTTTACAGGTCCACCCCGTTTTCTGTTTTATTTGAAGATTTTCTTCGAAGATGGAAGCGAATTTGATCTGGGAAGTGACACGACTTGGATAGGACGTCAAAATGCTATTCTACACGATAGTATTTACAATGGTGAATTCGTTGACAGTCGCTATGATCGCACCAATTGGTCACAGGTAGGGTTCAACGACACACTTTCGTTGTGGTTACCAGCTGACGAAATGCCATCTCCGTTAAACAAAACCTTACCTGGCCATCTAGTCATGCAAGATATGCCTCCGATTCGTGCAGGAGCTGATGCACTACATATTGAAGTTTCGACTGAGCCTATTGGCGAGTATTTAACACCGAGCGAAGTAGGTCAAATTCTAGGCGGTAAGTTGAGTGATGGTGGGGTGTTAAAACCAATAGCCACATGGTCACCAACTATAGGTCAGTGTATCTTGTTCGAAAGTGATAATTCTTATTGCAATAGATTATTTGTTATAGGAGTACAAGTGTTCGATATGGGTCAAAATATGGCTGGATGGTGTCGAATAAAACTTCGAGGTCCACGCGGTGTTGGCATTTATATTCATCATGGAGAAGTGCTGACTCTACCAACTGTTACCGCGAAGTAATTAAATTACACGAATGTGTCAAACGATTGTAATTCGGTCAAACATTTTCTTTTAAAGACAAGCCAGTGGCGAGGTGTACACAGAAAATCTTCTTGGTGCGACTCAATCTGATACCTATGTATTACGTGGAGATCCAACAGGTGAAATCTATGAGCCAACGTAATTAGATGTTCACATTTTTCTACGTATCCTATGATTTTTGTTCCTTTCTTTCTGTCACATTAGTTTTACCTATCATGGGTTTCGCTATGTGTCAATTTATAATGTGCAGGGTGAAATGGCACTTGGGGATGTGGAATGTCCCGTTGTTCACAGTGAAACAACATTGAAAGGACATTTCACGACAAGTAACCCGATTATCAATCAGATTCAACATAATATTCAGTGGAGTCAGCTGAATAACCTAATGTCACTACCAACAGATTGGTAATCTATACAAATTAACATGAGTGCTCTTCTCCTAGCGTAACTAAATTTCTTTCTCTTTTTCTTCCGTTGTTTAGTCCGCAACGACAAGAACGTCGAGGGTGGCTGGGCGACGCCGCTTTAACTGTGAATGAAGCTTTGTACAATTTTGATCTGATCAAGTTATACATCAATTTTCTTCATTCGATTGTTGACAGCCAAGGTCCTGATGGTTCCGTACCTGACACTGTACCGTTTGCAGACGGTGATTATCCAGCTGATCCCAATTGGGGTAGTGCCTTTCCAACTATTGCTTGGCAACTCTATCGCCATTATAACGATCCTGAAGTTCTATATACTTTCTACACTAATATTCGCACTTATGTTGAAAGTGTTCATACGGCTTATAAATCAACTGGCTTAGCAGGCCTTTTCTATTCATATAGTGATTGGGTGCCTCCTCCGCCAGAGCCAAGAGTGAATGGATCTCTCGCTTCATCATTTGCTTTTCTACACGATGTGTCGTTGTTAGTCAATATATCTCAAGTTATTCATAATACAAACGATACAGCTGCGTATTTGGCATTGTATCAACGATTAGCCGAAGAATTTCATCAAGTCTTTTTCAATCGCACATCGAATTTCTACGGTGACGGTTCACAAACTGCACAGATATTTGCTCTCGCTCTGCCCAACGTAGTGCCAAACAATGTTCGTCATTTTGTCCTAGACCGTCTTGTATCAGATATCAATCAAAAAGATATTCATGTTTCAACAGGAATTCTCGGCACTGCCTTTTTATATCCATTGTTATCAGACAACGGCCATCATGATCTGGCACTTCGACTGATAACATCCACTACCTATCCATCGTATGGTTATATGTTCAACAATCCTTATGAAAATGCTACAACCCTTTGGGAACTTTGGAATACACCTTTCGAAGGGCCGCAAATGAACTCGCGCGATCATATTATGTTTGGAAGTGTCGGTGCTTGGTTCTATTCACACTTAGCAGGTATCGATTTTGACACAGATTCCATCGTCATTCATCCACGTTTGGCAACTGAAAGCAACAAACATCTTCTATCTAAAGTTGACTGTCAACTGAATACTAGACATGGTCTCATTCATGTTGCATATACTCGCGATACAACACCGAACTCGATTCGACTTCGACTTCATATTCCACCAAACACGCGAGCTCGAGTGATATTTGAACCGTTGTTTTCCGAAGCTAGATGCTCTCGAATCATCGAAGGAAATGAACTGATCTGGCTAACGGATCGAAACTCGACTTTCAACAAGCAGAATCTTGAACTCGAGCTTAAAACTGGCTCAATGATTGCTTGGATTGGTTCCGGCAAATACGAGTATGAAGTTTATTGGGAATAGATTAATCGAACAAACAAACTAAAATACTTTGATCCATATAGTTGATTCTTTTCATTTAGGATATCATTTAATCATAGTGTTTTCTGTTTGTGCGATTTACGAATACAAATTGTAATTAATTGAAATCAAAATAGAGTGAATGAAACCAGTGTCGACTTGTAGTTGACTATCGACTCGGTGGTCTCTGAAGTTCTTATAGCTGTTTATTGCATTTTCTGCATATACCCTTTTTACCAGCTTCACAACGTGCATAGTCATGTGGTGCAGTTGCTTTATCAATTTCCTCCAGTTTATCTGCACGCTTATTCGCGTTTTCATCACGTATACCGTAAAAAACGTCTAGTATCCAAGTACACATCCAGTATGCCGTCCATACTAAACTCTCAATACCCGCAAGAGACCCTTGACAGTAATTGTTACATCCTTTGCAAGCTTGTTTTTCGATACGAACTTGAATAACATTTGTATTTCTCCGAGCTCTCCAAACGACAGTCGTAAAAGACGACTTCCACACTCTCTTGCATTGAGGACAGGGGAATCTATTTTTTCGCGGAAAATAGGTCTAAGATGATCAAAATACGATTCGAACTCACTTTCCTTTAGCATTATGTATTCGAAATGGCCATTGTTCTTTCTGATCATTTAAAGCGTCTCGACGAGTTTTCACTCTAGGCAGCATCGGTTCGATGATCCATTCAGGTACTGCGTGGTATTCTAAGGCATCATAGAACTTTGATTCTATCGAACGAAACCATTTGTCTTTCGCCATATCTACACTTGTTATTGTAGAAAAACGTAACTTAAAAATAAAAAATAACAGTTTGTCTCTCGCCCATGGTTTTCGTTGTTTCTTATCGCGGTGTGTATTTCGACGAAATTTTACCTTGCTTGCAATGCACTGATGTGATTTTGTTTTGCGACGAAAAACGCTTTGCCTGACTTGTCGATCACTTTGGTTATCATGTTTTCGTAGCGATCACACTTCATTTGCGTTTTTGTAGCACACACTGACGTGAAACACTTCGCAAGGTTTGCTTTTCTCTAAGGAAATGCTACTTGAAAAGAGAAAAAACGTAAGTAATGGACATAAAACGCAAGCTTTTGTCAAATAAGTCAATCATCTGAATATAAATCGGAATATGTACTAGTTTAATCCCTGATCTGATAATTTAATCAATATCGGTGATTTTATTCAATCAAGTATCCCGACTGATCATTCTGATTTTCAATTTTATGCACAATAAATCTAGCGAATGTATTCTCCTCGGTCGGTTGTCATTAAATTGTAATCAGATTCTAGACAACACATATCCGACTCTTCTCAATTTTGTTTCATACAATGTTAACAACACTTAGATATGTTTTTTTAATGTATGAGTCTTTCAATATACGTTTTATCGGTAATATATCAAAACTTTCAATAAATTCAAGAGAAAAGTCACATAACTTGTGAACGAAATCTTCAATTAGGTGGATAACAGCCTGAAGTATATGTAGTCCATGAAAACCAATCAAATATTTTTCTTTAGAAATAATAATAAACGTAGTAGCTATTCTGAAAATTCATATCCAGAGCGAATAACATTCGAGTTCGATGACTCATGTGATGCAATAACGTGTACATACCATGGGTGTGTTCTTCGAGATTGAGAGTTTTGATAAAAAAAGAAAAAATTTCTTTTATCCTTTTCTGCTTTGAAGATTTTTTATCATGTGACTCATGACATCGATTAGTCAACGTGTTATCGGGAAAGCGAATAAGCTGATGTTGTGTACTTTCTAATCAATTACTCGAAACCCTAAACACTTAATTTCTCGGACCACATACTGATACGTATGTTGATAATCCGTGAAGATTATTACTCATTTTTCTTCTTTTTTTAAAACTTTATCGAACCAAACAAATCACATAGCACCGTTAATGACGTGTCTATTTGTATCTGAAATAAATCAACTGTGATTCTATCATTTCACTTTGAAAGCAGATCAAATTTCAGTTAAATGAATTAACACACCATAGGGCACTACTGCTGCTCTTACTTCCGTAAATATTTCGATTTGATCATTCGGTATAAATGGGCACAGTCGCTTCGAGCCAGCATTGATTGTTTCACCTTGTACTTTGTATGATCCCGGTTGTTGACGGCATTGAAGAACAAGGCGTGCATCGTAAGTTTTACCAGTTTGTTGCGAATGAAAGCGTTGTGGAGGACAGTAAGCTTCATAACTTGAATACGCGATCGTTGGGGACGTGTAAATATGATTTTTTCCGGGAATATGGTCGGGCAATATGGCAACTTTTGTACCATCTAAACACGTGTCACCAGGTAAGAGGAATTGACGGTGATGAATGATCGATTGAGCGGCCATAGGACGTGTCCCGTGATAGGTTACGATCCATTTACTCCAAATACGATCAATATCAGCGCGAACTTGATGAACATGTAGACCAAATCGACACCAACCACGTGGAAGAACATATTTTGAACCACCTTGCACAGTGGTATCTTCGCGTGAGCTAGGATAACAGTTTTCGCAGTAACAACGGTTATGCTGACGATCAAAAAAACTTTTATCCCATCTCAATGACGATAAATATTCTGCACAGACTTTTTTATACTGACATGAAACAGGAGTGTCATTTTCCCGCGGAGTTATTCTATGTGCTGCTGCTGCTGCTGTTGATGCTCGTGGACGGATATGTCCTAACGAAATTCGAGGACTTCGATCGTGTTTTGCGAATGGAATTGTCGACGGCGACGGCCGCAAAGATGTAGTGAATTCTTTTCTGCAGTGTGGACAAGATCTTAGCTGAATAGGAGGCGTTTCGCCATGGCAATTGCTACAGCGACGGGGCATCGGCTTTGCCTCAATAAAATAATACCTTGAAACAGTGTGAAACTTCCAACACGCGACTGATTTGCTTTCGTATGTGAGTAACGTTTATGCACTTCTGATTTTACCTTTTTTTGTTCTATAATGTTTATGGCAAGTGTATCGCAGTAACCCTCCTTTCTTCTCGTCAAAGCAGAACTGAAAAAAAAAGCTTTTCAATAAATAACCAACAAAAAGACGCTAAGTCATTCGCTAAGAATGTCTGTAGTAACAAATTCTTCTCTTCTTCCTACTACATCACAGAGTCAACAGGGTAGATCATAGAGTTAATAGGGTATCATTGATGTATATTTCATTGATTTTTTTAAAGGAAGCGCTCAGTCTTTGAGTACAGCAGAAGTTGCTGGAATCGTTGCTGGATGTATTGTTGGCACCGTTTTGATCATCATAATTTGCGTTTGCGCTTCAAAATGGAGAAAAAACAACAGAGATAAGCGCTCAAAAGGTATGCTATTAATAAATTAACATAATCTAATCGCGGGATAAAAATGTTTTACCGTTTCTCATTAAAAAAACTATCACGATTTGATTTTACACATAGCATCTAGAAGGTCGGCAACATCTTCATCACCACCGAATCCTAATGTTGTGGTTAAAAATGAGTTACCAATACTGAAGCCTATTACACCTAAGCCAGTTCATCGTCCACCGCCTACACCAAAACCAGTTCACCATCCACCGTCCACACCAAAACCAGTTCATCATCCACCGCCTACACCAAAACCGAGCCACCATCCACCGCCTACACCAAAACCGAGCCACCATCCACCGCCTACACCAAAACCGAGCCACCATCCACCGCCTACACCAAAACCGAGCCACCATCCACCGCCTACACCAAAACCAGATGATGCAGGATCAAAAGCATTTCCATTATCTGATTTATGTCCACAAAGTTTACGCACACAATATTCTAAAAGGATTCTTCGTCTAGATAAACGTTATTTTGATTTTGCTCATAATTTGTGCTTTTGTTCACATTGCTATCCCAGTACAAAACCTGATCGATTCACAGTGGCTCAATCTATCTATACTGTTCCGAGAGGTTGGACACGTTTTGGTCTTCGAGTCGACGACACCGTAATAGCTAATCGCAAGTTATTTAAACAATGGTACACAGCTTTCTATGGGACATCAAGAGATAATGTCGAATCGATTATGCGCAACCTTTACGTACCTATGCATGGTGACAAACTGTTAAGTGGCGAAACATTCAGTACACATTTACCGGACAAGACGCATGTTTACACGTCACCATCTATCCACTATGCTTCCCTACGACATATATGTCCAACCGATGTTGTAAAAATGAACAATGAGTGGTATGATGTTCAAATCGTGCTGGAGTGTAAACAAAATCCCGAAGGAATCATCAAAAAAGCAGGACGTGAGAAAAATGTATGTCAGATCATACCCGATGATCAAATTGAATGGATGACAAGTCGCAGATCATCAATTGTACCATATGGTCTTCTTATTCGTAGTCGAAAACATCGATGTACCAAAAAATGTAACGATTTACATTCTTAGATCAAGAGCTTTTGAATCAAAGCCAAGTATTTGTTGTGAAAATATGTTTCAGCCACTCGATCTGTCTTGAAAACTAACGTGTGGTTTCTCATTTATTTAAATAAAAGTTGAACAGTAACAACAATTCATTTTTTTGACGTGACATGTTCGATTTTCTGAACCAAGCAAATTCATCATGAAGAAGTAATGATTATTTTGTATAAAAAGGAAAATTTCATTTTAGGATTACGATATGACTGCGTTTACGCAACAAACTTGAAATATCTCTTGCAATCCGTGAGATAAGCATGGAATAAATTCACGAATCCATTACTGTATTGTATGACCAAACACACTTTTTGTTGTGTCAACTAGATCAATACTGGTTTTCTGTTCAGCGATAGCACGAATTTCATAATTAGCTAACTTTTTTGCCCATAGACAGAAATCAGCGAGATATCCAAAATAACACCAACTACGGAAGTTCCATCTTCGTAGGGAGTGGCGCGGCAAAGGAGAATCTCTACATGGATAATCAAGAACTCTATTTCCATCGAGAAAAACTTCAATATTTTCATTAACTTTACATTCAAGGACAAGCGTAAAATGAATCCATTTGTCTAATTCTAGTTGAGTACAGTCTTGTTCGATAAATTTCTCGATGGTATTCGTAATCACTATACTGCCAGTGTGGAAATCGAGCTCGAGTTGTAACGTTGTGTGATTTTCAAAAGAAAACTCCATACTCAACTTTTTCAAGTGATCAGAACTGCACATAATTAACCAGAATGAGAAAGTCCATTGAGCAAAATCATTTGCTGCTAATTCATAATGCACCGATATCCTCGAGTTGTTATGCCTCAAACAAGGTAAATGATAGAAGAAATCCTTGTCGGTATAAAATACATTTTGAACTTCAGGACAAGTTTCAGCTGATCTGCTTCGGATCGTTTGGTCAGCAGATACAAAATTTTTATAAAGATTGTTTCGTTCAGTGAATTTAAACCAAATCTGTAAATTGTCCATAAAACGAAGACGTTGCCGTGTTGAATATTCTTTTAAAAACCATTCCTTCAGAATTAAATTACGAAACAGCCTGCAAACAGCCGACGTTTGAGCAAGGTCTTCCAAGGAAGGAAGGAATAAGAAGATCTGTTGCCAAAGTTCCGGTGGGAGTGTCGCCATTAAACGTGGTTGAAGAAATTGCGAGAAAAGAAAGTATTTCTCAATCCAAATACAATATAAAAAAACCAATTATATTTTCGTCTATGTTGCAATGCAGATATGTAACACGTGGCCGTGCTCGGTAGTATAGGGGTAGGAAGCGAAAAAATCTCTCAGATGATTTATGATTCAAAGTAAACACGCACGAAAAAAATAAAAAATGTGAAATACTGAATGCTTTTTCTCCTCCGAAGACGTTTAAAGACACTTAAATTATTAAAAATAGGAATCATTTGTCTAGTTCATAATCATCAGACGTGAATCAGATCAGATAGTATCTAATTTACTTGTTTTCTTAAAGCTCTAGATTTAACAAATACCTGAAGTCGAGTATTAAAATCTCATAAATATATGGTACAACGTGCATCCTTGGTAGGCAGATTAACGGCATAGCGTTTGTCTTCTCACCAGTTTACTATTATCGATATCACGACACTATTGGAAACCGTTCCAATAGTTATCATAGGTAGGGTGTGAAGGTAGGTGTAGAAAATACTATGGTGCTTGTAGTGATGCACATTCGGTCTCCTTATAGGCTCCAACACACAGACTAATTCAAAGCAAATTGAGAAATATCATTGGCTATTTTACATTACAATGTGAACTTTATCGGTTAACTCGACGGCAATTGTTTCCGCTCGTTTGATTCCGTGGAAGAGAAAGTTAAACACCCTCCTTCTTTTGCATGAAACATTGTTCGATAAGATAATTACTCAAAATAAATATGAATTCTATTTTAATTCGATTGAAGGTCAATCAAATGATTATCAGTAGAGAGTCATGTTACTCATTTTCGTTGTGTGTTTCACATTGAAATCAATGCCATGCGTTGACTATCGACATCCTATCATTGCCTTACACAAAGAATTGAAAACAAAGTCAACTTGATCGCTGCATTTTTCGTTGCAACTGAATTTATAGCTGCCGGTACACCTTCAAATGTTATCCCGAGCAGATTATCAAGTTTATGGTACAGCAGTATTTGCTGCCATTGGTGGTTTTCTATTTGGTTATGATCTCGGTGTGATTTCCGGTGTGATCACCATGTCGAACTTTATTGCTGTTTTCGGCGATCAAGCAAGTATGTCGCGTGGATCGTTGACTAGCAGTATCTCAGGATCAATCGTCGGTGTAATGTCCATTGGATGTTTCATCGGCGCACTTCTCGCNCGAGCAGATTATCAAGTTTATGGTACAGCAGTATTTGCTGCCATTGGTGGTTTTCTATTTGGTTATGATCTCGGTGTGATTTCCGGTGTGATCACCATGTCGAACTTTATTGCTGTTTTCGGCGATCAAGCAAGTATGTCGCGTGGATCGTTGACTAGCAGTATCTCAGGATCAATCGTCGGTGTAATGTCCATTGGATGTTTCATCGGCGCACTTCTCGCTGGTCAAGCAAGTGATCGATTTTCGCGTAAATATTCCATTGTACTTTTCTCGATTATTTTCACCATCAGTGGCGCATTACAAGGTGGTTCGATGAACTTAACCATGCTTCTCGTGTCGCGTTTAGTCGCTGGTGTGAGTGTGGGTGCATTGTCGATGATTGTTCCTGTTTATCAATCGGAAATTTCAACGAAGGAACTTCGAGGACGGCTGGTTTCCTTTCAGCAATGGGCAATAACTATTGGAATAGCAGTTAGTTTCTGGACTAATTATGGTAAAGTTTTTGATTGAGAAATTGAACACTTCTGAGACGTTAAGAAAGAATTTGTCGATGTGTTTTAGGTACAGATTTGTATTTTACATCAAGTAGTGCATCATGGCGAATTCCACTTGCCTTGCAGATTGTTCCAGCTTTGATCTTAGCAATTGGTATCCCATTCTTTCCATTCTCACCCCGTTGGTTAATGGCACAGGGTCGCGATAGCGAAGCATTAGCTGTTCTTAGGAAAATTCGTTCATCATCGCAGAAAAAGATTCTTTTAGAATATAACGAAATCAAACAAGAGATTATTACCGAAAATGAACAATCAGTTCGTTCCTATAATCAATTACTCCGTTATCCTCTTCGTCGTCGTCTTATTCTCGGCGTTACCATTCAAACTTGTCAACAACTCACCGGAATCAATTCGATCATGTACTATGCACCAGAAATATTCAAACAAGCGGGTTTATCCGGTCAGCGCGCTGCCCTATTAGCAACTGGGATCAACGGATGCATTAACGTTCTTGCTACAGTTCCTGCCATTCTCTATGTCGACGATTGGGGCCGACGACCTGTCTTGATCATTGGTGGCATGATTATGAGTTTCGCTATGCTCACGATCGGTAGTATAATGGGTATACATGGCTATACAGTATATAATTCTACGACTGAGGTTACTGAAGTTATTATTCCGAATCAAACAGCTTCGNAGCATTTACCGAAATTAACTAGTTTAACAGCTTATCTATGGTTTGTTAAAGATGATAATCATTTTTATTCGTGGTTTATCAAAGCAACACAGAATTTCAATATTATTTTCGATCTTAAACCAATTAGTAAACGTGAAACTCTCTTATCGGCTTGGATTGAGCGAAAATGAAACGTACATCTATTTACTGACGAAAAATAACGGTTCTCATTGATCAAAACATCAACCGTCTGCTTCTATAAGTGTCACATCGTATCTTTTCTAAACAAATAAAATCGGAATTTTTCAATCTCTTAGATTTACGAAAATCAAGGAAATTTGAGCTTCTCTCTTTGTTATTGTTAACTGGATGTATCATTTATTTTACTCTTTAACACCGTACTTCAACATCTATCATAACAACAGATGTTGCTTCCCGGTTTATTTGCTCATCTCCTCTCACCGATGAATGCTTTTTTTTTCATAGTGGGCTTTTTGATTGCTTATTTTCTTCTGAACGATATGAACTTAGTAGAAATGTTTGATTTACTATGGCAAACTTTGCTTTTGAATTTGCATACGAACGATAAAAGTACAAGGTTCAAACTCTTACCGTGTTTTCTCATCCCTTGATATTGACTTTGGTTCACTGAGTTGAATTTCATTTGCCATTACCGAGAAGTACAAATACATCGAGGGAGAAGTTCTAATCAATAAATAGTTGCCCGATTGATTAGAAATACGTAGAAAGCAGAATGATGTTGACGCATACTGAATTTCGGTATTTAGCTTTGATCCTGATGATCAAGGCTTCGACAGGTAAAGACAACATATATAACTCGCGCATGCATACATGTTCTCTTCCTTTTCATTTAGAGCTGTTTTATAATCAACTCAAATTTAGTCCATGTGCAACATGGAATCCGAACGCGACTACTTTCGCGAACAGCGTTATACTACGCGCTAAACCTTGGATATTATCTGTTAGTACTAACAACACTCTCTTCGTTAATCTTGGAAATAACAATACGGTTCTGACATTGTTCGAAAACGGTAGTGTCATAGCACAAAATATGTCACACGGCTTAAATAGATCTTACGGCATTTTTTCCACGAGCAATAATGAGGTTTATGTTGACAACGGCGAGTTGAATCATCAAGTCAATAAATGGATCTTGAACATGACGACTCGTACAATCGTTATGAATGTATCCGATCGATGTCTAAGCTTATTTATCGATATGAATGATACTCTCTATTGCTCAAATGTTCGGCTACATCAAATCGTGAAAGTCTCTCTTAGCGATGCTCCTGATAATGTATCAGTTGCAGCTGGTAATGGTACTTCAGGATCCACAGCTACGCAATTGTATACCCCTGGTGGAATCTTTGTCGATGAAAATTTTAATTTGTATGTAGCTGATTACGGCAACGATCGGATTCAACTTTTTCAATGGAACCAACGGAATGGAACGACAGTTGCAGGCGATGGAGCACCTGGCACGATCACGCTCAGTGGCCCATCTGATATCATTCTCGACGGCAATCAATACATGTATATCACTGAGTTATACAATGCTCGAATCATTGCGTCAAGTCCCTATGGTTTTCGATGTCTGGTCGGATGTACAGGCATAAACGGTTCAGCAGCGAATCAACTCTTTGGACCAACCAGTCTCGCTTTTGATAGCTACGGTAATATTTTTGTTGCTGATCGAGATAATGGTCGAATACAAAAATTCCTACTGAGCACAAAATCATGCGGTAAGTACCTTTATTCTATCAAAGAAGTATTTTGTCCGGAAGCATTCTACTTGTATTGTTCTTACATAGAAGTGTCGTACAATCAACCACAGTTTTGTTCATCTGCACAGTGGCGATCTGATGGCGTCACTTTTGCGAATAAGAGTACAAATGATAGTTTGCCTCTGTCTGTTTTTGTTGATACTAACAATACTATTTTTCTCACCACAAACATACCCAATCAAGTGGAGATATGGCTCGAAGGAAGCACAAGCCCGATAGAAAACATTTCTTTTGGTTCTTATATACCGCGTACTGTCTTTGCTGCCTTGAATGGCGACACTTATATTGTTAATGATAGCTACGAAGTCCAGAAGTGGTCATGGAATTCAGCAAACGTCGCCATTGCCATGAACACCAATGCTACTTGCTGTAGTCTTTTCATCGACTTTAACAATACTCTGTACTGTTCTTTGACAATCTATAACATCGTTGTCAAAAAATTCCTCAGCGATAGTGCCAATACGTTCTCACTCGTTGCTGGCAATGGTTCCATGGGTTCAGGACCCAATACACTTAGTGGTCCTATGGGAATATTCGTTGATATACTATTGAATTTATTCGTGGCGGACTTTTCGAACAACAGAATTCAGCACTTTCGATATGGTGAACTGAATGGAACAACATTGGCAGGAAATGGATCTTCGAAAACATTCTCACTTTTCCAGCCGATAGCAGTTCTCGTTGACGCTGATGACTATCTCTTCATTTTGGAATACTTTCATAGTCGCATAGTACGAGTCGGACCAGGACCCAGCGATTACCAATGCGTAGTTGCATGTACACAGTCCAGTGGCTCGAATGCTGATCAATTGTTACTACCCTACAGTTTTACCTTTGACAACTACGGTAATATCTTTGTTGCTGACTATGGAAACTATCGAACCAAAATATTCTTCTTCATGAAAGACTCGTGTGGTAAATTTCTGATCAACGCCTCTTATCTGAAATGTAATTCCTTGTCCTATAGATGTATCATCAGTTTCTCAAACTACAGCATCATTAATAAGTAATCTAATCTCGATATTCACGAAACAGAGACGACATTCGTTCGTATTTAGCATCAGAATTGACAAATTATACTCAAATGTGGAATTCTTCCTCGTCCTTTCCCATCATAACATCTTCTTGTTCATCATCTGCGCAGATTGGCTCCTATTGTAATCAATCTAATCTTCCTTGTGATGTTTTGCAACCATGTCAAAACAATGGTAGCTGTATTGATAATAGTACCGCATCGAACGGCTACACATGTCAGTGTTTACCTGGTTTTGTTCAAATAAATTGTCAATATGACAGTCGACTTTGTCGGTCAGACACTTGCTTCAATAACGGTATGTGTTCACAAAGGTAAAACCAAACTCGGACTTTTTCGTTTTTTAGGTATATGCAATCAAACATCGAATACGACATTTTCCTGTTTATGTTCAGCTGGTTGGGAAGGTCATCGTTGTCAAACAAAAATAAACTATTGTGCCATTGCCACATGCTACAACAAAGGTGTTTGTCAAGCTCTGCTACTTAATTATACATGTTTATGTCTCGGCGACAGCTATTCGGGTCGCCATTGTGAAATCACTCAAAATCGAATTAGTCAACTTCAAACTGTTTCGAAGTCATTTGCATTTGCTGCCATTGTCGCGATGATTACTGCGGCATTGTTTGTTATCATATTGGATGTGTTAAAATACGGCTTTGGCTTTGACTCAGCTGATGCAGAACGTCGATCACGAAAGCGAAAGAAACCTATTTGTATTGTAAGATTTATTTATGTTAACCCACCTGTAAATGAAACAACAGTTTGATAGTGTCGACGATAGTCAATTGTTATTTGTTGTCTTGTGCGATTAGTTTTACTAATATACTATCTTTTCATTGGTGTTGACATACATAAGTGAATGATGAAAGTACGACGACTTGGAAAAAATTACGTTTATTTGAAATATAAAAGCATCATCGAGTTTAATAGAGGGAGAGAAGTCAAAATACGTAGCTCATAGATTTGTGCTTGTGGACGTAATACGCTGGCGACACGTGGCACAAACTCGTGTGGTTTCAAGCCATTTGGTGATACACTCTACATGAAATAGATGACCACATGGTAATCTTTTCACCTTTTCGTTTGCTTCGTACTCCATTCGACAAATCACACTAGAGCGAAACAGAAACATTACTTTCATTTAGTTCCTTTCCTATGCACATCTACTAACCATTCTTTTTGATCAAATTGATCTGATATCTCACCAAAAGTAACATCGGGTAAAGCATTGATCACATTTGGCGATGCAGGAGGCTCTGCAGTATTGATGCCTGGAGCAGTAGGAAATCTTTCCTAAGAAAAGAAGAAATCAACACTAGGGAAAACCGAATTCTCGATTCATACTCGAATTATCGCGAGTAGTGGAACAGTAATGGACTCAGGTAAGCATGCAGCAAGACAAGTACCGATTGTAACTCCCAGACAACAGAGAAGACATGTCAATGGCCAAACAATAAGTGGTAAAAACACACAAATAATTTGCCATGTAAATAAAGTTTTGTGCAATTGAGGAGCTACTTGTCGGCACGAATTATCTGTCCGAGATGAAAATAAGAGAACAGCTCCGATCGAAAAGTAATAAACAACACATAATGTTATCAAATACGATATCAAATAACGAATAGCTGCTAGATAAAGAAAGATGCTTCGTAGATTTCGTGCGCGGTAAAAGATTTGATTGATTACTCCGTCGAAAATTCGATCACATATTATACAAATGTTCAGAAGAAGACCAACATAACCAAAGGATTTCAGTGGGGCACGATAATAAAGATCTTCGACGTTACTATAGATGCATTCGGAACTATGAACTTTGAGTATAGCTGAGAGAACAAAACCGATGTAGAGACATGGCATAAGAATCGATAAGAAACGAATTAAGCATTCGGAAACTAACGAGCGTCGAGTGGGAAGCGTTGCTTTTGATGGAGCAATGAACCATAAAACCCATGTGTTGAAACATACGATACCAAGGTAAAATCGAACGGCATCACAATTGGTTGTTGATGACGTTTTGGAGCCGAATACAAAAGCTGTACCCACACAAATACACAGAAATCGAAGAAGATGCAGCATATTTCGTTGAGAGTATCCGCTGGAGCTTGTATCTCCAACGACTAATATTTCACGTTTTCGCCAATTTCGTATAAAAAACAAGCATATCGTAGCTAATTCAAGACTTGCAAAAACAAGTATGCAAATGGATATGACGATGACACTACTGGAGGGCGAACACGTATTTTTACCATAGTAAAGGCCGAGCGAAAGAAGGATAACGTCAATAACGAGATAACTTAATCGAAGTAAACTACCGGAGAGAAGTCGATCTAAACGAGATAATGAATCGACCCATGTTGGAGATTCGTCACTATTATTAATGATCGGCGCAGGTGCGGCGCGAGCTTCATTGATTGAATCGCTGTGCATGTAAGTATTGGCGATCGAGATGAATGGATTTGTTCGAGTTAAATTTGCTCGTTCATCGCCGGTTTGTGTCGTTGACATTCGTAATCAAGATGGATTTGACGCAAAAATAAACTATAGTGAGTACTTTTAACTGGAAAATGTTACACACAAACAATAGAAGAGCAAAATGTCGAATGCAAACACATGGTCGACGAACAGATGAATCGTTATCGAAATGTGCGTTTTATTTGTTTCTCTTTCCTTTCGCTTATGAATAAATACTGACAAGCCAGCGAACGTTTGCGTATGATTATCACACGAAACCAAATCTTCTGGTATTTTTTTCTTCCTCGTATAGCAATAAATAAAAGTTACTTGGGAAAAACTCAGTACGACGAATAAAACTACCGAGATTATTCACTGTTGTTGCCTCTACGGTAGAGCTGACGTGTTAAGACTTCGTTGGATGGGGAATCAGTCAGTTCTTCTTCTTCTTCACATATTGTATTTTCATAACAAAGCCAAAAAAAGGCGACAACATCTTTTTTCGTACTCTTTTTCTTTGAAACTGAGTCATTTGTGTTATTTTTTTATGGTGAATACTGATGTAATTGCATAACAGGTTGAAATATTCTCAAATGAAACGATATAAAAAGACTGATTGATGGGCACGTCAAATGAATAGTAATGAACCGAAACAAACGAAAGCCGAATCTTATATCGAAATCTAATGAAGACAAAGATAAAAAGCAGCGAATTAATCGCTCTTGTCTTCCAAATACGAATATGAACAGGTTTTTTTCGATAATATTCTTTTTTTCTCTCATGTTCTATTTCGTTCAGATCGGTGATTACTCATCTGGAAAGTTTATCCAATGAAATAATCTACGAAATCTTTGATTTTCTTCATTCTTACGACATCTATCAAGCTTTTTTCCATCTGAATACAAGATTTCGACAACTATGTATCCATCCGAATCTTTCGATTGCGATCACCAATCTATCATCCAAACAAAAATCGTTCGAACGCTATTTTAACGAATTTGTCGTACCATATCTATATCGAATTCGATCGCTTGATCTAACTAATCTATTTCTCGTAGATCTAATTTCGAAAACAACAAACCATCTTTCGCATTGTACTCAACTTCAAACGGTCGTTCTCGGTGAATTGAAAGTACCTTATTTGACAAATATTTTAAATAATCTGAGCACAGAATTGAATCTACTTTCGCTGACGCTTTGTATCGATGTGAATTCCAATTGTACGCAGATCTACGATCGTGTTTTTCACTTTCCGGTACTAAAATATTGCACAATACACGCTACAGTAGACAATCTCTTCGAATCGTTGCTCATTTCTGCTAAGCCAACATCTCCGATTGAATATCTAAATATCAATAGTAGTTGCCACCTGAATCATCTTCATATATGTCTCTCACATGTTCCTCAGCTTCGCCATCTTTTGGTAGAATCGATTCACACCGTCGACAATGTCGACCTTCAAGATTATTCACGCGATTTCAATCAATTAACCAGTGTTGTGTTAATGTTGAAAAAAATCGATTTCCAACTTTTTGCGACGTTCGTTGACAAACATTTTCGTCGACTTCGAAAATTGACAATTTCAGTACCTGACGAAAACGATCACATCGATGCTGAACAATGGCAGTATTTGATCGTTTCATTTATGCCTTGTTTAAAAACGTTTGACTATCAACTGGGAACCTTGTCTTGTTACAGTAATGAACATATATCGCATAAAACTCTCTTGAAGACGTTTCAAACTTCATTTTGGGCGGAGAGGCATTGGCATTTCGCCTTAGAATCCTATTTGCCTACTTTTCAGCTCAAGCAAGAGATTCTTTATTCTACCCAACCGTATACGTAAGTCCAATGACGGCTGTATTCAATACCGTCTTCTCATTTTAGACGAAGACATTTTGTACTTTCTGATCAAGCGGATTTCATCAACAAAGAAAAAGTTCCTTTCAACTACGTAGATCGTGTAATCATATTCGACATGGCAATTCCAAAGAATTCCAATAAATATTTTCCTGTTGCAACTGAATTGGCTATATACGATCGTCATTCTGCCGTCGTCGATGAACATCTCTACGAGAATTTGCATTTGATCTTATCTCTTACGCAGATTACTCGACTAATCGTCGATGACGATCTGATCAAATACAAAGATCTTTTAAATCTGTTGTGTTCGTTAATTAATTTACATACATTAAAATTGTCGTCGACGCAATCGAGTTTAGACAAAAGTTTACCGTCACAAAGAAGCAAACAGTTCCGTACAGTTTCCGAACAGAATAAGATTGTCAACTTGATGATCGAAGGTGATTTCTCGTTGAAAACACATAAGTTTTTGCTCAATCTTTGTCCTCGTTTACAATACTTTTCCATTCAATCACCAAGTGAAGTTTTATTACCAGCTATGAAATTTCTGCAATCAAAAATTCAGAAATCGACTTCTCAATTGATTTCCTTATCGATTACCCAACTGTCTTTGATTTCAATCGAACAATTACTCGTTCATATCAGATCGGAAGCGCTTTTCCACGATTCTGCCATGATTAAAAATCATTCGGGATTGTTCATTTGGTTCTAACATACGAGCAAGATCATCCAAGTACACAAAGACGAAGACGCGAACTTTTTAAATTAGATTTCCATTGACTGGTCCACTATATTTGTCTGTGACATGTATCAAAAGCCGATTTTATAAAGCTGTACTAAGTCATCGTATAATTATATATGCGAATAAAAAAGATAATTTTGAAGCTTTTGTCTGGCTGTTCTTAATTAATTTTTCAGCTATCCGCACTTAAGAGAAAAATTTTCCCGCCTACTTGAATTAGTGATGAACTTGTGAAAAGAGAGAATGCTATTTTGCACTCTTTTAATAAATACAGGTGCTCATGCATACCTAATCATTGAAAAGATATATATATATATATAGACTGAATTCAGTTCGTAGACAGTGTGATATGGCGATCTCAAATATCTTCAAGTTTTGGTTGATTCTCATTTTTCTTATTCCATCGATTCTCTGCGGAATATTCGTTTTGTGCAGCCTACTAGTCGATCGTACCCTACGCCAGGCTTTGAATAATCATACAGTCATTGTTCTTCTTTCGATTGGTTTGTGTTCGGAGCTGACAAATTATATTTGGATGCTCGTTTATTACTATCGTGATGGCATTTGGCAACGATCGTTGATCTTCTGCACAATATGGACGTACCTCGATTGGACATTATATATAACTTACACGATTGTATTGGCTTGGACAACAATTGAACGACATATACTCATATTTCATGATCGATGGATGTTTACAAAGAGAAACCAATATTTATTACATTATTTCCCGTTGTGTTCTCTTCTTCTTTACTCTTTGATCTTCTATATTGTTATTATCATCTTCCCGTCGTGTGAAAATACTTTGCTCGAATCGAATTATATCTGCATGTCCACGTGTATCTTCAAATCTGACCATATAATTACGATCTACGAACTGGTTCTTCACCAGTTTTTACCCTTTCCACTGATTGTCACATTCAACCTGCTGTTACTCGTACGGGTTATATGTCGAAAGAATCGAGTCAATGCCGTATTTCACTGGCGCAAATATCGCAAAATGACCGTTCAAATGTTTTCTATTTCATCACTTTACACTATCCTATATTTTCCTTACATAGTGATTAACGTCTATATATGGTTTAATGAAGCTTCGAGTATATTCTACGAGATCAAAGATTACACGACACTCCTTACTTATTTCGTTTTTCTGTTATTTCCATTCGTTTGTGTTTTATCATTGAGTGATTTGCGACGAAAACTCTTTTATTTATCACACCGACGAATTGTTCCTGCTCCATTGGCAGTGACGGTTGCTCGGACAAACAGATAAATGATTTTTGTCTCGAATAATACTTTATATACATGTTGGAAAGAAATGTGTGCGTGAATTTAAAAAAACTGTTGTTGGCGAAACGACCTACACCACAGAGAATACATACATAGTGAATATTAGTCACACGATGAGAAGACGAAGACCGGCAAGAAAATAAATGAAACAGAGAGAGAGAGAACAGACAGAAAAAAATGCCATGTGAATGGTTATGACTGAGTCACTGTGCGGTATAGAAAGGAAGAAGAATGCAAAAACAAGGTTGGAAAAAACCGTAGAAGAATAAATAAAACCGACATGCAGTTTCAAATTGTAAAATCATACAAACAATCATGGCTGAGGCTTGTGTCAACTTCGTCGCCCATATCTGGAAACCGAATGTATGCCGAGATTGTGCGAGCACAAAGGAGAACCATTTGATAGGTCAAATTTCTACTCCTTCGCAATGTCTAGCTGATCCGATTGAAAATGCGCTACCTGAATCCAAGCACAGTGAGCAGAAAGTTTCGAAATCAGGACGGACGAAAAGGCGTGATGACGAATATCGATTTATTCGACTGGTGGAGAAGAGCATCCAACTGTTAATTGACCAGTCAGATCTCAAAGATGAAGAAATTCGAAAATTGAAATCAGAACAAAATAAATTAGTCCATTATTATCAAACATTGGAAAAAGCGCTCGCAGATGAATTGGACTACCGTGAGCGACGCCAATTAGAAAAGCAGCATATCTTAACGATTTCACAGCAAACGCCATCATATTGGGGACCGAATGCCTTCACGGAACCTTATCGAGAAATAGTTCTTTCGAGGCAATCCAAAGAATTTCACATGATTAGCAGTTTAATCAATTCGACGATTAGTCTACATGACAATCAATATGGAACGGTCAATGGACGAGATCCTACAGAGTTCGTAGTGAAACAGATTAAACGAATTCAAAATGCTCGATTATGGCATGAATATTGTTTCAAGAAGGTTCGAGGTCTCTTTTGATTCCATTTTATAAAAGAACTTCGATCGTTTAGGACAGTATTATCCGTAAAAACAATGACCAACTGTCCGATTATGGTAGTTCAATATACTTGGAGGCGACTCCAATACTAACGCCTTTATTAGATAAAAGAGCGAATGAATATTGGCTTTTTCATGGTAGTAATCCTGTAAATATACCTGATTTATTACAGGTTGGTTATGATCCTCGTGTATCGAGCTTATTCGGCTTATTTGGCGGTGGTTTCTACTTGGCTGAAAATTCTTCGAAATCCAATCAATATATTCCATGTCCTGGCTGTGGTAACAATGCAAGATTTAGACGTATAGAATGTTCGTGCAAAGATCAGGACCAGTTTGTCTTTTCAATCATTCTCTATCGTGTTGTACTGGGCGATGTTCATATAGCTCTTCGTTATAACAAAGAAAAATATTGTGAAGGTCTCAACCGAAACGGCCAACGGATTCGTGTTCGACGTCCACCAGTGAAAACGAATAGTCTAAATCTGTATGATTCAGTGATGGGTGAAAGCATAGAAAATGGTGGGACCTATATGAAACATCGTGAATTTGTTCTATATGACCAAGGACAAGCCTATCCTGAATATGTTATTGATTTTCAACGATCTGCAAACAATCCGCGAGCGTCAGTTGACATGAAACGTTTACATGAAGAATGTAACCATTTTTTAAAACATACTTTTCGAAGCGCACCGGAATAAACCGTTTTTATTGTTAACATTCATTTCAACGTTGCCATATAGGGCCTAATTGCTATAGATTTGACCTAGTATGACCGCTGCGAATTTTTCCTATTCGTATTCAGTTTAGCATTATTGACCGATAGATATAGGCTTGACATCTGCGGGCGACGAGCTTTGTCTGTGATGCATATGTATACCACAACTTGAACGTCTCTGACCATCATTTCTCATTTTCTCAAGTCAATTCAATGGCCGCCGCAATAGTTTCATCCGATGTTAACGACGTGGTCAAAGCAGAGCCATTTCCGACCTTAGATGACGAATCGACGTTCGACCGAGAACGACACGCTGCAGTATGATATAGATATTTTCATTGACATTTTCACACAGATTTATTTTAGTATTTTGGTGTGGTAGCAATTGCATCCACAACGAGTTTTATTGGTAGTTGGTTTGCATTATATTCAATGCTACACATGACAGCTGAATTAGATACTATAAGACAAATTTCTGCATTAAATCAAACAAACAATCCGCCATTGCTATCCACTGCGAAATTCCATGCCTTTTGGTTTATCATTAGTATATATTGTGTGATGTTACACATTATAGGTGTACAGGAATCCATCACAATGCTTCGAAAAATGGGTTGGAAAGATTTACTTACCATTGCTGCTATGACCTATGTAGCATATATGATTTTGTATAAAGCCATTTTTGCAATAGTTTCTCCTGCCATTGGACAAAGCATTACAACAGTAAGTCATGTTTTTCTTCAAATTGCGATGAATGATGTCATTTCGTATAGAATCTGGAACATGTCATGTCGAATGGTGTACATCTGGGAGCAAATTTTAAATATGTATACATTCTGGGTACTTTCTACAACGGTGTTCTGTGTGTATTTCTACATTTGATGAAACCGAATAGTTTTGATCCATGTGATCATCCGTATGCATTGCGCTTCATTGCGGCTATGTTAGAAAACAAACCAATACCAGCGATGATTCGTCCACTTCGAGTTAAAAGCAATGCAAACAAAGAAGATAAGGATATTATTGAAAATTATGTTGTTTGTTGATTTGTTCTGTTCATGTGAATAAAACTTAGTTTGAAACGATAGTGTTGCTTCATATACTTATCTCGTTATGGGCAATTGACAATCATCGCTAAGCCTGTATAGCAAATGCTCTTGGAATTGGCTGTTTTTGTGCAGAAACACCTCACTAGTATCAGAGGTCGGATTGATTTCCGAATGCAATTGGTTTAGTATTTTACAGGCAGAAGTTCGAAAGGGAACTTAAAAAAGCAAATAGTTCGTTGGTATGAGTGCATCGAGATGTATTTCAGAATCAGAAAAAAATCCTTTACAAAGAAAAGGCAACATATGAATTTGACCTGGCATGAAGCCTACAATTTTCTTTTCACGTAGTACAGTTCAACACTATAGACCGATAGATATAGGCTCACCCGTCACAATGGCTTCCTTCAATGTTATCAGTGCAGTGAACACAAGACAAAGAATGAGGACGGGATGAAATGCCTTTCTATCCCTTAATCGTAGTTATTGGTGAGAAATGACGTGTTGATGCATGTTTATACTGTTCGTTATCAAATTTAGCTGTACCAGGAAGATTTCATGCCAATTACTGAGAAGCAAAAGTGACGACCGAACATTCTTTCATCACTTTGTCAGTTAGGAATATCTTCTGTTTTTACACTTGCAATTAATGTGTTCGAGATGTCACTGTTCGACATAGTCGCGTCAGTTATTTAAAGACGACGAAAAAAATTCTTTGTGATTGGCATCTTTTTATTCTGTTTAATGAGTCATGAAAAAGTTTTTATAACCTTCTTCTAACTGTGCATCACTTTACTTCGCTCTATATATTAAAATAATTTGTCTAGAAGCTGTGAAGATGCTTCTAAATGAAAATAAGATAAGTGTAGGTGGTGCGTTAGGTGTTCTGACATTGGAATCTTTACCGGATGAATTATTTTATGATATTTTCTATTATTTATCTGCTCAAGATCTATACGACGGTTTTTACAATTTGAACTATCGATTTCGATCGATTCTTGCGACGCTCACTAATCTCTATAGCGAAATAACTATCAAAGATGAAACAAATTCGCTTGCTTCTCGTTATTTTGCTTCTCGTATTGTTGCACTCAGTATAAAACACGTTGAGTCGTTTGATCTCTCCGCATTTTCAACCATTCGTTCGCTTACTCTGCTTGCCGAACCTAATCGTGAGCAATGTCAATCGATTCAACGCTTTCTTCCTCATCTCGAACAACTTGTTACATGCAAATCGTCTACTCGACATTTTTCTTACTCAACTTCAGCATCGCATTTTGTCTTCACCAACGCCTATCCATTCCTTCGTTCATCTTCGCTAAATTTAGTTTCATACAAAGACGAACAATCATGGACACATGTACTATCATTGCGTTTTCTAAGTATTCGAATCATTGATCTGAGAATATATCCGCAAATACTTCGAACTTGTCCGTCACTTGTTCGATTTCAACTGGAATTCAAGAATAATTTTCAACTACCGAAATTGTTCTACAGATTTGACTCTCATTCATCTCTTCGATACTTACATCTTCGTTTACACTCAACACCATATTCCTATTGCTTAATCACTGCTTTACTCCTCTCCCTTGTGCCAAACTTACGACAGTTCTCTCTTCATGGTTGTCTCTCCGAAGCTGGCGATATCAATATTGAATCACTTGCAGAGATTCTCCATCAACATGTCCCTCATCTCGATCACTTCTACCTCACCATGGCAATTCAACAAACTCTATCTACAAACAACTGGCAAAAAATGCGGCAACTACATTCGCTCTTTCACCGTCTAACCATCGAATCACCAACACCACATTCGCTAGCACGCTTGACTATCCAATCAAAGAAGAACTTGATATAAAAACTGACGAACTTCAGTTTCTATTGGGAGATTAGTTATTCTAATTGTGAGTGTTTCGAATAGTCAGATAAGACATTAAGTGCTAATAAAACATATTTTTCTTCGATTCACTTAATGTATTTTTTATAATGAAATATAAAGCTTTTTTTATCAAAACGAAGAAGAAACAAAAGTACAGTGCTTCCTTCTTTTCTCAACGAACATCAATGCAAAATTAATAAAGCACTTTGCACGCATCTACACACTCTCTCTGTATTATCCCAAAGACTTAGGTATTTTTCAAAGAGAACAACAAGAAGCGCTTTCAACATGACGAACATATCAATCATTGCCGAACAAATATATTCTTTCTCTCAAGAATACGCATTCTATGGCAGTATGATTATCATGATCGGTGGACTACTCAGTAACATCTGTCTTATGCTTACTCTAACCGGTGTTCGAATTTTCCGTCAAAATCAATGTGCGTTTTACTTAACTAGCGAGTGTTTTGCGAATATTGGCATACTTTCCATAATACTCACTTCAAGAATGTTGACTCGTATTGGAAAGGTTGACCCTGTGAATTTATCGGAGGTTTGGTGTAAAATACGTTCGTGGCTGATAAACGTTTTTTGTGTAACATCGCTTGGAACAGTGTGTTCTGCTGCGTGTGATCAATATCTCTCGACTAACCATCGATATTCACTGCGACAACGAAGCACACTGATATTAGCACATCAGCTAGTCTTCACCGTTGTACTTTTCGCGACTATTCATAGCATTCCTCTACTTGTTTATTCGTCTATTGATCCAACGGCTGGCTGTCAGATTTCCAATCGAATCCTCATTCGTTATTACACCGTTTTCTATTATCCGTTCGTGACAACTAGTTTTCCAATTATCGTCGTCAGCTCGTCGAGTTTCTTAGCGTATCGGAACGTTCGTCGTCTCGTTCGTCGACATATCCCAGTCATTCGTCGTCGATTGGACCGACAGTTAACAGCGATGGTTTTAACACGTTCAATATGTCTGATCGCACTTGGTTTACCTTATATCGTTTATTCGCTCTATGCACTTAATAGCACCATTCGTAAAGATGATGAATTAAGTTTAGCAATCAGTCAGCTGTTCGAAGTAGTGACTCTATCGTTATTCTACACAAATTATTCAATTAACTTTTATGTGTTTCTTTTCATCTCCGCACAGTTTCGTCGACAAGTGAAATACTATTTTTTCAAAAGATGGTTCCGGTTGGCCACGCAAGTACCTCATCGATGTCGAAATAAAATTGCACCACAAGTGATCGCTGTTATTGATCTCGATTGACACCCACGCAGAGTTGTGTTTGCGTGTGCAAGGAATTCAATTATGTTAGCAGATAATATGATGGAATGACAATTATGTTCAGCTTATTGCATCTGTGAAAAGAATTTATTATTAATAAAGTTCAAAGAGAAGATTCTTCGGAAAGTAAAAACATTTCTAGACAAGAACAAGACGACATGAAGCTTATTAATCACATAAAAATAAGAACAAAAATTAAAAAATAAAACATTGTTCCCATTATTTTCATAGTTATTGCGCTGTTGCAAAGATCGGTATTGCAGCAACAAAAACTTAGCTTAGCTTTGCCTGTACTTACTAAGTGACACCCATTTTTCGTGCAAACCGGTGTCAAAGCAGTCACAGCAGTTGGATCATTTCGTGTAACAAATTGTACATTGTTTATCTCTTGTTTATATTTCTAAATAAGCAAATTATATTTGATGCATGGTACATTAGATAGTCGAAGAACTCGTACCCAGCACCAATTGTCCGATGACCTGATTATTCCTGCGTTATACCGTGTTGTCTCGAATGGATCATTGCAATTCGAAAAGCGATAATGACAATAATAACATTGTAATGATACTGTACTTCCGATAACTATCAGCGAGAGTATGTATTGAGTGGATTTAGATGGAAATTTTGATGGTACACTTACCAAGAGTGGATAGAAGAACGACGTAGGATATCTGATGCATGTTGATTTGTTAAATCGTATTTTTGAAGTGTACTATTGGAAATAAAATGTAATGGCAAAACATATTCAAATAGCTGTTGGTAGTTAATCGTATACGTGCTACTACCCTCGTTGTTATCAAGGTTGTTGCTTCCATCAAACAATTCATGAATATTTTATACAAAATATTTCGGCGAGAAATCGTGTTGTCATGAAATTACACTCATATATTGGTTCCTAGAATCTATCCGGGTGTGAGAATCTTCTACAGATGTGTTATGAGATGTATGCGGTTTTTCTCGATTATCCTATGGCAAATAAGGATGATGAAAATTTCACGAGCGTTATAATTTATTTGTCAAATGAATAAATATACCAATTGCTGCTATTTTTCCGGTAATTCCGATTTGATGACAGGCACATATAGACTTATTTCCTTCATGCCGAAAATGCACGAGTGTCAATGTTGTATTTCGTATACAATCAGTGAGAAGTACCCAATCTTCGATATCAAATTCTAAATCAAAGAAGAAATGGACAGCAATGTACTTGTTCTCGTAGACACACACATGGAAAGTAAATACGATAAGAGCGAATTGACATAACTGAATACTTCCTTCTTTTTAATGATTGATTCCAAATACAGGGGAGCTTGACCTTTTCAAATCTTTATGATGTAGATATCTCACCCAGTCAAGATCACGCATTCCTTATGGTCTGCTCGAATCAATAAACTACACTTCTTTATTCAGGAAATGTTTCTGCCGATTCCATGTTTTCATTTTGTCAAAGAAGAGGATGCTCTGGTAGACCGGCCTTACGACCTATCTACTACTTTTCGTCATCGCAACCCGTATGTGATCATAAAAGATCGAACTACCTTTTGATGTTTTGTAATAAGTGACTTTCTTGCATCTTAACTGCGCAAGCCATCTACGGTGTCTGCACATCTTTCGCTTTTCTCTTTCACTGCTAAGAAGTGAAACTTGTCAGGACAAAGGACACTAAATGCTTCGTTTTTTCTCGCGAATAATTAGTTAATACAATAGAGAAAGAGGTAAATTGACTGTTTGCAGTCAAACCACGCGTTGCGATGACGAAAAGTTGCAGATAGGTTGTGAAACCGGTCTGCCAGAGCAGCGCTTAATAACATCCAATGTAATACCATACGCTGCATGCAAATAACCTGGCAATTTCGAGAATTGAAATCTGTCAGCAAGCGGCGCACTTTATACTGGTTTATTCAATTTAATCTTTGGATTTTTTGGTAATTTGTTTCTTCTTATTGTCTCGTTCAAGCAAGTGGGTCCTATTCTCTCTGGACTATAAGTTTTATGACCATTGATCGATATCTGTTTAGACATCATCGGTATGACCTTCGACGAAGAAACACATTGAAATTGGAGTATTCTTCAACCAATTTCAATTTTTGTCTTACTTTGTTTTGCACAGTTCACTTTTTCGCAACGTTCTATGAAGTTCGATTTCCGTTAGATTGTGTGAGTTAGAATCCAATTATGACAAGATATTATTCATATTTTTATTTTCTGATTCTGGATGATGTCAGCCCGTGTGATTTGTTTGACATTTCTCGGCACGTCCTTTCAACTCATCTCACCATATTAATCGTCCACGAATTCGGATGACCCAAATTCAACGGTCTCGACTTTTCTTTTACAAAACGCAATCGAATTGTTCCTGCTCCTTTCACGCAACAAGAGCCCATTATCTCTGAACGTTCATAAATAAATAATAGATGTAGATATGTTTATTATCAACTAAGCGAAGACAATGTTCATTATAAGAAGGGAGAAAGAAAGAATTTATTTAAACAAGTGGATAACTGGCCATGGTAGCAATACCACATTGGTTACTTTTGTTACGGCTCATCCAGATGTAGCCGTCGCTACCCCATGATGTACCCCATGAGTTTTTAACGATGTAATAGTCGCTGCCACTTTGACTGTCATAGCCAACAGCTAAAACACCATGATCAAGTTGGTATGATGAGCAAGCTGGTTCGTTGTAGACACCAGAGTGATAGAAGTGGAAGGAACTTTGAGAGGCATCGATCGCAACGGAGATTGGACCAACTGTAGCAATGGCAGATTGTAAAGCATTTTCATCACGTGATGGGATATCAAAGAAACCCTATTAAGCCGAATCATTCGTTTTCAATTTGATTGAAGACAATCATCACTTACAGTATCAGTAGCACCAACATCTTTAGTTCGGAAGCGGCATGTATCATCACGAGCTTCGTATGGATAACTAGTTTCAGTGTCAATACCGTTGTTGACTTTGATGTATTGAAAAGCGTAGTCCATCAAACCACCATGGCAACCCATGTTACCTTGGCTGCCTGAGCAATCAACTAAGTTTTGTTCGGAGAGCGAAACAAGTTGCTGGGTTTTAGCGAAGTGTTGACCTTCGAGTGAACCGGTAGCTGAGAAGGCCCAGCATGAACCGCATTGACCTTGATCTTTAACTGGTGTAACGTAACCTTTCGTTCGCCAATCTAAAAATCAACAAATGACCTTGATTCGATCGCCTCATCTCAAGTATTCATTCATTCATTCTTACCAACAGCGGATGGAATAGCAACATTAGCTGGAGCTCGGAACGTATGATGATCAACATCCATCTTATTCTTTAAACTCATGTCAAGACCATTCATTTGTCTGTTGATTTCTTCGTTTGTCTACATGAAATATTTTCAATAAATATCCATTGATGAGAAAAGAATTTTCACATACCATATCACCGAATTTATTCATTTTTAATGTATAAGTGTGAATACCAAGATCAGCTTCGAGATTATGATTACGGATCATAGCGAGATTAGCTTCCCAAATCGATCGACTAGAAAACGAAAAAGAGATGGCCTATACATTCGAATGTCGAGGTACTGAATATACCGGTTGATTTCTTCTTCGGATGTTGAATATTGTCTTTCATATGTGCGTTTAAATAAAGTCCATGGTTCATCCAATAAACTATTGAATGTTGGTGCAGAATAAACGCAAACGAAGAGAAGGCTGAGTGCGATGCAGGTTTTCATTTTTTGTTACTGTATACTTTCTTGTTGAAAGGAGAACTACTGAAGAAAAGTTGGATCCAACGGTGCTTTATATAGGTACTGCGGTTTTTGTTGTGTCAGTGTTTTCTCCAGATAAGGATCAAGGAAAAAAGAGTATATTTACGGAATGGGAATTACGCGTGCGTTGTTGTTGAAATGACCAAGCAAACGTAATTTATCTTTTGTTTTAGACAACAAAGTAAGTGATGATCAGGCTAAAATACTTTTTTGCTGAATCACTCTTCGCCAAGATTCGTTAATTTACATTTGTTGTCCTTATTTGCAAAGATTCTTCGCAAGGAAAGAAGGTTTGATTTTTCTTTAAGAATCTCACTTTGAAAATCACTATCTCAAATATTGCTTTCTGTTCATTTCTTTCGTTTTGAACTCGTACAATTGCCATTCTTTTCAATATATTTGCCTTATAATGCTTGTGTCATTGTTGTTGTTTGTCCAGGATTACCTTGGACTATTTTTAGACCTCAATCATTACATTGATCGATAACGATTGATGCATTGTCATATGAAAAAGAAAAGGATGTTATCTTTTAGATAAATTTTCATGTATTTTATTAACGTCAGCATGATATCCTGATCAAACAGAACAAATAAAGAAACCATTGAATATCGAAACAGTTTATTCAAAGATCGTCGATCTATTCATACACAATAACAAACGGTTGAATCAAATTCCGTGTCGAGACCATATTCTTTAACTTTCGTATCGTGCTTTTTCTCAATGACGACAACCCATTTGAGAATCTGTGATTTAGGATCTTTAATGCAAAACTCGTCTTTACTTTCGTCATCATGATTCATATAACATGTATCATATTTCGCATGCCATTTCGACTCGAAGACAAAATCGTGCAGAGTTTTATCAAATGTTCTTGATGTTTTAGTTCGGTTAATTTGCCGTTTGTCAACTTCGAACACTTTTCCCATTTTCACTACGGCGATTATAACGGCACCGCCATTTTTTCCGGCTTCTGCTTTTGCTTCTGCACCTGCAGTTGATCGAGCAAAATAGACACCTTTCCCAAGCATGCCTTGTCCACTTCGACGAAACTCCGAATGAACAATTGAAACAGCTGATGAAGTTTTCGTTACATGAAAACCAATGTATGTCGCAGCTGGATCTTCTGCTTTCAGTATGGACCAACGCGGTTGTGGATGGTAACTTTTACTATGGAAAATCGCCACATGACTCAAATGTCGATTGCGACAGTCTTTCACAGCACATTCTCGGTCACCTATCATATCCTTACGATTCTCTTTGCCGACTATATGATATGGTAAATACCGTTTGTGCTTCCATGATCGACAATGACAACGCGTGTCTATCGATGGAGTGTAACACCACCAAACGCCGTAATGATACAAATCCAGTAGAATTGTACCGACCAAGAAGATCATTGACACACTACACGTATAAAAATTGGATTGGCCACGTCGGTCGCTTTCTAGAAAACTGAAACGTCGTATACTCATATCAGAAATCAGTCGAGACTTACTTGAGACAGACCAATACAAGTAAATCGCCGTTCCTCGTAATAGCATACATAGAGAGAGAAAAATTGCTCGTAAACGAAATCGTAGTTTCGGTCTCGCTCGATAGCACGGACAATTACAGTCGAATGAAATGAACCGATGAAGTGCTTTGAAGCCACCAAGTGATTCGCAACAACCTTTTCGATTCGCTCTCGAACCTGTTCGAAAGATCGCATATGCACATGCGAAACAACACATGCATTGAATCATCGCGATAAATAACAATACCATAATTCCCATGAGAAAAGCCATGATTGAACTGATCCAATCCAAGAGAAATGCAATGGCAATGTGATCAGTTAGATTTGCTACATTTTTTATAGCGAAGGTTTCATTTTTCGATATCGCCGGAGAAATCATGATGAATACGCGAAAACTTCCACATAATGCTTCACACAGTGAAAGGGCAGCTAAAACTATAATACGATATTTGTAAAAGCGTGGACAATTGCAACACATTTTTTATTGAGTTACCAACTAGATTCACAAAGGTAGAAGATCTTTTATCAAAATAAATATTCGTCATCACATATTTTCTCTTGATAGCAGTTTCTAAGAATGCACTTCGCAAATTTCTATGAAATACTGACCTCTCTCAGTAAACACATCTCTATGGTACATCGCACTGACCATTCAGATTACTTTTGAAAATTTTACGTGTAAAATTCAGAAGAGAAAAAGAATGATTAACTTTCTCAGCACACGTATTGGGTTTTTACGACCGTTGATTTCAAAGTATTCGACTAAAACAATAAATCCATCCAAACGGCAATATCCATCAAAGGATTCGTCCAATGAAGTCTTGAGAAGATTAAATTACCTCGACAATTACGAGCGTGCATTCCAGTTCTTTGATAATCTCGTCAAACAAAATCAAGTCACTGTTGCATCTCTATTGACGATACTGGATACATGCACCCGGTCAGGACAAATTCAACGTGGCCGTCAGATAGAGCAAATGGTTAATCAATCGAGTCAATGGAAGTATCATGTACGTGTTCAGACAGCTTTTATTAATATGTTCATGAAATTTCACATGATTGATCAGGGTTAGTTTGTTCTTGTGGTAGACAAGTTTGGTTTTTTTGATTTTCTCGTTGCAGCGGAGAAAATTTTCGAACGCATCCAACAATTACCGAGCTGCGATGCGATTGTTTATAATTCGATGTTGGTCGGTAGGAGTCGTTTCGTTTCCGTAAGTTCTTGTTCACTTGTTTGCAGAAAGGTTATCTACGAAATCAACAAGTCGAAAAATGCTTTTCCTGCGTTGAGAAAATGCGCTCGCGAGTCCCACCGGATAATGTAACGTACACTCTTCTTCTTAACGGTAAACATTTTCAACTACTTTCTGAGATTCACATCAATCAGTTTTTAGCCTGTACGTTCTTACGTGATAAACAACGTGGCAAAGCTATTCATCAGGAGTTATCATCCAACTTAGACAGTCAGCATGTTCATTTACAAAATGCGTTAATTGATTTCTATGGTAAAATTAACGAAATAACCATCGCAGAGAATATTTTCCATAAAATGACGTTACGTGAAACAAGCACATACAATTCTCTAATGAAAGCTTATTTAATCAATCGAATGGCAATGAAAGTATTGAAATTGTTCGAACAGATGAAAGAAAATAATCTCGATACAGTTGGACCGATCGGATTTCGACCGGATTTAATTACATTTATGGCTGTGTGTGATGCATGTGAACAGCTTGGACTGTTGAATAGTCCAGATAGTTCATATGGAGAATATAATTGGAAAAAAATCTTTTCAAAAAACTAGAAACTCAACAACTTGTACTTATTTTGTATTTTGTTTTTCAGATAGATACTTATCAGTATTCCATGGCTGAAGTAATGCAGTTTTTTACTGAAGTTTTTGTTAAATATGATTGTATGTCATCGGTTTAGATCGAACGTCCACGACTTTTCTACGATCCAAATTCTCTTTCAAGTTTCAATCGGTTTCGAATTGTTCATACGCATCTTGATTTGACAGTTAACTTCGACTCTCATGTTCTCGACGGTTCTGTTCAACTCGATATTCAACCACTGGATAATCAATCATGCGATCGTTCCTCAAGCATAACAACAGAGAATCACGAGATTCCAAACAATCATGGAAATATTCTCGTACTTGACTCTCGTCATTTAGACATTAAACAAGTGATACTCAAATCTGACTCAAATGAAAAGGTTCTTCCATTTCAAATCGATATCGAACGTGAATCATTGGTTATTGAACTGAACGATCTCCAATTGGATTCGAATTTCTCAATCAAAATTTCCTACGCAACGTCTAGTACAAAATGTACCGCTTTGCAATGGTTAACGAAAGAGCAAACAGCCGATAAACAATATCCGTACATGTTCAGCCAATGCCAAGCTATTCATGCACGATCATTATATCCATGTCAAGATACACCCGGAGTGAAAAGCACTTATTCAGCAAAGATAACATGTCCGAAACCGTTGACAGTGGTATGTATAGACGATTGCAAAGGAGCTATTTAAGTGTTGTTGTCTTAGTTGATGAGTGGTTTGCAAAGCAAACATGATGAAGCGACGAATACGTTCTATTTCGAACAGAAACAACCGATTGCATCGTATTTAATTGCCATCGCTGTTGGAAATTTAGTTTCGCATGATTTGAGTCCACGTATTCGCGTTTGGACGGAGCCAAGTATGATAAAGCAATGTCAATATGAATTCGAAGAATCGGAACGCTTTCTAACGGCTGCTGAAGAACTTCTCGGCAAATATCAATGGCAACGATATGATTTTCTTGTGTTACCACCCTCATTTCCTTGTAAGTATTTTCTATCAACTTGTTCGAAATACGTTTTTATTCGATTGATTTAGATGGAGGAATGGAAAATCCATGTATGAATTTTCTGACTCCAACATTACTCGCCGGCGATCGCTCATTAATTAGCACCATCGTTCATGAGATGACACATTCGTGGACGGGTAACCGTTTTTGCGAGAAATTGCGCCTTGAAAGTACTTTCTTGTAGGAAATTTGGTAACGAACGAAAATTGGGAACATTTCTGGTTGAATGAAGGCTTCACGTCGTTCATCGAAGCGAAGATTCTTGGTAATTTGTCGAAAAATAATGGAAAAGAAACTCGACGATTTCATGCTGCCCAGCAATGGCAAGAATTGAAATCAGCTGTAACAACATGGGGAGACGAGCATCCGTACACTTGTCTGGTCTATCGTTTACATAATGTTGATCCCGATGACGCTTATAGTTCAGGTAATCATCATGTTAACTCTTTTGATCCTGATCTGTCGTATTTATACGAGTTTAGTTCAATATTACAAAGGTGCANAGCATTTACCGAAATTAACTAGTTTAACAGCTTATCTATGGTTTGTTAAAGATGATAATCATTTTTATTCGTGGTTTATCAAAGCAACACAGAATTTCAATATTATTTTCGATCTTAAACCCACTAGAAAACGTGAAACTCTCTTATCGGCTTGGATTGAGCGAAAATGAAACGTGCATCTATTTACTGACGAAAAATAACGGTTCTCATTGATCAAAACATCAACTGTCTGCTTCTATAAGTGTAACATCGTATCTTTTCTAAACAAATAAAATCGGAAATTTGAGCTTCTCTCCTTGTTATTGTGAACTGGATGTGTCATTTATTTTACTCTTTTACACCGCACTTCAACATCTATCATAACAACATATGTTGCTTTCCGGTTTATTTGCTCATCTCCTCTCACCGATGAGTGTTTTTACTTTGTCATAGTGAGCTTTCTGATCGCTTATTTTCCTCTGAATTATATAGCCTTGGTAGAAATGTTTGATTTACTATGACAAACTTAGTTTCTGAATTTGCATACGAACGATAAAAGTACAAGGTTCAAACTGTAACCGTGTTTTCTCATCCATCGATATTGACTTTCATTCACTGAGTTGAATTTCATTTGCCATTACCGAGAAGTACAAATACATCGAGGGAGAAGTTCCAATCAATGAATAGTTTGTCGATTGATTAGAAATACGTAGAAAACAGAATGATGTTGATGCATACTGATTTTCGGTATTTAGCTTTGATCCTGATGATCAAGGCTTCGACAGGTAAAGACAACATACATAACTCGCACATGCATACATGTTCTCTTCCTTTTCATTTAGAGCTGTTTTATACTCAACTCAAATTTAGTCCATGTGCAGCATGGAATCCGAACGCGACTACTTTCGCGAATAGCGTTATACTGCGTGCTAAACCTTGGATATTGTCTGTTAGTACTAACAACACTCTCTTCGTTAATCTTGGAAATAACAATACGGTTCTGACATTGTTCGAAAACGGTAGTGTCATAGCACAAAATATGTCACACGGCTTAAATAGATCTTACGGCATTTTTTCCACGAATAATAATGAGGTTTATGTTGACAACGGCGAGTTGAATCATCAAATCAATAAATGGATCTTGAACATGACGACTCGTACAATCGTTATGAATGTATCTGATCGATGTCTAAGCTTATTTATTGATATGAATGATACTCTCTATTGCTCAAATGCTCGGCTACATCAAGTCGTGAAAGTCTCTCTTAGCGATGCTCCTGATAATGTATCAATTGCAGCTGGTAATGGTACTTCAGGATTCACAGCTATGCAATTGTATACCCCTGGTGGAATTTTTGTCGATGAAAACTTTAATTTGTATGTAGCTGATTACGGCAACGATCGGATTCAACTTTTTCAATGGAACCAACGGAATGGGACCACAGTTGCAGGCGATGGAGCACCTGGTACGATCACGCTCAATGGTCCATCTGATATCATTCTCGACGGCAATCAATATATGTATATCACTGAGTTATACAATGCTCGAATCATTGCGTCAAGTCCATATGGCTTTCGATGTCTGGTCGGATGTACAGGCATAAACGGTTCAGCAGCGAATCAACTCTTTGGACCAACCAGTCTCGCTTTTGATAGCTACGGTAATATTTTTGTTGCTGATCGAGACAATCGTCGAATACAAAAATTCCTACTGAGCACAAAATCATGCGGTAAGTACCTTTATTCTATCAAAGAAGTATTTTGCCCGGAAGCATTCTACTTGTATTGTTCTTACATAGAAGTGTCGTACAATCAACCACAGTTTTGTTCATCTGCACAATGGCGATCTGATGGCGTCACTTTTGCGAATAAGAGTACAAATGATAGTTTGCCGCTTTCTGTTTTTGTTGATACTAACAATACTATTTTTCTCACCACAATCATACCCAATCAAGTGGAGATATGGCTCGAAGGAAGCACAAGCCCGATAGAAAACATTTCTTTTGGCTCTTATATACCGCATACTGTCTTTGCTGCCTTGAATGGCGATACTTATATCGTTAATGGTAGCTACGAGGTCCAGAAGTGGCCATGGAATTCAGCAAACATCGCCATTGTCATGAACACCAATGCTACTTGCTTTAGTCTTTTCATCGACTTTAACAATACTCTGTACTGTTCTTTGACAGCCTATAACATCGTTGTCAAAAAATTCCTCAGCGACAGTGCCAATACGTTCTCACCCGTTGCCGGCAATGGTTCCATGGGTTCAGAAACCAATACGCTTAGTGATCCTATGGGAATATTCGTTGATATACTATTGAATTTATTCGTGGCGGACTTTTCGAACAATAGAATTCAGCACTTTCGATATGGTGAACTCGAAGGAACAACATTGGCAGGAAATGGATCTTCCAAAGCATTCTCACTTTTGCAGCCGATAGCGGTTCTCGTTGACGCTGATGAGTATCTCTTTATTTTGGAATACTTTCATAGTCGCATAGTACGAGTCGGACCAGGACCCAACGATTACCAATGCGTAGTTGCATGTACACAGTCCAGTGGCTCGAATGCTGATCAATTGTTACTACCCTACAGTTTTACATTTGACAACTACGGTAATATCTTTGTTGCTGACTATGGAAACTATCGAACCGAAATATTCTTCTTCATGAAAGACTCGTGTGGTAAATTTCTGATCAACACCTCTTGTTTGAAATGAAATTCCTTGTCCTATAGATGTAACATCAGTTTCTCAAAGTACAGCATCATTAATAAGTAATCTAATCTTGATATTTACGAAATAGAGACGACCTTCATTCCTATTTAGCATCAGAATTGACAAATTATACTCAAACATGGAATTCTTTCTCGCCTTTTCCCATCATAGCATCTTCTTGTCCATCACCTGCGCAGATTGGCTCCTATTGTAATCAATCTAATCTTCCTTGTGATGTTTTGCAACCATGTCAAAACAATGGTAGCTGTATTAATAATAGTACCGTATCGAACGGCTACACATGTCAGTGTTTACCTGGTTTTGTTCAAATAAATTGTCAATATGACAGTCGAATTTGTCGGTCAGACACTTGCTTCAATAACGGTATGTGTTCACATAGGTAAAACCAAGCTCGAACTTTTTCAATTTTTAGGTATATGCAATCAAACATCGAATACGACATTTTCCTGTTTATGCTCAGCTGGTTGGGAAGGTCATCGTTGTCAAACAAAAATAAACTATTGTGCCATTGCCACATGTTACAACAAAGGTGTTTGTCAAGCCCTGCTACTTAATTATACATGTTTATGTCTCGGCGACAGCTATTCGGGTCGCCATTGTGAAATCACTCAGAATCGAATTAGTCAACTCCAGATTATTTCGAAGTCATTTGCATGTGCTGCAATTGTCGCGATGATTACTGCGGCATTGTTTGTGATCATATTGGATGTGTTAAAATACGGCTTTGGCTTTGACCCAGCTGACGCAGAACGTCGATCACGAAAGCGAAAAAAACCTATTTGTATTGTAAGATTTATTTACGTTAACCCACCTGTAAAGGAAACAACAGTTTGATTGTGATGACAATAGTCAATTGTTATTTGTTGTCTTGAGCGATTCGTTTTACAAATACACTATCTTTTCATTGGCGTTGACTTACATAAGTGAATGATGAAACTAAAACGACTTGGAAAAAATTATGTTTATTTAAAATATAAGAATATCATCGAGTTTAATAGACAGAAAGGAGTCAAAATACGTAGTTCATAGATTTGCGCTTGCGGACGTAATACGCTGGCGACACGTGGCACAAACTCGTGTGGTTTCAAGCCATTTGGTGATGCACTCTACGTGAAATAGATGACCACATGGTAATCTTTTCACCTTTTCGTTTGCTTCATACTCCATTCGACAAATCACACTAGAACGAAACAGAAACGTTATTTTCATTTAGCTCCTTTCCTATGGACATCTACTAACCATTCTTTTTGATCAAATTGATCTGATATCTCACCAAAAGTAACATCGGGTAAAGCATTGATCGCATTTGGTGATGCAGGAGGCTCTGCAGTATTGGTGCCTGGAGCAGTAGGAAATCGTTCCTAAGAAAAGAAGAAATCAACACTAAGCAAAACCGAATTCTCGATTCATACTCGAATTATTGCGAATAGTGGAACAGTAATGGACGCCGGTAAGCATGCAGCAAGACAAGTACCGATTGTAACTCCCAGACAACAGAGAAGACACGTCAATGGCCAAACAATAAGTGGTAAAAACACACAAATAATTTGCCATGTAAGTAAAGTTTTGTGCAATTGAGGAGCTACTTTTTGGCACGACTTATCTGTCCGAGATGAAAATAAGAGAACAGCTCCGATCGAAAAGTAATAAACAACACATAATGTTATCAAATACGATATCAAATAACGAATAGCAGCTACATAAAGAAAGGTTCTTCGTAGATTTCGTGCGCGGTAAAAGATTTGATTGATTACTCCGTCGAAAATTCGATCACATATTATACAAATTTTCAGAAGAAGTCCAACATAACCGAAGGATTTCAGTGGGGCACGATGATAAAGATCTTCGACACTATGACAGATACATTCGGAATTATGAACTTTGAGTACAGCTGAGAGAACAAAACCGATGTAGAAACACGGAATAAGAATTGATATGAAACGAATTAAGCATTCGGAAACTAACGAGCGTCGGACGGGAAGCGTTGCTTTTGATGGAGCAATGAACCATAAAACCCATGTGTTGAAACATACGATGCCAAGGTAAAATCGAACGGCGTCACAACTGGTTGTTGATGACGTTTTGGAACCGAATACAAAAGCTGTACCCACACAAATGCATAGAAATCGAAGAAGATGCAGCATATTTCGTTGAGGGTACCCGTTGGAGCTTGTATCTTCAACGACTAATGTGTAACGTTTTCGCCAATTTCGTATAAAAAACAAGAATATCGTAGCTAATTCAAGACTTGCAAAAATAAGTATGCAAATGGATATGACGATGACACTACTGGAGGACGAACACGTATTTTTACCATAGTAAAGGCCGAGCGAAAGAAGGATAACGTCAATAATGAGATAAGTTAATCGAAGTAAACTACCGGAGAGAAGTCGATCTAAACGAGATAATGAATCGACCCATGTTGGAGATTCGTCACTATCATTAATGATCGGTGCAGGTGCTGCGCGGGCTTCATTAATTGAATCGCTGTGCATGTACGTGTTGGCGATCGAGATGAATGGGTTTGTTCGAGTTAAATTTACTCGTTCATCGCTGGTTTGGTTCGTTGACATTCGTAGTCAAGAAGGATTTGACGCAAAAGCAACCTATAGTGAGTACTTCTAACTGGAAAATGTTACATACAAGCAAGAGAAGAGAAAAATGTCGAATGCAAACACATGGTCGACGAACAGATGAATCGTTATCGAAATGTGTGTTTTATTTGTTTCTCTTTCCTTTCGCTTAGGTATAAATACTGACAAGTCGGCGAAATTTTGCGTATGATTATCGCCCGAAACCAAATTTTCTGGTATTTTGTTCTTCTCCCTGTAGTAGTAAATAAACGTTCCTTGGAAAAACCCCAGTACAGCGAACAAAACTACCAAGATTATTCACTATTGTTATCTCTACCGTAGAGCTGACGTTAAGACTTCGTTGGATGGGGAATCAGTCAATTCTTCTCCTTTAGATGTTGTATTTTCATAACAAAACCAAACAAAGGCGACAACGTCTTTTTTGGTTCTCTTTTTCTTTGAAACTGAATCATTTGTGTTACTTTTTATGATGGATGCTCATGTAATTGCATAACAGGATGAAATATTCTCAAATGAAACGATATAAAAAAGACTGATTGATGAGCACGTCAGATGAATAGTAATGAATCGAAACAAACGAAAGCCGAACGTTGTATCGAAATCTAATGAAGACAATGATAAAAAGCAGCGAATTGATCGCTCTTGTCTGCCAAATGCGAACATGAACAGGTTTTTTCGATGATATTCTTTTTCTCTCATGTTCTATTTCGTTCAGATCGGTGATTACTCATCTGGAAAGTTTATCCAATGAAATCATCTACGAAATCTTTGATTTTCTTCATTCTTACGACATCTATCAAGCATTTTTCCATCTAAATACAAGATTTCGACAACTGTGTATCCATCCGAATCTTTCGATTGCGATCACCAGTCTATCATCCAAACAAAAATCGTTTGAACGTTACTTTAACGAATTTGTCGTACCATATCTATATCGAATTCGATCACTTGATCTATCTAATCTATTCCTCATAGATCTAATTTCGAAAACAACAAACAATCTTTTGCATTGTACTCAACTGCAAACGGTCGTTCTCGGTGAATTGGAAGTATCTTATTTGACAAATATTTTAAGTAATTTGAGCACAGAATTGAATTTACTTTCGCTGACGCTTTGTATCGATGCGAATTCCAATTGTACGCAGATCTATGATCGTATTTTTCACTTTCCGGCACTAAAATATTGCACAATACACGCTACAGTGGACAATCTTTTCGAATCGCTGCTCATTTCCGCTCAGCCAACATCTCCGATTGAATATCTGAATATCAATAGTAGTTGCCACCTGAATCATCTTCATACATGTCTCTCACATGTTCCTCAACTTCGCCATCTTTTAGTAGAATCGATTCACACCGTGGATGATGTCGACGACCTTCAAGATTATTCACACGATTTCAATCAATTAACCAGTGTTGTGCTAGTGTTGAAAAAAATCAATTTACAACTTTTTGAGAAGTTCGTTGACAAGCACTTTCGTCAACTTCGAAAATTGACAATTTCAGTACCTGACGAAAACGATCACATCAATGCTGAACAATGGCAGTATTTGATCGTTTCATTTATGCCTTGTTTAAAAACGTTTGACTATCAATTGGGAACCTTGTCTTGTTACCGTAATGGACATATATCGCATAAAATTCTCTTGAAGACATTTCAAACTTCATTTTGGTTGAAGAGGCATTGGCATTTCGCCTTAGAATCGTATTTACCTACTTTTCAGCTCAAGCAAGAGATTCTTTATTCTACCCAACCGTATACGTAAGTCCAATGACGGTTGTATTCAATACCGTCTTCTCATTTTAGACGAAAACATTTTGTGCTCTCTGATCAAGCGGATTTCATCAACAAAGACAAAGTTTCTTTGAACTACGTAGATCGTGTAATCATATTTGATATGTCAATTCCAGAGAATTCAAACAAATATTTTCCTGTTGCAACTGAACTGGCTATATATGATCGTCATTCTGCCGTCGTCGATGGACATCTTTACGAGAATTTGCATTTGATCTTATCTCTTACACAGATTACACGACTAACCGTCGACGATGAACTGATCAAATACAAAGATCTTTTAAATCTATTGTGTTCGTTAATTAACTTACATACACTGAGATTGTCGTCGACGCAATCGAGTTTAGACAAAAGTTTGCCGTCACAAAGAAGCGAACAGTTCTGTACGATTTCCAAACAGAACAAAATTGTCGACTTGACGATCGAAGGTGATTTCTCGTTGAAAACTCATCAGTTTTTGCTCAACCTTTGTCCTCGTTTACAATACTTTTCCATTCAATCACCAAGTAAAATTTTATTACCAGCTATGAAATTTCTGCAATCAAAAATCCAGAAATCGACTTGTCAATTGATTTCCTTCTCGATTACTCAATTGTCTTTGACTTCAATCGAACAATTACTCGTTGATATCAGATCGAAAGCGCTTTTTCACGATTATGCCATGGTCACAAATCATTCGGGATTGTTCATTTGGTTTTAACATACGGACGAGATCATCCAAGTGCACAAAGACAGAGAAGCGAACCTTTTAAATTTGATTTCCATTGACTACTCCATTATATTTGCCTATGACGTGCATCAAAATCCGATTTTCTATAGTCGTACTAAATCATCGTGTAATCATATAGACAAAGAGAAAAGATATTTTTAAAGCTTTCGTCTGGCTGTTTGTAATTGTCTTTTCAACTATCTGCGCTTAAGAGAAAAAGTTTCTCGTCTACTTCAATTAGTGATGAAGACTTGAAAACCTTTCTTTTGTGGGAAGAGAGAATGCTATTTTGTACTCCTTTAATAAAAACAGGTACTCATGCATACTTAATCATTGAAAAGAATATATATATGGGCTGAATTCAGTTCGTAGATAGTGTGATATGGCGATCTCGAATATCTTACAGTTTTGGTTAATTCTCATTTTTCTTATTCCATCTATTCTCTGCGGAATATTCGTTTTGTTCAGTCTACTAGTCGATCGTACTCTACGCCGGGCTTTGAATAATCATACAGTCATTGTTCTTCTTTCGATTGGTTTGTGCTCGCAGATGACAAATTATATTTGGATGCTGGTTTATTACTATCGTGATGGCATTTGGCAACGATCGTTGATCTTCTGCACAGTTTGGACGTACTTCGATTGGACATTATATATAGCTTACACGATTGTATTAGCTTGGACAACAATTGAACGACATATACTCATATTTCATGATCGATGGCTGTTAACGAAGAGAAAACGATATTTATTACATTATTTCCCATTGTTTTTTCTTCTTCTTTACTCTTTGATCTTCTATATTGTTATTATCATCTTCCCGTCGTGTGAAAATACTTTGCTCGAATCGAATTATCTCTGCATGTCCACGTGTATATTCAAATCTGACTATATAATTACGATCTACGAACTGATTCTTCACCAGTTTTTACCCTTTCCGTTGATTGTCACATTCAGCCTGTTGTTACTCGGACGGGTTATATGTCGAAAGAATCGAGTCAATGCAGCATTTCACTGGCGCAAATATCGCAAAATGACCGTTCAAATGTTTGCTATTTCGTCTCTTTACATTATCCTATATTTTCCTTACATAGCGATTAACGTCTATATGTGGTTTAATGAAGCTTCGAGTATATCCTACGAGATCAAAGATTACGCAACATTCCTTACTTATTTCGTTTTTCTGTTATTTCCATTCGTTTGTGCTTTATCATTGAGTGATTTGCGACGAAAACTCTTTTATTTATTACACCGACGAATTGTTCCTGGTCCAATGACAGCGACGGTTGCTCGGACAAACAGATAAGCGATTTTTATCTCGGATAATACTTTATATACATGTTGGAAAGAAATGTGTGCGTGAATTAAAATACTGTTGTTGGAAAAGACCTACACCATAGAGAACATATGCATGGAGAATATTGGCCACACGTTGAGAAGACGAAAACTGACAAGAAAATAAACGACACAGAGAGAAAGAATATACAGAAGAAAAAATTACGTGTGAATGATTATCACTGAGTCACTATGCGGTATAGAAAAGAAGAAGGAAGAAGAATGTAAAAACAAGGTTGGAAAAAACCGAAGAAGAGTAAATAAAACCAACATGTAGTTTCAAAATGTAATATCATACGAACAATCATGGGTGACGCTTGTCTCAACTTCGTCGCGCATATATGGAAACCCAACGTATGTCGAGATTGTGCGAGGACAAAGGAGAGCCATTTGATAAGTAAAATTTCTACTCCTTCGCAACGTTTAGCTGGGCCGATTGAAAATGCTCCACCTGAATCCAAGCGCAATAAACAGAAAGTTTCGAAATCAGGACGGAAGAAAAGGCGCGATGACGAATATCGATTTATTCGACTGGTGGAGAGAAACATCCAAGCGTTAATTGACCAGTCAGATCTCAAAGATGAAGAAATTCGAAAATTGAAATTGGAACAAAATAAATTAGTCCATTATTATCAAACATTGGAAAAGGCGCTCGCAGATGAATTGGAATACCGTGAGCGACGCGAATTACAAAAGCAACATATTCTCACGATTTCACAGCAAACGCCGTCATATTGGGGACCGAATGCCTTCACGGAACCTTATCGTGAAATAGTCATTTCGAGGCAATCCAAAGAATTTCACATGATTAACAATTTAATCAATTCGACGATTAGTCGACATGGAAATCAATATGGAACGGTCCATGGACGGGATCCTACAGAGTTCGTAATCAAACAGATTAAACGAATTCAAAATGCTCGATTATGGCATGAATATTGTTTTAAGAAGGTTCGAGATCTCTGCTGATTTTATTTTATAAAAGAACTTCGATCGTTTAGGACAGTATTATCAGTAGAAACAATGGCCAACTGTCCAATTGTGGTAATTCAATATACTTGGAGACGACTCCAATACTAACGCCTTTATTAGATAAAAGAGCGAATGAATATTGGCTTTTTCATGGTAGTAATCCTGTAAATATACCTGATTTATTACAGGTTGGTTATGATCCTCGTGTATCGAACTTATTCGGCTTATTTGGCGGTGGTTTCTACTTGGCTGAAAATTCTTCGAAATCCAATCAATATATTCCATGTCCTGGCTGTGGAAACAATGCCAGATTAAAGCGTATAGAATGTTCGTGCCGAAATCAGGACCAGTTTGTCTTTTCAATTATCCTCTATCGTGTTGTACTGGGCGATGTTCATATAGCTCTTCGCTATGACAAAGAAAAATATTGTGAAGGTCCCGACCGAAATGGCCAACGGGTTCGTGTTCGACGCCCACCAATGAAAACGAATAGTCCAGATCTGTATGATTCGGTGATGGGTGAAAGCATAGAAAATGGTGGGACCTATATAAGACATCGTGAATTTGTTCTGTATGACAAAGGACAAGCCTATCCTGAATATGTTATTGATTTTCAACGATCTGCAAACAATCCGCGACCGTCAGTTGACATGAAACGTTTACATGAAGAATGTAATCATTTTTTAAAACATACTTTTCGAAGCGCACCGGAATAAATCGTTTTTATTGTTAACATTCATTTCAACGTTGCCGTATAGGGCCTAATTGCTATAGATTTGACCTAGTGTGACCGCTGCGAATTTTCCCTATTCGTAGTCAATTTAGCACTATTGACCGATTGATATAGGCTTAGCAACTGCAGGCGACGAGCTTTGTCTGTGATGCATATGTATACCACAACTTCGAAGTCTCTGACCATCATTTCTCATTTTCTCAAGCCAATTCAATGGCCGCCACAATAGTTTCATACGATGTTAACGACGTGGTGAAAACAGAGCCATCTCCGACCTTAGATGACGAATCGACGTTCGACCGAGAACGACACGCTGCAGTATGATACAGATATTTTCATTGACAGTCTCACACAAATTCATTTTAGTATTTTGGTGTGATAGCAATTGCATCCATAACGAGTCTTATTGGTAGTTGGTTTGCAATATATTCATTTCTACATATGACAACTGAATTAGATACTATAAGACAAATTTCTGCACTAAATCAAACAATCAGTTCGCCATTGCTATTCGCTGCGATATTCCATGCCTTTTGGTATATCATTAGTGTATATTGTGTGGTGTTACACATTATAGGCATACAGGAATCCATCAGAATGCTTCGAAAAATGGGTTGGAAGGATTTATGTACCATTGCTGCTATGACCTATGTAGCATATATGATTTTGTATAATGCCATTTTTGCAATAGTTTCTCCTGTCATTGAACAAAGCATTACAACAGTAAGTCATGTTTCTCTTCAGGTTGTGATGAATGATGTTCTTTCGTATAGAATCTTGAACATGTCATGTCGAGTGGTGTATATCTGGGAGCAAATTTTAAATATGCATACATTCTGGGTATTATCTACAACGGTGTTCTGTGTGTACTTCTACATTTGATGAAACCGAATAGTTTCGATCCACGTGATCATCCGTATGCGCTGCGCTTCATTGCGGCTATGTTAAGAAACAAACCAATACCAGCGATGACTCATCCACTTCGAGTTAAAAGCAATACAAACAGAGAAGATAAGGATATTATTGAGAATTATGTTGTTTGCTAATTTTTTCTGTTCATGTGAATAAAACTTAGTTTGAAACGATAGTCTTGCTTCATATATTCATTTCGTTATTGGTAATTGAAAATCACCGCTGAGTCCGAATAGCAGATACTCTTGGAATTGGCTGTTTTTTGTGCAGAAACACCTCACGAGTATCAGAGGTCGGATTGATTGCAGAATGCAATTGGTTTAGTGTTTTACAGGTAGAAGTCCGAAAGGGAGCTAAAAAAGCAAATAGTTCGCTGATACGAGTGCATCGAGATGTATTTCAGAAGCAGAAAAAATTCCTTTACAAAGAAAAGGTAACATACGGATTTGACCTGACATGAACGCTACGATTTTCCCCTTCTTGTAGTGCAGTTCAACACTATAGACCGATAGATATAGGCTCATCCTTCACAATGGCTTCCTCCAGTGAACACAAGACAAAGAGTGCGGACGGGACGAAATGCCTTTTTATTCCTCAATCGTAGTTATTGTTGAGAAATGACGTGTTGATACATGTTTATGTTGTTTGTTATCGAATTACACTATGCCAGGAAGATTTCATGCTCCACATTATCGAGAAGCAAAAGTGAAGACTAAACATTCTTTCATCATTTTGTCAGTTATGAATACTTTCTGTTTTTGCAATTGCATGCTACATTGTAATTGATATGTTCGAGATGTCACTGTTCGACATAGTCGCGACAGATATTTAAAGACGGTGAAAAAAATTCTTTGTGATTGGCATCTTTTTATTCTGTTTAATGAGTCATGAAAGAATTTTTATAACCTTCTTCTAACTGTGTGCCATTTTACTTTGCTCTATATATTAAAATAATTCGTCTAGAAGCTGTGAAAATGCTTCTAAATGAAAATAAGATGAGTGTAGGTGGTGAGTTATCTGTTCTGACACTGGAATCTTTACCGGATGAATTATTTTATGACATTTTCTATTATCTATCTGCTCAAGATCTATACGACGGTTTTTACAATCTAAACTGTCGATTTCGATCGATTCTCGCGACGCTCACTAATCTCTATAGCGAAATAACTGTCAAAGATGAAACAAATTCACTTGCTTCTCGTTATTTTGCTTCTCGTATTGTCACGCTTAGCATAAAACACGTTGGACCGTTTGATCTCTCTGCATTTTCAACCATTCGTTCGCTTACTCTACTTGCCGAACCTAATCGTGAGCAATGTCAATCGATTCAACGCTTTCTTCCTCATCTCGAACAACTTGTTACATGCAAATCGTCTACTCGACATTTTTGTTACTCAACTTCAGCATCGCATTTTGTCTTCACCAACGCCTATCCATTCCTTCGTTCATCTTCGCTAAATTTAGTTTCCTACAAAGATAAACAATCATGGACACATGTACTATCATTGCGTTTTCTAAGTATTCGAATCACTGATCTGAGAATATATCCACAAATACTTCGAACTTGTCCGTCACTTGTTCGATTTCAACTGGAGTTCAAGAATAATTTTCAACTACCGAAATTGTTCTGCAGACTGGACTCGCATTCATCTCTTCGATACTTACGTCTTCATTTACACTCAACGCCATATTCCTATTGCTTAATCACTGCTTTACTCCTCTCTCTTGTACCAAACTTACGACAGTTCTCTATTCATGGTTGTCTATCCGAAGCTGGTGACATCAATATTGAATCGCTCGCAGAGATCCTCCATCAACATGTCCCTCATCTCGATCACTTCTATCTGACTATGGCAATTCAACAAACTCTGTCTACGAATAACTGGCAAAAAACACGGCAACTACATTCGCTCTTTCGTAGTCTAACCATCGAATCACCAACGCTACATTCACTACCCCGCTTGACTATCCAATCAAAGAAGCACTTGATATAAAAACTGGAGATTTTCAGTTTCTATTGGAAGATTAGTTATTCTACTTATGAGTGTTTGGAATAGTCAGATAAGACATTAAGTGCTAATAAAATATTTTTTTATTCAATTCACTTCATGTCTTTTTTTTATAATGAAATAAAAAGCTTTTTTATCAAAACGAAGAAGAAACAAAAGTACAATGCTTCCTTCTTTTCTCAACGAACATCAATGCAAAATTAATAACGCACTTTGCACGCATCTACACACACACACTCTCTCTATCAAGTCAGAGACTTAGTTATTTTCCAAACAGAAAAACAAGAGCCGCTTTCAACATGACGAATCTATCGATCATTGCTGAGCAAATATATTCTTTCTCTCAAGAATACGAATTCTATGGCAGTATGATTATCATGATCGGCGGACTACTCAGTAACATTTGTCTTCTGCTTACTCTAACCGGTGTCCGAACTTTCCGTCGAAATCAATGTGCGTTTTACTTAACTAGCGAGTGCTTTGCAAATATTGGCATACTTTCCATAATACTCACTTCAAGAATGTGGAATCGTATTGGAAATATCGACCCTGTGAATTTATCGGAGGTTTGGTGTAAAATACGTTCGTGGCTGATAAATGTTTTTTGTTTAACATCGCTTGGAACAGTGTGTTCTGCTGCGTGTGATCAATATCTCTCGACTAACCATCGGTATTCATTGCGACAACGAAGCACACTGGTATTAGCATATCAACTAGTCTTCATCGTTGTATTTTTCGCGACTATTCATAGTATTCCTCTACTTGTTTATTCGTCTATTGATCCAATGGCTGGCTGTCAGATTTCCAATCGAATCCTCATTCGTTATTACACCGTTTTCTATTATCCGTTCGTGACGACTAGTTTTCCAATTATCGTCGTCAGCTGGTCGAGTTTCTTAGCGTATCGCAACGTTCGTCGTCTCGTTCGTCGACATATCCCAGTCATTCGTCGTCGATTGGATCGACAGTTAACAGCGATGATTTTAACACGTTCAATGTGTCTAATCGCACTTGGTTTACCTTACATTATCTTTTCGCTCTATGCACTTAATAGTACCATTCGTAAAGATGATGAGTTACGTTTAGCGATCAGTCAGCTGTTCCAAGTAGTGACTCTATCGTTATTCTACACAAATTATTCAATTAATTTTTATGTGTTTCTTCTCATCTCAGCACAGTTTCGTCGACAAGTGAAATACTATTTTTTCAAAAGATGGTTCCGGTCGATCACGCAAGTACCTCATCGAAGTCGAAATAAAATTGCACCACAAGCGATCGCCATTATTGACCTCGATTAACATCCACGCAGAGTCGCGTTTGCGCGTGCAAGGAATTCCATTATGTTCAGCTTATTGTATCTGTGAAAAGCATTTATGATTAATAAAGTTCATAGAGAAGACTCTTTGGAAAGTAAAAACATTCCTAGGCAAGAACGAGATGACATGAAGCTTATTAATCACATAAAAATAAGAACAAAAATTACAAAATAAAAAACTGTTCCCATTGTTTTCATGGTTATTGTGCTGTTGCAAAGATCGGTATTGCAGCAACAAAAACTTAGCTTAGCTTTGCCTGTACTTACTAAGTGACATCCATTTTTCGTGCAAACTGGTGTCAAAGCACTCACAGCAGTTGGATCATTTCGTGTAACAAGTTGTATATGGTTTATCTCTTGTTTATACTTCTAAACAAGCAAAGTATATGTGATGGATGGTATATTAAGTAGTCGAAGAACAAGGTACCCAGCACCAATTGTCCGATGAGCTGATTGTTTTTGCGTTATGCCGTGTTGTCTCGAATGGATCATTGCAATTCGAAAAGCGATAATTGCAATAATAGCACTGTAATGATACTGTACTTCCGATGACTATCAGCGAGAGTATGTATTGAGTGGATTTAGATGAAAATTTGGATGGTACACTTACCAAGAGTGGATAAAAGAACGACGTAGGATATCTGGTGCATGTTGATTTGTTATATCGTATTTTTAAAGTGTGCTATTAAAAATAAAATGTGATGGCGATACATATTCAAATAGCTGCTGGTAGTTAATCGTATACGTGCTACTTGCCCTCGTTGCTATCAAGGTTGTTTCTTCTATTAAACAATTCATGAATATTTTACACAAAATATTTCGGCGAGAAATCGTGTTGTCTTGAAATTACACTTAGATATTGGTTCCTAGAATCTATCCGGGTGTGAAAATCTTTTACAGATGTGTTATGAGATGTATGCGGTTTTCCTCGATTATCCTATGGCAAATAAAGACGATGAAAATTTCACGAGCGTTATTATTTATTTATCAAATGAATAAATATACCAATTGCTGCTATTTCTCCGGTAATTCCGATTTGATGACGGGTACATACAGATTTATTTCCTTCATGCCGGAAGTGCACGAGTGTCAATGTCGTATTTCGTATGTAATCGGTAAGAAGTACCCAATCTCCGATATCAAGTTCAAAGTCAAAGAAGAAATGGGTAACAATGTGCTTGTTCTCATAGGCACACACATGGAAAGTGAATACGATTAGACCATATTGACATAACTGAATGCTTCCTTCCCATTCCAGGACAAATGTTCTTTTTTTACATTCAACATCATATTTGGTCGTAGTGATCATTATGAACCATTGTATAAAAGAACTTCGCTTTGATTAGTAAGCGATGCAACGTACGGACAATATTCTTCGGAAAATTTGGATACCATCTCACGTTTATTTCTACTAATCAAGAACAGACGAATGGTAGCCAATGTGTACAAGGAAACTTGTCCTTTTCAAATCTTTACGATGTAGATATCTCAGTCAGTTAAGATCATGCATTGATTATGGTCTGTTCGAATCAATAAACTAGACTTCTTTATTCAGGAAAGACTTCTGCCGATACCAGCTATTCATTTTGTCAAAGAAGAGGTTGCTCTGGTAGACGGGTCTTACGACCTATCCACTACTTTTCGTCATTGCAACGTGTACGCGATCATAAAAGATCGAACTACCTTTTGATGTCTTGTAATAAGTGCTTTTCTTGCATCTTAACTGCGCATGCCATCTATGGTGTCGGTACACCTTTCGCTTTTCTCTTTCACTGCTAAGAAGTAAAACTTGTCAAGACAAAGAACACTGGATGCTTCGTTTTTTCTTGCGAACAGGTAATTATTACAATAAAGAAAGAGGTAATTTGACTGTCTGCAGTCAAACCACACGTTGCGATGACGAAAAGTTGCAGATTGGTTGTGAAACTGGTCTGCCAGAGCAACACTTAAAAACATCGAATGTAATACTATACGTTAGATGCAAATAACCTGGCAATTTGGAGAATTGAAATCTGTCAGCAAGCGGTGCACTCTATACTGGTTTATTCAAATAAATCTTTGTTTTCTTCTTATTGTCTTGTTCAAGCATATGTGCCCTGTTTTCTCTTGACTATAAGTGTTATGACCACTGATCGATATCTGTTTAGACATCATCGATATGACTTTCGATGAAGAAGCACATTGAAACTGGAGTGTTCTTGAACCAATTTCAATGTTTGTTTTGCACAGTTCACTTTTTTCCGACGTTCTATAAAGTTCGATTTCCGTTAAAGTGTGTGAGTTAGAATCCGATTATGACAAGACATTATTCATATTTTTATCTTCTAATTCTGGATGATGTTAGCCCGTGTGATTTGTTTGATGTTTCTCGGCACGTCCGTTCAATTTATCTCATTATATCAATTGCCCACGAATTCAGATGAACCGAATTCAACAGTCTCGACTTGTCTTGGCTTTATATTCCATTCAACGTGGTTCTAGTTACATCGACACATTTTGGTAAAATAATGCTGGCATGGATTGAGATCCTTTTCTTTTATGAAACTCAGTCGAATTTTTCTTGCTCCTTTCACGCAACAAGAGCCCATTTCTCTACCATTGACTCTGATCGTTCATAAATGAATGATAGGTGTAGATATATTTATTATAAATTAAACGGAGAGAATATCCATTACAAGAAGAGAGAGAGAGAAAGAACTTATTTAAACAAGTGGATAACTGGCCATGGTAGCAATACCACATTGGTTGTTTTTGTTACGGCTCATCCAGATGTAGCCGTCGCTGCCCCATGATGTACCCCATGAGTTTTTAACGATGTAATAGTCGCTGCCACTTTGACTGTCATAACCAACAGCTAAAACACCGTGATCGAGTTGGAATGATGAGCATGCTGGTTCGTTGTAGACACCAGAGTGATAGAAATGGAAAGAACTTTGTGAGGCATCAATCGCAACGGAGATTGGACCAACTGTAGCAATGGCAGATTGTAAAGCATTTTCATCATGTGATGGGATATCAGCGAAGCCCTATTAAACCGAATCATTCTTTTTCAATTTCGATTGAGAACAACTATTACTTACAGTATCAGTAGCACCAACATCTTTAGTCTGGAAGCGGCATGTATCATCACGAGCTTCGTATGGATAACTAGTTTCAGTGTCAATACCGTTGTTAACTTTGATGTATTGAAATGCGTAGTCCATCAAACCACCATAACAGCCCATGTTACCTTGACTGCCTGAACAATCAACTAAGTTTTGTTCGGAGAGCGAAACAAGTTGCTGGGCTTTAGCGAAGTGTTGACCTTCGAGTGAACCAGTAGCTGAGAAGGCCCAACATGAACCGCACTGACCTTGATCTTTAACTGGTGTGACGTAACCTTTGGTTCGCCAGTCTAAAAATCAACAAATGACCTTGATTCGATCGTCTCATCTCAAGTATTTATCCATTCATTCTTACCAACAGAGGCTGGAATAGCAACATTAGCTGGAGCTCGGAACGTATGATGATCAACATCCATCTTATTCTTTAAGCTCATGTCAAGACCATTCATCTGTCTGTTGATTTCTTCGTTTGTCTACATGAAATATTTCAATAGATCTCCAATGCTGACAGAAGGATTTTCACATACCATATCACCGAATTTATTCATTTTTAATGTATAAGTGTGGACACCAAGATCGGCTTCGAGATTATGATTACGGATCATAGCGAGATTAGCTTCCCAAATCGATCGACTAGAAAACGGAAAAGAGATGACCTATACATTCGAGTGTCGAGACACTAAATATACCGGCTGATTTCTTCTTCGGATGTTGAATATTGTCTTTCATATGTGCGTTTGAATAGAGCCCATGGTTCATCCAATAAACTATTGAATGTTGGTGCAGAATAAACGCAGACGAACAGAAGGCTGAGTGCGATGCAGGTTTTCATTTTTTGTAAATGTATACTTTCTTGTTGAAAGAAGAACTACTGAAGAAAAGATGGATTCAACGGTGCTTTATATAGGTACTGCAGCTTTTGTTGTGTCAGTGTTTTCTCCAGATAAGGATCAAGGAAAAAAGAGTATATTTACGGAATGGGAATTACGCGTGCGTTGATGTTAGAGTGACCAAGCAAATGTAATTTATCTTTTGTTTTAAACAACGAAGTAAATGATGATACGACTAAAATACTTTTTCTGCCGAATCATTCTTCGCAAAGATTCGTTAATTTACATTAGTTGTCCTTATCTGCAAAGATCCTTCGCAAGGAAAGATAGTTTGATTTTTCATTGAGAATCTCACTTTGAAAATCAGTGTCTGAAATATTGCTTTCTATTCATTTCTTTCATTATGAACTCGTACAATTGCCATTGTTTTCAACATATTCGCCTTATAATGCTCGTGTCATTGTTGCTGTTTGTCGAGGATTACCTTGGACTATATTTAGACCTCAATCATTACACTGATCGATAACGATTGATGCATTGTCATATGAAAAAGAAAAGGATGTTATCTTTTAGATAAATTTTCATGCATTTTATTAATATCAGCACGATATCCTGATCAAACAGAACAAATAAAGCAAACGGCGTATATCGAAACAGTTTATTCGAAGGTCGTCGATCTATTTATACACAATAACAAACGGTTGAATCAAATTCCGTGTCGAGACCATATTCTTTAACTTTCGTATCGTACTCTTTCTCAATGACAACAACCCATTTGAGAATCTGTGATTCAGGATCTTTTATGCAAAACTCGTCTTTACTTTCGTCATCATGATTCATATAACATGTGTCATATTTCGCATGCCATTTCGACTCGAAGACAAAATCGTGCAAAGTTTTATCAAACGTTCTTGATGTTTTAGTTCGGTAAATTTGACGTTTGTCAACTTCGAACACTTTTCCCATTTTCACTACAGCGATTATGAAGGCACCACCACTTTTTCCAGCTTCTGCTTTTGCTCGTGCACCTGCAGTTGATCGAGCAAAATAGACACCTTTCCCAAGCATGCCCTGTGAACTTCGATGAAACTCCGAATGAACAATTGAAACAGCTGATGAAGCTTTCGTTACATGAAAGCCAATGTATGTCGCAGCTGGATCTTCTGCTTTCAGTCTGGACCAACGCGGCTGTGGATGGTAACTTTCACTGTGGAAAATCGCCACATGACTCAAATGTCGATTGCGACAGTCTCTCACAGCACATTCTCGGTCACCTATCATATCCTTACGATTCTCTTTGCCGACTATATGATATGGTAAATACCGTTTGTGTTTCCGCGATCGACAATGACAACGTGTGTCTATCGATGGAGTGTAGCACCACCAAACTCCGTAATGATACAAATCAAGTAGAAGCGTACCGGCTAAGAAGATCATTGACACACTACACGTATAAAAATTCGATTGGCCGCGTCGATCGCTTTCTAGAAAACTGAAATGTCGTACTCGTGCCAGAAATCAGCCGAGACTCACTTGAGACAGACCAATACAAGTAAATTGCCATTCCTCGTAATAATATACATAGAGAGAGAAAAATTGCTCGTAAACGAAATCGAAGTTTCGGTCTCGCTCGATAGCACGGACAATTGCAGTCGAATGAAATGAACCGATGAAGTGCTTTGAAGGCACCAAGTGACTCGCAACAACCTTTTCGATTCGCCTTCGAACCTGTTCGAACGATCGCATATACACATGCAAAACAACACATGCATTGAATCATCGCGATGAATAACAATACCATAATTCCCATAAGAAAAGCCATGATCGAACTGATCCAATCCAAGAGAAATGCAATGGCAATGTGATCAGTTAGATTTGCGACATTTTCGATAGCGAAGGCTTCATTTTTCGATATTGCCGGAGAGATCATGATGAATACGCGAAAACTTCCACATAATGCTTCACACAGTGAAAGGACAGCTAAGAGTAGAATACGATATTTGTAAAAGCGTGGACAATTGCAACACATTCTTTGTTGAGTTGCCAACTAGATTCACAAAGGTAGAAGATCTTTTATCAAAATAAATATTCGTCATCGCATATTTTCTCCTGATAGCAGTTTCTAAGAACGTACTTCGCAAATTTCTATGAAATACTGACCTCTCTCAGTAAACGCATCTCTATGGTACATCGCATTGACCATTCAGATTTCTTTTGGAAATTTTACGTGTAAAATTCAGAAGAGAAAAAGAATGATTAACTTTCTCAGCACACGTAGTGGGTTTTTACGACCGTTGATTTCAAAGTATTCGACTAAAGCAATAAATCCATCCAAACGGCAATATCCATCAAAGGATTCGTCCAATGAAGTCTTGAGAAGATTAAACTACCTCGACAATTACGAGCGTGCATTTCAGTTCTTTGATAATCTCGTCAAACAAAATCGGGTCACTGTTGCATCTCTATTGACGATATTGGAGACATGCACTCGGTCAGGACAGATTCAACGTGGTCGTCAGGTTGAACAGATGGTTAATCAATCGAGTCAATGGAAGTATCATGTACGTGTTCAGACAGCTTTAATTAATATGTTCATGAAATTTCACATGATTGATCAGGGTTAGTTTCTTTCTTGTGACGAAAAGGTTTGTTTTATTTGTTTTTCTCGTTGTAGCGGAGCAAATTTTCGAACGAATCCGACAATTACCGAGCTGCGATACGATTGTTTATAATTCTATGTTGGTCGGTATGAGTCTTTTCGTTTCCATAAGTTCTTGTTCACCTGTTTGCAGAAAGGTTATCTACGAAATCAACACGTCGAAAAATGCTTTGCCTGCGTTGAGAAAATGCGCTCGCGAGTCCGACCGGATAATGTAACGTACACTCTTCTTCTTAACGGTAAATTTGTTCAATTACTTTCCGAGATCCGCACCACTGAGTTTTTAGCCTGTACGTTCCTACGTGATAAACAACGCGGCAAAGCTATCCATCAGGAGTTATCATCCAACTTAGACAGTCAGCACGTTCATTTACAAAATGCGTTAATTGATTTCTATGGTAAAATCAACGAAATAACCGTCGCAGAGAATATTTTCCATGAAATGACGTTACGTGAAACAAGCACATACAATTCTCTGATGAAAGCTTATTTAATCAATCGGATGGCGGTGAAAGTACTGGAATTGTTCGAACAGATGAAAGAAGATAATCTCGATACAGTTGGGCCGATCGGTTTTCGACCGGATCTAATTACATTCATGGCTGTGTGTGATGCATGTGAACAGCTTGGACTATTGAATAGTCCAGATAGTTCGTATGGAGAATATAATTGGAAAAAAATCTTTTCGAAAAACTAGAAACTCAACAACTTGTACTTACTTTGTATTTTGTTTTTCAGATAGATACTTATCAGTATTCCATGGGTGAAGTAATGCATTTTTCACTAAAATTTTCGTTAAATATGATTGTATGTCATCGGTTTAGATCGAACGTCCACGACTTTTCTACGATCCCAATTCTCTGTCGAGTTTCAATCGGTTTCGAATTGTTCATACGCATTTTGATTTAACAGTTAACTTTGACTCTCATGTTCTCGACGGTTTTGTTCAACTCGATATTCAACCACTGGATAATCAATCATGCGATCGTTCTTCAAGCATAACAACAGAGAATCACGAGATTCCAAACAATCATGGAAATATTCTCGTACTTGATTCTCGTCATTTAGACATTAAACAAGTGATGCTCAAATCTGACTCAACTGAAAAGGTTCTTCCATTTCAAATCGATATCGAACGTGAATCACTGGTTATTGAACTGAACGATCTCCAATTGGATTCAAATTTCTCAATCAAAATTGCCTACGCAACGTCTAGTACAAAATGTACTGCTTTGCAATGGTTAACGAAAGAGCAAACAGCTGATAAACAATATCCGTACATGTTCAGCCAATGCCAAGCTATTCATGCACGTTCATTATATCCATGTCAAGATACACCCGGAGTGAAAAGTACTTATTCAGCAAAGATAACATGTCCGAAACCGTTGACAGTGGTATGTACAGATGTTTGCAAAGAGGCTATTTAAGTGTTGTTGTCTTAGTTAATGAGTGGTTTGCAAAGCAAACATGATGAAGCGACGAATACGTTCTATTTCGAACAGAAACAACCGATTGCATCGTATTTAATTGCAATCGCTGTTGGAAACTTAGTTTCGCACGATTTAAGTTCACGTATTCGCGTTTGGACGGAGCCAAGTATGATAAAGCAATGTCAATATGAATTCGAAGAATCGGAACGCTTTCTAACGGCTGCTGAAGAACTTCTCGGCAAATATCAATGGCAACGATACGATTTTCTTGTGTTACCACCCTCATTTCCTTGTAAGTATTTTCTTTCAACTTGTTCGAAATACGTTTTTATTCGATTGATTTAGATGGAGGGATGGAAAATCCGTGTATGAATTTTCTGACCCCGACATTACTCGCCGGCGATCGCTCATTAATCAGCACCATCGTTCATGAGATGACACATTCGTGGACGGGTAACCGTTTTTGAGTGAAATTGCGCATTGAAAGTACTTTCTTGTAGGAAATTTGGTTACGAATGAAAACTGGGAACATTTCTGGTTGAATGAAGGTTTTACGTCGTTCATCGAAGCGAAGATTCTTGGCAATTTGTCGAAAAGTAATGGAAAAGAAACTCGACGATTTCATGCTGCCCAGCAATGGCAAGAATTGAAATCAGCTGTAACAACATGGGGAGACGAGCATCCGTACACTTGTCTGGTCTATCGTTTACATAATGTTGATCCCGATGACGCTTATAGCTCAGGTAATCCTCATCTTAGCTTTGCTAATCCTGATCCGTCGTATTTATACGAGTTTAGTTCAATATTACAAAGGCGCAGCTTTACTCTGGCACTTGGAACAGAATATTGTCAGTTCGGAATCGAAATTTGATGAATTCCTTCGCTCATATATCATAAAATTCGGTGGAAAAATTTTGAATACGGATGATTTTATTGCATACTTTCAATCGTACTTTCCGCAAGCACCACCTGTGGATTGGCAATCATGGCTCTACACTCCCGGTATGCCTCCTGTCACTCACGACTTTTCAACTCAACTCGAAGAACAATGTCGGCGGTTAGCTGCCCAACAAACATCGATAACAAAAGATCAATTGGATGCTCTAAATGCCAAACAAGTTGCCTATTTATTAAATCTTCTTTTAAACAAACAATCGGCGATAACGTATGACTATGTCAAACAAATGGATGTTGATTGTGACATGTCGAAGTATTCCAACTGCGAAATTCGTTTTCGTTGGTATCAATTATGCATTCGAGTGAAATACGAGAAACCTCTGGATGATATATTCAAATTTTTGGAAATTATTGGTCGTATGAAGTTTGTTAAACCATTATATTCGGAGTTCAAAGTCTCATGGACAGAAATGATTCCGCGAGTACGAATTTTCTTCGACGAACATAAGCAGTTCATGAATCCAATTACAGCCAAACAAATTGAAGCGCGATTGAATGCAAATAATTAACGATGAACATTTTCTACTTTTAAATTATGCAAGAAACGTTTGCTTTGAAATAAATTCTCATTTTATACCGTAGAGAAAGTGATTCATATTATTATTTTTCTTTTCTTTCATTCTGATTGGATGCTTTCGTTTTATGACGAAATTTGATGAAATATTATCGGTAAGTCGACATTTTTAATCCGAAATTCTACTGTTTCGGACGTCAAACAATCAAAATATGGCTTTTTCTACAGTATGTAATCGGAACATTCTCTTCAAAACTGTAGAGTGTGTAACTTTTTCTAAATAGGAAGATCCTAAGTTCGCAGAGTTTCGTCAACTATTTGCCAAAGCGCGCTCAGTCCTGGTATTAACCGGTGCGGGTGTTTCTGCTGAATCTGGTGTTCCTACATTTCGTGGAAGTGGTGGCTTTTGGCGCAAATACCAAGCGACAGTACGTTGTTGTAGATCTTTCGTTGTATATTAAACTTTTGTTTTGTTAGGATCTAGCTACACCGGAGTCGTTTGCTAAGTCACCATCTCTAGTTTGGGAATTTTACCAGTATCGACGAGAACTCATGGCAACGAAAGAACCGAATAAAGTTGTTTCACTGAAAGCGTATATTTGTGTATATCGAGGGTTTTGTTTTAGGGACATTTGGCATTAGCCGAAGCGGAAAAACGCTTTGAAAAAGAAGGCAGACGGTTTGTGATTTTGACTCAAAACATTGATGGTTAGTTGAATTTCATAGGAGATCTAGCATCTTGTTCTGTCATTTTCCTTAGGACTTCATCGACGAGCAGGTTCGTCTAATCTCATTGAAATGCATGGTATGTTAATATTACACTTGAAAATACTCTATACTAGTTCGGAGAATATAGGTAACCTGTTCAAAACTCGATGTACGTCGTGTGGTTTTGTTGAGGAAAATAAGAACAACCCGATATGTGAAGCTTTGCGAGGTCGAGGGTAAACAGATTCTTTTATTCGCAAATGCTCTCTTTTTCATCTAAAGTATTCCAGATTACCGGATGTTGAGACTGGTAGTGAAATACCAGTAGCAGACCTTCCTCTTTGTCGACAGTGTCAATCACTTGTTCGTCCACATGTCGTTTGGTTCGGTGAAACTTTATGGCCGGATGTTCGAGAGAAAATCGACAAAGAAATTGCTCAATGTGATTTGTTCCTAGTGGTATGTTTGATTTCATATTCAAATCATTTTCGTCGAATTGATTTCTAGGCTGGAACATCATCTGTGGTTTACCCGGCTGCAGCGTATGCATCTATTATCTCACGCCTTGGTGTTCCTGTCGCTGAAATTAATATCGAATCAACTCCGTCAACATCGAATTCAACGTAGGCTCCTTGTCGATTGTTCGGACCGTTCGAATGTTGCGTTTTCTTTTTTGTAGTTTCCATTTTAGAGGTCCTTCGGGTGAATTACTTCCTATACTATTGGCACCTTCGGTCGATGAAGCTTTGTAGAACCAGCAAACATCACACAGCCGTCTCAATAAATACTTCTTATTAATTAACCTAGAAAAGAATTCACGTGTAAATCTATTTTTCAGATTTTCAATGCGTGAAAGCCTCTGGGATATATTTTTTTTCCTAATAATAATAACCGAACATCTCATAGGAAAAAATGTGTTCTTCTTAACGATCGCCGTTGAGTGGTCTCGGAATTAAACGAAAAACATGTTGCTGCATTCCTTGTTCACGTATTTGATTTGCATGTTCAAGAGTTGCCCGTTGTTCGCATTTTTCGCAAAATATCAATGATGCACAATGACAACAGTCAAATCGAACACCTTGAACTTGTTGGTGACAAGAATCACATCTAAATAGTATTCATACGTCATTGAATATATATGGCATGCGTGCATTATATTTACTGAATGCCCTCGTGTACAATAGCCTTTTGTTCTTCGGGACGAGCAAGATCGTTTCGAATTTGTTGAGGACCTGCATCAGCCATTGGTACGTAAGGTTGAGCTTGAGGCCACTTGAAACTATGACCACAGCCGGATTGTTGGTCGCCACCATGATAATTTCGACCACATAACATACTGTCACATCCCTCAATACGTTCTACTACTCGGTGACAGTTTGGACATAAACGACAGCGCTGTGCTTTGTATTTTTCGTCATTCATTAGTTCCTGGTGACGTTGTTGAAGTTCACCGTTTCGTTGCGCATTGGCAGCTTTCTGTCGTTCATAATCTTGTAACTGTGCTTGATAAGTAGCATCTTGTTGTGCTCGCGCTTGCCAGTAATTGCCGCGTTCTAAGAGAAAAATCAAAACAAACTCTATGCGTACTCGAAAAATCTTACCGGTGTTACACCAAATAGCCCAACGTTGAGTTATTTCTCTCAGCTCTTGACATGTTGTTCGATAATGATACAGTTCGCTGCATAGTGAGCAAAACTGGTACTGACACATTCCGCAAGTGACCGACATACGTTCAGTTGGATTTTGCGCTTCAACTATCCATTTGCACCCTTGTTTCGGACACTTGATCACGCCCTGCGTTCCATCTCTGTAATTATGGAATGTTTTCTGTGATTGATAGTCTAAAAATTCTCTTTTTCGATCATTTGACACTCTCAGTTCTTTGATTTCTCCATCCAGCAATTGATAAGCACAAAGGGCGCATGTCAATACTTCGTTATTGTTCATTTTTGCTGTACATGCATCTTCGAAGCATCCATAGCATAACTTATGTTTCTCGTCGCAGCCGAAGACAAAAACATCATCGTATACACGTGCTTCCAAACACACTGCACACTCTACAGTAGGAACTTCCAGCGGAAAACTAGCGCCTACAATATATCAATGTCAAAAGAAAGTATACAAAGAATGTTAGAATTTTTACCATATATAGTTAGTGACTTGACGATTGAATGTGGATCAAGCGGTAGACGAACTTTCTTTGTATGTTCTATAAATGCTCGTAGCTGTACTGCTGTCCACGAATACTTAGTTCGAGGTAGAAGAAAATCGACCAGAGCTTGTTGTTGTTGTGCCCGAGTACGCATGCGGCATTCTTGTGAATGTCTCTGCGACTGGTTGGCCTTATACAAACAGTGGCAATCTTCGCAAGAGACCATATTCTCCGAGTCACACGAAATCGCGTGTCTCTGGAAATCATCCATAGTTCGAAAATCCACATAGAATTCGCATATAGGACACTGTGGACGTTGCGTACTTTGAATTAAGGGTAATAATTGATCTCTAACATTCGCATCAACAGGTAAGCAATACACATCATATCGAGAAAGTTCATAATCGCAATGATTTGCATAGCAGACAGGTGCAGTTTTTGACTTGATATGTTCGTTCATTAATTTCTGAAGACACTCAACACAGTGAACATGTTTCGATAGACATGGCACGGAGTGGCTCGACTTTGCGGACGAGTTGACAGGTTTTGAACTACAAGAAACGATTGGTTTAGACGAATAAATATCCGTTGAATACTGACCATGTAGAGCAGGAATTTGATCTTGATTGAATTGTTGGTTTGGAGGGTTTTGGAGTTACAGAAGGTGAAGGTGATGAGGATTTCGATAGACAGTCATTAACGTGTTTTTCGTATTCTACTTTAGCGATTGGTTTAAAGCATATGATACAATCTTCGGTTTCAGGTTGTTTTGCAGAAGCTTCGTTGACACATTTGTTGATATGTTCGGCGAACTCGATTTCATTCATAGTTCGAGAACAGGTTACACATTTCTTCATATTATTACCTCGGTTGTTTGATGGTGCTATTGGTTGTCGACTACGACAGAAGTCTAAATGCTTAGGATAATCAACTTCTTCCACAAGTGCACAGCATATTGAGCATTTGATCGTCGTTTTCAAGTAGTTTGGATTGTGACTTGGTGCATGATGATTCATGTCAGGTCGATTAATCTGTTTCTCACCGCGATTATACGGCTGCGTAGTCGTTGGCGTAGTGGATGTTGATGCACACCCCTTTATACTACACGTACTTAAGTGAGCAGGATAGTCGTCTTCTCGCACTGATGTTGAACAGATTGGGCAGTTTTTCATCGTCTGTTGTTTTGAATTGTAACTGGCTGTGGTACTATGGGAGCAAGTTAGTACGTGTCGAAGGATATCACTTTCATTGATCTCGCTGTGGCAATTGGAACACGTCTGTGTAGTCTTTGGTATAATGGATGGCGGTGTGTTACCCCTTGTGCTACATGTACTTAAATGAGTAGGATAGTCATCTTCTCGCACTGATGTTGAACAGATGGGGCAGTTTTTCATCGCTTGTGGTTTGTAAATAGCAGCCGATGGACTTTGATATGTCTAAATAGAATGACCATCGTTGATTTACTTTTCATCTCGCCAAATGACATAGTTAACGTTACCAATGGACTTTGATATGAATTATTTCTAATTGGACATACTTTGATATGCTCAATCAAATTCTCAAACTTGTTGCCACACGAGCTGCATTGTTCCTTTTTTCCACATCCGAGAACATGAGCACCAAGCTGATCCGCCCTGACGTCGACACTGCACAGAGGGCACAGTTTTCTATCGCTACTTAAAAAACCGAATATTATATTTAAAAAATTCTGAATTGCGCTGTAATACTTTACTTCAACATTTTTGTCGCTATATTTTAGACTTCTGACTTAATGGGAGAAAAAACTCAAAGAAAAAAAGACGAAGGGGAGACGTTCGCTGAAAAGGAAAAAACCGATGACGTCATTGCATCATAACACACACGTGGAAGAAAAGAAGAAAAGCCATGTGCATACGTTTCTGCATCCAGAATGCTGACAGACGCATGTTGTTTTTGTGCGAGTAATATTGAGATAAAATGAAAATTTACTTCCGAATGTGTGTGCGATTTCAAGTTTTATTAACGATATCGAAGAGAAAAAAGTTTTTTTTTTATTAATTTCTGCCCATTGCCTGTTCGACTATTTCAAGGCATTTCATTAGTTTTTCGTCACTATAACGTCGACTGACCAGTTGTAAGCAGATAGGAGCATTGATATATACCGTTGGCGAAGAATACAGACGATAATTTTCCTCGTCGAGTGTATTTCTAGCTTGATAATCTAGTTCTACTTGATCTTTCTCTGGATCGACGGTTGTTACTGGGAAAATGACAGCTGGATAATCTAATAGGTTCCAAACTGACGTGTAACCCCACCATTTCGATGTTCCATGCAAAGATGCAGCCGATGGCGCCGCAGGTGTGAGAAGGCAATCGATTGAGCAGTGTAAACTTGTTTCACGTTCATTCCAGATCTGTGCATACTGTGTACGATAGTTTTCTCTGTTGGATACTAATTCGTTCATTTCCATCCAACTTCGTTTCGTCACATCTGGTTGATTTAAGATCCATTCGGTCAATGGCAATGCAGTTTCATTCCCATCTTTCATCGCAGTGCGTTCTTCTTCGGCACCATTGCAATAATAGAGAGCACTAATTAGATCCCAACTTTTCTGGTGATCAACTGGTTCCCAAGCGATGACACGTATTCCAGATTTTCTCAATTTCTCGACTGTTTCTCGAAGAGCACGTGATATAGGTGGATGAGGATGTACGACATTATCGTCCCACATAACAGCAACGGTAAAATTCCTTGAATCTAATGTTATTGATCGCCAAGGTATTGGTACTAACGATGGATCTCTTAACCATGGCTCACTATCGAGTATAGTTTTAACAAATAAGATCATATCTTCTCTTGTTCGAGCCAATGGACCAATAGCAGCAATGATACTTTCTCTTCCCGCTTGTTCTGCGATAACACCTTTTAGTGGCAATCGATAGGTCGTCGGTTTGAAGCCGTAAATTCCATTGCTATTCGCTGGAGAACGAATACTGCCACCAATATCAGTTCCTATTCCAAGTAGACTACCTTTCATAGATATTAAGGCACCTTCTCCGCCGGAACTACCTCCGCTAGATAAATTTCGATTGTATGGATTCAATGTTGTGCCATAAACTGGATTACTACATTCGAGATGCATCAAACTTTGGGGTTGGTTCGTACGAACATAGAACACAGCACCTGCATTGTAGAGAATTTTCAAAATCAAAGCATCATCTTCAGCTATTCTATCAAGCCATTTGATCCATCCGGCACTAGTTTGGCGACCTTTCATAGCAACTAAATCTTTAGCTGAGATAGGTAAGCCATGAATAGGTCCTATGACTTTTCCACGTCGCCGAAATTCTTCGTCGAGATATTTGGCACGAGCAATTGCTTCTTCACCCAGAAATTCTGTTGCACAGTTAGTGAGCTGATGAGCAATACTAGCTCTCTTGAGATACGCTTTAATCACTTGTTCAGAAGTTAATTGACCTTGTGCTATGGCACGCACGAGTTGAGTAGCTGTGTAATTTTCGGTAATATTGAGTTCATCGTCAGATAAAAGACCACATTGGCTTGGGATATGACTGACATTGAGAACACATGCATCGGGCATTAATTCACCCAATAAACTGTCTTTAGGAATGGACTCGTTCCGAAATTGACGAATTTGTTGTATAGTAGAAGGCATTTTCGTGGCTATAGACGTGATCTGATCGCTTTGACATAGAATCAAACTCAAATGTTATTTTTATTTCACGGTCATGTCTTCTATAGTTAAAATCAATCAAAGGTCATACAACAGAAATGATTTATTAAATGTGCTTGCTTTTTATCACAAGCCAAATGCCAAAGAAGACACGAAAGAGAAGAGAATGAAATGAAGAACAGTTACAAGGAAAAATACTTCAACTATTGTTGCGAAGACGGAATGCTCTTAGTAGTTCGATAGCGTTCTAAAAACATATTGATAATTTGCTGAAATCTCATTGCTTTAACAAATCTATAAGTGACACAATAAGAATGACAGTCAAATAAAAAAACGCACACGTCAGACTGATGTTCTTATTTGCTTTTATAAATTTTGTCTTATCATTGACGTATAGAGACCGTCATATATGTTCTCTGTTGTTTTTTTGTTCGCCACATCATAACAACTAATTATACTCGGTCTGTCACACGATGAAGTGCATCGTTCAAGCGTTACTAGTGTTCATCTTATTAGCATATGATAGTCTTGATGCTCATCCAACACTCTATCCTCATATTCGTATGACACGAACAAAAGGTATTCGTGAACGTGCCTTACCCAATCCTCCTCCTGGCATTATTAGCTATCACATACATGTTACATATACACTATTTAATCCACCAGTATGTCTATAAAGTATTTAGAAGACTATGTTCTCCTGTAATGGTTCTAGGTTGTTAAAGAAGCTTTAGCACTTCGTGACCGTACGCGTGCACAGTTTCAAAACTATCTCGGTCCAGACTGCAAAGGAAGATACGATTATGGGTATTTATGTATGATCAATGATCATGATATTCGTAAGAGACAATGGATTGTACGTAATATCTGAACGTTTATATTTTCTTTCTTGTAGAAAATACAACACTTATTGGCGGACCATTTGTCAGTGGTGAATGGTCGATCTTTGTGCCACTGGGTTATTATCCGCTGATCACTCCATGGTTAGTACAAAACCGAGGTAGATAAATTTGTCGTTCAAGCATATAAAAGAACTTTCTTTGATATGACAAATTTAGGAAATCTTTCCGTTCTGTTACATCCCAATACAGGATATGAATATGAGGATCACAGTATTTGGGCAATGTGGGCTGGTCAACCTTGGCCATTAGATATGTCTATATTCGAGCAAGAAACGCAAACCAACGAATTCGGAGTATTTATACGTTCACTATTTGACTAAGAAACTATTATCTTTCATTTGATATAGCATCATCCTGGAGATTCAGACAATCCTGTATGTCTTCTCAAAGGTGCTGTATGTGGCGACGATCAATTTAGTCCATTGGCACTATGCTGTTATGAACTTGCATGCAAAAGTGCAGAAATAATTGCCAATGGTGCTTCGAATTTTACAATTCACCGATGCGCTTAATAGAGAAATCCTGTACAAATTTGTTTGTCATTCAATCTATTCTGATAAATAAATTTTGTCAAACCAGAGTTCGAAAATATTCCTCTACTTAACTCCTATAAAGTGCACAAACATCGTCTTTACTAAGCTCCCGACTGTAAATCTTGAAATCATCGATTTCACCAGAATATGCATTTTGAAGGCCGATACCACCGTAAAGACATGCATTGTTTGGTCGATTAGCTAGCCGGACATAGTTTGAAGCTGAGCTCGCGGAATATGTGATGACAGAAGGTCGAGAAGCTACTAGAACATTATCGATATATAGTTGAAGTCCATTGGTTGAACTCCATATCTGTACGATATGATGCCATGTCGAAGAGACTGGTACTGCTGGACCAAAAACAGATTCTGCAGAACTACTTAAGATCTGTGCGACTATCGAACCATTTACAGCAAAACCTAGCATAGATATACACCAACCGGTGCCCGATGGGCTACTGGAAACAAAAACGAGTGTTCCTGACAATGCATAGGGTCGTATCCATAAGGAAATGGAGAATGCTTTATTATTTGTGCCAAGCGCTGTCAAACCACTGATCTGTAAGTAAGCCGTTGAATCGTTGAAGCTGATAGCTTTACCGGAATGTCCGGCCAGAGCAAAGGAGGTAGCCAAATAAGTACTTGTTAGTGAGTTCGGCCCAGAATCATCGTATACAGGACTATTATCAAAAGTATAATATGTTACTAATGAAGCATCGTCGAGTATTTCACATTCTGATTTGACACGAGAGACAATTGTTAACTGATCCATATAGCCCTGTATCATCACTATTAGAATTGTTTAAAAGATTTTTCCGGAAAACCTTACCTGATAATAGTTACTCCCATACGTTGTCACGATGCCAGGAATATACCCTATTGTAACAGGATTGGTAGTACCTTGAAGTGGTATTGCCGATATTGCAGCTCCAATAAGATAACCGTCCAAGTAGATTGACATTTCAAGTATGTTAATATCAAAAACAAATGCAGCATGGGTCCATGTATTCAATGGGACGGAAACGGAAGTTTCACAGGTATCACCAAAGAAAGACATATACAAACTATGTATATGTGTAATATTACTCTCTCGAATTGTTATATGGAGACAATAATCACTTCCTGGATATGTGCATAAACCTAGAATGCTATGATCAATTGAATTCGGGTATCCGGTTGGGTAAAGCCAAACTTCGATTGTAAAACTACTATTAAGCAATGGAATGTATGGAGAATAGATAAATTGACTTGACGCTGCCGACAATGATAGAGACTGGTATACGTAACCACTGGAAATAAATGATGGGCTATTGACGGGCATAGCGGAATAGGTAGCCGTTTCGTCGAGAAACGTTCCATTGAAAGTCCATTTAGCAAGAAGATCGGATGACGAAAGCCATGTTTGATTAACACACGATGAGTTACATATTGTTGCTGTAGTAGTTGCTAAAATGTAACTCAGCATCTAACTTTTCCGTCATTTGTGGTCTTGACTTACTTGTCGAACTGACGGTTGCGGTGCTTGTAGAACTAGAAATGGACGCCGGTACCGTTGCTAAAAGATCGCGTTTTTCTGCTACTCAACAAATAGATTTAGGTTATATCGTGTACGCACTTGTGATCATTGTCGTTGAGCGTTTATTCATTGTCAGTAGAATAACAAGAATGACGACGAGGAGAGTAGCAAGTATGAAGGTTGCGAGAGTACACAGAAATGTGCATAGAGGAGTGCAGATGCAGCAGGCTACGCGAAATTTTCTAGAGAGAAATTTTGTTTAATTATCGGTCAATTATTAATTGTATACGGCTTGCTTTTGTTTCTTTCGATTTCTTTTGTGAGTTAAGATTTCACCATAACTACCATTACAGGATGATACATGTGAGTGAAGATCACTATTGAAATACAATGGATCGACATGAATTTTTCGATCAGCTATTTTCCTTGCATGTAACTAAATAAACATAGATGAAATAAAGCATTCGAAACACTTATTTACCCATGAAGGGTAACTAACAATTGACGATGTTTTGGGTTGAAATGGACTTAATTGTGCACTCCTTGGTATTTCCTGGCGAATAGAATTGTATTGTGAAGTATTTGTAGACTTCTCGTCAGCTATAGGAATGATTTCAGTTGATGAATTTAACGTGCCACGGACGATATGAATCGGTTGCAGCACTGATCTCTTACTCTAAAACATGTGTCGTTGCAGTGTATCGGTTGCGCAGTAGTCTACCTGATACTTCGATGGCCGATGCCGTCGTGAACGAGGGTGACGACATCGAACCACTGATGGCTGTTTCAACGAACGAGGGCCGGTTGATGGCATGCCTATGATGAGAATGAGCGGAATGTTTTTCAATATTGAAAAAAATCAATCAAACATTTGTTGTTTATATGTTGTTTTGTGTAGATTTTATAATCAATGAGAAATGCAAATAATGCTTCACTAGTCGGCGCCCGAACTCATCAATAAATATGCAAATTTCAGCCATCACACTAAGAATCCGTAAAGCCTTATCTAATCTAGGTTAGCAACCTTTGAGTGCATCCGCCAAAGTGATTCTATAGGATTTCATGACATCCTAATCGAGTTTTAGCCGTTTGCTCATAACAAACTGCAATGATCGATTATAGTCTTGTCCACAAGAAAAATAATCTAACAACGTTCGTAGACGGTAAATTTATTTCAATAGGTACTTTCGACTATTAGTTTTTTTATTAGCCCAAAGCTGTATGTGCAGACTGATAGTAGGGTAAGTTCGACCAATTCATATGTGGATAAGTTACTGCAACATTAGTCGATGGGATACCATTTCCTCCACCTTGCACCAATTTAAATGCGTGATATGGATGTGTTATAGGCGCGTTCACTATACACTGATCGCATAAATCATACGTATTGTTTCCTCGACAATGTTGGCATTGGTACCGTGTAACACCATTTTGTCGACCACAACTATCACAGAACCATGGCATTCCGATCAGCATTGTTTTGTAAATGTTTCTTTTATCTACAATTAAAAAAGACTATACCGATAGGGTCACTTCCACTCTCCGAGAAAGGTGTAGATGTGCATGAGGTTTATATACGATGATTATGACGTGGCAACTGCTTTCTATGATGAAATAATGAAGATTTGATATACGTATTTTTCAATCACTTCCTAACAAATCGCCCTGGTAATTGCTTTGAAATATTCACCATGCAATGACGTGCAATGCAAATCGCAATCTTTCAATATTCTACTAATTTGGGAGCGTGAGAAAAGACAAACGGAGAAAAAAAATTGACTTCAATGCAAACTATGATTAACACACGTAGGAGGTATTGGATTTTTCGCGTGAACTGACATGATTCATATTCTCTGGTTTTTACCCACCAATCAATCAACCGTAAAAAGAGGAAGTAAGCGAATTTGGCCATCATTAGATGATTAATTATTCCATCCATAACGACATCGTGGTATTTTTATCGTCCTTCATTCTATACATATGCAGTTAGTTTTACATATGCTCGAATGTTTCTCCTTTCGTTTACACTATACTATCTCTCTACGTTATGTTCTCTGGTAACCTCGGTTCTTTTGGTTAACCTGTTACACTAATATATAAATATAAGTCCGATGTAATGAAAAAAGACGTGAGTTTTTGTATGCAAACACATAGTCGCGATATCAAGGCTGTCCAGCACATCACTATTCACAGATGCCGAATAGCATTTCATTTGTCTCGATGATATTGGCAATTTTGACGACTTTGTTCAAGAATAATTCTATTATGTATTCAATTAGATATTTAGAAGGTTTCCATCTATAAATCAATGCAGAATCTGGTGCAAAATCAGTCTTAGTCATTCCATCTCCATCTCTGTATTGTGCCATATAACCACTCTTTTCTTACATGTACAGGCTGATACACCAACTTTTGAACCTTTACCAAAACTTTTTCCTGTTGCTGTTGGTAGAACTGGAGATGAAAAATGATGTGCATTAAGACGTATGGGATCATCTCCAGTAGACGGACGGCTAGTTGACTTTTTAGGTTGAACATGTCTTTCAATCATTTGTCGAATCAATTCATTCCGAAACGAATGTGAGAAGTAGGCGTGTCAGAACGCGAGAGATAGAGAGCACATAATACACACATAGCTATACGGAACGATTATGCAATAGTATTACCAATACAAGAAAAACAGAGAGGAATCTTTTCGATGAAGCCTAAATAATATTATAATCATGATAACTGAGTTCTACGGAAGTATTCCAATATAGCAACAGAATCGTACTTACTCTTCACAGTAAAGAGCAAATATGGAATATTGTGTTACCTCACACTTTGTTCTCCGTTTGTAAGCGATATATACTATGCAAAAGAGATATATTTCAAACAGACGGAGAAACAAATTCAACGGTAAGATAATAAGAAAAAGACTTACTTGTGAAGAAAAACGTTCTTTCTTTTTTATTATCGTTTTTTGAACTCATTCGGTAGCACACGCTATCAATTTAGTTATATTTCTCTGTACTACAACAAAGTACTAACAGGATAAACAAGTAATCACAGTATAGAACAAATACAGGTTGTTCAAGAATATAGGATTTAGTGGGAAAATAGTTTGAACCCAAGTTCAGTATTAGTGTCTTAGACTATGACTCTTTCCCAACATAGACAATCACAATGAAGAATTACTTGTTTGACGGCACTTTCTGCAACACGGTGATGATAAAATCATGTTTGAAACAAACTGAAAATGTTCTTGCACAACAGTCTAATCCATTTTGTTCTCAATTGCAACATGACTCATTCTCCACGTGAAGAATAGAACAATATGAAATGTTTTCACTATGTCGACGGGCATAGTCAAAGCTAACTCCGATGAATCATTTGGACGTTTTCTCTTCTCAAGAAAGTCGTTTAATTCTTGTATACAGCGATGTCGGAGCGAAGTTTACTTGATTTGCCAGTTGAAATTCTACATCGTATCTTTGATTATCTTCGTATCAAAACAATCTTTTGTTCATTACGATGTACTTGCACTCAACTCTATGCTGCAGTTCAAACTTACAAAAACTTCGAACTCGATTTAACTGCATCGACTTCTGCAGTACAATTTGAATATATTTCTCAATTATTTCATCCCGAATGTATTACCGGATTGGTTTTCTCCGCTGAGAACAATCAGCATTCAAATCGAGCAAAATCATTCTTTGCAAATTTTGCTATCTACCAATTCGCTCGTCTTCGTTCAATAGAACTTCTGGACATTAGCATTGATGATTTAAATGAGTTTTTACAATGTGCTTCTGTCCTACCTGTAACATCACTGTCAATACATTTAGCTAATCCATACTTTCATAGACCATTGCCACTCTTGACATCATTGATCAACCAAGGAAATCTTCGCAAATTACAAATAATTAACATGTACTATGTTCTACAACCTTTGTTATGGTCTACACATTGTAAATTGACTCATTTGACAATACTTAGGTGTACTTTCGAAGAGTTGTTTATTATTCTTGGGCGGTGTCCATTTCTACGAACGTTCGTTTTACAAGATTGTACAATGTACAATGGGGATGTTCCCAACTTTCCTTCATATCCACAATTAACTTCACTGCACATAACAGATGCGTACTTGTCATGGAAATCTCTCCGACATTTACTTTCGTCAACCCCATCACTTGTTGATTTCAAAGTAATCAGTTGTGTTCGATATTTCGATGCAGAATCCGAAAGTTTCTCATGGGAAGAACTGATTCAAACTCGACTTCCATCACTAACTCATTTTCACTTCTTCTTTCGATTTGGTTTTCGAACGCTTTCAAATAGCTACACGAATCTTCATTCCATAATTAAGCAATTTCGTTCACCATTCTGGTTGGAAGAAAAACAATGGTTTGTCACTTGCGATTTTGTCCTAAACTCATTATCATCGGAGATCATACTCTATACCATACCTCAACCTGTCTATCGCGCTAAGATCTTCATTAGATGCCGTGCTCGATCTACTGATAGCATTTGTTATTTCGCTAAAGATCTGTTTGAACAAGATGAGAACGGCGATATGTTAGAATTGAATCTTACAAATATGAGAACACAATCAATGGATATTCAACTTTTAGCATGTGCATTGAAACACAACACAGTGATGGTTGTTTTGATTCAGTATTTACCTTATATCGAATCGTTTTTTTTTTCATTTAGACAATTACTGTTCTCAATTTAGATGAAAATCAAATCGATTCAGATGGAATCAAATACCTAGCGGATGCACTGAAGGATAATATGGTAGGTTTCATTGGTCTTTTGGCGTTATTTATATGTAATTCTGCTCTATAAGACAATTCAAATATTAAGTTTGAATAGCAATGTCATCGGAGATGCCGGAGCACGATATTTAGCGGAAATGTTACAATCAAATAATGTATCACTACACCGCATACTTTCTACTGTTCACACAAGATGACTTATTTAGACTATGACAACTCTCCGAATATGCGGGAATCAAATTGGAGATGAAGGAATGCGACATTTGAGTTCTTCATTACAAACAAATACAGTGCGTTTTATGATGTTTCCCTCAAGAATTGAGAATGATTTTGATACTCTAGACATTGACTTCGTTGGATATTAGTGGAAATCGTATTGAAAACGAAGGGGCACGATATTTAGCTGATGCATTCAAGAAAAACAAAGTAAATTATAAAAGCTGAACATAATTTTTTTCGAATACTTTTTACAGATGTTAACCACGCTGAGTTTTCAAGACAACTATTTGAAAGACGAAGGAATTCAACACTTATGCCAGGCATTACGAAAAAATACTGTAATTTGGCCTTTCTGTCACTATCTAACTCAATGCAAAATCCATTTTCATAGACCATACTCACAATTGATCTGCGTAGTAACCAGATCGTACCATCAAGCGGACAACATCTAAGCGACATGCTTGAAACGAATACAGTGATTGTCATCTTTTCGCTGAATTGCAAGAACATCTATTGGAGAATGTTTTCGAATAGACACTCACAACGCTCATTTTAACAGACAATGAACTAGAAAGCAAGGGAATTGAACTTCTCGCCTGTGGACTACGAAAAAATATGGTGACATTGATTTGCGGGTTGTCTTCATCAATCTACATCTTTCTGTGCTTTTAGACACTTCGAGTACTGAATCTTCGATTTAATCGTATTGACACTGACGGTGCGGAACATTTAGCAGATGCTCTAACATACAATACAGTAACTCATAATCTTCTTTCGCTGTTCCTCTTCTTATTAGAATATTTACAGTCATTGACCGCACTTTCACTTTGGAACAACGAAATAAAAGATACAGGAACACGTTGCCTAGCTGATGCATTGAAACAGAACAAAGTAATTGATATCTTTCATTTTCTCTTTGATATTCACTTTGTTTAACAATAGACTTTAACAGCACTTGATCTTGGTCGAAATTTCATCGCAGTGACCGGAGCGAGATATTTGGCTGATATGTTACGAATAAATACAGTATGTATTTCTTACGATGTCCAACTGATCTCCTTTGTTGCGGTTTTCACAATAGACATTGACCAGTCTCGGTCTGTGGAGCAATGAAATCAAAGAGAACGGTGTTCACTATCTCGTTCAAGCCTTGACATCGAATGAAGTTGGTTACATTTCGTCTATTAGGATTTATATTGACGACAATGTTGCTACATTTTAGACATTGACAAAACTCGATATTGGTTCGAATCCAATTGGTGACAACGGAGAACAATATTTGATAGAATTGTCGAAGACAAACAAAGTATCGATATTGCTTCTTTTCTGCTTTGACACAATTCATTCTTCAAATCTACTGTTTTAGATATTAACAACTTTGAATTTCAATGACAATCTTCTCAATATTGTTTAGACTGAGTTTGAATCTAGTACGTGTATGTTTTCAAATGCAATCGAGAACAATATCTTTTATCACCAAATAAATTTTGAAGATATGAACAGAAATAACTCGTTTGAATTCACAGATTTGTCTTTGTAATAAGTCGGGAAAACAACTCAGACCATCTTTAACTTCATGAGATGTAAGCAACAACACTCGTTTCAATCTTTTCCCAGTCAGACAAAAATTTGGAAAAACGCATTTAAACACACAAAAGAGAACCGCGATTATGAGCTATTAACGCTCAATTAAAACACGTTAGAACACGCGTTTACTGGGTTTTTTTCAACTTTCTCAGCGTTTAAACATCAGAATTTTCCTTTTTCCAACGTAGAAGCGGTCTTTTAATATAGAATTCTAAAATAAGGCGTTTTCACGCTAGAGAAAGGAAAATTCTGATGTTTAAACGCTGAGAAAGTTGAAAAAAACCCAGTAAACGCGTGTTCTAACGTGTTTTAATTGAGCGTTAATAGCTCATAAGCGCGGTTCTCTTTTGTGTGTTTAAACGCGTTTTTCCAAATTTTTGTCTGACTGGGTTGACATAAACAGAGAACGACCGTGAGCTTTTTGGATGTTAATAACAACCATACCTTGTTCCGTATGTTTGAATAAGAGTGATTCGAAATGCATTTTTTTCTATTCGAACAACAAAATTATTGTGGGTTTTCTTTCATATTTTTTTCACGAAAGAATACGAACTGATTTATCAAACGTGATCGAAAGAATAATAAACGACTTTTTTCGCTCTTCATTCACCATGGCCAACAACAGTGTTCACGAACGAATACTTCACATTTGTCAATTATTAAAGGAAAATAAGTTGGATGGAGCAGCTGAATTGTTAGCATCGATCACTGCGGGTGAAACGTTACTCCTACCTGAATCTATACCATCATGGATTATAATCGAGCAAACTGCATGTCAACTTTTGCAAAATTCTCTGCATGACAGTGTGGAAAATGGGCAACGTAGTTTAAAGTTCATCAAACAAATAGGACTGTTCAACTACCAGCTTGCTCTCATATATACAGATGATGTACAACAAACTCGTTTGCACAATCAAGTTTTGTTTGATCCGAAAGTTATACGGATTCTCGTCGAGATTGTCAATACACTTTTACAAAATGATAATCTTCATCATCATGATTTTATTCTGATCTTATGTAAATGGCTCGAAGCTATCGGGCATTTCGTTCATCGGCACGATAACTTGTCTACTGAAACACTTCAATCTCTTCGTCAATCGGTTCTCTCATGCGTACTATCAGATTGGTATAAAACATATTTAAAACTATCGGTCGAAATCAATATTCCCGCTCGTATGTTCTTCATTCGTACATGTTCTTTCTTAACAGGAATATTTCAATGTGCTCAACTATCATTCGAAAATGCCTTGAAGACAGCACAGTCCTATCAAATTGTACTTCCGGTCGGTGAACAGATCTTCGATAAAAATCTATCCGACTTTCGTCAATATTTATCTCAAAAGAATAACATCGAGAATGACAGTGCATGTTTAACAGGCGTATGTCTGCTCATTACTAACTGTTACAAACATGAAGCATTTCGCGATGATCATGAGTACTTCTCTATCCTTCTTTCGTTACTTAAATCAAATTTTGTTCGAACAGGACTTTTACCGAGTTGGACAAACGACAGTACCATCCTTGCGGATACCCTCATGGTACAATTGAAGAACGCAAGTAATGATTCAACGATTCGTTTGTATTTGCAGCAACATCAGACAGCAGACGTCATTTATCCGTTCATACACGCTGAATATGACAGATTGCGCTTACAAACATGTATGCTACTCGGAGTTCTATTGGATGATACCATGATAAGAAAACTGGAAATTCCTAATGAGAAATTGATTTCCCTATATTTTGAGACTATCGAATACGCGCATAAATCGAAGAATAAATGTTACAAACGTATACCAATCTTGCAGCACTTGTTCATAATCATACGATTCAAATTAATATTGCTGCATCGAATAGCTATTTTGATTATCTCATCTCTATTAGCGATGAGTATAATATTATTTATGATATTCTTTGGACATTGTCATTTAATAATGTATTTCATTCAAAGTTTTGTGTCTATGAAGCGTTTTTGAAACGATTAAAAGCTTTTGCTGATCAACCAAAACAATTTCCAGATGCAGATGTCGCGCAGGCAGCAGAAGGCATATTGTGGAACATAACTGATCGAAATCGAGTCATTGCATTACCCAACCAACGTGACGATGTTAAGCCAAAAGAGTAAGTATTCTACTCTGCTGTTTTTTTTCGTTAATTTTCATGCTTTTAAAGAAAACCACCTGTTTCTGTGAACTCCCAATATGATTTAATGCTTAGTTACTGTTGGACAGAAAAGACCATTTGTAAAAAGATTTTTCAACAACTGATTAGCAAAGGCTTTCGTGTGTGGTTTGACGAGAAAGACATGCATGGCCGTTCTTGTTCGGCGATGGCACATGCAATTGAAAACTCCCAATGTATAGTCATATGTATGAGTGAAAATTACGAGAATAGTAATGCCTGTCATCACGAAGCAGAATATGCCTATGTTCGCCAATGTCGTATGGTTCCATTAGTTGTTCAATCAAAATATAAAGCGAGAAAATGGTTGGGTTTCATCATTGGATCTCTCATTTATATTGATTTTACAAAACATGTGTTCGACAAAGCATTCAATATGNAGTTTAGTTCAATATTACAAAGGTGCAGCTTTACTCTGGCACTTGGAACAGAATATTGTCAGTTCGGAATCGAAATTTGATGAATTCCTTCGCTCTTATATCATAAAATTCGGTGGAAAAATTTTGAATACGGATGATTTTATTGCATACTTTCAATCGTACTTTCCGCAAGCACCACCTGTGGATTGGCAATCATGGCTCTATACTCCCGGTATGCCTCCTGTCACTCACGACTTTTCAACTCAACTCGAAGAACAATGTCGGCAATTAGCTGCCCAACAAACATTCATAACAAAAGGTCAATTGGATGCTCTAAATGCCAAGCAAGTTGCCTATTTGTTAAATCTTCTTTTAAACAAACAATCGGCGATAACGTATGACTATATCAAACAAATGGATGTCGAGTGTGACATGTCGAAGTATTCCAACTGCGAAATTCGTTTTCGTTGGTATCAATTATGCATTCGAGTGAAATACGAGAAACCTCTGGATGATATATTCAAATTTCTGGAAATTATTGGTCGTATGAAGTTTGTTAAACCATTATATTCGGAGTTCAAAGCCTCATGGGCAGAAATGATTCCGCGTGTACGAGCTTTCTTCGACGAACATAAGCAGTTTATGAATCCAATCACAGCCAAACAAATTGAAGCACGATTGAATGCGAATAATTAACGATGAACATTTTCTACTTTTAAATTATACAAGAAACGTTTGCTTTGAAATAAATTCTCATTTTATACCGTAGAGAAAGTGACTCATATTGTTGTTCTTATTTTCTTTCATTGTGATTGGATGTTTTCATTTTATGACGACATGCAACGAAATATTACCAGTAGGTTGACGTATTTAATTCGAAATTCTACTGTTTCGGACAGTAAACAATCAAAAAATGGCTTTTTCTACCGTATGTAATCGAAAAATTCTCTTCAGGACTGTCGAGTATCTAACTTTTCTAAATAGGAAGATCCTAAGTTCGCAGAATTTCGTCAACTATTTGCCAAAGCGCGTTCAGTTCTGGTATTAACCGGTGCAGGTGTTTCTGCTGAATCTGGTGTTCCTACATTTCGTGGGAGTGGTGGCTTTTGGCGCAAATACCAAGCGATCGTTCGTTGTTGTAGATCTTTCGTTGTATATTAAACTTTTATTATGTTAGGATCTAGCTACACCGGAGTCGTTTGCCAAGTCACCATCTCTAGTTTGGGAATTTTACCAATATCGACGAGAACTCATGGCAACGAAAGAACCGAATAAAGTTATTTCACTGGAAGTGTATATTCATGTATATAGAGAGTTTTGTTTTAGGGACATTTGGCATTAGTCGAAGCGGAAAAACGCTTTGAAAAAGAAGGCAGACGGTTTGTGATTTTGACTCAAAATATTGATGGTTAGCTGAATTTCATAGGAGATATGACATCTTGTTTTGTCGTTTTCGTTAGGACTTCATCGACGAGCAGGTTCGTCTAATCTCATTGAAATGCATGGTATGTTAATATTACACTTGAAAATACTCTGTACTAGTTCGGAGAATATAGGTAACTTGTTCAAAACTCGATGTACGTCGTGTGGTTTTGTTGAGGAAAATAAGAACAATCCGATATGTGAAGCTTTGCGAGGCCGAGGGTAAACAGATTTTTTCATTCACAAATGCTCTCTTTTTCATACAAGGTACTCTAGATTACCGGATGTTGAGACAGGTAGTGATATACCAGTAGCAGACCTTCCTCTTTGTCGACAGTGTCAATCACTTGTCCGTCCACATGTCGTTTGGTTCGGTGAAGCCTTATGGCCGGATGTTCGAGAGAGAATTGACAAAGAAATTGCACAATGTGATTTGTTTCTAGTGGTATGTTTGATTTCTTATTCAAATCCTTTTCGTCGAATTGATTTCTAGGTTGGAACATCATCTGTGGTTTACCCGGCTGCAGCGTATGCGTCTATTATTTCACGCCTTGGTATTCCTGTCGCTGAAATTAATATCGAATCAACTCCGTCGACTTCGGATTCAACGTAGGTTCCTTGTCGATTACTCGGACCGTTTGAATGTTGTGTTTTCTTTTTTGTAGTTTCCATTTTAGAGGTCCTTCGGGTGAATTACTTCCTATACTATTGGCACCTTCGGTCGATGAAGCTTTATAGAACCAGCAAACATCACACAGCCGTCTCAATAAATACTTCTTATTAATTAACCTAGAAAAGAATTCATATGTAAACTCGTTACTACCAATATGTTTTTATTGTTATCTATTTTTGAGATTTTCAATACGTGAAAGCCTTTGGGATATCGATATATATATATTTTTAAATCATAATCGAACATTTCATAGGAAAAAATATGTTCTCCTTAACGATCGCCGTTGAGTGGTCTCGGAATTAAACGAAAAACATGTTGTTGCATCTTTTGTTCACGTATTTGATTTGCATGTTCAAGAGTTGCCCGTTGTTCGCATTTTTCGCAGAATATCAATGATGCACAATGACAACAGTCAAATCGAACACCTTGAACTTCTTGGTGACAAGAATCACATCTAAATAGTATTTATACGTCATTGAATATATATGATATGCATGCATTATATTTACTGAATGCCCTTGTGTACAATGGCCTTTTGTTCTTCGGGACGAGCAAGATCGTTTCGAATTTGTTGAGGACCTGCATCAGCCATTGGCACGTAAGGTTGAGCTTGGGGCCACCTGAAACTATGACCACAGCCGGATTGTTGGTCACCACCATGATAATTTCGACCACATAACATACTGTCACATCCTTCAATACGTTCTACTACTCGGTGACAGTTTGGACATAAACGACAACGCTGTGCTTTGTATCTTTCATCGTTCATTAGTTCCTGGTGACGTTGCTGAAGTTCAGCGTTTCGTTGTTCATTGGCAGCTTTTTGCCGTTCATAATCTTGTAACTGTGCCTGGTAAGTAGCATCTTGTTGTGCTCGTGCTTGCCAATAATTGCCGCGTTCTAAGAGAAAAATTATAAAAAACTCTATACGTACTCGAAAAATCTTACCGGTGTTACACCAGATAGCCCAACGTTGAGTTATTTCTCTCAGCTCTTGACATGTTGTTCGATAATGATACTGTTCACTGCATAGCGAGCAAAACTGGTACTGACACATTCCGCAAGTAACCGACATACGTTCAGTTGGGTTTTGCGCTTCAACTATCCATTTGCATCCTTGTTTCGGACACTTGATCACACCCCGCGTTCCATCTCTGTAATTATTGAATGTTTTCTGTGATTGATAGTCTAAAAATTCTCTTTTTCGATCATTTGATACTCTCAGTTCTGTGATTTCTCCATCCAGCAATTGATAAGGACAAAGGGCGCATGTCAATACTTCGTTACTGTTCATTTTTGCTGTACATGCATCTTCGAAGCATCCATAGCATAGCTTATGTTTCTCGTCGCAGCCGAAAACAAAAACATCATCGTATACACGTACTTCCATACACACTGCACACTCTACAGTAGGAACTTCCAGTGGAAAACTAGCGCCTACAATATATCAAAGTCAAAAGAAAGTATAGAAAAGATGTTAGGATTTTTACCATATATAGTTAGTGACTTGACGATTGACTGTGGATCGAGCGGTAGACGATTTTTCTTTGTATGTCCTATAAATGCTTGTAGTTGTGCTGCTGTCCACGGATACTTAGTTCGAGGTAGAAGAAAATCGATCAGAGCTTGTTGTTGTTGTGCTCCAGTACGCGTGCGACATTCTTGTGAATGTCTCTGCAACTGGTTCATTCTATACAAACAATGACAATATTCGCAAGAGACCATATTCTCCGAGTCACACGAAATCGCGTGTCTCTGGAAATCATCCATAGTTCGAAAGTCCACATAGAATTCGCATATAGGACACTGTGGACGTTGCGTACTTTGAACTAAGGGTAATAATTGATCTTTAACATTTGCATCAATAGGTAAGCAATACACATCATATCGAGAAAGTTCATAATCGCAATGATTTGCATAACAGACAGGTGCAGTTTTTGACTTGATATGTTCCTTCATTAACTTCTGAAGGCATTCAACACAGTGAACATGTTTCGATAGACATGGCACAGAGTGGCTCGACTGTGCGGACGAGCTGACAGGTTTTAAACTACAAGAAACGATTCTTTTAGACGAATAAATATCCGTTGAATACTGACCATGCACAGCAGGAATTTGATCTGGATGGAATTGTTGGTTTGGAGGGCTTTGGAGTTACAGAGGATGAAGATTTCGATAGACAGTCATTAACGTGTTTTTCGTATTCTACTTTAGCGATTGGTTTAGAGCATATGATACAATCTTTGGTTTCATGTTGCTTTGCAGAAGCTTCTTTGGTACATTTGTTGATATGTTCGACGAACTCGATTTCATTCATAGTTCGAGAACAGGTTACACATTTCTTCATATTATTACTTCGGTTGTTTGATGGTGCCATTGGCCGTCGACTACGACAAAAGTCTAAATGCTTAGGATAATCAGCTTCTTCCACAAGTGCAAAGCATATTGAGCATTTGATCGTTTTCATGTAGTTTGGATTATGACTTGGTGCATATTGATTCATGCCAGGTTGATTAATCTCTTCCTCACCGCGATTATATGGCTGTGTAGTCCTTGGTGTAATGGGTGTTGATGCACATCCCTTTATACTACACGTGCTTAAGTGAGCAGGATAGTCGTCTTCTCGCACCGCTGTTGAACAGATTGGACAGTTTTTCATCATCTGTTGTTTTGAATTGTAACTGGTTGTAGTTCTACTGGAGCAAGTTAGTACGTGTTGAAAGATTTCACTTTCATTGACCTCGTTGTGGCAATTGGAACACGTCTGTATGGTTTTTGATATAATGGATGATGGCGGGTTACTCCTTGTGCTACACGTACTTAAATGAGTAGAATATTCATCTTCTCGCACTGATGTTGAACAGATGGGACAGTTTTTTGTCGTTTGTGGTTTGGGAATAGCAGCCGATGGACTTTGATAGGTCTAAATAGAATTACGATTATTGATCTACTTTTCATCTCGCCAAATGACATAGTTAACATTACCGATGGACTTTGATATGAATTATTCCTATTTGGGCATACTTTTATATGCTCAATCAAATTCTCAAACTCTTTGCCACACAAGCCGCATTTCTCCTTTTTTCCACATCCCGCAACATGAGCACCGAGCTGATTTTCGCTGACGTATTCATTACACAGAGGGCACATTTTTCTACCGTTACTTAAAAAAACGAATATTATATTTAAAAAATTCTGAATTAGGATGTAATATTTTACTTCAACATTTTCGTCGCTATGTTTTAGACTTCTGACTTAGTGGGAGAAAAAAACTAAAAAAAAAAGACGAAGGAGAGACGTTCGCTGAAAGGGAAAAAACCGATGACGTCATTGCATCATAACACACACGTGGAAGAAAAAAAAGCCATGTGTATACGTTTCTACATCCAGAGTGCTGACAGACGCATGTTGTTTTTGTGCGATTGATATTGAGATAAAATGAAAATTTACTTCCGAGTGTGTGTGTGTGATTTCAAGTTTTATTAACGATATCGAAAAGAAAAAAAGATTTGTTTAATTTCTGCCCATTGCCTGTTCGATTATTTCAAGACATTTCATTAGTTTTTCGTCGCTATAACGTCGACCGACCAGTTGCAAGCAGATAGGAGCATTGATATATGCCGTTGGCGATGAATACAGACGATAATTTTCCTCGTCGAGTGCACTTCTAGCTTGATAATCTAGTTCTACTTGATCTTTCTCTAGATCGACGGTTGTTACTGGGAAAATGACAGCTGGATAATCTAATAGGTTCCAAACTGACGTGTAACCCCACCATTTCGATGTTCCATGCAAAGATGCAGCCGATGGTGCAGCAGGTGTGAGAAGGCAATCGATTGAGCAGTGTAAACTTGTTTCACGTTCATTCCAGATCTGTGCATACTGTGTACGATAGTTTTCTCTGTTGGATACTAATTCATTCATTTCCATCCAACTTCGTTTCGTCACCTCTGGTTGATTTAAGATCCATTCGGTCAATGGCAATGCAGTTTCATTCCCATCTTTCATCGCGGTACGTTCTTCTTCGGCACCATTGCAATAATAGAGAGCACTAATTATATCCCAACTTTTCTGATGATCAACTGGTTCCCAAGCAATGACACGTATTCCAGATCTTCTCAATTGTTCGACTGTTTCTCGAAGAGCACGTGATATAGGTGGATGAGGATGTACGACATTATCGTCCCACATAACAGCAACGGTAAAATTCCTTGAATCTAATGTTATTGATCGCCAAGGTATTGGTACTAACGATGGATCTCTTGACCACGGCTCACTATCGAGTATAGTTTTAACAAATAAGATGATATCTTCTCTTGCTCGAGCCAATGGACCAATAGTAGCCATGATACTTTCTCTTCCTGCTTGTTCTGCTATAACGCCTCGTAATGGCAATCGATAGGTCGTCGGTTTGAAGCCGTAGATCCCATTGCTATTCGCTGGGGAACGAATACTGCCACCAATATCAGTTCCTATTCCAAGCGGACTACCTTTCATAGATAGTAAAGCACCTTCTCCGCCGGAACTACCTCCGCTGGATAAATTTCGATTAGATGGATTCAATGTTGTGCCATAAACCGGATTACTACATTCCAGATGCATTAAACTTTGGGGTTGATTCGTACGAATATAGAACACAGCACCTGCATTGTAGAGAATTTTCAAAATCAAAGCATCATCTTCAGCTATTCTATCAAGCCATTTAATCCATCCGGCACTAGTTCGGCGGCCTTTCATAGCAATTAGATCTTTAGCTGAGATAGGTAAGCCATGAAGAGGCCCTATGACTTGTCCACGTCGTCGAAATTCTTCGTCTAGATATTTGGCACGAGCCACTGCTTCTTCACCAAGAAATTCTGTTGCACAGTTAGTGAGTTGATGAGCAATACCAGCTCTCTTTAGATATGCTTTAATCACTTGTTCAGAAGTTAATTGACCTTGTGCTATGGCACTGACGAGTTGAGTAGCTGTGTAATTTTCGGTGATATTGAGTTCATCGTCAGATAAGAGACCGCATTGGCTTGGGATATGACTGACGTTGAGAACACATACATCGGGCATTAATTCACCCAATAAACTGTCTTTAGGAATGGACTCGTTTCGAAATTGACGAATTTGTTGTATAGTAGAAGGCATTTTCGTGACTATAGAAGTGATCTGATCACTTTGACATAGAATCAAACGCAAATGTTATTTTTTATTTCACGGTCATATCTTCTATAGTTAAAATCAAACAAAGGTCATACAACAGGAATGATTTATTGGACGTGCTTGCTTCTTATCACAAGCCAAATGCCAAAGAAGACACGAAAGAGAAGAGAGTAAAGTGAAGAAGAGTTACAAGGAAAAATACTTCAACATTTGTGTGAGGATGGAATGCTCTCAAAAGTTCGATACCGTTCTACAAAAACATTCAAAATTTGCTGAAATTTCATTGCTTTAATAAATGTATAAGTGACACAATAAGAATGACAGTCAAATATTAAAAAAACGCACACGTCAGACTGATGTTCTTATTTGCTTTTATAAATTTTGTCTTATCATTGACATAGAGATCGTCATATATGGTCTCTGTTTTTTTTTTCGTTTTCTACATCATAACAACTAATTATACTCGATTCGTCACACGATGAAGTGCATCGTTCAAGCATTACTAGTGTTCATCTTATTAGCATATGATAGTCTTGATGCTCATCCAACACTCTATCCTCATATTCGTATGACACGAACAAAAGGTATTCGTCAACGTGCCTTACCCAATCCTCCTCCTGGCATTATTAGCTATCACATACACGTTACATATACACTATTTAATCCACCAGTATGTCTATGAAGTATTTAGAAGACTATGTTCTCCTGTAATAGTTCTAGGTTGTTAAAGAAGCACTAACACTTCGTGATCGTACACGTGCACAATTTCAAAATTATCTCGGCCCAGACTGCACAGGAAGATACGATTATGGATATTTATGTATGATCAATGATCATGATATTCGTAAGAGACACTGGATTGTACGTAATATCTGAACGTTTATATTTTCTTTCTTGTAGAAAATACAACACTTATTGGCGGACCATTTGTCAGTGGTGAATGGTCGATCTTTGTGCCACTGGGTTATTATCCGTTGATCACTCCATGGTTGGTACAAAACCGAGGTAGAGAAATTTGTCGTTCATGCATATAAAAGAACTTTCTTTGATATAACAAATTTAGGAAATCTTTCCGTCCTGTTACATCCCAATACAGGATATGAATATGAGGATCACAGTATTTGGGCAATGTGGGCTGGTCAACCTTGGCCATTAGATATGTCTATATTCGAGCAAGAAACGCAAACTAATGAATTCGGAGTATTTATACGTTCATTATTCGCCTAAGAAACTATCATCTTTCATTTGATATAGCATCATCCAGGAGATTCAGACAATCCTGTATGTCTTCTCAAAGGTGCTGTATGTGGCGACGATCAACTTAGTCCATTGACGCTATGTTGTTATGAACTTACATGCAAAAGTGCAGAAATAATTGCCAATGGTGCTTCGAATTTTACAATTCATCGATGTGCTTAACAGAGAAATACTGTACGAATTTGTTTGTCATTCAATCTATTCTGATAAATAAATTTGTCAAACCAGAGTTCGAAAATATCCTTCTACTTAACTCCTATAAAGTGCACAAACATCGTCTTTACTAAGCTCTCGACTGTAGATCTTGAAATCATCGATTTCACCAGAATATGCATTTTGAAGACCGATACCACCGTAAAGACATGCATTGTTTGGCCGATTAGCTAGCCGGACATAGTTTGAAGCTGAACTCGCGGAATACGTGATGACAGAAGGCCGAGAGGCTACTAAAACATTATCGACATATAGTTGAAGTCCATTGGTTGAACTCCATGTCTGTACAATATGATGCCATGTTGAAGAGACTGGTACTGCAGGACCAAAGACAGATTCTGCAGAACTACTTAAGATTTGTGCAACTATCGAACCGTTTACAGCAAAACCTAGCATAGATATACACCAACCGGTGCCCGATGGACTACTTGAAACAAAAACGAGTGTTCCTGACAATGCATAGGGTCGTATCCATAAGGAAATGGAGAACGCTTTGTTATTTGTGCCAAGCGCTGTCAAACCACTGATCTGTAAGTAAGCCGTTGAATCGTTAAAACTGATAGCTTTACCGGAATGTCCGGCCAGAACAAAGGAAGTAGCCAAATAAGTACTTGTTAGTGAGTTCGGCCCAGAATCATCATATACAGGACTATTATCGAAAGTATAATATGTTACTAATGAAGCATCATCAAGTATTTCGCATTCTAACTTGACTCGAGAGACAATTGTTAATTGATCCATATAGCCCTGTATCATTACTATTAGAATTGTTTAAAAGATTTTTCCGAAAAACTTTACCTGAAAATAGTTATTCCCATACGCTGCAACGATGCCAGGAATATAGCCTATTGTAACAGGATTGGGAGTACCTTGAAGTGGTATTGCCGATATTTCAGTTCCAATAAGATAACCGTCGAAGTAGATTGACATTTTAAGTGTATTAATATCAAAAACAAATGCAGTATGGGTCCAGGTACTCAATGGGACTGAAATGGAAGTTTCACAGGTATCACCAAAGAAAGACATATACAAACTATGTATATGTGTAGTATTACTCTCTCGAATTGTTATATGGAGACAATAATCATTTCCTGGATATGTGCATAAACCTAGAATGCTATGATCAATTGAATTCGGGTATCCGGTTGGGTAAAGCCAAACTTCGATTGTAAAACTACTATTAAGCAATGGAATGTATGGAGAATAGATATATTGACTTGACGCTGCCGACAATGATAGAGACTGGTATACGTAACCACTGGAAATAAATGATGGGCTATTGACAGGCGTAGCGGAATAGATAGCTGTTTCGTCGAGAAATGTTCCATTGAAAGTCCACTTAGCAAGAAGATTGGATGACGAAAGCCATGTTTGATTAACACACGATGAATTACATATTGTTGCTGTAGTAGATGCTAAAATGTAACTCAACATCTGGTTTTTCCATCATTTATGATCTTGACTTACTTGTCGAACTGATAGTTGTGGTGCTTGTAGAACTAGAAACGGACACCTGTACCGTTGCTAAAAGATAGCATTTTTCTGCTACTCAACAAATAGCATTTAGGTTATATCGTGTACGCACTTGTGATTATTGTCGTTGAAGGTTTATTCATTGTTAGTAGAATAACAAGAATGATGGCGAGCAGAGTAGCTAGTATAAATGTAGCGAGAGTACACAGAAATGTGCATAGAGGAGTGCAGATGCAGCAGGCTATGCGAAATTTTCTAGAAAGAAATTTTGTTTAATTATCGGTCAATTATTAACTGTATACGGCTTGCTTTTGTTTCTTTCGATTTCTTTTGTGAGTTAAGATTTCACCATAACTACCGTTACAGGATGATACATGTGAGTGCAGATCACTATCGAAATTTAATGGACTGACATGAATCTTTCGATCAGTTATCCTCCTTGCATGTAACTAAATAAACATAGATGAAATAAAGAATTCGAAATCACTTATTTACCCATGAAGGGTAACTATCAATTGACGATGTTTTAGGTTGAAATGAACTTAATTGTGTACTTCTTGATATTTCCTGGTGAATAGAATTGTATTGTGAAGTATTTGTAGTCTTCTCGTCAGCTATAGGAATGATTTCAGTTGATGAATTGAACTTGCCACGGACGATATGAATCGGTTGCAGCACTGATCTCTTACTCTAAAACATATGTCGTTAAAGTGTATCGGTCGCGCAGTAGTCTACCTGGTACTTCAATGGCCGATGCCGTCGTGAACGATGGCGACGACATCGGACCACTGATGGTTGTTTTAACGAACGAGGGCCGGTTGATGGCATGTCTATGATGCGAATGAGCCGAGTGTTTTTCAATATGGAAACAAATCAATCAAACATTTGTTGTTGATATGTTGTTTTGTGTAGATTTTATAATCAATGAGAAATGCAAATTACGCTTTGCTAGGCGATACCCGAACTCATCAACAAATATGCAAATTTCAGTCATCACACTAAGAATCCGTGAAGCCTTATCCAATCTAGATTAACAACCTTTGCGTGCATCTGCCAAAGTGATTCTATGGGATTTCTTGACATACAAATCGAGTTTTACTCGTTCGCTCATAGCAAACTGCAATGATCGATAATAGTCTTGTACACAAGAAAAATAATCTAACAACGTTCGTAGATGGTAAATTTATTTCAATAGATACTTTCGATTGTTAGTTTTTTTTTGTTAGCCTACAGCTGGATGCGCGGACTGATAGTAGGGTACGCTCGACCAATTCATATTTGGATAAGTTACTGCAACATTAGTCGATGGAATACCATTTCCTCCACCTTGCACCAATTTAAATGCATGATATGGATGTATTATAGGCGCATTCACTATACACTGATCGCATAAATCATACGTATTGTTTCCTCGACAATGTTGGCATTGATACCGTGTGACACCATTTTGTCGACCACAACTATCACAGAACCATGGCATTCCGATTAGCATTGTTTTGTAAATGTTTCTTTTATCTACAAGTAAACAAGACTATATCGATAAAGTCACTTCCTCTCTCCGAGAAAGAGGTAGATGTGCATGAGGTTTATATACGATGATTATGACGTCGTAATTACTTTGAAATATTTACTACGCAATGACGTGTAATGCAAATCGCAACCTCTTAATGTGCTACTAATTTGGGAGTGTGAGAGAAGACAGGCAGAGAAAAAAAGTTGATTTCAATGAAAACTATGATTAACGCACGTTGGAGACATTGGATTTTACGCTAAATTGACATGATTCGTATTCTCTGGTATTTACCCACCAATCAATGAAGTGTACAAAAAAGGAAGTGAACGAATTTGACCATTGTTAGACGATCAAATATTCTATCTATAATGACATCATGGTATTTTTCTCTTCCTTCATTCTATACATGTGCAGTCAGTTTCACATATGCTCGAGTGTTTCTCTATTCGTTTACACTATACTATCTCTCTGCGTTATGTTCTCTGCTAATCTTGGCTCTTTTGGTTAACTTGTTGCACTAATATATAAATATAAGTCCGATGTTATAAAACAATACGTGAGTTTTTGTATGCAAACACATAGTTGATATCAAAGCTGTTCAACACATCACTATATTCATAGATGCCGAATAGCATTTCATTTGTTATGGTGACATTGACAAAATAGATATTCAGAAGGTTTCCTTCTATAAATCAATGTAATTAGAACCTGATGCAAAATTGGTCTTAGTCGTTCCATCTTCATCTTTGTATTGTGCCATGTAGTCATTCTTTTCTTACATGTACAGGTCGATACATCAGCTTTTAAGTCTTCTATTGACTATATTTCGAATATCTCAAACGCAACTTTATTTTCAGCTTTTAAACTTTTACCAAAACTTTTTCCTGTTGATAATATAAAAACATTCACTAAACTCACACATTCTATACAGGCAACGATTCGTAGAACACAAAACGCCATTTCAATACTACCTACTAATGAATCAAATAAATAACATGCTTAGTAGATGTTAATAGAATGCAATCGTATAGCAAACTGCTAGTTCTACACAAATTTAACCCTTTAGCGGCGGATTTTCTTTTGAGAAAAGTATGAGATGTCTTTCCTTTCAAAAATCATTTGAAGCAAATGTTATTGTTATATGGAAGCATTTAGAAATATTTCAGAATATGATAATCTTCAAAACAATCCAGAATCGCAAACATCATACTGATAACATTTATCAGTACATTTTTCCTGTTGCTGTTGATCGAACTAGAGATAGAAAATGATGTGCATTAAAACGCATAGAATCATCTTCAGTAGACGGACGACTCGTTGAATGTTTAGGTTGAACATGTCTTTCAATCAGTTGTCAAATCAATTCATTCTGAAAACAATGTGAGAAGTAGATGTATCAGAACACGAGAGAGAGAGGACACATAATACATACATAGCTATACGGAACGATGATGCAATAGTATTACCAATACAAGAAAAACAGAGAGAAATTTTTTCGATGAAGTGTAAATAATTTTATAAACGCGATAACTGAATTGCAATTTCTATTTGATTGTACTCTATATGTATTCATCTATCCAAATCCATGAGTACAATTTTACGGAAGTATTTCAATATAGCAACAGAATCGTACTTACTCTTCACAACGAAGAACAAATATGGAATATTGTGTTACCTCACACTTTGTTCTTTCGTTTGTGAACGATATATACTATACAAAGGAGATATATTTCAAATAGACGAAGAAACAAATTCAGCGGTAAGATAATAAGAAAAAGAATTTCTTGTGAAGAAAAATGTTCTTCCTTGTTTATTATCGTTTCTCGAACTCACTTGGTAGCACATGCTATCAATTTAGTTATGTTTCTCTGTACTACAACAAAGTACTAAGCAGAATAAACAAGTAATCCCAGTATAGGGCAAATACAGGCTCTTCAAGAATATACGGTTTAATGGGGAAATAGTTTGAACCGAAATCCAATATTAGCGTCGCAAACTATGACTCTTCCCCGGCATATATAATCACAATGAAGAATTACTTGTTTGACGGCACTTTCTGCAACACGGTGATGATAAAATCATGTTTGAGACAAACTAAAAATGTTCTTGCACAACAGTCAAATCCATTTTGTTCTTAACTGCAACATGACTCATTCTCTACGTGAAGAATAGAACAATATGAAATGTTTTCACTATGTCGACGAGTATAGTCAAAACTAACTCCGATGAATCATTTTGACTTTTTCTCTTCTCAGGAAAGTCGTTTAATTCTTGTGGACAGCGATGTCCGAGAGAAGTTTACTCGATTTGCCAGTTGAAATTCTACATCATATCTTTGATTATCTTCATATCAAAACAATCTTTTGTTCATTACGATGTACTTGCACTCAACTTCATGCTACAGTTCAAACTTACAAAAACTTCCAACTCGACTTATCTGCATCGACTTCCACAGTACAATTTCAATATATTTCTCAATTATTTCATCCCGAACGTATTACTGGATTGATTTTCTTCGCTGAAATCAATCAGCATTCAAATCGAGCAAAATTATTCTTTGCAAGTTTTCCCATCTACCAATTCACTCGTCTTCGTTCAATAGCACTTCTGAACATTAGCATTGATGATTTAAATGAATTTTTACAATGTGCGTCTGTTCTACTTGTAACATCACTGTCAATACATTTAGCTAATCCATACTTTCATAGATCATTGCCACTCTTGACATCATTGATCAATCAAGGAAATCTTCGCAGATTACAAATAATTAACATGTACTATGTTCTACAACCTTTGTTATGGTCTACACATTGCAAATTGACTTATTTGGCAATATTTAAGTGCACTTTCGAAGAGTTGTTTATTATTCTTGGGCGATGTTCATTTCTACGAACGTTCGTTTTACAAGATTGTACAATGTACAATGCGGATGTTGCCAACTTTCATTCATGTCCACAATTAACTTCACTACACATAACAGATGCGTACTTGTCATGGAAATCTCTCCGGCATTTACTTTCGTCAACCCCATCACTTGTTGATCTCAAAGTAATCAGTTGTGTTCGATATTTCGATGCAGAATCCGAAAGTTTCTCATGGGAAGAACTGATTCAAACTCGACTTCCATCATTAACACATTTTCACTTCTTCTTTCGATATGATATTCAAATGTTTTCAAACAACTACATGAGTCTTCATTCCATAATTAAACAATTTCGTTCACCATTCTGGTTGGAAGACAAACAATGGTTTGTCACTTGCGATTTTGTCTTGAATGCATTATCATCATCAGAAATCATACTCTATACCATACCTCAACCTATCTATGGCGCTAAGATCTTCATTAGATGCCATGCTCGATCTACCGATAGCATTTGTTATTTCACTAAAGATTTGTTTGAACAAGATGAGAATGACGATTTGTTAGAATTAAATCTTGCAAATATGAGAACGCGATCAACGAATATTCAACTTTTAGCATGTGCACTACAACACAACACAGTAACGCTTGTTATAGTTGAGTATTTACCTGATATTCAACCGTGTTTTTTTCCATTTAGACAGTCGCTATTCTCAATTTAGATGGAAATCAAATCAATTCAGATGGAATCCGACACCTAGCGGATGTACTGAAGGATAATACGGTAAGTTTCATTGATCTTTTGATGTTATTTACGTGTAATTCTACTCTATAAGACAATTCAAACATTAAGTTTGAATGGCAACATCATCGGAGATGTAGGAGCACAGTATTTAGCGGAAATGTTACAATCAAATAATGTAATAATATACAGCATACCTTCTACTGTTCACACAAGATAACTGATTTAGACTCTGACAACTCTTCGAATATGCGGGAATCAAATTGGAGATGAAGGAATACGATATTTGAGTTCTTCATTACAAACAAATACAGTGAGTTTTATGATGTTTCCCTCAAGAATTGAGAATGATTTTGATACTCTAGACATTGACTTCGTTGGATATTAGTGGAAATCGTATTGAAAACGAAGGGGTACGGCATTTAGCGGATGCATTCAAGAAAAACAAAGTAAATTATAAAAGCTGAACATAATTTTTTTCGAATACTTTTTACAGATGTTAACCACGCTGAGTTTTCAAGACAACTATTGGAAAGACGAAGGAATTCAACACTTATGCCAGGCATTACGAAAAAATACGGTAATTTTGTCTTTCTATCACTATCTAACTCAATGCAAAATCCATTTTCATAGACCATACTCACAATTGATCTGCGTAGTAACCAGATCGTACCATCAAGCAGTCAACATTTAAGCGACATGCTTGAAACGAATACAGTGATTATCATCTTTTCGCTGAATTGCAAGAACATCTATTGGAAAAATGTTTTCGAATAGACACTCACAACGCTCATTTTAGCAGATAATGAACTGGAAAGCAAGGGAATTGAACTCCTCGCCTGTGGACTACGGAAAAATACGGTGATATCGGTTTGCCAGTTTTCTTCGTCAGTCTACATTTTTCTGCGCTTTTAGGCACTTCGAGTACTGAATCTTCGATTTAATCGTATTGATGTTGACGGTGCCGAACATTTAGCAGATGTTCTAATATACAATACAGTAACTCAACATCTTCTTTGTCTGTTAGTTTTCTTATCAAGATATTTACAGTCATTGACCACACTTTCACTTTGGAACAACCAAATAAAAGATACCGGAGCACGTTGCCTAGCTGATGCATTGAAACAGAACAAAGTAATAGATATCTTTCATCTTTTCTTTGATATTCACTTTGTTTCACATTAGACTTTAATAGCACTTGATCTTGGTCGAAATTTCATCGCAGTAACCGGAGCGAGATATTTGGCTGATATGTTACGAATAAATACAGTATGTATTTCTTACGATATCAGACTGATCTCCTTCGTTGTGGTTTTCGCAATAGACATTGACCAGTCTTGGTCTGTGGAGCAATGAAATCAAAGAGAAAGGTGTTCACTATCTCGTTCAAGCCTTGTCATCGAATGAAGTTGGTTGCATTTCGTCTATTAGGATTTATATTGACAACAGTGTTGCTACATTTTAGACATTGACAACACTCGATATTGGTTCCAATCCAATTGGTGATAATGGAGAACAATATTTGATAGAATTGTCGAAGACAAACAAAGTATCGCTATTGCTTCTTTTCTACTTTGATACAATTCATTCTCTCAATCTACTTTTTCAGTTATTAACAACTTTGAATTTCAATGACAATCTTGTCGATATTATTTAGAATGAATTTTAATCTAGCACATGTATGTTTTCGAATGCAATCGAGAATAATTTCTTTTATCACAAAATAAATCTTGAAGATGTGAACAGAAATAACTCGCTTAAATTCACAGATTTGTCTTTGTAATAAGTCGAGAAAACAACTCAGAGACAATCTTTAACTTCATGAGATGTAAGCAACAACACTCGTTTCAATCTTCTGACACAAACAGAGAACGACCATGAGCTTGTTGGAAGTTAATGCCAACCGTACTTTGTTGCGTATGTTTGGATGAGAGTGATTCGCAGTGCATTTTTTTCTATTCAAACATCAACTTTATTGTGGGCTTTTTTTTCATATTTTTTTCAAAAAAAGAATACGAGCTGATTTATCAAACGTGATCGAAAGAATAATAAACGTTTTTTTTCCATTCTTCATTCACCATGGTCAGCAACAGTATTCAAGCTTTTAAAGAAAACCACCTGTTTCTGTGAATTCTCAATATAACTTAATGCTTAGTTATCGTTGGGCAGAAAAGACCATTTGTAAAAAGATTTTTCAACAACTGATCAGTAAAGGTTTTCGTGTATGGTTTGATGAGAAAGACATGCATGGCCGTTCTTGTTCAGCGATGGCGCATGCGATTGAAAACTCTCAATGTATAGTCATATGTATGAGTGAAAATTACGAGAATAGTAATGCCTGCCATCACGAAGCAGAATATGCCTATGTTCGCCAATGTCGTATGGTTCCATTAGTTGTTCAATCAAAATATAAAGCGAGAAAATGGTTGGGTTTCATCATTGGATCTCTCATTTATATTGATTTTACAAAACATGTGTTCGACAAAGCATTCAATATGTTAGAAGACGAATTGAAGCCTGCTTGTCAAACTACGGAGTCAGCAACACCTGTACTTTCAATAGAAAAAGTTGAAACTAAACAAGTGGTGACCACTGAATACGCAAATAAACAGATCAATCAATGGACGTCGGAAGATGTGGTCAGTTGGTGTCATACACACCATCTTTCAGCATTCAGACAACTACTTGAACATTATGATGGTGCAAGCCTATTGCGATTGTATCATATATCAAAAACAAATGATGAGAAGGATACATTTCGTCTATTACAGGATGATTCTCAACGACTTGCTGGCAATGGACAGTCGAATTTGACTTTTACAGAATTCATTCGCTTTCAAACGGAATTAGAGAGAAGAATAAACAATGAGCAAAGTCATTTGGGAAAAAACAATTCTACAAAAACGTGCGCGTTGCTCTAATCAACATTTTGTACTAAGCATACACCCAAGTTTTAGGGAACTATTGTTTTCAAAACAATAGCTGAATTAGCCTACTCATAGAAGGATCTGTTGTGACCATATATGTTAACGGTAAAGAATCTTTCAACCATCGAATGAATTCATCATCGATGAGAATTTATCCGTACTCGCAAAACTTTTGATCATTTAACGTATGCAGCTGAGGTATATCTATGATGAGATAGACAATGTCTTCACAGTGTTTACCCAGTGGCGAATTACTCGATAATAGACGGTCGTTCTTATTGAAGTAATTACCAATACTATTCAAATTTTTTGAGAATCTTAATTCATGAATTGTTGGACATTGTAATATTGAAATGATGTTGTTTGAAGTGGTAGCGACCTATTTTGATAGATGGAAATTTTACGTAACTGGTGTGGATGACGAAGTAGAGATCGTTAATTGTTCAACGTTGGTGCGGCAGAATAAAATAGTTCATTGAATCTTTCTTCAACTAACATTTCTTACATTCGAGGTTGATAAGCATATGATTCACAATAATATCCGTAAATATATCATTTGAGACAGGCTAATGAGAAAAATGCGAACATTGGCTGACAATTTTCTCTGACATTTTCAATGGACGAATCAAATGAATGAAAGGAAAGTGATTGTATTCGTTGAAATATATCAAATGATGATAAATATAAAAGAACAGATCAATCTGTGTGTCATAATATTATTCTCTCGATTTGATATTGTGCATAAAGTACATAATTCAATCATTGGTTTACAAGCCATAAAATGCACGAAGAAGGCCGAATCTATTGAAGTAGATGAATACAATAGGTAAGATTTCATTAGGCAACAACTCGAGACTCATTGTTACTCAACATAGAAACAAAATGCGAGTTGTTATGATGAAGGTAAAAGCGATTCTTTTTCACACATTCGAAAATCGTATCTGAGTCAACGCGCTCGACTTGCATCAGCTTTCTTACAAAATGTAATTACGTCAGTATGATGACGTATTTTAAATAAATACCGATTTCTGTCGCCACATTGTCGATAGAACATGCCGGCAAAAGTCGAAAGTTTACCTCCGGAAATCTGGCTTTACACCTTCCAATATCTTGAAGGACACGATTTGATCCGAGCATTTGCTCATCTTAATCTGTTTTTTACTTCATTGCTGTGCTCCAGTCACTTACGTTTAAACATACGGATTAAGCAAAATGAGTCCAATCGACGCTTACCAACATCTCCTTGGTCGAAAATTCATCTTAGCCAAATATCGTCACTGGCTGCTGGACAACGAAAAGCTAATTGCCTCATTCAATTCCTTCGCTGGAATGCAGCATCTCTTCTTGGTTTACGTTCGCTATCAGTTTACCTACGAAAATCGAAACTTGATGAAAATATTCAATTGTTGACGATCGCACTTCAACAAATTCCGTCACTCGTTAATCTTCGAATCAAATATGGCGGAAAGTTCTGTACAAATTTCGATTACTTCGAACCATTAATGATGTACATATTTAATAAGAGATCTCCGATACAAAACTGTTCCTTTGACTTCAATGTGCAGCATGACAAAATGAAGACGTCAAAGTGGACAAATAATCCATCGTTGAAATCCTTTCGAAGCAATCAAACGTCATGGACGGATTTGTTCACTCTGCTATCGTTTACTCCGTGTTTGTGCTTTCTCCAAGCTGAAATAAGACCATCCATTCTTAAACCCGATGTGGAAATCGTTCTTCTTCAGCTCACAAAAGCCAAGCTGATCTTAAACTCTCCACGTTTTGTTCAACTGGAAGCGTTCAAAGCAATAGCACCAAATTTGACGTGTCTGGGTTTGGTAGGCTCGTTCAATTTCAGAGATAAAAACTATTTTAATGAAACACTATGGCTTCACTTCTTGCACAATATTAAATCCTATCGAGTAAATCTGAGTGTGTTCGTTTGGGGAAGTTCACATATACGAACTGTGAACAACTACATTCAAGATTTGCGGGAAAAACAGTGGTGCGCTGCGTCAGATCATCGGATCAATCTGCACGTCTCCATTCAATTCACTTCTGCATCTGTAATTCAATAGAAAGTTCTTAAGATTGCGAAATTTTTCTGTTCTTCAAATTGTGATGAATATATGGTTGTATAGCTGATGTACTAAGTATGAGCTTGTTCACACTCACCCTCAAGTTGACAGGAAAAATGAATAGTTCTAATGGTCGCGTCGACACTGTAGCAGTTCACCATTGCGTATGCTATCCATGCAGCAATGTTTATTATGAGCGGTGTGTCGCAGTAACTCTACTCTGACTAGTTATCCGATCGAAATTGGTGTTGATGACGATTGCGATCCGAATGAAATCATACCATATAAAACAGTAATACTCTGGGTGACTGTCAAAGATCATTTCGAATCGATTCGATTGCTACTGAAAACAGGCATTATACGTTCTCTGTGTCCCATTGAAGGCTTTGCATTGGCTGCTTGTTCTCTAGCGGCGAATTTCTGTCTAGATGCACGAATACAGACAATGTTCGAATTCTTAAAGCTCGCTTTAGGATATTGCCCAGTGAAACAGCTCGCCAAAGTGTGTATTTCACCAGCCGTTGTTTATAACTTTCAGCAGGAATGTCATACATCGGATTCAAGAAAAAGAGTTTTATTAATGTCTCGATGTTTGGATTCACGTGTTTTATATAATCTAGCTCTTTTGTAAAAATACTTAGCAACAAAGAATATCGCGATGCGTGCAAGTAGTATAGATAAGCCTTCAATCTCGTAGACTTATAGATGAACATTTTTTAGATTCCCGAAAAGAAAGGCACTTCAGATGTGCTAGAATGATTCCACAGTTGAGTATGTGAAACAAATAGAAGTGACATATTTTCTCCTAGTGGCCTCTATCGCCGTTCGATTGTCGTTCGTCGATTCGTTAATCAAATGTGATCAATATTTCTGTCACATTTCTTTCTACAATGACAGATCAAAAGGTGTAAACAGCCAGTGATATATTCGCATTTATTTCTGTGATATTAAATATGGTTGAAGGATCGTATTCGCAATGGTTTCGCGTTCTTCTACCAATTTGTTGCATTTGTTTTCTTTATCTTTGCTCATTTTATTTATTTCTGTGTGCAACGAATTCTTTGATTTACTCCACGATTTGCCTCCTACACGCAAACGAATCGTTCTGTGCAGAAATTGACCAGAATAAAACACTTCGTGCATCACAAGAAACGATACAAAAAGAAAGTTCACAATGGTCGCTCTACGGAACGCTATCATTCGCGATCGTTGCTTGTTTCATCTCTCCATTCTACGGAAGTTTATCCGATATAAAAAATCGAAAAATACCGATTGTTCTAACAATATCCAACGGGATAATCACTGGTTTGATCATCACCATCGGAAGCGTTTACCAAGGAACGAAGATATGCTTATTATTCTATATTTTTGCGAATATCGTCAGCGGATTCGGTGGTGGTTCATTACTTTTGATTTCGTAAGTTCTTCTGAACTTAGAACTCGATTGACTTTTGTCTTCTCTAGTTCGTGTTTTGGATATGCAACTGACAGTTGTACAGATAAAGGAAGACATACTCAAACTATTGCACTTATCGAAGCCGCACTGAATCTTGGCGTCGTCCTTGGTTACCTTCTCTGTACTTTTGTATTCGAATTACATACAAAAATTTGGCATATTCTACTTGTCCACGTACTTCTCCTAGCTTTAGCACTTTTAATTAGCCTGGTGTTTCTTCGAAGCCAAGCAATAATCGATTTTTCTTCGATGAACCTTTGGACAAAAATCAAACGGCCATTCGTTGATATTCGTGACTTATTTGTTGATTTGAAACACAATCAATTAATCATCTCTTTTATTATTTTATTTCTTTCATTATTTTTCTACGAGCTCTTTCGAATGGGTTTATCGTCGACTTATTATTTATATTTACATCGAATGTCATTCAATGATACTCAATACGCCGCGTATTTCACTTGTGAACAAATCGCTACATGTCTAGCCTTGATATTCTTAGCATTGCTAAGACGAAATTGGCAGATTAATGATCTGTATTTATGCATTGTTGGTCTATGTCTTTCATTAGTTGGTCCAATGTTATTCGCATTTGCATACAACAATAAAGGAATGATATTCGGAGGTAGGAGAGAATGAGCAGGAATGAACGAGCTGGTTTTCATTTGTAGCAATCCCTTCGAATATGTTCGGCATTTATTTTCCCGTCTGTCTACGGGCTGTCATTGCTCGATTAGTTCCGGAGAGAGATAAAGGTAAACAAGAGAAGTATTCGATCGTTTTTCATGCGAATTTTCTTTTGGTATGTTTAGGTAAAGCATTTAGTTTTGTCGCATTGATCCAGAATCTTGATATTCTACTGGGTACGATTACCTGTATCGAAATTTACCGTTCATCGATCAGTTTCTTCGCTGGATTGGTTTTTATTATCAGTATCGTAACAAAACTAATCGCATTGGTTCTTATTCTGTAAGTTCAGCTCGACTATCTCATCGTCTTGTTCGAATGACTTTTTTCTAGGATCCAAATATTTTGTGTTAGTCATACACCGCAATTATCGATTATCGTGCCATTGGATGTCGTAGAAAATCCGCTTTTAGATGTACAGTTGAATAGTGACGATGAATTGCTCAATCCCTAATTACATTTCTCTTCGTCTGTGATCAATCAATAAATAATAAGCTTTGTTTTTTTTGCAGATATAATGAACCTTCTTGTTGTTAAAATTTCCTCGTTGTTGTGCATAATCACCGCTATGCCAATTGATCAAAATGTACGTTGCATTTCTTTTGCAAAATTTCGTTTTTTTCGCATGAAATCTTTTAGAATAACAAAACTGAGAATAGTACATTGAATGCGGGCGTTCGTGGTATGATGTCCGAGTATCACATTGATAAATTACCAGCTGCGCTGCGCATTTCACAAATCATTCCGAAATTTCAAGCTCCGAAGAAGTTCAATATAACAAAAATTGTGCAGGATATGAAAGATTTTGGCATTCATAGTTTAAAAGATGAGAAGCACATCGAAGCTCTACCGTTGGAGCGTGATGGGAAGATTAATCCTGAATTTCACAAGGAGATTTTCTTAGGAAATCACGAACTCTTCGAATCCGATATTCAGCATAATGAAGAAAAACGAAATAAAAAATTAGAAGAAATCTTCCGTGTGTAAGTAGAGACAATGCAGATGATTTCATTGGAATTGTGAGAGTATTTAGAGCCGATGTGGATCATGATGAACGGTTGTCGAAAGAAGAAATGTTAAATTATGTTTTGAAAAATATCCATGAACATTTACGAGAAGCGAAACTGCGCAATGCGCAGCTGTTTTTGTTCATCGACTCGAATGAAGATGGAAAAGTGACGTGGAATGAATATTTCGCCTTGTATGTCAAATTTCATAATATGAATGAGACCGGAATCAAAGAAACTGACCCGTTTGACTTCATCCAAGGACCGTTTGATAATAATTGTAAGTTTTTCGTTTGAAATGGCAAACTTTCGTGTACTTTTGATTGGTTTAGTTCAACGAGAGTTAGTCAATATTCGTTATCGTTGGACAGATGCTGATGCTGGTGCTGATAATGAGCTGAATATCGACGAATTCCTTGCTTTTCGTCATCCGGAGATCGCTGGACATTCGTATAAACATATTGTTGATGATATGTTGATACAAATGGGTGGGTGTTTCTTGATTTTCAGTTGACATGCATTGTTTTTTTCCATCTTGTTTAGATCGGAATGAAGATCAGCAATTGAACGAGACAGAATTTGCATTTTTACCTTGTGAGTCAATTCAACCGAGAATGCTCAACAGGAAATATCTCTTTTTCAGCGAGTGTCTTAGAAGACGGTGGAAATAAAGAATGGGTTGAAATGGACAAGCGTTGGTTAGAAGAGCAAAGAAACGAATTCCGCGAAATGGATGAAAATCATGATGGAATTCTGACAAAAGACGAACTATTGGTAAGTCGAAGTACTTCCATCTAGAAGTTAACGTCCGTTGTTTGTTTAGCATGCATACGATCCGTTGAATCGCGTTCATATAAGTAATCAAATCAAGAAATTGTATTCTAAAGTGGATGATTCGCCTTCGGACAATCTGTTATCATTGAATGAAATCCAAAAACACGCGGATGTGTTTACTGATATGCAACTCTTAGATACCGAAAAAGCATTACACGAAGAAATGTGAAATATGATAATGAATTCTTCAACTTCGTATTATTCTTTTGTGATCTCATTGTTCTTCTATTTTTAGCAAGCTTTGTTTTTAATAAATGACAATTACAATATCGAACAATTATAGATTAATATGCGATAATGTCTGCTGGAAGAGTTTGATTGCTGGTGCTGATCGAAATTGTCTGATAAATTTTATTTTGGGATATCAAAACACCGTTTTCGTCTGTGACATTCGTTGCTTTGAAGATTTGTTTCTTTCCGTTGACAACCAATTCTTTGATACATGTCGTTGTTGTCAATTTTGCTTGGCGGAACTTCTTTCGACGATATGGCACAGATGGCGATGACGAGCTGACGGTTGTGTTGCAAACAGGCTCAACAGCATCGAGTTGCTGTTGATCGTCTGTGTTATCCGACGGAAATGGTGCTGAATTCATCAAGTGTTGAAAACGTTGATGCATGGCAGCCATCATCTTGTTCATTTCGTCGAACATCGATGAAATTGCTGTGCCGTTCATTGGCGATTCATCGAAAAAAGTCGACGGAAACAGCCAGCTCTGCGCTGTACCAATCAGCAATAAGAAACAAGTGACTTGTATTAAAGTCGCCATGAATATTCAGTGCGTGTGCGTTGTTTGTTAAATGAATCGATTGATATTCTTGTTCGAGCATTTATATATGCATCGAAGAAGAGACGTCATCTGGTCTTTTCTCCCTCTTATCTATTCTGTGATATGTACCATTGCAGAAAGGTCGCGACTAATCTCGAATGAGAAAAAGAACACGAATAGCATTAGCTGAAGAGACTAGACGATGAAACAAACGCTTGTAGATCTGATTACTTGCAATAAGACAGAGAAGGATATCAATGACGTATGTAGTTTATTGTCTATAGTATTCATTACAACTATTTTCTGTCTTAAAATCAAAATTTTGTTTTAGATCGTTGACTTAACGTTCTGTTTTTGGTCGAGTTTTGAGATATTCGGCAATTTTAGGATTTTTTTCCACTTCAGCACGGTTTTGTTTTAACCATGGATTATTGTCCAATAGCGTTCCATTCATTCCGAGAAGTGTTTCAACGAACGAATGAAAGAATAAATCTGCCCAAGTTAAATGATTACCAACGAAGAAGGGACCACCTTTTCCGTATAATTTTGCGAGAGTTTCGAGATTTTGTAAATGTTTTGGTAATTCCTCGGCAAACATCTTCTTCAATAGTTCTTGTTTTTTTGCTTCATCTTGTTCTCGAAGCGTCGGCAAAAGTGCTTTCACTAGGTCGTATATTGTATCAACCACAGCATCGACTTGTGCTTGTTCAAAATCGTCTTTGCCTGCTAAGTTGAATCGTTTTGCAAGAAACCGAGCGATCGCCGCTGATTGTGGTAATTTCACTCCATCAACTTCGAGAACAGGCATTTGACCTAGTGGCATTTCAGCTTTATGTTCGGGCCAGTGTTCGTGTTCATAGCGAATATCTTCGAATTTTTCACCGGCAGCTGCGAATATTAAACGAGAAACTTCAGCGAAGCCTCGTACATTAAAATAGTAGAGTTTGTATGACGGCATGATTGAGATGTTTTCTTCTTGTAGAAAGGATGAGAGTGACTGCTATCGAAAGTGGAGCATTCTATATATACTATGGCAAACGCTTGTGCCGTGTGCATTTTTTTTGCCCTGTCATCGTCAAAGCGAAGCCTGGAAAGAGGAGGAAAATTTTATAATGACGGCGCACTTTTATTTTTTTTGCTCTAAATAAAGGACGTCAAAAGCTTCATTAAAGACAATATGGATGGAGAAGCGATAAATATAGACTGTTTACTTGAAGTGAATAGCCTCAAACGCTGTTTCGAGACGTTCTACATATTGCATACTTTATCGACTGTAGCATTGACCTGCGTCTGTTCGAAATCGCCTCTGTCTACCAAATTGAAGTTTTTTGCTGATGAGATGAAAATGAGTATTAAAGAAATTGATATGCTTTATATAAGATAATCAAGGATTCAGCTACGTGTATTCCTTTTTCTTGCCACTGCTAGAGAACAGAAAAGAGGAGGAAAGTTTTATTTATCTTGTATTAGAAAAAAAGTAAGTCAAAAGGCTCATGACAAGACAACATCAATATTGTTTAGAGCGGATGATCTAAAACTCTGTTTTTGGTCGAGTTTTGAGATATTCGGTAATTTTAGGATTTTTTTCCACTTCCGCACGGTTTTGTTTTAACCATGGACTATTGTCCAATATAGCTCCATTCACCCTCAAGATGGTGTTTCAAGGAACGAATGAAAGAATAAATCTTCACCGGCAACAGCGAAGATCAGTCGTGATACTTCACCGAGACCGCGACCATTGAAGTAATAGAGCTTGTACGAAGGCATGATGTCTTAATGCAAATCGAATATGTTTTGCTCGAAGAGTGAAAAGAAGTATGGGTGTGTGTTGAATAATGTGGTATGCTATGATTTACCCCTTCTGTCGAGGTGAAAGAAAGAAAGAAAGGAAGAAAATATAGATGATGACGAGGCATTTTTTTCTCCATGTGGTTTTTTACGAATTCGATGAGAAGCAATAATATGCCTTATGTTTTGCAGTAAATTTAAAGAATTTCATTTTATGAGTTTATTCATGTTTAAAGTTAGTTTAAAATCACAAAAAAAGAGAATATTCTAGATCGTTAAAATGGCGTGACTGGTCGGCTTTTAAGATATTCAGCGATCTTTGGTAGCTTCGCGACTTCAGCTCGATTTTGTTTTAAGAATGTGAAATTATCCAAAGCATTCGCTTCTGCTCCGAGTAAACTTTCACCGACATCATAGAAAAGTAGATCTGCCCAGGTTAATTGATTACCAACAAAGAATGCACCACCTTTTCCGTATAATTTTCCAAGTGTTTCGAGATTTTTCAATTGTTTTGGTAATTCTTCAGCGAAGAATGTTTTGCCGAGTTCCTGTTTTTTTGCCTCATCTGCTTCGAAACGAACCGCAATAAATTTGTTAACTAAGTCAGCGATTGTGTCAACAACAGCATCGACTTGTGCTTGTTCGAAGTTATCTTTGCCAGCTAAATTGAATTGTTTAGCAAGAAAACGAGCAATCGATATCGATTGTGGTAATTTCACACCGTTGAATTCGAGAACAGGAAGTTGACCAAGTGGCATTTCGGATTTGTGCGAAGGCCATTGTTCACCTTCAAAACGAATATCTTCATATTTTTGACCAGCGGCAGCGAATATCAAACGACTAACTTCACCGCGGCCTCGTCCATTGAAGTAGTAAAGTTTGTATGTAGCCATTAGGATTGTTTTTGATAAAAATGCGTTTGTCAAATAGAGAAAAGAATGAATGTGAAGAAATCGCGTACAGACGGCGATATTTATATACCGACGGAGGAAACACACGTGTCAAGCCTTTGTTTTTTGCTTTATCATTGTGCACATTACGTTTAAGAGAATGACGAGGCATATTTTCTCGAATGAATAAACATACATAAAGAGAGGTTATGTGTGTGTATGTCTCACTAACCAATGAAAGAAATTATCGCTGATTCCGTTTTAGACATAAGTCACGAATAGTGTTGTTTTTTTTTAATCCGTACATCGACGACAGTGCAGTTTCAATGATTGATTACATATGAACATGTGTATTGATCTGTTAGTTATCACATAAACTTACTCTGACGTCTATTACGTCTAATAATCATATACGTTTGCGACTGGACTTATGTAAAAATTCAATCAAAAACTTTTAAACCATATTCACTCTCCATTGATTATATATTTATGTCAACGAGTTTGCATACACATGTTATTGGATTACTTCGGCTTGACATACTTTTGCGGAGAGAAAAAAATGTGGTCATAGTCATTTGTCGATGCATCGTTCATTTTACAAAATAAACAAATGGTGTAATTTTATCTTCGATTAGAAATCGAAACTTAGTAACACGATTGAATCGCATGTACACACGTCACATACGTACATTTGCTCATACATTCTCTCGTTTTTTCCTCGATTAATACAATAGATTGATAATAATCAAACGATGTCAACTAAATGAGTAGATAAATATCGATCAATGAGGCTGGGTGTCTACGTTCACGACAATAGTGATATTCATCACTTACGAATGATCAATATCTCCTCCCACATTTCTCTTCTTCTTTTTTTCTTCATGTCACACTGTAAATCAAACAAATGAGAAAGATAAGTAGAGTATATACATATGTATATACAACTTAAACGACTGATATATTTATTATAATTTAGTCCTTCGCAGTAAGTTTGTCGTTCTTCGATTGCCAGAATTCACTTAACGATCAAAGTGTTAGATTTGAGTACTCAATTTGTTTCTCTTCATTGACATTGATGGCAACGATGTTCTTGTAGTTTCTCTCGTTCTTTTTTTGTAAAGACACATGTTGATCAAAAGTGATTGCACAAGTCTAATGTTATTGTTGATCGGATAACTTGTGTGTCTCTCTCCCTCTCCTAACATCACTCACTGTTTCATGCTTTTTCTCTCCCTTCTCTTCTTTTTCTCATCGATATATTATTAAAACATTTTCATATTCATTCGTCCGACCGTTTATTTCTCATCGATTGATGAGTGAATAGGTATGTGTGTGTTCATGTTCATTGAATAAACTGCGACTAGCTCTCTCTCATCGATATGAATGAACAACATCAAATCGTTATGATGAAACATGATAAAGAACTTTCCAAAGCAGATCATCGATTGAAATCGAAAATCAGTAAGTTTGCCTTTTGCAGTCGAGCGTCTTTACACGTCGGGAGTGTTTCATTTAGAATCATTGAAAATGAGTTCTAATAGCAGTGCGGTTGAAAGAGCACGCACATTCTTTCGTGTCTTTGATCACAAACGTCATCATGATAATGAACAATCGTCCTCGTCGTCAGCAATTTGTCAATCGATGGCGACTAATGATGCTCCTGTTTTAATTCATGGTAAAACTTCCAATCAAGATTTCTTCCTGAGTCCCATCGTTCGTAAAACGAATATTTCCATAACGAAAAGTATGAAAGTTGATAAGGTTAATCCGCGAGATATGATTGTTTATCGTGTTGTGCACAACGATCAAAATGACGAACGCTTCACGTTAAATTATTTTCAAAGAAAGTACCGACAATACATGAAACCATCCTTGTTATACCCTAAGCAATATTACCAAAATTTATTGAGTAAAACAAATTATACATACGCAACATCCTTCGATAAACGAGGTAACAGACAAATCTTTTCCTTGACCATCGTCTGGAATCATCTCTTTTTTCTCATAGGTTCGTCTCTACGTACTTCACTACCGACATTCGGTTCGAATTCTGCGCGAATTCATCCGCCGCGGAACGACACAAGTCTCTGTCCGTATCGTTTTTCAAATCTTCTATATGAAAATTCGACCCGTCATTCTCGTCTTAACGAGTCAGCTTTTCTCGTTCCATCATCAACTACTCAACTAGTTCGTCCATTGCCATCCTCGATGGTCGCATGGAATCAATGTGTTGATCGTTTAAATACGGAGTATCGATCAACAATCGAAGCTCTTCAACAAGCGAAAGAATATCTCGAAGAACTCTACGTCTCTCCCAGTAATACAATTTCCAAGTATGCAAGTATTGTTGCACGTGGCATCGATAATCTATCGAATAACGAATCAAAAAAATCGGTAAATGTCACCTTTTGCTTGCCGCCGCTAATTAAACCAGAGAAAACTGTGATCGAACAAAGTAAAGTTGAATCATGGAAACCGAAACTTGTGAAACCGATTGAACTGAGTACATTTTCAACGTACGATGATTCATCAGACGAAAAGTCCGAATCGATTTCCACGATTATAAAAAAATTCAACAATTTGAGCGCTACAATGGAGAAGGACGCGAATGCACAGAAATCTGACCCATCGTTTTTATTATCGAAATTCGATTCGATCAAGAAAGCTGATCCAGTTAAGACAAAATTTCAAGAAGAAGAAACAAGCTACACAATTGAAACGTTGTACAAACGTGCGAATGATCGGAATTCATTTACGGATGACGAACCATTGATCATCACGCGAGAAAACGCCACTGCCGAACAGTTCGATTCGATCTGCGACAATAGAGAACAAGTGCAAACCACTAATACAAAGTAAATTAAATCCACAACTCTTATTCGAATATTTCGTATATTTTCAGTTCTCAATTACCATCGACGAACACATCGAAATTTATTTCTCAAATACCAAAACGAACAGCATCCACTATGCATGGCTCGCGCTTAATATCCTCAACTGTATCTTCCAGTCTTTCGAAAGTATACATCGGAGACCATCTCGAGTCTAGACGAAAATCTTTTCTGTTTTAGCCATCGCCAGCTCCCACCAATAATGATCACGAAACGAACACATCTGGTATGTCTATGATGAAGAAAAAGGACTTGTATTCTTCGATTTATGTAGACTCGGCAATATCAATTCGTAAAAACTATGTGAAATCAATCGTACGACGGTTGAATACATCGGCGTCAATGCCATCTACATCTTTACCAAGCAAACAAACTGGCCGTCGTGTATCTATTCAACCAACAACATTTAATACAAAAAATAATATTTAACAGGTCGCACAAACTGAAAGAAGAGGTTACTCGATACCGATTGGTATCGGTAAATAAACATTTGAATTGTTTATATCGTCGATTTGTTTTGTTAGACGAAATTCATAAGTGATTGAGACTAATGGTACATTATCAGGTTGACAATTTCTATCAGGGACAGAGGTCGATGGAAGATTTGATGGCAAAGTTAATTCCGCAATAGTTTCGATTCGATTTTCATGTAAATTCAGCTCGATTTCATCGAATACAGTTGTAAATATTTCATTTTCATGTACTATCTCATTTAATAAAACCGTTTGCACCAATTGGATGGTTAACGAGCGAATTCGATTTGATTGAAGATTTTCGATTGAAATCGTCAGCGGAACAATCGAACCGTCACGAGCTGAATAGAATGATTTCTGCAAATGACAAGTCGTTGTTATCCCACTCGGATCTAAGTCAAAACACACGATTTACTTAATGGACCTTTCATTAGACATTTCGTGCGACATTCTTTCTTCAGAGGATTTAGCTGAGGTAAAAATAAGTTTGTCGTAAGGAAGATTTCTACTCGAAGACATACCTGTGCTTGTACAAGGTGGTGGAATGTTAATCCGAGGTGCTGGCGGTGCTAATGTGATCTTCTTTCGTGAATTCGGCAGGAATTTCTCGTCGTGGTAGATATCCAGGTAATAAACAATCGAGAAGTCCTTCAATTCACACGACGGCGGAAGATTAATACCGAGTGGAATAAGAAATGGATAAGTAATTTGTTGTTGCTGGTGAATAATCCTTGCCATTCCGTTCTCATGCGATGTGACTAGTGGAAATGAGTAAGTGAAGAAGATTTCTTTATCATTCAGCTGGGAGGAACGAGGGTGTTTGATTAATTGACCAATTAAATCCAAGCGAATTTTTCTTTCCACGCGAAGTTTCACTCGAGTTTTCAGACTGAAATCACCTTGGATAGCTGAACGTCCTCGATAGAAGCTATTTGTCGATGATAATCGAATACCGTAATCAGCATTCGTTAACGGAGACTTCGTTACTTTCAATCCCATGTGCAGTAGAGAATTGCGACTGACTTCGTCAATTACTTTTTCTTTTCTGAGTGGAAAACGACGATGTGTTTATCGTATTTAATCACTTCTAAACTGACTTAGGATAAGAACGTTTTTCTGATGAAAAAGATAATTAGAAACTCTTTTGCGTCGCCAGAAAATGGAACTTTCTAGTTGCAGAAGACATGTGCGAATGAGAGATGTTTTCTCGTCATGTCATGAAGAAATTTCACATCCAACTGAGGTGAAGATCTTTGTTCAGACGTCGAGTCATTGTCGATTCGGATATCCGCGAAATCGATAAAAAAAAAGACAAGGTTGTGTCGAACTTTGAAATCAACTTCCATCCGTCTCGATGAACGAGACACAGCGAGGAAAATTGTTTCTTGTCGACCGATTAGCTTTTAATAGAATTGTAAATGAGAACGTGCTTCGTTTTGAGCAAAAAAAGAAGCTTTTTTCCGTCAGAAAGAACTTCTTTCATTCGTTCTGATTAACGCAGATGATTGTTGTACAATTTTGTTTATCTAACAGTAAATTCATCTGTTTATTGTCAATCATTGGAAAATGTCAACCTGTCAAGTTGAAACATTACAAAAATAGACAATGTCTCTGACATATGTAGCTCATCGATTATCGTTTATTTAATCGATTCGAGTAGTTTGCCTTGGCAGAATTCAGATCAACGCAAATTTCTTTCGAAAGAAAAATATCCAAGCGGAATGATTGACAAAGTTAAACATTAGCAAATGTGTTTCCTTCAGCACCAGTGATGATCACGTCGATCCATATGCGCATCAGTTCGACGGTGGGAGCAACGAGATAATAAGGCCTTTGCATGGTTTTCATAATGAATGTTGCTTCGCGTGGTTCAGGTGAACGTAGCGAAATTGATTGTAGTTGATCGATGTAAACTTCTACGATCGACTGGAAATCAATCGACCCGCGTAGTTTCAATTCGTTTTTATCGAGATAGTAGGACAACGAACGACGCTGACGATCGAAGACAAACCATCGCCGGTTCCATGTTTTGAATTTCATTCCACCCATTTTATAGAGATAACCGCGACATGTCGCTGATGTTAAAGTGATCTGAGATGATGTCAATAAGTGACCGGCACCTTCAATGTGCGCACGAAGGTCAAAATCAACTGACCGGACTGGTAAATAGCGGGTTAACGGGCGTTCCTAAATGAGAATGACAATCAAAAGCGAAAAATTCGATCTTGGTTTTCTACTTGTGTTCGACTTTTTTCACGCAGTTTCACATGTTTGTCATCAGCGAGCTTCTGCTCGACTTCCAGACGTTTTAAATTATTATGATACCGCTCGCGTATCTACAAAAGTCGATTAGAACGGAAAAAAAAGACCCAAGATTATATCCTATTTACTTGTTGTTCTAAGTTTGTAATTTCTTCCAATTTGATTTTCACTATCATTTCATTGATTTTATCCTGTTGATCACCAGTTTTTCTCAGTCTAAGTCATATACAAAGATACATCGAAGGCTCGATTTGGCATGTCTTACTTCGGTGACGACAGATCATCACGATATTTGTATAAATCGAATGGAGTTGATTGATAAAAGTTACGCGGTAGACTATGTCCATTGGATCGTGTTTCTAAAATCACAAATTCTCTGTTCTTTAGGCTACAACCGAAAAAGAGTCAGTTGACCTTGAATTTTACGTTCGTATTCATTAGCCTCGATCTTTTTTTGCTTGTAGAATAATTTCAGTTTTTGTTTTTCTCGTTCGAGTTTTTCTTTTTCCAATGTCGTCTGATGTAAGGCCAAGTATTGTTGATGATCGAGTTCTCGTAATGTGTTCTGAAGGAAAAGACAAGACGTCTGAAGAAAGTCAAGTTTAAAAGATTTTACTTGTCGCATCTTGGCGTTTTGAGTGACGAGCTTTTGTTCATTGCGAAATTGTTCTTCGGCTTGTTCGAGTTCGGACTCGCAACGTGTTTCCAATTCCATCAATTGAAATTCTAATTCTTCGTATTTCTTTCTGGTAAATGAGAGATTTTCCTTTTTCCTACAAGATGAAACATTAGGATTGAGCAATAACTGAAGATTGATGCGGCTTACTGGAGAACTGTGTCATCCGGTGAACGATATTGTTCTTCCAAATCACGTAATTCCCGTTCGAGTTTGAATAAAACTTGTTGCGTATAACTTATTTGATTTCTGATCTAATAAGAGAAGAAAAAGAATGTTCGCCGAAGATGTTTATCTCTCGACTGACTTACTGAAGTTTTCTCTGCCATGATGCGCTCGACTAAAACTTGTAAATTGATATGCTGTTGTCGAAGTTTTTGTTGGTCACTATCGCTTGCATCCAATATTTGTTTGAAGACTAGCTCATGTTCACCTTCAATCAGTGCTTGTTCGAATTCCAGCTAGGAACAGATGAGAAGAATATGTATATCTAACAGGAACACTAGACATGATTATTTTCTCTTCTCGTCGATCGATCGGAGAAGAAAGAATTCTTGGTGCCTTTTCTCTTTGATATCTGACGAAAGAATTTGTAATTAATCAATAATCTGACATAGCATAAAGGAAGTAGCGGTAAACAGATGCAACAATACGTGTTGCTCAACGTCCGCGGATGAGATTCGGAACATTCTTTTCTTTGCCGAAAGACAGACGCGTATGTCAGAGATTTGAGAAGATCAAGGAAAAGAAAGTGATTGACCCCTATGGAGCCAATTATCGAAATAATCTGCTAATGTCTTATTATCTTACTTCGCGTGTAACTTCATTAAGGCGACTTTCAACATCAACGATATTCTTCTTAATAAATGTCATATCAGTTAAAGTTTTCTCGTAGTCGATCTCATATTGTTGCAATTGATTAATATTGATTGTGCCATGATTAACATCCTAAATGTTATCCGATACGATAATGTCTGATGAAAGATATTTAATAAGACATACTTCATCAATACTCGATATCGATGTGGGACGAACATCGATGATAATGCCCGAATCAAATATGGGCATTCGATATGGATCTGATGAGCGTTTCTGTTGCCAGGATATACGACGTTGATGAGTGTCGAAATCGATGGGATAAAGAATGTTCGATGTTGCTTGAGATGGCGTTACCAGAATACTTTTCAAACTGGACGCTTTTCGTTGTTGAGATGTTTGCTCATCTTTTCGGAGAAGATATTCTGAGCGTGACAAGGGTTTCTCATCGGAGGATGAAAGCAGTTCGGATGAAGATGAAGTATCGGACAGGAATTTGTCTTCATTTTCAAATTTAACCGTGAGTGGTTCATGAAATCGACGTGTTGTTGGAAGAAGTAATAGACCATTAGTAAGAATTCGACGAGACAATGAAGTTTTCCGTTCATCAGTCGTATTCAAATCAATTTCATTGTTTGTTACCGTTGGTTGGTGAAGCAGTGAACATTCTGAGAGAGAATGATGAACGTTCGAAGTCTTATTATTCGAATAAACTAAAGAGAAACGAAATCCATCAATCAAAATGTTGATATTTGTCCTTATCATTCGAAGAAATGCCTTCTCTTACTCGTATCCTGCAACGTTGACGGTGTTGATATGAAATCAGATAAGCTTGATGAAGAAGACTGAATGACCCTCATTGTTTGAATATGTTGAGAGGAACGTCGTGATGATATTGTTGGTTGAGGAAGAGATATGGCTGACGGAATGATTTCAGTATCAGTCACCGGTGATAAAGATAATGATGTATACACTTTCGCGTTGATCGTCGTTGTTGTTCCACATAGTCGTGATGCTGAAAGTGTTTCATTGGCATTTGTACATGTTTCCAATGACGCTTCAGTGTAACAGGAGAGAGGACGGGTTGAATTCGATGTCACCGAAGAGCGATGAGTTTTCGGGGCGGAGATAAGTGAGTCCGATGACTAGAAAAATCGAGGAAATGAAAGGAGAAAAAGACGACATGATTCGAATTACTTTTGCCATATCGTAAACGATTAGTTTTTCATTTTCATCCTCCGTTTCTTCGTCAACATCAGGTTGTGGACTTGGTGATTCGTAGATAGTTGAAAGACGTTCGATCGAATCTTCACGTTTGTTCATATTCAATAGTGGAAGATCCGTCTTCTCTTCGATTTGTTGATCATTCTCGTACAGAATCGTATCATTATCATCGTCGAGTAAAATTATATTTGATCTCGGAATCGTTTGTATCAACTGAATTTCTTCGTCTTGATCCATTTCATCTTCGTTTTCTTCAGTTATTGTTAAACAATTCGGAATCAAAGATGAATGTAGATAGTAAGGAGATGATGGCTCATAATTGATCTCATCGGATGAAAAATCCTCCTCCTATGCTCACAAATAACAACATGAACTTCACCAGAACAGATCAACTTACGAAAAAAACCGCAATTTTCGAATTTAACTGACGAGACGTCTCTTCATTAACATCGGAAAGATCGATATTATACACAAAGTTATCAGCCGCTGATTGTTTCTCTTGTTGATCGCATTGAATAAAAGCAGCTAGTTCCTTATCATAAATATCCGCTGCTGAAATCGGTGCTGATCGACTTCGTTGGACGGAATAATCATAATATAAGTTATTCTCAGCAGATACACCAGACAGATCAAGTTCAATCAATGTTCCACTAGAGTTGTTCTGGTCCACACGAGTTCCATGACGTCCACGTACACATAGATCATCAGCACTTTTACTTTGATATTTTCTCTTGGATAGGATTAGAGATTGTTGCTTATGACTTCGTTCGAGTAAATCTTCTAGTGCGAATAGTAAGTGGCGAGATGAAGGTTCTTCTAAACGAATTCAATAGATTAATTTCTTTTTTTTATTTCTACATTGTGCATTAATCGAGATTTGATTGAGACTATCGTACAAGATCGTTTCCTTATCCATTTACTTAATGGTCACATTAATCTTTTCTTTCTAATGGTTAATCGAAGATTGATATTATATCAATTCTGCATAGTTGATCTATATCGATTCTTTCCAACACTGCTTGCACAGTGATGGGAATAAATATAAGCAAGTTCACTCTTCTTTTCACAGTTAGACATTGTCATTAGATCTCTTATTCTTCGCAAGCCTTACATTTAGACAAAAATACCAACATCTTGACAATATTAATGTTTGACGCGCGAGTCTCTCTTTGTCTTTATTTACCTTGTTGATATTCATCATTTATATCCATCTTCCAATTGTTGTTCGTTGTCATCTTGATATAGATCAATTCATCTTTGATTATAAATGAATATAGAAGAAGAAGAAGAAGACATCTGAAGTAATAGTTCAGAAGAAATATGTGTGAATGAAAGAAGAATAAGCAGAAAATGATCAAAACCGTGTTGATTAATGTATATACTTGAATGTATTTCGGCCTTGCAGGGGGTGGCAAGCGTGCAATCGGTTGGTGTAATAGGAATAAGAATAATGTGCGAGAACACAGTCACCGGGTACAGAACGAGACACACATACATACGCTAACACTCGAAGAAGCAAAAGCGATGAAAAGAAAGAAAAGAAGAATAGAGCAAACAAACTGCCTGTGTTGATCGACAAAAAAAAAGAAAAGGGACATAGGAATAAGCATTGTCGACAATTATATGACGAGAAAGAAGAAAAAAAGAAGACGAGACACACATAAGAATACGCTTACCGTTATTCTGTGGATTGATCTGTCTCAGTCACTTAATCATACCTCTACATTCAGATCTAGCTTGTATCGGACAACAGAGATCTTCGTTTTATGATAGAAATCGGACTAAATTAATATTGTCGTTGTTTGTGTCAATATTGACAAAAGATTTCATGAATGAGAGAACAAATGTATAATGATGATTAACTAACGTGCTGAGAGTTAACGAAACATGGATGTGTACATGACTGTCTGTTGAAGTTAGAGACAATTAACATTAATATTGTCGTCTCATACAGTTGAGATTAATCTTTCACATTTATTTGCTCCGAATGTATCAAACTATACAGTTTGCTACTTAACTCTAACGATGATTTATCAGGTGTCATGTCGAATGAAAAGAAGTGCGTCTTTGATGATTTCAACTGAAATCGAGGCTTGTCGAAGAACACTTACCAATATAAATAATTTGTTTTTTTTTCGATCTATGGACAGTTCATGGCTGTTATATAAGGTGAAAGTCAAATATAAACGTATAGCATAACTAATGTTTAATTTCTGTGTTAATTAAAAAAAGAATCACAACTAAAAACATACAATTCCTATTCTATAACTAGGTCAATGACATAAATAGTACTGTATGATACATCTCGTATGTCATTTGTTGGGAGTAATGAAAAAGCTAAACTATCAGATTTTACTTTCGCTTCCAGGTAGATCAGTTGATAGGTCATCCAGATGTGTTTGTTTCAAATGTTCAAGTACATCACTGAACATTCGAGCATTTACTTGTATTTTTTGCATTATTTCGACATCACGACATACAAAAGTTATGGCTTCGTGTATCGATTGCAATCGATAAACGTATCAGATAAAATTACAATGAAATCAGAGCGTTGTTTTGCATATACGCCAAATAAAGATACATTTGCATCTGAGGAAGTATACTTCTTACAGTATTCTTCATTACATCTGCCGTAACATACAATCCTCATGATATCACCTTTTCCCAAGATTCTAACTAGAGAAATTGATTTATTACTTCAAAGAAGAAAAATAAAGAATCAGTCATGGAAGTCAGTGGATTCTTTAAGCACAACCGTATATTTTCTTCACTTTGTAGATGTCCGACTCGGTCAACACGTTTCCTGTTCCCATCGTGTATCGCCAATCTTTTGAAGCTCCATCCGCAGTTACCATTACTGGTAAACCATTCGTACTGAAGCTATTGTAAGTATAGTGCATGATTGAATCTAAACAAATCATCAATTCAACTCGATTTGCAACATCATGAGATCAGTCCGACTCTTACTAAAATCATAAGGTAATCCAACACTCTGAAAAGCAGCTGCTTGATTTTTATCGAAATTATGTTTGTTTTCTAAACGATATCGATTGTGTAGATGTGCAAAAAACAGTAACTACGAAGTCGTACCTGGTTCGATGTTTTCATACAAGACTTTAATATATTGATCTCTGTCGGGACGTGTTTGTTCATGATTGAAACCGAGTGAATGAAGAAACTCGTGAATGATTGTGTCTTTTGTCATACAACCACTGCGATCAAGCGAGAGCTCTTGAAGACCACCGCGCCATGATTTTCCAACGCCAGACCAACATCTACGAATAGTCATTGTATCATACGGATAGAGTATTTCTTACAGCTATGATGATAAAACCTTACCCATCTTTATTGAGAACACGCACATAATCTGGTTGATTGGTCCGAGGAACAAAACGAACGCAGTTGCCTGTTTTTGTAGTGAGCTCCGCGAGACTGTCCACGATCAGTTGCTTTTCACTGGGTGGATAGATATCATCAATTTCATAAAAGACTGTGTTATCGGGCCACTTCTGAATACCTTCTAGTTCGGCGCGTTTCGTGTGTCTGTAGTGACATTGAAATGTGTGAGATGAAATAATCAAACAACAGACGATAACGGATAAAACTCGCAACATTATCTAGAAAGAAAATTCATATGTAAATCCAATCGAATACTATTGATTGACAACGAGATCGTAAGCCGCGTATAGGCTTATGGCGAGGGCAGACCAGTGAGGATGGCAAATCATAGTGAAATATTATGATACTATTTGATTTTATGTTGCGAGCAGAAACGAGAGAGAGAGCGAGAATATAAAAAGTTATATTTTCGATTGCGTCAAAGGGCCTTAATCGAATTCGTTTGTACATGATGAAAAATATGTTTACTGTCACAAAATATATTTATCGAGCTCAAAAGGATGACAGAAAAATATATGCGATCACGGTAGGTGCATTCACATTGAGAGTAATGGCGATGGACAAAATTATTTCGTTTTGCATGACTGAGCGAAAAATATTATGAGAGAAGCCAATATTTGCATAAAGGTCGACATAGTATCAAGATCAGTAACCGATATTTTTGGGCGTCAGCCATTTGATAAGTAATTCGCTGGTTAGATTTTGGTAATTAGAAAAGAAGAGTAAGGTGCAATCAATAATATTTTCTCCAATCGAAATGGTTCGCGATCATATTTTCTCTATCTGATAATGAATGAATAGGTAATGGTCGAAACATTTCTATAAAAAGAGATATAGCTACGGTATGATTGTATTCCTTAATATTTTATACCCTACTTGTTGATAAACAAGTCATATCCTGTGTTGTTGGACAAACCATATATACAACAAAAAACTTCATTTTGTCTAATCATATGCATTCCTCTCTGCCCGCGTTCTCTTTGTTTATTTTATACATCAGTCACCCATGGTATCATTCTCTTTCAGATTGGCGAACGGCTGCAATCTCACGATGTCTCTCTTCAACAAAATATTGCTCATTGCACTCCTCATGTGCAGCTGCACTGTTCATGGATACAATCGAAGACACATGAAAAAAGATTATTCAAATGAGAAACGTCTCCTACAACTTCTACGTGATTTAGAATACGATTTCGATGAACGTACAATCCACAGCAAGAGTAAGTTCGATACAATCGACATAAGCGCACATCGAATTCTTGTTAAGGAGTTGTGCCAGCGGGTGATTGCACAGCAGATATCTTGGAAGGATATCAATGGGATGGACAAGACGCCATGAATATACCCGGAGTTGATTCGCATCAAGTCTGTATGGACAATTGTGATATGAACGAAAAATGTATGGGATGGTCATTCAAAGCAGATTCTCGAATGTGCTGGGGACTAAACTCAATAACCGGTGTTATCGCAGTAGCAGGCGTTAATTCGGGATCATGCGTTGGTAAGTGAAAAATAGAACTGACTTTGTTTTGTTCTTGAAATGGACACATAAGTTTGCGAGTGTTTATTTTCGTAGGACAAAACTTAAAAACAAAATGTGAAGAGAAAAAACAAGGACAATATTCTACTAACACCATTAAAACACTCCAAAACATCGGCACAGTAGAGATTTGTATGCAACGCTGTGACGAAGAAAAATTATGCTTTGGATGGGTTTATGACGGAAACGGCAATATTTGCTATCTTGCAAGCTCTTTGAGCGATTTTCAATCAGGCGGGGGTTTTCTAACTGGATCTTGTATTGGTAAGTCTCGTATTGAACGCCGAGTTTTCGTCTAACGATATCTTGCCTCTGGATTTAGCCACACAAAAGCGTGTTCGACTTGCTGATCCTTTGAAAGTCTTTCGAAAAGAAGTCCTTGAACGACACAATCTCAAACGAAAATTACATTGTGTTGGCGATTTAGCACTCGATGATAATCTCAACGAAGTTTCGCAACAATTTGCTGATAAACTGGCTGCTGCTGATGTCACCCCACCTGACTATGATGCAACAAAGATGCAAGCAGTCTACTTCGGTAAAGGAGATATCGCTCTTAATGGTACGTATACGTGCATGTCCTACCTATCGAATCAAGAAGAATTCTCTTTGATTTCTAGGCGCCACCGTTGTCGATAACTTTTATAACGAAAATAAATTCTACAACTATGAGAAACCGGACTTTTCATCAACGAGACATTTTCCAAAGATCATCTGGAAGAGTTCGAGCAAGTTGGGAGTAGGTCGAGCATTCACAGTCGATAAGAAGTCGATGTTTGTTGTGATCACTTATGATTCAACTGACACTCTTACCGATTCATCGTATCAAACCAATGTGCAAAAGAAATGTTCATAGTTCTGCATATGGATATGGGAGGCTTTAGAAGACGAAAACTTTAATTTTCCGCCTAATTCATCTAACCATTTTGATTTTCGATAATTTAGTTTCTTGTTCGTTATCAATAAAATGAGACACGCACATTTTATTTGACGAAGTAAGGACAATCAGAGAGAAAGAGACATGCTCACCTTATTCTCTGACTTTACTTTTTTGAATCATCAATGATACATCGACATTCACACCTGATTTACGGTAGGGAGCTGAGTAGAAATTAATATTGTCGTTGTTTGTGTCAATATTGACAAAAGATTTCATGAATGAGAGAACAAATGTATAATGATAATTAACTAACGTGCTGAGAGTTAACGAAACATGGATGTGTACATGAGTGTCTGTTGAAGTTAGAGAAAATTAACATTAATATTGTCTTCTCATACAGTTAACAGAGTATCACGCCAATTTTTAGCTGAATGTTTAATCGTAGACTATTGAGAACGTTCCCTGACGCATAAATTCTGGCCATTGTACAGATATTGTGTTTCGCAAAGCTGGTTTTCTTAGTAATCTATATAAACTTCGTTCATTTTGACTTGGTCAGAAAAACGACGTTCTCTCGAGCTGTATCCAGTCATGATCTTGTAGCTTTATCCGATCGAGATGAATTAGTTTCGTTGCAAGTGTCAAAACGGCCGATTTTATCTTTTCAGAGCACACCGAAGTATTCCGAACAAAAGCTTCAGCTCCTGCTCGAGTCTGATTAAGAAAAAAAAACGATTCTTTAGACAAAGAAGTGGAGATCTACTTCGTCATTCATATGGAATAACGAGCTGTATCGATGTTAGAGAAGAACTATCGCATTGGTTTAGCAATAACTTCAACCATGAACTTTCCTATATCGTACTAAAAGCTAGTTGATAGGTTTTGCATCGCATCAAAAAGTGATAAAACTTGGATGATTTGAATTGAAATGAAAAGCAACTGACGAGCACTTATCAATACACAGGATCTGTTCTTTTTCGATTTATCGGTACTTCATGGTTATTGTGCAAAGTAAAAGTCAATAATTGATATTTAATATCCTTCGTATTTGAAGAGAGCATAGCAAGTCGAAAATACAATAACTATTTTGTATCTAGGTCGATGACATCAAAGTTCGCCTCGTATATCATTTCTTGTGAATTATCAGAGATGAAATGATCACATCTTTTTATATTTGTTTTAAAGGCCAGTACGTACAATAGAACATGTCGATATGTACCTGCTGCTTCTATTCAAGGAGTATGTGAGGTAAAGTTAGCATGAAATCCGATCAGAAAAATATTTCAGTCTCACCCTCAACACTTCTCAGAAGGTTCTAACTAGAGAAATCTATTTATTACTTAAAAGAAGAAAAAAAAAGAATCAGTCATAGAAGTCAGTGGATTCTTTAAGCACAACCGTATATTTTCTTCACTTTGTAGATGTCCGACTCGGTCAACACGTTTCCTGTTCCCATCGTGTATCGCCAATCTTTTGAAGCTCCATCCGCAGTTACCATTACTGGTAAACCATTCGTACTGAAGCTATTGTAAGTATAGTGCATGATTGAATCTAAACAAATCATCAATTCAACTCGATTTGCAACATCATGAGATCAGTCCGACTCTTACTAAAATCATAAGGTAATCCAACACTCTGAAAAGCAGCTGCTTGATTTTTATCGAAATTGTGTTTGTTTTCTAAACGATATCGATTGTGGAGATATGCAAAAAACAGTAACTATGAAGTCGTACTTGGTTCGATGTTTTCATACAAGACTTTAATATATTGATCTCTGTCCGGACGTGTTTGTTCATGATTGAAACCGAGTGAATGAAGAAACTCGTGAATGATTGTGTCTTTTGTCATACAACCACTGCGATCAAGTGAGAGCTCTTGAAGACCACCACTCCATGATTTTCCAACGCCAGACCAACATCTATGAATAGTCATTGTATCATATGGATAGAGTATTTCTTACAGCTATGATGAGAAAACCTTACCCATCTTTATTGAGAACACGCACATAATCTGGTTGATTGGTACGAGGAACAAAACGAACGCAGTTGCCTGTTTTTGTAGTGAGTTCCGTGAGACTGTCCACGATCAGTTGCTTTTCACTGGGTGGATAGACATCATCAATTTCGTAAAAGACTGTGTTGTCGGGCCACTTCTGAATACCTTCTAGTTCGGCGCGTTTCGTGTGTCTGTAGTGACATTGAAATGCGTGAGATGAAATAATCAAACAACAGATGATAACGGATAAAACTCGCAACATTTTCTAAAAGAGAAAGTGAAATGTGAATTCAGTTGAGTAATATCAACTTATGAGGACACAGCAAATGAGACGTAGCTTGTAACAAAGTAGGATCAGAAACGATTGCGAACCACTGTGTAATATACTTTGTTACAATATCGTCTGACTTTATTTCAGAAAGAAGAGAAGGGGAGGAAAAGAGAGAGAGAGAAAAGGGGAAATTATTGCCCCGATTTTGCAAGCGATTCATCTAGTTCGATTCTAACGGGTGAGATAAAAAGTATATTTACAATATTTAAAAAAACATTTACGCGGGCGACAATTTATTCAGAAAGAACGACGCATTTTGACGCCACAATTTTCTCACGCTTCACTGATCAACGTGCATTTGAATGGAGGGATATACTCATGCAGTATTTGACATCATCGATTGTGTGTCAAATGTCACAAAAAAAAATAAGTAGAACACCCCAAATCGTCGCGTAGGAAGAATGACTAGTAAACAACGGTCCATATTTTATTTATTCAGATAAATTGACGGGCATGATTCTTATATTTATTAAAAACAGAGGGAAGGGCGAGAGGAGAGACTGAAGAGAACGTCTCTCTTCTTAGGCTTTCAGAGAAAAGTTGTTTGTCACGGTTGAAAAGTCTGTACAAAATAATATATAACTACATCAATACTACTTTTCTCCATATTTCTCTCCTTTTTTTCTAGTCAACAGATTACACCTCTTCTCTCATATGCGCCATATATATCACAGTAGATTCTATGTTGACTGATCAAATGTTTCCTCGTCTAATCGTGATAGTTCGCATTGACAAATAAACTTTTTGATTCATTTCATTCTCTTTCAGATTTAGAAATCACTGACATCTCACGATGTCTCTCTTCAACAAAATACTGCTCATTGCACTACTCATATGCAGCTGCACTGTTCATGGATACAATCGAAGACACATGAAAAAAGATTATTCAAATGAGAAACGTCTCCTCCAACTTCTACGCGATTTGGAATACGATTTTGATGAACGTACAATCTATGGCAAAAGTAAGATACAAACAGAATGTGAAGGTGTATTAATATGACGGCGTGATTTAGGACTTGCATCAGTAGGCGACTGCACAGCAGATATCTTGGAAGGATATCAATGGAATGGACAAGACGCCATGAATATACCCGGAGTTGATTCGCATCAAGTCTGTATGGACAATTGTGATATGAACGAAAAATGTATGGGATGGTCATACGAAGCAGGTTCTCAAATGTGCTGGGGACTAAACTCAATAACCGGTGTTATCGCAGTACCAGGCGTCAATTCGGGATCATGCGTTGGTAAGTGAAAAGTAGAACTGACTTTGTTTTCTTGTTCAAATGGACACATAAGTTTGCGTGTGTTTATTTTCGTAGGACAAAATCTAAAAACAAAATGTGAAGAGAAAAAACAAGGACAATATCTTTCTCACAATATTAAAACACTTCAAAACATCGACACAGTGGAGAGTTGTATGCAACGCTGTGACGAAGAAAAACTATGCTTTGGATGGCTTTATGACGGAAACGGCCAGATATGCTACTTATCCGACAGGGTTGGCCGATATGTAGAAAGTGACGGATTCTTAACTGGATCTTGTATTGGTAAGTCTCGTATTGAATGCCGAGTTTTCGTCTAACGATATTTTGCCTCTGGATTTAGCCACACAAAAGCGTATTCGACTTGCTGATCCTTTGAAAGTCTTTCGAAAAGAAATCCTCCAACGACACAATCTCAAACGAAAAGAACATTGTGTTGGCGATTTAGCACTCGATGATAATCTCAACGAAGTTTCGCAACAATTTGCTGATAAACTGGCTGCTGCTGATGTCACCCCACCTGACTACGATGCAACAAAGATGCAAGCAGTCTACTTCGGTAAAGGAGATATCGCTCTCAATGGTACGTATACGTACATATCCTACCTATCGAATCAAGAAGAATTCTCTTTGATTTCTAGGTGCTAACGTTGTCGATAACTTTTATAACGAAAATAAATTCTACAACTATGAGAAGCCGGACTTTTCATCAACGAGACATTTTCCAAAGATCATCTGGAAAAGTTCGAGCAAGTTGGGAGTAGGTCGAGCATTCACAGTCGATAAGAAGTCGATGTTTGTTGTGATCACTTATGATTCAACCGACACTCTTACCGATTCATCGTATCAAACCAATATTCAAAAGAGATGTTCATAATATCGTAAACATGGACGTTGAAGACTTAAAAACAGAAAAATCTCCAATTTTGAATATAGATTTTTTTCGAGTTAGTTTTTAAATAGAAAATCATTATTTTTTATCGAACTGGCATGATATTTTCTCAACAATTTTTATTGAATCTTTCAATAATAAAGAATAAAAAGAACACTTGCACGTTCCGCCCTCTATCGTCGTATCCAATCAGCTTCATCAATATACGAATATCCAAAAATGAAAAATCCGATTGCCTTTTACAGAGCATGAGGACTCGTAGTAAATGGATGCCGAGCAAGCCATACGTGAGATGCTCGTTTGTGAGAGTCGTGCTGAAGACAATGATTCAACATATCATTCACATTTGGTGAATGTGTGGAACGCGCACCGTTCGGTGGACGCGGTGATTCTTCACGCGGTGCGTCACCATACGTCATGTTATATAAAATAGCACCAGCAGACCATATATCTGCTTTTGATGATATATGTGCACCCGTGACGAAACATTCAGGTGCACTAAAATAGGGTGTACCAATCCCACTTGCATTTGGATCATTTCTATATGAAAAGAAATAATAGCAAGAACAAATAGCAATAGAGGAAAATCATACCCTCTGACTACTTTTTGTGCGATGCCTAAATCGACAATCTTCATAATCGGACCGAAAAAGACTAAATTATCCGGTTTCATGTCACGATGAACCTAGAGATCGAAACTGCGGGTTTATCCAGTTGGGCGAACATTCCCTTACCACATGATGACGATGCAACGTTTGTACAATATTCGCTAATTGAATCCAAATATTCTTTCGATCACGAGGTGATATATAATCACCCGACGGCCCATTCATCTCATCATACATCGGTAACTTTCGCTGTGCATTCTTCAATGCATGAAGTTTTTCAATTCGCGTTGATAACGTATCTCCACCGAGTTCCATGGCCATCAATGCCAATCCTTTCTTCATATCGAAATCAAAACCAAATATTGTTACTACATGCCGCGTTTCCTGCCGCATTTTATAAGCCATTCGAATTTCTTTCTCAAACGATTCCATCAACATTGTCGGCTCGAACTGATTCCCATCTCGTCCACTAATATCGATTGCTTTAACTGCCGCACTACGACCTTCAATTTACCTACGTCATCAACTACTGAAAACTACTCAGTAAAATTCTCACCCTCTGTTGTACGAGCCGACCAAACCGATCCGAATGCACCTCCACCTAAACGACGAATCAATGTATACGATTGATCTTTTATTGTAAACGTCTGATTTCGTAATGATTGATCCGGGTAGTAATAATTAGAGCCATCATCTACAAGAAAAACACTGACTCAATATGAAGTTTCTCGAGCAAATATTTACCACGTCGAATTCTATTCAATAGACTACCCATGTCTATTTTCTTTTGCCTAAAAGAAATGTAAATAGTCTCTGAAAATGAAATATTAATAAATGAATGATACACGTTATGATTTGCCAATCAAGGACAAAAACGTGTACGTGTGCATATCTTGATGTATAAAATAATATGTAATGATGCGTAGCTCAGCTTGGTTGGAGAGAGAAGCGTAACTACTCAGATAAAACACATGGTTGCTTACATCTATTTGACGACGTATGTTCCTTAAAATGTTTTTTTATTGATTAATACAACATCGTTTTGCTCAATTATAGCAAATTGAATCAAGATAAAAAGAACACACAACGAAACAACAAGCAAGATTGATATTTCACGATATCATGATATAGGGCAGTGTGCGTATAACAAACAAACTTATTCGCGCGATTAGTCAACAATAGATCACGTTCTGTTGGTGTAGCGGTTATCACATCTGCTTAACACGCAGAAGGTCGCAGGTTCGACACCTGCACAGAACAGTTTTAGTTTTTTTTGTTCTCAACAACTTCGTTTCGAATGAATAACATGATTGGAATGGAAAGATGGAATGAGGTTCTGTTGGTGTAGCGGTTATCACATCTGCTTAACACGCAGAAGGTCGCAGGTTCGACACCTGCACAGAACAGTTTCTTTTTTTCGGTTTTAATTCACTCGTCCTTGGTTAAGCGATGAAAATTAATATTTTTATTCAAGGATATTCAATTTATACGGAGTAATTAGACGTAAAAGCAAGCGAAATGTTTATTTTGTTCAAAAATTAATGAGCTATGTCCGAATGGTCGAGCGTTTTCGCTTTGGGATCAATCGTTTTCTTTCCCGGTTTCCAATTCGCCGGACAAACTAAACAAATCCGAATGAAACTCAGCGAGCCGATTAGAAGATAATTACCTTCACCATGTTTATCGGTAAATTGAAACGCTTGAACTAATCGAAGTGTTTCATCGACAGAACGACCAACTGGTAAATCGTTGATGGTCATCTGTCGAAGAATACCACGAGTATCGATTACAAATAAACCGCGAAATGCGATGCCTTCATCTTCTTTCAACACACCATATTTTGCTATGGAAAAAAAGTTTCATATTCACCGGATGTAGACAAGCGCGTTTTACCAGCGATTTCCATAGTCTTATCCGATATTAATGGGATATTCATTTTACCCAAGCCGCCCTGTTTTCGATCTTTTGTCATCCTAGAGCAAAACACAAACTCAGAAACTTTCTCTTGTGTGAAGGAACCTTACCAAGCAAAATGACTATAATGCGAATCGGTTGAACAAGCGAGAATTTCGCATTCGATTTCACGAAATTCATCAGCGCGTTCACTGAATGCGATGATTTCTATAAAAACAATGACGATAGTTATTCTCTATTTGTTCACTGGCAAATTACCAGTCGGACAAACGAATGTAAAATCCAATGGATAGAAGAAGAGCACAACGTATTTGCCTAAGTAGTTGCTCAACGTAATATCTTTAAAGTCATAATCAACGACTGCTGTAGCGGTGAAATCAGGCGCTGGTTTACCAATTTTAGCCGACATTTCTTTTCTGTGAAATATGCAAACAATTCGGAGCATTTATAGAAGTTCATCTATTGTCGTGATCTAATTATTTGTTTCTCTAGAGAAATTTACCACCTAGTTTCGATAATCAAGATGAACTCAACTGAGAATATAAGCAATTAGTCGATCGGCAAAATGCACTCGGCATTTTCATGCAGCGCAACAGCTATTTTGGTTCTAACAATTGGAATTGAAACTTAATAACTCATTTGATTTTCTTCTGTTCTGAGGATTAAAAAAGTAGTTTTTGTTCTCGCTAATTCTTTTGTTTTCGAATTGAAATTTATATGACGTCATTTTGTGAAAGTATATAAGAAAATATGAAAAATAGTTTAATTATTCAAACTCGAGACGCATTCTCATCATGTCCAAGTCTTTTGTCTTGTTCTACATCGTCATTGTGATCCTGGTAGAAAAAACTGTGTCTTTTCCCCGCGAAATTTACTTCGAAGGAGAATCTTATCGGTAAAATAACTTCAATTCTCTTCGTTTTGCGCTGAACTTGTGTGTTTAGAGTCGAAGGTGATAATCGTCTTCTTCGTGTCGCGAAAAAATGTACCGGTAATCGATTAGGCCTGTATGTTCCATACAACGCCGTGAAATTTTTCTGGTCGGGCTTCGGTGTTGCTGATAGTGATAAAGTCGCTGCAGAAATTGCTCAGCATGTCGCGGAGAAGGAAGGCAAGAAGGGTGTCACACTCGAAACACTTCTCGAACTCGAGGAAAACCGACATATCAAGCCATGCAAATGGACAGTGCCAGTCACACCTGAATGTCGCCAGTTCTGGCAAGATCTTTCATGTGAATACGCATCAACGGCAAGAGGTTTCCGATTGATTTTCCACAGAAATTCTTTGTTTATATGAGAACTCGTCTTCTAGGAGAAGTTCGAGTCATTCTCGGACCGCGAGTTAGTCCGACAAGTGCATGGCTAACCACGGAAAAAGATCAGTTAGAATACCTTCGAAGTAACGGACAAGACTTATGGGGTTTTAAACAATATGAATTGGAAAGCGTCTATTGCAAAGACATGGCCACTCATCAAACAAGAGTTCCCGAAATCAAACAAGAGATTTGTATGCGAAAAGTTTAGAGGTCGGCTAGATGTCGTTCGAGGATGTTTGAAACTCAAACGAGATCATTCATTGCAGCAAATGTTTGATCAATAAAAATTCGTATTTTATCTTCGCCTTTTTTTTCTATTTTATGGATAAATTTCTCGTCGAAAGGTTCGATTTGGAACCGAATTCTAACGATGAAACTCCGATTGATTCGTTTAAATTACTTCATGATTTCAACGCCTATCAAACAGCATTGCATGAATACGCGTCGAAGCATCAGTTAACCGATTTCGAAGAGTATTACTACCGCATTGAAACTGATCCTCGACGTAAATTTCTGTATGATGTTAGTCAAACATATTTCGATAATTATTTTCTTTCGATCTATTTCATCTTATCGAATCCATTTCTAATCACTCAACCAACGTTTCATAATCTGTATGCAACTAAACATCTCTTGCCGGATATCGCCGATCATATCATCTATCTTTATGAAACTATGAGTGAGAAAGCATCGAGATTTTCTAATAAATTCCTATTGGAAAAATTTATCGCCAATCTCGAATTCGATTCTCTACCAGATGAATTAACCGGTGATGATTATAAAGAATATTTCATACTCTTTGCTCGCGAGGCAAACCGGTTGAAGACTTACCTAATCGGCTTGAGTCAACAACCGAAATGGCTCGAACATTCTGAACAAGGACTCGCTCAATTCGAACCGGAAATCTATCAATTCTAATTCGAATACAATACTGGATTAAAATTGAAATCTCCCGATGATTTCAAGCGCATCAAACATTGGGCACAGAAGCATTTAGATCATCTAATGAACGAAATGGAGCAACTATCCAATCGACTATTAACTTCAGCCGAAGATCAAACGAGATCGGTTTATGAGAAGATGCTTCTCGTCGGAAAGGATGCCAGTCAACGTTGGACATCGAGGCAGGAGATGCTCGAAACATACGAGAAAAGTATCGAAAAATATCGGCGAATATTTATCGACGAACTGCAATTTAAAGAATTCAATCCACCAGGCTTGATCGTTCTCGACAATCCACTACTATCTCGGGGATATTACTACAAAGATAAATTTTATCTCAATGTTTGCAATTGGGATAACGGCGAAGCGAAATATGCCGTGGAGAATTTAACTCTACACGAAACCGTTCCTGGACATCATTTACAATTCGATATATCGTATCATTCGCCGAATCATAACTACTTAACGACCGTTCTGTCGACTCCGTGCAACGGATTCATTGAAGGATGGGGTTTATTCGCTGAACATTTAGGTGATGCCATGTTAAATAACCCATGGATTTACTTCGGATACCTACAAGCGAATATTTTACGTACATTTCGTATTATTGCTGATATACTTCTACATGTGGAAGGGCAAACGCCGTATGACGTTATTCAGTTAGCGAAATTGTATTTAACAGTAAGTGAAGAATGCATCACCAGTGAAGTTTATCGTTATCGGATCCTTCCCGGTCAAGCATGTTCATATAAAGTCGGTTTAGAAGTGTTCAAGCGGATTATGAAACAGAAATTTCAAGTAGAAGATGTCAACGATTATCTCCGACCGGATCTTCTCGATTGGTATAAAGAACTTCTATGGAAAACGGAGCGACCATTAGATATTTTATTAGCTGAAAATGGAATATCATGGTCCTTTGATGAATGAAAAAATTTCAAATTTTATTTGTTTTTGATAAATTTTGATTAATAAATTTCTAACGTATTTCGTCAAGTTTCATAGCTAAATGACCAGTTTTAATGAACAATTGACAGCCATGTTCACTTTTCACATCAAATATCTTTCCTGCCCATTCAACTGGTCGTCGAATCCAAAAACCTTGTGTGCAGTTATGCTTATTATTTTCATCTTCACTTCCGTCGACATTGCTAAAACTCATATCACCTTTCAAGACAAAGATTTCTTCGCCACCTTCTCCAACAGTCCACTGTTGACTGTTGAAACCAGCGTCCCATCTTTCCATCCAAACGTGTTCACCGGTATTTGCATTCGAAAACAGTTCTAACCGTTGTCGTTTCTCCTCATCAACGGTTTTCCATTCTTGTGAACTCTCGGTATCGATGATGGTTATCGGAGTTTCCGTTCGATCGTTCATCTGCCGAAGTTTAACTAGTAGAACAGCGCCTTGCTCACCTGTCCACGGCTCATGCGTAGTACCAATACCATGTCGACAGTAACTCATCGGACCGTGATCGCCGGACAGATCATCGGAGAAGACTCCCTCAAGAATAACAAATTCTTCGCCTCCACCATGCGTATGACGAGGAAATCGGGCAAATGGACCGTACTTGACAATCGTTGTAGCTCGAGCGACCTCATCACCCGTACGATCTAACATTCGCCGATATACACCTTGAGTTGGGGAGTCAACGTATGGGATTAGATTCGAATCAACTACATGAGGAATCGAAAGATCCGAGCGAAGTTGCATTGTAATTATGTTTACGCGTGTGAGACGAATAAGAAACAGAGTGGGTAAATACAGGACTAGCACGGAGGGTATTGTAAGCATGATTCATCAACATGAGTCGACAGAAAATCTTTTTTTTCAGATAGATAAACTCCTATTCCTAGTCTTGAGAGGTTACAAACGAAAAAAAGAGATTCTAATAAGCAGAAAATAAAACATTTCGTGACGCATGCTGACGAGTCGTGACCGTGACCAATAACCTTGCTTGCATTAGTCTTCGAAGATAACCATGAATAAGCATTAATTATCGATTAAAATATCGTTTCTTAATTAGATTTTGAGTGTTCTGTACTAAAGAATATTTTTCATGGGAAATGAAATCGATGAAGCGAAAGTTTGCTAGAAAATATTGACATTGATAAAAATCTCGCTCTGATTGTATCATCTAACATCGAAGTTGCGATCGTTTTGATTCTTTCCAATAGGTCATAAATGGAATTCTTAAAATACGCACATGACTAAGATTTATTTATCTTTACCTCTCTACTTCCTTTTTTGGGCATTGTTTTAGTCACTAGTTTACAGCTCGATATCGATGACTCATTCATCGCCCTCTTTTCTATAAACCAGTTGTGCAACTATAGTTGCATTACAACAACAACAACACATACTCAACATGGTTTCAACATTCGAGCATCTACCCGATGAAATCCTTTTGACTATTTGTCAGTTTCTATCCCAATATCACATTATTCATGGATTTTATGACCTAAATCATCGACTCAATTGTACTGTAGCACAATTTACTACATCATTTTTTATGCAACGTCGGTATGTATATGATCAGGATCAAAATCAAGAAATACTATCCACTATTGGACGATTTCTTCGATCATTAACCGTCAAAGACGTAAAATTATCTTCACAAGATCTTTTACTAACACCGAACATTCATGAACTGACTTTCATTCGAACCTGCGTCTGTCCTTTACCAGTAATTTCATCATTCAACGCAACTGGCAGTTCGCCTCATCACTTTTCTTTCTTTTTCAGCCACTTGTGCATCTGACGGATTTAAATATATTCAATCCTTTCCCAACATCTGTTACCAACACACTTTTCACCTCTAATCCCAATCTTCACTCGGTATTCATCTGTTCAACAAGTGTGTTAATCAACCTTCCACCTCCAACAGGGCAAACATCAGCCATCAAGCAACTTGCGGTGACACTTCAATCGCTTTCCGATCTTCCATCTCTACTACGCTTTTGTCCCCACTTAACTTGCTTGAATTTGAACTTACAACGCGAGATATCTCTAGAAAATTCATTTCCCACAATCAACCTCGCATCAAATCTCGCGATATTTTCACTCCGTACGCCATACGAGGTTATGGTTGACTTCGCACGTATCAAACATGTGTTCAAATATCTTCCGTCAACGCTTGAAATACTCGCTGTTGAAATCTATACTACAGATTCGACATGCCTTAATGGCCAATCCTGGGAAAACAGCTTGACAGAGAACTTTCCGAATTTACATCACATGGAATTCTTCATTTATCTAAAAACTGACCTAAAACCGATCGGTGAAACACTGAAACTACCAGATGTGCTCAAAACTTTCAAAACTCCCTATTTGTCAACTATCATTCCTCAACAGATCGCAGGTGATTACAATTCGGTATCCTACGTCAGTTCACTAAGTATCTTCACCCAACCGGCTCCGACTGTAAGACGACGTCGTTATTTTATCCACTGATTTCAACTTTATTTATTAAATACCCAAAAAAATTAACTTTTTCCATAACGTGCGCGATGATTTTGGAACCAAATACGAATTGATGACATAGGTAAAAGTAAACGTGCGGCAATTTCTTCCTGTTCATGTGCAGATGGATATCGATTTTGTGCATATATTTGATTTAGATACCACACTTGCCAATCAGATAGTTTTCGTCGTGACTGAAAAGAAACATATATTGAAATACGATACGTTCGACTCAATCAAGAATTACCTTTCTCGCTTGATTTTTCGATGCATGAACAGTACTTTCTAAACATAGACAAGACAAACTGAATGTGACATATTCAGAGAAGTTTTGTGTATAGAAAATGAACGCGTCTACTTACTCAATCGTGTCGAGATTATCTTTTTGCAATAAGAAAAGACTTACCTTGTTTTTGACAAGGAGATGAAAAAGAGGTTACCGATGAGACAGCTAATGATTCGATTGAATGAAAGTTATTTCGGGGTCGATATGTCGAATATGGTGTACTTGTCGTTGTCACTGTAAATCTTTCTGGCGAATGTCTACAATAATAAATCAACAAAACAGAATATTAATTGTCAAAACTCACGATGAACTGGTATTGCAGATGTCAAGGTCTGACAAATCTGATGATGTGTACTCATAAACTGAATGCATTTTTCAATCAATGTGAACAATCGTCGAGAAAGATATCGATATATATCCGTTTGGTCAATCATTGTGGTAATCAATCAATTAAAAGTGATACATATGTCGATGTAAGTCAATTACGGTGATCCCAATTGGATTGATGGTTAACAAATCGGATAAGAATTTCGTTTGAAAAGAAAATCCGATGCAGCGAATGAAAACTGCGCTTGTTTAATGAGAATATTTGATTAGATCGTTATGTCTGCCGAGGTAATTGAAGAAATATCGAGTTTGCCTTGATTTTTGATGAAAAATGATTTTTTTTGTTCTGCTTTGATAAGATGAATTCAAGGCATCACCTGCTGATAACATGTATATTGCCGTCGTATGCCATATCACTTATTCGCTTCGTGCTTGAACAACGTTTGATTAGGAAGGACGGCGAATGTTGTTTTTTGTGATTATTATATCGATTTCTTTTTTCTTTCCGTTTTTTTTCTCTGTCTCTCTCTCTCGTTCTCTCTGTACGTTGACAGCAGAAAGAATCAACGGGACAGTAAACGGAGCATTTCATTCGCTGTAGTTTTAAAATCACCAAAACCTACTTTTCTTAGATACCTGATATTCACTTGATCAACAATGAAAACGCTCATTCGAATTTGAACTTCCATTCTCTTCACAACCGACATGGGTACGAGCAGTTCGAAATCACCTCATCTTCCAACATCGCTCATCTCTCGCACTCAATCATTGATAACCTCATGTCATTCAAAACACAAACATCTTGATTGGACTCTTCTGCTTAACAAAGGACACGTCCGTACGAAGAAAAAAGTTCTCATGTTAGGCCTGGATGGTGTTGGCAAAACAGATCTTTTCAGTCGATTAGTATGTCAAGATAAACAAACAAGCAAAGCAGATTCTCTTCCTCAACCAACCATGGGTATGTTGATTTCTTTCGAAAGCTCTCTCAATGATCTTTTCTTAGGATATAATGTCGAAACAATCAAAGTCTACTGTAATCATCTATTTCATCGACGTTGTCATGAAATCACCCTGTGGGATTGCGGTGGTCAATCGTCCCTTCAGCCGTTATGGTCCTATCATTTCTCGAATACGTCCCTGCTTCTCTGGTTAATTAATGTACATGATCGATCGCGATTAGATGCTAATCTGCAACTACTCTCTCAAATCCTTTCCAATCCATTACTTTTTCGTGTTCCTGTTCTCATTGTGTTATATCATAGTAAACTTCACCGTCGAGATCAAAAGACTTCGAATGACGAGAAGAACGAAGGTTTATTGACGAATTTGGAAGTAGCTTTTCGCTTTCTTTCCACCTTGTCAACGTCTCACGCAAGTACATTTAAATGGCAGGTGATCAAAGTCAAGTTAAATGAAGATTCTACTAATGATTTGAAAAAAATTCAACAATCATTCAAAGAGTTAATGGAATTATAAAAATAGCATTCGAACAGCTTTTTTTTTAGTCTTGTATGTTTTCTTTTCTTTTTCTTTTATCAATCAGGTAACCAACGAACTAATTGTCGATCGTATTCATCGTTGTCGTCGGTTTCATTCGGATAACATATTGTTATATCTTGTTCATGTTTTCTCACCGGAGGAACTGCCCATTCGCGATACTAAGAAAGAGAAAATTTATCAAATCAAATCATTGTGTGAAGGAAAATCTACTCTGAATCGATTAGTCGTTGCTTGATGATAGAAGAGTTGGCGTAATTCTTGTTGTCGTTGTCGAGTGCTTTGAATACGCTTGTTTTCATCTTCTGCTTGCTTCAGAGCGGCGATTTCATCGTATTCTTTGTCTATTCGCACAAACAGATCAGTTTAAATTGATGCTTTTCGAATCAAATGTCGTTTCTACCTCTCAATGCTTTCTCTTTCATTGCTTTTGTCATCGCTGCTGTGTACCGAGCTATGAAAACAAGAAAATATTTAGAAAACAACACTCATTTTAGTCCTACGTTTATTGTCACCATTTAACGGTCGACTCTGTGTCCGCTGCTTGATTTCTCTACACGCTAATGTTGATTCAACCGGCGGTACAAGCACAACAGTGCTCCAGAACTGTGTTGCCAATTTATTCTCGTCAGTTCGAGAACCATCAAACACCGTCACTGTCGGATTCTGTCGAGTGTCGAATTCATGAACAGGTTTCAACAAACCTTTGAATTAAAGATACAAAAAATAGATTCAGAGGAAAGATCTTCAAACGACTTACTCATCTTTGAAAAGTTGCGAAAGAAAGTCTATGCCATTTTTGAATTGGTTACTATGGCGAAGACACAATTACAGAAACAGAACACGATAGACATCTATGACGCGTGTATTCAAAAAGGGTAAGAAGATGTGTTTATCTGTCGATATTATCCAGATCTTTTCTGGCAAGCATGAGAAAGAAATATCGCTTTTCAATCATTGACAATGCGTCTTCGATGTTGGTCGTTTTTGCTCTTCGCTGTTTTCCTTCATTCGATTCATTGCCTATTTCTCCAAAAAGTCAAAGACAAAATCAAAAATGCCGTTTCGGGAAAGAAAATGGTGAAGTATAGTCACGAAGAAATGATGCTGTTTCCAAACACGGGCTTCCAACGTAAGGAAGGCGATTGGCGTTTGAATCTGCATGGCTGGCGTTTCAAATCATCCCGACGAAACACATTGTTAGGTAAATCCTCATCCTCAATTGCTGAACGTATCGCCCGTTTGTTGGCCAGTTCAGAGCAGATCGTCTATTTCAACGATACATTTCAGCGTGATCGACTGAAACCTTTTATGGTGGAAGACAAAAGTAAAGAAGAAATTTTCATTCTCATTGGAAAAAAACATAATTATACGACGCAGACGGATACCGAAGGTCAATTTCGTACGTCGTTTATCATCCCGAACGAAGACGTGCAAGAAATCAAACAAACTTTAAAGAATGATCAGGTTATTACGTATCAAGCCGTGGGAGATAATGGAGATCAGTGGGAAGGAAAGGTTCATTTATTGGAACGACGAGGATTATCGATTATATCGGATATTGATGATACAATCAAAATCAGTGAAGTCGTGGATAAGATTCGGCTAGTAGCTAATACATTTATTCATGGTTTTCGTGTTGTGTCAGGTGATATGATTTGTTGGGAATGAGACAAAAAACGAGTTTTCGTTTCTTTCAGGAATGCCGGAAGTATATCGAGGATGGAAAGAGAGATATAATTGTTCGTTTCATTACCTCAGTGCTATGCCTGATCAATTATATGCTGTAACGAAGGATTTTATTGATGATCATCAGTTTCCCGATGGGACATTTCATATGCGGTAGGAATCGACCAATGAGATTCATAAAGATCACATTCATTCTTATAGACATTTCCGCTGGTCATCTGCGTCGATTTATAATTTTGTTCACTCAGTTGGTGAGTTCGTTTATGCTTTCGTCATTTGTGAATCATCGATCATTTCGTAGATACAAAAATGCATAAGATCAATCATCTCCGATATTTTATATTCAATTCTCTACGTTCGTTAGTTTTAATCGGTGATTCGGGCGAACGTGATCCAGAAATATACGGCTTTGTGGCGAGAAAGTACCCGAAACGGGTGCATCAAATATTCATTCGAGCGGTCAAGGGTGAAAAAGGTGACGAAGAACGATTCTTGAAAGCATTCGAAGGTGTGCCGAGAGAAAAATGGATGGTCTTCACCGATCCAATCAATGAACTACCGAAAGATCTGAACATAACCCTTTCACCCTCGTGACATTTTTGCATTTTTCTAATCGAAACATGACAAAAAGACTTTTTTCTCTTCAAAATACAATCTCGATGTGGTAAAGACAATTAATATGAAGAATCGCCACTGGCTGGGAGAAACAGAACCGCATAGAAATTGATTTACCGGCTTGTCCACGTAAAGTGACACTTCGCTGATCAAGTTTCGAAAAATTTTTTTTTCGATTTGAATAGATTTGAATAGGCTGTCATATGCAGTTTTTAACGCTGGTTACGAATCTGACATCCCTTTTAAAAAATAATCAGATTTTCTCAGCCAAAATCACGTTTTTCTTTTTCGGAAAATCGTATTTTGAGTTTTTTAATGGAAAAAGTTTTTCAGAACGCGCGTTAAGATAAGCCATTCGATGCAGAATTCCATTCTCTACAAAATGAGCTATTTAGTTTCCACTTTGGTAGCTAGGATCGCTCTATATCCTTGCAAACAGTTTCCAACTTTCTGATCAGGTTTTGAGCTCCCACTTCTATGAATCGGTCTGAATTTTTTATGGAATAGTTAGCTATCTATAAGGACTCACTCATAAAAAAATCAAGTCAATCTGATTATGTTAAGTGCCCCAAAAATGGCTGAGAAAAAACTGTGTCACACCGTTACGAAAAATGTCACACCGTTACGTTTGTATTTCAGCGTTTATTATCTAAAAAAAAAAGATAGGAGACTTTTCTTTTCACCATCGTGAAGCGCACGAAAAGCTCTATAAAACTGACTATTACCAAGTTACATTTATACTTGAAGCTTCACAAGAAATCGAGGATTAACCATAAGCACTCAAGCTCGAGGGTCCTTTTATGTCACACCGTTACGCTATGTAAGAATCTTTCTAGAAAACCAAGCGATTGATAGAAATTATTTATTTTTTCAGTGAACATAGAGTATGTTCAGTTGCGTCGAATGACATTTGAACGAACTCTCTAGCGTCTGTAGTTTTTGAGATACTCAAAAAATAACTTGTCAAAATGTCACACCGTTACGCTTGGACAAGCCGTTACATACACATTCTTTTCATTTCTAATCAACTTCTGTGCAGTCGCTGTTTGGCGAAACATTTCGCTCATCGAAAGTTTGCTTCAACAATTCTAATCGAAAAAAACAAGGACAAGAACAACAACAAGCACTGTCAATCATACCCGTTCGTCAACACGCAAACGTAATTTGAAGCCTCTTCAAAACCATCGTTCTTTTTCCTTCTTCTTTCATTTCGATACTTATAGTGTAGCTTTAGCTCTTGTTTTTGATGTGTTTCAATTCACAAAAAAAGACGCCGAGCTCGACAGAAACTGAAATCAAGCTAAATAGATATCAGAACTAGTGCGTGTGCATATGTTTTAGTTATTTGTGCGGAAGCCTATCAATGGCTTGAACAAATATTTTCTTTTCTTTTCTTTTTCATTACTAGCCTCAGTTTGGTGGATGTTTCTATACATTCCGGACGTAGAATGATGAATTTTGAAGAATTTCGTCGAACGGGTGAATTCTCCGATATCACTGTTATTGTTGACAAAACTGAATTTAAACTTCATACGTTTCCGCTGTTTACGAAAAGTGATTATTTCAAGAGAGCTCTCGCATCGTCATCACCGCCTTATGTTATTCAACTCGATCAGCAATTTCCAGGTGGTGCAAATGTTTTCAATCTACTAGCAGATTATCTTTATTCAATTCCGATCACGATTGATCATACAAATATCGTTCCACTACGAGCTGCTGCGTGTTTTATCGAATGTGAAGCATTGAACTCGCTGTCCGATAAACGCCTAGATGAAATCTTGATTCTTGCACAAGTTAAATACGATTTGTCCGTTCCATTAGCATTACTCGAGCAATGCAAAGGCGAATATCAACAATGGGCGACAAAAGCGAATATTGTCGAGAAATGCCTTCGATGTGTCATGGAATTATTCGTACGCGGGGTGGGTTTACAACTAAACAAGTCCGATCAAGAAAGTCTCGTTCGTTTACCATTGGAATGGCTCATTCAGTGGATTAAATTATATCCAAAAGAAAGTAAACATTCGATTCTTCCGTTTGTTAAACATTACGTTACTACATGTGCTTTACACGAAGAAGAAAACCAAACGAAGAATGATGGTAGCGATGAGAAACGGACTGTAATCGATGAAATTGTGAAAACGTTAGGTGAGACTATCGAAAATTATCCATTAGGATGGCTCAATTCAGTATATGAAAAGGCCGTAGAACTCAAATGTGAATGCGAACCGATTCTATCAGCGCATATCACTCAAGCTATTCTCAAATCAACAAAACTTCACGACGGAATCGAAACTATTCCTGATGACGTAATGACCAGATTAGTTGAACGCGTTAATAAACACAAAGAAGATCATGTGAAGGATCCGCAACTTCTTGCCAAAGTAAATCTCTCGGATTGGTATTTTTCAAAGAAAAGACCTTTGTACTTTAGCTATCAGCACTTCTCGATTCGTATGTAGCTCATCTCCGTCAACGTGGTACACTTACCAGTGAACAGTTTGTTAAAGTAGCATCATGCATACCCAAGGAACAACGAAATTCACATGACAGTTTGTTGCTTGCATTGGATGAAATACTTAAAAATGGTTTGTTTAAGTTTATCATTCAGGAGAAACGCGAAATCTGCCATTTTCTAGAGAAATCCACACAATTGACTTCTCACGAACGAGAAGAACTACTTAGTCAAGTAGACTTTTCTCGTGTTAATGAAGAAACCATTGCTGCATGCAAAAGTAACCAGCTTATTCCTCAACAATTAATTACCGACGCCGCATTGGCTCTATGCACTAAATTACGAAAACAATTGGATGATACACAAACTCGTCTTCAGCTAGTTGAACTTCAGATGGGTAAAACACGACCAGCGTCAACAACATCAACGTGTCCAAGTAAAGACTCTCATTTTCTCTCCTTAACCAAAATCATTTTCTTTTTATTTAGAACATCGTTCATCGAATTTAAACTCTTCATTTCGTCTTCCACCACGTTCGCGTAGCACTTTATCAAATATGTATGAAATTCCTCGACGAAGTTCTATATACGCTCGTGATATCGACATGGACTTCATCTTACCTTCAAGATATCTTTCATCAGCATTAAGTAGCAGATATGGCTCATACTCTTCTACTTATCGTCCTTGAAAAGAACACCTTGTTTCCTTCCGTTTATGTAGAGAATTCTTAGAAAATCATTACACTATCATGCATGACTCATATTTTGAAACGAATGAAGAACATTTTCTTATCAATTCATGTGATTGACTTGATTTTATACGTACAATACATTTTTTTCGTTTCTCCTCTCTCTCTCTTTTTTTCTTCAATGGACTTTATAAAAGGAATCGAATCGATTTACAACTTTCATTCAATTACAATTCTATTCCAAGATATGAGCTTATCTTCATTCATCCTACTTTGTTTTGTGCTCCTTGCTCTTTCAGCTTCGATTGCACAGACGCAATTATGGGGTACATCTATAGGTGAAAATTTGCTTTTCGTTCAATTCAAATTGTTAACTTGTTTCACTGTAGGGCGATGCTGGGGTCGATTTGAACGATATCGTGAATGTGCATCAACATGTCCCGACACGTGCCAAGATGTCTTTTGGCCAAATGTGCCGAAACTATGCCCTATGATGTGTAGGATCGGATGTGAATGTATTCCTCCGTTTGTGCGTTTGAATCAAAATGCGAACAGTCCTTGTGTTCATCCTCGGCATTGTCGATTCGTGTAACTAAAAATAACTCCGTTTTGATTTTTCGAACTTTTTCGGTAATAAAACTCGATAATGAGAAACACATTCTAAACCGTCTTATCTGATAAGAAGTTGTACGCAAAATGCTCTATTGTTTGACGTTAATGGTATGATTCACATTCTTCGATCACGGATTTGTTTGTTTCGTTAGAAAACGTCAGTTAAATATAGTGATATTTGTCATAAATCATCTAGTCCGCATGTTGAAAAATATTATTAGCACAGTCATTCAGTGCAGATTGAATATAACGAACGAAAGGTACAGTTCGGCAGAAGATTGATTATTCAGTTTCAAGTGTAGAAAATAAAATGACGTAATTATTATGATATTTTTGACCGCATTTGAATAGAAACCGATAAAAGACAATAGCTTTGTGCACTAGGTACTCCTGAATACTCAAAATAATTTTTTCGGTAGAATAACAATGAAACAACGTCAAAGGAAAATCGAACGTATATTTACTCATTATTCAATTGCGAACCAAGCGTTAAACTACCCATATATATAGTCGATTCGATAATAATCCTAATATAAACATATTCGAATTTTTCATATCGATTATTTACATTGTCGAAAATATCATGAGTATTTTACGCTCAGCTATTGTTACTGCTGTAATAGGCTTGGTTTGTGTCTTCTCCATACAAGTTACAGGTATGTTACACTTGACCTAGAGTATAAACAAGATTATATTCAAACGTTTGCATAGCTATTCCTGTAAAACCTTCAAAACAGTGCTGTCCTGAAGGTGAAGTGTACAAATCATGTGGAACAGCATGTCCACTTACGTGTGACGATGTTCTCAATACAAATTCAACAAAATTGTGCACACTTCAATGTGTATCAGGTTGTTTCTGTCAAGAAGGTTATGTACGAGATAAGCAAAACAAAGGTACTTGTGTCCGACGTGAACAATGCAATGCCACGACTCCAGCAACAGATAAATGTTCTCTGGATACTGAAGAGTTTAGAGACTGTGGTACAGCATGTCCGGAAACTTGTGCAGACTTGAACAATTCTGACTCTAAGCCATGTTCGAAGCAATGCGTGCAGGGTTGTTTTTGCAAAGAAGGTTATGTCCAAGATAAAGAGAATGGTACTTGTATAAAACGTGAACAGTGCAATACCACGACTCCACCTACAAAACAATGTTCTAAACACGAAGTGTATACAACTTGTGGTTCCGCATGTCCACTCACATGTGAAGATGTTATTAACAACACGAATAAACCATGCACACTCCAATGTGTGCAAGGCTGTTTCTGCGAAGAAGGGTATGTACGAGATACGAACAAACGTGGTGCTTGTATCAAACGTGACAAGTGCAAATCAAATGATTCAACCACGAGTAGTACAAGTCTGGTAGATAATTAGGTTTGTTGTTATGTTTTCTTCTGTAATGTCATTATTCGAAATCAATAAATTTCAAACAGAAAACAAACTTCTGTTCGCTCTTCCTGTACCTACTCGAGTTGAGATATATCACACATAATTCTGACGTTTTGCCAGTCTTAATACTATAATCATTGTCGAGAAAAAGAAGGATTTTATTACATTTTGTTCGATACATTCTTCTCATTTTGACCACCATACCATGATGTTATATTTTGCGTTTCTCTGCATTTTACTTACACTACCGACAACAACTAATACTGAACAATGCCCGACTCGATCCTTCATCGAAAATTCCCTTTTCGACGTCGATACTCCCGATGCTGTCATTATCTCTTTTCATCTGATCCACGCATTTCACACTCGTCCTTTCCTTCGTCTGCAATTACTATGCCACCGAATACAGTGATGTTCTATAACAATATTGGCACTAGTCTTATTGCAATGGTTATCGAGCATGTCACTCGAATGTCTTTTGAAGAGTACGCGAAAGAGCAAGTTTTTGTTTATCCGAAATCAAACACAAGGAGAATCTAGTTACACATCATGCATACAATTCACCAAGCTCTAGAACAATGGAAGGCAATGGCCCCTGATTCGAATATCATCCAAGTATAACTATTTTCTCATATATTACTACGACGACTAGGAAATATACTAGGTGAATATTCGTAATTGGCGCTCGTTTCTATTTCCTCAGTATCACTTGAATGTTTATCCATCTGGTTCATTACGAGTGACGAGAAGTGATTTTTCGAGATATATTCGAATGATAATCGACAATGAATCTGTTTGGGAAATGAAAAGAGTAGTAGAAAGTGTAATTGCACATGATAAATTTCAATAGAATGAGCAATGAATCATCGCTTCCGACACTGGAATTTAAACTTGTTCGAAGTTGGCAAATGTTAAGTAATGTTCGTCGATATTTTGGACATGGTGGTACACTTCCAGGTACAACGAATTCCATTATGATCAATGAGAAAGGAAGATATAGGAACGATTATTCTCACAAAATTGCAGAGATTTATGGTTATACAGATTTGTCGTTGAAAAGTTATCAGACGAGACTTTTCAGCGCCGATTTTATCATTTAGCCTACTTGAAGTTGATAATTTAAATCCGTTGATTTTGTCCATTGACAAATATTCTTCTACCTATGTCAATCAGTACAATGAAAACTAATCTAACAACGCAATAGACGATTGTATTGAGATCGAGATTTCGCTTATTTGCTGTTTTACGTTTCAAATAGCTCTATTCATCAAATATTAGCACAAGCTTTTCTTTATTACGCACCAGCCACTCACTACGATCAAAGAGCACAAACCTCAACTAATCTTCCCTCTCTCTCTGTCTGTTTGCTTTCGATTGGAACAGCTATAAATACATCAGCAGTCATCATAATACGAAAACATCAACGCATCCTCACTTCAATTTCAAATATGGTTGCCACTTCACGCTCTGCAATACTTTTGGCTATGACCGTTTTGGTTTGTGCATTAACTGTTCAAGCACGACGTTTGTTTTTGTTTTTGTTATTTGTTCATCAGAAATGACTAAATCTTTGATATTCACTTTCAGTTGATCCATCTACACGTTGTTTACACAAACACGAAAAATACAATTCATGTGGTACAGCATGTCCATTGAATTGCGAAGATGTTCTCAGTTCAAATCTGCAAAAGCCATGCACGCTTCAATGCGTCGCAGGTTGTTATTGTGAAAAGGGTTATGTGCGCAAAACAGATGACAAGAACAGTCCCTGCGTTAAAATGGAAGATTGTTACTCCGATGCCTGAATTTCTTTTGTCTTTTCATATCAATAAATCATGAGAAGTATTCTGACAATTGATCGATATCAATCTAAAAGTTCATCATACCCGTCAGTTAGCTCAGATGGCGTCTGATCTTTATTGCTCCATCAGAGTGAATGGATATATCTTCACATCATGGTGCCGATAGTTGTCGTTTTCATTGTGTAAACTATGACATGTAGATGTGATTTTATAATCATATACATTGATCGGTCTATACCAGTCGTGTTGTCGAGTGTACGTACCGCACGATATTCCATCGTCTTTGCTGTGATTGTCTTGATTTGTACAGCGGCAGTGTCAAACCAAATGTATATAGTACCTATTTTTGATTGGACAACTAGTTCTGGAGAAAGTGAAGTTTATCAAGAATGTGAATCAGCATGTCCAAAGACTTGTCTAATCAACGGTTGTTGAATGCGTCGGAAGAGATTCATACTTATGTATACCAGATTATCATTGCACAGAAGTTTATGTGCGACCAACTACCGAGAAGATCGTGAATGGAATTATTATGAGCACATTAGAAATGTATCTACTAGAAGTACTTGTCAAAAAGATGTTCTTCGTTATTATTCTTGGTATTTATAGTATTTAAATGTTATTGCAGCATTGATATGTGAATTTATATTTCTGAATGCTCGAGAACTCGTAATAATTTGTTAAAAATATTTCAGATTAAAAAAAGCTAAAAACAAGATACAGTCTTGCAGTAAATTTTTGATGATTATACAGAATCTACTAGTGATCTGAATAGCATGAAGATGCATATGGAGACTTGTTTTCGTTCTTTGGAACACCAGTACTCGGATGGCTGTATTTTCTACAATGCGACTGATCGCTTTTATCACGGCAATCTGCACCATATCTACACGGAGTTAATTGTTGATGATTATTATTTCCTTGTCGAGCATTGGATGCTTCTTTAAGAAAATGAAATTGTACTTAACAATGATTACTATTTTTCAATAGTTACTCACCATTTCGTGATGGTTTTTCCATTCTTTCGAGAACTTTTTCGCCATGTGAATATTTGATGCGGTGTCTATCTGTCTTGTCTACACATTGTGCTTGATGTCTGCATGGAATCAAAAAATAGGGTAAACCCGAATGATAAAATTTTGCTCGATGAAAAGCATCAGCTAATAGTTTGCAATCCTTTCCTGTCGAACACACAGTTGCTGGGTGAGGGTCATGTATCAAATGAGGCTCGTATTCCCTGCAACGATCAGCGAAACGGCATGGATGGAGGTACTTAGAATTATGAAGTGGCCCATCATCTGAAAATTGAGTTAAACAGTTAATACCGTGTTTGCACATTTTTAATGGCGTTGGATCTTTCCTGTTACCGAAAACCATGTCTCTCATGTCATCTTTTATTTGCCCAGCCATATTTCTCACTTGATTCATAAAGCCAATGGATTGTTTTTCTTGGCCCTCAGCGGCCGGAGAGGGCGATGCAGGAGGCACAAAAGGATCTCTCTTAGCTTGATTATCTCGAGATGTTGCCAGTGCAAATGAAGACAATTTATCTAGCTTAAGATCAACTTGCGGATGTAAGTGTTCTTGTTTTTCCAACGTAACGAACAGATTTTGAATTGTTACTGCACGATTTCCAGTGCTGACGTAGAGAAGTTCTAAATCTGCGACATTGAGTGTCGATGTCTGGAATCTGGCAGAAATTACTTCGTGATTGTAAATGGAATTTGGGCCAGCATGGGAAAGATTGACTGTGTTATTGGAAGGCTGTACTTCGAGACAGAAAGTAATAAAATCATTCAAATTACATCCACAATAGAACGATTTCGATCGAGCTACATATCGCTTTTCATCGATGAATGCTTGATGTTGATATGGTTGGCCTAAATTCAAATAGGAAGGATTTTCTTGGTATTGTGCTGTGTTTGTATTTGGCTTTTCTGCTATATAGATCAGCAAGCTAGTTGTTTTCGAATTGCAATCATTTGGATTGTCCTGTTTCTTTGATAGTGTTAACATCATGTCACCGTTCGATATTTGCCAGTATATGTAATATGTCTTGTCTTTTGAACTCTTCGAGCGATGTTTGGAATCGTATTCGTACAAATCTGATATCCTGATGGGCGTGAGAAGGTTATCAAGAAAGTTAGTAGATGGGATAGTCATAGTCAAACCTTGAGCAACCGATTGCAAGTCATTTTTCTTCCAATGCTGTTGAAGTAAGGTGGTTATAATAGACTGACGATATTTATCATTCTCTTTCATCGATACAACTCGCAAACGCCCACCGAGGACAGTTTTGAGTTTCTCTCGTATGTCATTCTCAAATGACTCAAACATACTTTGTGTCATGAAAATTTCGTCGATATAATCCAAGGGAATCCGTTGCGGTAAGCGAGTTTCTATCGAATTTTGCGGCTGGACAAGAAGCCATTGGCCTAATATTGTATTAAGATCAATATCCATTCTTCGTCCATGCGTGCTATAACTTGTAAGACCTATCAATTCCATAGCAGCCGCTTGTTCATAGCCTGGAATTGCGGCATGCAGCTTCGTTTCGTTGAAGAGTTTCATTTTGTTACTTACATCACTTGATTCGTCGCTTAACCATGGCTGGCATTGGTAGTATGCTCCAGTTTGATAGGACACAAATGGTTGGGTAGAAAAATTAGCATCAACATGATGAAGTACTTCTCGTTTGAACACGATCACTATGTCATCACAATTGTAATTTACATGCGACCCAAGAACGCCGAGAACGTGTTTACTGATCTCTGGTTTCACGTCAAACGGTGGATTTGTGCGAAGAAGTTCTGTATGTAGTCTTATTGTTGCCTGAATTATTTGTATAGTCAAGTCGAAAATTAGTTTGATGTTGCCGCGAGAAATACCCTGTGAAAGGAGAATTTGTTCAGGCTCCGCTGGATCTAGTTCGTTGTTGGAATAATCAAAATTGGCCTTCGAGAACTCAAATTTTCTATAGTAAGCATTGATCACCGCAGCGATATATTTCTGAACATGTGGTCGTTGCGTTTCGGTTACTAGACCAGGATCAGACATTATTTGTCTATTTTGTGCTATATAAAAGGCAAGGAAATCTGCCTTTTTGAAATTTTCCATAGTTGCACGGCTCATGACATGCTCATGAAGAAGAATCGATGTGAGTACTTCTAATCCACAACGATAAACAGGCCGAACAGTTCGCAGCCAGTCGATGATGTCTCGCGATTTGAGATCGAGCGTAAACGGCGTCCATCCATTGCGGCTGACAAATCCTTCGATGCGGTCGATAGTATTTCGGTGATTCAGAAGAAAGTTGATTCTGCTATTTAAATCGTAATAGGGTATAACACTTAGACATTCGTTAATCGGTGTATGGCAGTATTGAAATCTATGCTCGACATTGCTCTGTTCTCCACAACCTGGACCATTCTTACACGAATATCGAATATCTTGAAGGTTGGAATGACTGAACGAGTTCAAATGATCTTCGTTCCTTAATTCCACGCATTTTTTACCATCCGGACAGCCGCGTCGGGGGATATGAATTGTTGTTTCCCAGTGTGATGCATTCTGATGCCCACAGTTACGTCCATATACGCACACATGAGCAAACGTCGAGCAATGGTGTTGGATACGGTTGGAAATCTTGTCTGTATAGGAAGTATTTTGAAACTCTTGGTATAGTGCACAATGATGTGGTGTCCATGGACAGGGTGTCGGGAAAGGATGTTGCCAATCAACCATATGCAATTTATCGTGAAAATAGAAACAACTCCGGCCGTATGGACAAGATGGTCTACAATGACGATAAGCGTTGCAGTGTTCTCGAACTTTCTGAAAGTATTCTTTACATTTGTGTGCGTTTTTGCATGATGGTAAATGGCGAAATTCTTTTTCATGTTTGTCGCTTGTATCTTGACAATCGCTGCCAGTGGAGCAATAAGGAGGATGCTCAAATTCTCGTGAATGGATTTTATCATCTACAGCTTTACATAAACCACCTTGTGGACATCGCGGTCGATGAATAAACGATGCCATATGAACTAAATCATCCTTCATCGTACATTTGTCTGTGAGAGACATCTCTGTACAAAGCGGTGGATGAGAATATTGACATGTATGAGCTGGTTCAAACAGTTCTCGACATTTCGCTCCGTATTTACACGGTGTTAGATCGAAAATGGCGACATTTTCCACACTTGAACCATCAGACGAAAACCGATACGGGCCAAACATTGTGTTCGACTTGTTGATTGGTCGAATCGCTTCGAAAGTCGATTGTTGGAATTCGCTTTCAAATGGAAGAAAGTTACCATTGACGTTCAACTTTTGTCCCGTGTTATGATCATCGATGACGGCGAACACAATTAACCGAAAAAAGCCAGCATATTGTTCGATAACTGAACGGAAGATTTTGGCGACGTGGCTCGGCGGATTTTGAAATGCTCCACAGCCGAGAGCTGATAGAATGAGAGTATCATGTTCATGATGATGAGCGATAGCGAAAATATTTTCAATCTTTTTTCTTGTTCCTACAGCAAATTTTTCCGAGAGCATATTTCCTTCCAACAGCGGCTTCCGATACGCCGCCATGGCCAATGAACAAACATTCGTAAGTGGTTGACGCATAAATTCGTAGCCTTCCGTTTCTGGTTGACGAAATGCAGTTATTCCTGATGTATAAATAGCACCATATTCGTCCATTCGATACATAGTAGATGGATCTGCTAGGAGTTCACAACGACCTGTTGATGAACAATAAAATCGTGCTGATGGTTGAATGAATTGGTCAAGATCTGCATCCAAACTGCGAAAATAATCTGATCGTCGAAAGAGGTTTTCTTCTTGTGCTCCATCGCCTTTTCGATAGCCACCACCAGGACTGAATGCGTTGGCCATATTCAGAAGTAGAGCTTTTCTTCCTTGTGCAGCGTAACTCTCATAAACTATTAAACAGTCTTCGTTTATCACTTTAACTTCGGTTTTCTCGTAGGGCGCTCTGTTGTTAGGTAAAAGTCCACTAAGTGTCAAGATTGATTTATGATTATAGACAATGGTCTTTTGTCGATCATTCAAATTCAATGGAAATTCCTTGCCATCAATGGTATAACTGCGATTTCGTATCACAGCGAGAGTATTGAGCATGACAGTTATGCGAAGTCGATGGCGTATTTCATTAGCCAAAGTATGATCCGGTTTGTCATCGTCAACATTATCATCATCATAAATTTGCAAATCTTGTCTTTGTGAAGTCTTAAGACGATTAAATTGGTCAAGCCAAACTTGTGCATTCCATGTCAAACGGAAAATCTTGTGATCAGGCTGTGTAAGAAACGGCATAATGTTTGGTTCACATTCAAGCATTTTTTTGTCATACCACGTGTAACTGTCGATCTCAGTTGCATTTGGATGAGGTCTACCAGGATAATTCTTTATAGTGACATTAATATCTTTGCCAATCTTGAGCGTAGCACGATTTAAACAATCATCATACAGATTTTTGTCATGTATTTTAAGTATCAAATCTCGTCCAAGATGATAAAGTATTTTTGCTTTTCCGGCAAAGATCTTGTCGCGAACAATGATATCAGCATCCTCTTTGTCACAAATTGGACTCAGAAGAAGTCGATGGCTAAGGGATTTTCTTTTCCGTACATATTGATAATCTATGTAGATGGAGTTATATTTCGCCCATTTGCGCGCCTCGTTTGTCGTAATAATACATACATTGCTCATCTTTTTGTTGAGTTCAATACACAGAGCTGAAGGTGAAACAATGGTTAACTGAATTACGTTACATATCAAGTCTCGCAGTTGATTTTCAGTTGTCATTGCTGGTAGATCTTCCAAGAAGTCACAAAACGCACATGGATAAATTTGAGCTGACTGATCTCTTACAACCAAATTAGGGCTCAATGTGACGCGTATTAACTCATCGAGTGCTTTAGTCTTGATAAGGTAGATGTTCGGGTATTGACCATCACATTGAGTGCAATCAATCGGCGCCTCTGCATTGTAGCTATCTATCCATGCACGGACGATTTCATTCACTGTCACAGAGCCAAAACTGTTATTTTCCTCCGTTCTTTTGAACACAATATACGATATGAATTCGATTGTTTCTCGAAATGAAATCATAACTGAATCGTCTGCATCCCATGCTATTTTGCCAACTACTCGAGTAAGGTGTTCTTTCTCTGCGTTGTCTTTAACACGGCAGCAAGCAATGCCAAAGTTGGAATAACACTTGACTTCAAGTGGCTCTATTCGAAGTACGACTGTCAAACGTTGTCGGAGCTTCTGTTCGAGTTCATGATTATTGTCGATGTCTAAAGGTAGATCAGTTACGTATACTTTACTTATACATTCGTCATTCGATGCAGATTGTGTAGACACTGAAATACTTGAGTCTTCTTTTGGTGATGATGGACAATCCGCACTAACTCCATTGTTTGTGTCCATCGGTTCCACTTGTGACTCTTCTGATTGACTTGGTCTCTTCTTTTCTGCTGTGGCATTATGTTCGAAACCGTTTGTGTCACGTTCAGCCGCTTTCATCGGATCAAGATCTGGATACACTACAAGAATAGAAGTTATCACATTGAGAAAAGAGTTTTTATTCTCACTGAAAGTTTTACCTCTGGGTGTTTGTGCCGAATGCTCGTAGGGTTCTTCTTCTTGGTCTCTGGTTGATGAAACTACCACTGAATCTTTATCTTCAACAGAAGAAATAATGCTTCTCTTTGACACACCTGCATTTACGGGTAGCGCTTTTAAGGCTGAGCAATGAGCACAACGTGTTGCTAATTGTTCATTTTTCATGGAACATTGTTGACATAGCCATTCGTTTTTCACATCTCTAGAGCTGTCAGTATCCGCCGACGCTAAATTCATAGTGCTGGAAGCAAAATATTCCATCCTCACGATATGAGACACTTTAAATATTTCAAATCTGGAAGAAAAAGAGAAGATTATACATATATACAATATGTTTAGTCAAATCCTGCTCAACAGAAAGAAGAATGGTATCCCCAAGTAATAATTCCGGAGCGAAATATTCATCGTGCAGCGGAAGATCTCAATAAAATTAATATAGAGGCGGACTATGAATTCACAGTTGTTGCATTTTATTTAGATTTTGTGTTGTTTCATTAAGAATAAAAGAGCAGAATCTGCAGTTCACGATGAACTAGTCTTAGTAAAAGAGATTCTAAGGAGCAAACGTATATTCTCATTCGAAACATTCAAATATATTTGCTTCTTGTTTACTAGGGTTCTCATCGCGTCTGATCGCTTGTTTTTCGATTATTAAGTTGAAGGATGGGAGTATTTTCTTCGATGATTATCTGTAATGTCATGACATTTAGCACCATATTTGCAAATAATACGATTATCTTTTTTCTCTGTGCCAGGAGGATGGGAGTATTTGTCGCAGTGTTGCGGATCTGTTACATCACGACATTTTGCGCCATATCTACATGGTGTGTGTTGAACGGACGTACTTCTTTGATCTGACGGCCGTGGACTGCCCTTTGTTAGTTGTTCAGGTAAAACTGTATGTAAAAATTTTTTAAATAATTACAATTAATGAAGATCGATATGTTTTACCTTTGAGAAGCTGTTCGTTAATTTCTTTCAGTTCTTCTTCGTCATGTGAATATTTCTTTCGATGATCATCGGACTCATCCTTGCAGTTCTTCTTTTTTCGACATGGAATCAGGTAGAACGGCAAACCTGTGTGAACATAACGAGATCGATGCACCGGTTCACAAATTTGTTTGCAATGTGCATCGGAGGTACAATGAGGAAGTCCACGTAGTATTCGAGGATGACTTAGATTAGGCTCGGGATTTCGACAAAGGTCAGCGAAGCGACAGGGATGAAGCCACTGTGAGTTGTGTGTGTTTGCATTGTCTGAGAATTGAATGGAGCAGTTAATGCCCTCAGGACACAGTTTCAATGATGAACTGTCACCAGTGCCAAAGAAAATACCCTTTAAGTGACTCAGAGCAGATGACGCAAAACCATATGAAGTCGTGTTTTTATCATCTGGTCGAGGAGGAGGCGTTTGTGGTTTATTGATTGTCTCTTTCGTTGATTCTTTCTGAGTCATGAGCGAATTATCTTTAACAAAATCTTCATCGAATGTTGGATGTAGATCTTCTTGCTTTTTGAATGTTACAATCAAATTTCGAATCGGCACAGTTCCATTTCCGGCGCTTACGTGTATGAATTCTAATTTTTTTGTATTAAGTTCATTTGTGAGAAATTTACAGAAGATCTTTTGATGATTATAGATAGCGTTTGGTCCAGCATGATAAAGACTGACTGTTCCAGTTGCACGTTGGATTTCTAGGCAGAGTGTCATAATATCATCAGTGTTGCATCCCGTATAGAAATCCGTAGATTTTCCTGCAAATCTCTTCTCTTTGAGAAACACTAAATGTTCAAACGGTTGGCCACTGTTCAAGTATGATATTTGTTCATGATATTCGAGATCATCGGATGGATAAAACACTGGCTTTGGAGCAACATAACAAACTAAACAAGAGTGTTTTGTCGCGCTGTCACGTGTATCAATATTTGTAGCAGATAATGTCAACATCATATCTCCATTCATAAGTTGCCAATAGATGTAAACTGTGCTGTCTTCGGTTATACTTGGATCACTATGACGGTATTGTTCTTCTGCTTGTGAAATGGTCAATGGTACAACATAATGATCATTTAACTTCGTTGCCGGTATTGTCAAACAAGCACCACGAATAGGACGAGATACTGTTCGACGGTCATCTGGACGAAATCGTTGGGTGAGTTCAGTTAATATAAACTTTTTATACTCGTCAGGGCTCTTGTCTGAAACAGTGAGACAATCTTTGAAAAGATCGTCCACTATTTTACGTGTATCTTCTGCCAGAGCTTGATGTACAGTTTTTGGCATATAAATATGTTCAATATAATCTAATGGGATCAGCTGAGGTAGATGAGCTTCGATAACTTTGTGCGAATCTACCGTGTTCCATCGTTCAAGAACCTTATCAAGATTAACTTCTGATGGTTTTAGCTTTGTCTTATTGCTTGTTACGGCGATAAGCTCGAGAGCGGTGGCATATTCATAACCAGGTACGGAAGCATGCATTTTCGTTTTATGAAATAGATCGATCTGTGTCGCATCCACTTTTGGATTTGGAGCAGTGCCAAACCATGGACGCCAGCTGTAACATTTTTCACTGTAATACGAGGTCCCTGCTTGAATAGAAAAATTTGCGTCAGGATGATGAAGGATTTCACGTTTGAGAACAAGAACTACATCTCCATAGTAGTGACCAGTATGCGGACCTAAGATGCTAAAAATCGTTTTGTTGGTTCCCAGCTTTTTATCGACTTCATAGCCGATACCACTCTTATTCAAACTCAGTTTGATCGAAGCCTCAGCTATTTGTTTAGTTTTTGCATGAATAATGTTCATATCTTGCGGATTGTTGAGTTGAACTGAGAGCATATATTCTATGCGTTTGATCTGTTCCGCACGGTCTTCTAAAGAGGCAGCATTGCCGGTATGCGTTGTAAGCGTACCAGTTAAATCACCTGCGTAAACTTTTAAAAAGCCAGCTTTTGCATAAATATCAGTAACCAAGGCCGTTATGTATCCTCTGGCATTATTTGCATATTCAGGTATTTTCAAACGTTCTATTTGTCGAATTTGACTATGCTGAAGAATTAAATTTGCAACAAATGCTGGTTTGCTTAGCTTATCCATATACTCGAGACTCATAAGATGACCATGGAGAATGATGGACTCGAATATTTCTCCTTTACAACGATGAACAGGTTGAATCGTCCGTATCCAATCTATGATTTCCGCAGCAATAGACTTCATCGAAAAGAGTTTCCAGTTTTGTTTCTCAGCATAAGCTAAAACACGTTTAATATTATCGCTTTGGTTTTGTACGAAGTTAATATCTTTGTTCAAATTGAAGTACTTGACTACACCACTGTCCGTAAAGGTCATTGCATGACGATATCTTGCTAAATGGTTTATGTCTCTTCGTTCGACACATTTGTCACCATTTTTACATGCGATACGTATATCGCGAATATTTGGATGTGTAAAGGAATTCAAATGATCTTCTTGGTTGGCCTTATGGCATTTATCGGCATATTTACATAGTTTACGAGCAACGTGAATGACTTTTTCCCAGTGCCACGCATTTGGATCATGACAATTTCTACCAAACACACAAACATGCCCATAATCAGCACAGTGTTGATGAGCGGCATGAGAAGCTTTTCCGCCATTCGAGTTCTGTGTTAATTCGCCATGAAACTGACAGTTGTATGGCGTCCAAGGACATGGGGTTGGAAACGTATGTTTGTAGTTGTTCATATGATCTTTATTGTGAAAATCGGTGCAGTGCTGTGCATGTTTACAAACAGGCATGTAATGACGATATGTACTACAGTGATCTGAATTTCCTTTTTTAAACTCCAAACATTTGTGACTGTTTTCGCACAGTGGTAAATGACGATATTGCTTCTCATGCGTTTCAGTTGTATTTTGACACACGCCACCAGCTGGACAAAACGAAGGATGTTCAAATCTTCGTCTGTGCTCTTCGTCGTCAATATCTCGACATTGTGCACCATGTTTACACGGTTCGGAATGAATAAATGACGCTGTGTGAACTGCATCAGTTTTTTGCGAGCATGAACCCTGTGTCAACTGTTGAATGCATAATGGTGGATGAGAAAATTCATTCTCATGTTGAGGATCATACATTTGACTACATTTAGCGCCAAAGTTGCAGGGAACCTGGTCAGATATTGAGACATCGCATACATTCACACCATCAGATGCAAAACGATAAGGACCAAATATTATATTAGCTTGAGGGTTTAATGGGTATGGTTCTATTGATTTGTCATTTAATTCGTCGTAAAATGGCTGAAAGTTGTCTTCCTTGTTCAGAGCTTGTCCTGTATTATGATCATCAATAATCGCAAAGACGATAGACTGGAAAAATCCAGCGTATTGTTCGATGACTGAGCGGAAAATTTGTGCAATGTGTTTGGGTGGATTTCTAAAAGCCCCACAGCCGAGGGCTGATAGAACTAAACAATCATGATGATGGTGATAGGCAATCGAGAAAATACTCTCGAGCTTTCGTCGTGTTCTAACAGCAGGCTTTGATGCTAACATGTCCCCATCTAATTCTGGATCTCGATAGGCAGCCATGGCCAATGCGCACACTCCTGTCAAGGGTACTTCCATGAAAGCATAACCTTCGTCTTCAGGTCGACGGAAAAATGTTAAACCTGATGTATAAATAGCACCATATGTATCCATGGGATACATGTTGCGTGCATCGTACGACGCATCAACATTGCATGTCGACGTGCAACTCGATCGTTCAGATGGATTGTCGATAAACTGATCTAGACCAACATCGAGGCTTCGAATATAGTCCGATCGTCGGAAGAGGTTTTCTTCTTGTGCTCCATCACCTTTTCGATAACCACCACCAGGACTGGTTGCACTGGCCATGTTCAAGAGAAGCGGCTTTTTCCCTTGCTTTGTCAACTCCTCATAAACAACAACACAATCCTTCTTGACTACTGAAACCTTAGTTCTGCTGAAAGGAAACTTCGTGAAAGGCATCGGCCCTGCCAAGGCTAGCTTCGACTGTTTATTGTAAATAATCGTTTGCATGTTTGGATTTAAATTTAATTTAATTTCTCGATCATCTATCATGTAACTTTTTTTAAAGATTATTCCAATTGTGTTGAGCATAACAGTTACCCGGAGGCGATGTTGCAAGTCATCAAATGTCATATCTCCATTCTGTTCGATATGGGATGCGTTTCTAGTAATCAGACTGCCTTGTTTTACACGCTGAAATTCGTCTAGCCAATTCGTGGCATTCCATCTAAGACGGAAAATCTTGTGATGTCGATCTGGAACAAATTTCATGATATCTGCCGTGTACCGAAGCATGTCTGTTTTGAGCCACGTATCAGCATCAATTTCGCACTCATCTGGATCGCTAGATGAATTGTATGTTTCCAATAGAAATCTATGATCACCAATACGTAAAAGTCCACGTTTGATACATTCATTGAATACAGTTTTGTCTGTTATTTCTACAATCAGACCATCTGCACGTTGTTTCTTAAATCGTGCTTTGCTCTTGAATGCCTCGTTTTGAACAATAGTGTCTTTATCACATGTTTCCTTATCAGCGTGAATAAACAGGCAGAGTGACAGACTTTCCGTTGTCATAATTGGCTGTTGTCCAAGATAGATGGATTTAGTTGATAATTTGCGAGCCGTATTGGAAGCAATCAAACAAACATTATTCGTTTGTTTATTGATCTGAATGCAAAGATCTGATGTGGAAATGGGTTCTACTTGTCCTATGGCTTTCTTGATTGCTTCTCGAATATCATCATCAGAGATTGATTTTGGAACATTTTCGAGATAACTACACTCCGAGCCGAGATGAACGTCAGCGATTAAATTACCATCAATGGTGAAATCCCGGTTGTTAAGGATATCGCCTAATTCGTTAAATGATGAAAGAACAACACGATATATATTAGGAAACTGAATATCAACTTGTTCGCACGATTGTAGCGCCTCGTCTGAGTAGATTTCTCTACATCGACGCATGAGCCTCTCTGGTTTGGGCCAAACTATATCATCGTGTTGATGGGTTGCGGTAAGAACAATGTAAGAGACATAAGTGAATGTTTTGGTGAAAAGGATAGTGGCTGATGCATCCTGTGGGTTAAGTGCTAGTCTTCTAACCTCTTCAGTTAAATGCTGACATGTCTCATTGTCTTGCACACGAATACGCCCAATTCCTAATTTTGAGTAGCATTGAACATCGAGGAGTGAGATTCGAAATGTTTTAAGGCGTTGATCAATAAGAGTTGCGAGTTGCGAGTCACTCATGTTGAGTAATGGTATATCCATTATGTACAGATAGATCTTCTCGAGTGATATTGATCGAGCCAAAGTAGATTTGGCAGATGCTAAACACAAAATAGAACGATGGCATTTTCAGTCCTCCGAAACATTTCATTTACTCTGCAGATTCAAGTTTAGAGCCTATAATAACGATCTGGAAATTCTGACTGTTAGAAAATATCAGATTGAACATCTGAATGTTTTGATGTCCTCACTATTGCCAATGATTTTATACTTACATCTGTCAGTTTTCTGTTCATCCGTTTCGTCTACTGTTATGGCGCGCATATATCGCACTTTTCCACATGAACTACAGCGATTAGTTGATGGGTCATTAGTGAGTGTGCAATGTTCACATGTCCACTGCTCCTTCGTCTTCACGACTTCACTTTTGTCTTGAACACTCGATTGCTGCTCGGCATATTCACTTGCTTCAAGCTAAAACAGAAAAATTATATTTGGAGATTTCATATACGCAGAAGTGTTATGCCTGATGTACAGATTGTTTAGCTGCAAATGAACTTCGAAAAAGAATATCTCACTGATCAACTTTCTCGTTTACCACTCGATTTCTACCAAAGCTTACGCAATATCAAATTCGAGAATACATCCTATTCCGCAATGCTGCACATTTGGGAATCAGTTCCCACGATTCCGGAATTAACCCGAAGCAATTCCGGAATCGATACACACAATTCCGCGGAATTCCTACCAATTCCGGAATTACACCCACCCCCTACACCCTCACATATCATCTCCCCTATACACGACCGAATTCCGTGTGCGGAACTGGTTCCCAAATGTTCAACATTGCGGAATAGGATGACTGCTCTCAAATTCGAAAGTTGAATTCAAATATTCTACTCCAATAAATCGATGCTTCAATGAATCATGATGTTATGACGCTTTCCCTCACCCTCATCCCACCCCTACAAAAAACTTCACTTACGTTCTGTTCCGACTGATTTTCTATGGAAGTATTGTGAGCACTACTGGATATTGGAATATCTGGTTTTTTATTCAGAGCTTCAGCAAGTGCACCAGGTTTATAGCAAACATGGCAGTCAATCTTTTTCTCTTGATTGACTAATTTTCGAACACAGCCGTGATGAAATGAATGGCCACAATTTGTGATCAACATGTGATTTAAAGGATCCTCACATATTGAACATTCGCCTTCAATACTAATTGCCGGTGGATGAAGAGCATCGGCAATTGCGTGAGGTTTTTGGCAAGCACGACAATCAGATTTGTTTTTCTCATTCAGACGATTCTCAGCGCAGACGCGATGGAATGTGTGACGACAGCCGGTTACTATTAACTCCTCCTCTTCCTCGGTCGGTTTTTCACATATGGAACATTCTTGTCCTGGTTTAGGCTTGCTTTGAGTGAGTGCATCGGCAAGGGCCATCAATTTTTTGCAAACACGACATTCTGGTCGGTTTCTTTCGTAAACACGCCTTTCTGCACAGATAAGGTGAAATGTATGCTCGCAACTTGTTGTGATGAGATTTGGTTTTTCATTCAAGATCATATTACATATGGAACATCTTCCTTGGATGTCAGCCTGACGTTGAAGTGCATCAGTGAGAGCATCAGGTGCTTTACAAATACGACAGTCTGTCTTATTTGTCTGATTGACACGATTTTCAGCACATTGGCGATGAAACTTATGACGACAACTGGTTATCACCAGATCATCATCTGGATCTATCGGATCCTCGCATATAACACATTCTTCGCTCTGCAAATTAAACATTCGAATCTAAAAATGAAAGAAACTGAGTTTTAGATACAGAGATTGCAGGTCGAAGACTCGTGGATTTCTACCTGCGATATGAGAGAGTGGTAAATATGACGAGTCGAGAACGAAGTAAAAGAAAAGTGAGTGTTGACGCAAAAAAAGTATTCGAAGAATCTACTATGATATTCAAAGGGTTGTTTTTGTCGCGACGTTGTGAAAGTAATGTAATCTTCTTCAGGTAGCATGTATTTATATGCGAGCGGAGTTAACTAAAATAAAAAGTGTGAAAGTAAAAGACAACACAGAAAGTCAACCCTTGTCAAGCAAAACAAACATTTTACATGAAAATTACCAACATACGACTGAAACTGCAATGCCATAGTTTTGAAGGTAAAAGCAAAATATTTCATCAGATTTTTTGCAAGGAAGAAAAGAAACCAATCAACACTAAATATTTGAAAAACAAAAATAATGGACAAAAACACTGAGTTTTCGTTCTCTTGCTTATTTTCACCGTTAAAACATTTGCGAGAAAAGTACAAAGTCAACGATATTTCTTAAAACAGAATTCATCTAAGTAATCATTGCAAGTATAGAATTCCACGACCTCTGTAGACTCCAGTTATAATATTCTCACACACACAACGAGAAACTTTTATTTATAAAAAACTGCTGATTCTCGATGTCGTTTGATATGAAAGTATCGCTCAATTCCGTTCATTTTCAAATATTCAATAATTTTACTTAATTCCGCCTCCGATGAGCGAAATGTCTGCACATCGTCGTCATCAACAATACATATGAGTAACATATTCAAACGTTTGTAGTTCCTCAAGATCTTCATCAGCGTATTCACGTACCAATGAAACTTGCCTTCAACATTATAAATCATCAATCGAAGATCTTTCACATTCGAGAAGTACGTTCGATTGGTTCGATTGATCTGTTCGATGATACTTTGTTCAATAATATCTAATCGTTCGATTCTGCCATTCAAAATCGGAACTAATTGACTATTGGTCGATGGAAGTCCAGTATAAGACAGACTGAGATGTTTAACATTGGGTAACACATAAACTAGCCATTGTTTTATATTCTCCATTGATCCGCCTTCTAGATCGACAATCGAAACGCTTCTTAAGATTTCGTCTTCGTTGATATTTGTCTGTTCCAACACTTCGGAATAACTATACAAGCCACTGGAAAGAAATCGTATGGCATTCAATCTTGGAAACTTGATTTTCATTTGTTTGATAAGTCCAAGATTGAATCTATTCGATCGAGCTAATTGAATAAATTTAACTTTCGACCAAATTCCACACGAATTGAGAATTTTATTGTTATTCGATTTGACACGATCAAAATCCAGAAAACCGTGTAGTTCATCAAAATGGAATGGTAACGTATATAAATATTTGCCATGCATACCAATCGACCAATTTCGATCGAACCAAAATTGATCTTGAAATGTTGCCAAGACATTCTCTGGCTCAAGAAATTGTTGCTGAATTTTCGAATAGAGATGGAATTGTTTCAATTCTGTCATTGACTCTAACAATTGATGTTGCAATTTTAGACCATTGAATGGAAATTCATCAGTACTGTAGATTTGCAAATCAGTGAAATTCATCGATAGACAAGTCAATGTCGAAGAGAATAACTTAATATCACTAACTAAATGAAGAAAATCCAGTTTATTGGTCGTATACTCTGTATGCATGGAATCTTTGGTGACAAATGTTAAATACAATCGCTGAAGTTTTGTTTGATCATTATTGAACCATTGCTCGTGTTTCTGATGGATTACACATAACGCTGTTTTGATATTTAAGTGGATTAGATTCGGTGTGTAGCGTAAAACGATGAATATATCGCGAAATTCGTTCAAATATAATGTTAAGGAGGTTAATGAAGGATTTCGGTGGAAGTTTGAGACAGTCTTTCGACTGAACAAGCTGATTAATGATGCGCATTCAAAGATTTGTAATTTGTTTTGGTTTTGAAAGATATTCGCGAAGAGATAATGTTCGAAATTATCGCGAAGTATAGACGATCGAGATTTTAAGTATTTTTCACTTTGGATCTTGAATACTCGTAGGTTTTGGAACTGATTCGAGGAAAGTAATCGTTGTAAGGATTGATCAGATAAGCCAAATGGTGAAGAGATGATCACAGTTCGTAAGTTCGGTAAGATATCCAATGAGAAAGAGAGGTCGGTGGTCGGAATTGTCAAACTTCGAACTCGTGGACTGAAAATCGGCAAAATCTTTTCATAGAAGCCGTAATTGACGATTGCTATTTCATAGTTATTTAAATAACGCTCATGTTCGAATAAAAACCGTCGAAATTTTGATTTGAGACAGAGAAATGCATAGATAATCTCATTTGTGGACAAATAATCCAAAATATTCAGAAGAATTTCACTTGGCAAGTTCTCAAACGAGACTTGCGCTGTCATATCGAAGAAAACGAGCGTGTCAACCAACGTCAGATCTTACACAAAGTGTCTTTTTATTGACTTAATGATAAGCGTGTAATGTCTCTGACTTTCATCAAATGAGATCCCGAAGATACAATTAAGAACAAAAAAGTTTCATCAGATTTATTAAATTTACATTTGAATTGTTCGGCATACAATTAGAAAAGACAAAAAAAAATGTTAATGAACATCACATAGATAAGATTTCAATGTTGAAATTTTCTTTTTCATCGTCGCCAATCTCCTTCCAGTACCATTGTTTCTTTTTTGTCAAGACATTCTTCCAAAGGCCGTTGTAAAGAAGAATCGTATTCAGATAAAGACGCTCGTCATTGCTAATCGGTCGTTGTGTTGCGAGTTCGCTCGGGATTGTGACGATTTCTCGATTGTTTTCCGAATAAATCACACACGGTGTTTGATTATCGACTAAACCACTTCGTCGTTTTCCGATCAGAATGAATTGTCGAGCGACACTCGTCTTATAATTCATTTCTATGTCTTCCAACGACGCTGTTTCGAACAACTGAACGAATTGCAAACGTAAATTGAAAGATTTCGTTAAAAACAAATGTAAAACTGTTTGTAATCGAACAAAAGCTAATTCTTTGCCTAAATTCTCTTCCATGCGCTTGCCCGATGGCAAATATTTGGCTAAATCACGAGTTCGGTCATGATAAATTGCGCTCCATTGAGAATTTGTTTGCGCATGTTCAGTCAGGATGCTGTAGGCGCGGTACATCGGAGAGTTTTCGTTGGAATAACATATGAGACAAGATGAAATTGGAATGCAGTTTTGTCGAATGTCGTCGATGTTAATGTAGATTTGTTGATCGGATGGATTTTTCACGAAAGGATAAACGTAAGAATCAATTTGAAGAAAACCACCGGCTTCGTCGATGATCGAAAGATCTAACTGAGAAAATTAACAAGAAAACATCGGTTTTGTATGGAAGAAAAGGATCTTACACGTTGTTCAAATAAGGCTCGTCGTTTGGCAATACTTGTCGATGAAATACAAGTTGGATTCAGTTGTTTTTGCTCGGCTAATCTTGCTAGTACGACTTTCTCATCTAGAATCCATCGATCACGTGCAGCTTGTCGTACTCTATTCATTGCCTCTTGCCATTGAGCATTTTCTTCTGATGAATTCGAATGAAAGTGTTCCGTAAGATTAAGAATTGCTAAAACACCATCGAACACCGATACACTTAGTAATTGATAATGAGACCAGTCAGAATCCGATACAAATGGAGAGATTTCGTCATAGTAAACGCGTTCGGTTGGCGTCATTTCGATGACAGGTAAATTATTAATATTAACAGAGAATTTTTTATACGATGAACGTTCAAAAATATTCAAAACATAGGAAAAGCGAATGTAAGGAATATAGAAACTTTCATCAATTAGCCGGTAAATGATTGGCAATTGATAATCAGAGAAATTTACAATACCGTAATGTTTTTCTATTGATGGACAATCAATCGGCCGTTGCAGTTGGTGCGTTCGAGTCAATGAAGGTGTGGAATGGCACATTGGTAAATCAAAATTGAAATTTTCTTTGTCATAATCATTTATTAAATTGACAGGTTTACAATCATTAAAAAAATTAAAGTCATCTTCAAAATTCATCGTACTAGTCGAGGTAATAGTCCAAGAAGAAATGAATTCAATAGTCGAGTCGGAATTCAGACGAAAGATTCCGATGATTCACGTTTCCTGTACGTTAATTCAGTCCAGTCCAGTACTGATTATTTTATATAACGATTGGTTTTGATGAATTTGAAAATTTCGTTAACGGTGGTTACTGGCGACATCTGTCGAGATATTTTCTCATCAACTGAAATGCGATTGGTATAGTAGTATAGTGTAGTGTAGACCGAAATGTTAACCGTCTGTATGAAATCTGTTACTCTCAGTGTTAGCTTTCGACAGAAAACGAATGTCCCAAAAAGTTCAATGCGGCCGTTCAGTGATAAAAGATGGTGTACTGAAAACTGTAAACCTTTCTGGAGGAGGGGGAGTTCGAGACTGTATCTTAAGTCATATTGATATGGGCTTCGATGAAATTCACGATAAACTTCGAGAACTGTATGAAATAGGTGAGATTCAAACGAAAAATACATCGCTTCTATCGGCTTTGCTTTTAGATCCAGCAGATCGTAATTCAAAATTGTATGATTATAAGAACCAAGAATTGGATACAAGTCGATATCGTACATTCTTCGATTATGTTCATCAAAATGGATTGAAGTTTCGGAATACTTTGTTGTATCTGTGCACACCAGCAGGTAAATTTGCTATAAGGCTGGTTTGAAAGGTTTCTATCGAATTTATTGACTAGACGAACGAAGTCTCATCTATTTTTCATCGCCGGAAAAAAGTCGAACGTCTCAACAAGTCACACGACGGTTAAATTCTTATTTCAACCAAAATAAACTCTTTTAAACGATCTTTTACTTCTTATAGTATTCCTCAAGTTGAAGCTGACTCTTCAACATCACCAGAAGTCGTTCATATGGACACAATCACATCACCAGACCAGAAACCAACATCTGAGTACAAAAATTACCTTAAATCTTCCGCTAACTGAGCCTTTTTCTTGCAAATAGATCTTTACTGAATAATCATATCGTACAAAATCTTCGAATATCATCCACAACATCATTTTCAAATTACTCCTTCGATCATTCAATCAACCAGTTCGTGATTTACGTTCGCGATCTCATCCAACAATATCGCCATGAAAATATCCTCATTCAATTGTTTGAATATCTGTGTACTTTACAAGGCCTCTCATCGATTACCTTAGATCGCTTAAAAGAACAGATCCAATCGATAGATGAACACAAAAAACTATTCTATCAGGATGCATTGGAAAAAATCGAGAAGTTATTGCGATCAATTCGGATTCTGGTTGAATTAAACCGAATGACAATATCGCACATTGATCAACATGCCACCATCATTGATTCATTCAATCAATTTCAACAAAACTTCAATGTGAAATCTCGAAGCTGGTCCTCTCATTTCATATTTCCTTTTTTTCTCTCATTAGATTCTTTGTGACCGGTGGAACAATGCGAATCGTCACACATCTATTCCACCCGTCGTTTATACTGTACCTGATCCTGCGCCGGCAAGATCTGTTTCTTCAACACATCGTCCGACAACATCGACAAGATCTCATACAAATGATATAGTAGAATCAGGACACACATCTTCTTCAAGAACTCGTTCATCTGATCGGACATCATCGTCCACCAAGCATTCAACAGCTCCGACAACACGAAACCATTCACCGGATCGTGGATCATCGAGACACCATGCAAAAGATCGGACGCCGTCATCAACTAATCATTCAACGAGTTCTACCTCAAGAAATCATCGGACAGATCGACCCTCTTCTCGCCATCATCCCGAAAAACAATCGCGAGCATTGTCAACATCACCTAAACATCACCATCGCCATCATCACCACCATTATTCGTCTCGAACATCGGCTGAAGAAGAAGATCAAAATAAAAAATTCTCCTTATTTCGAAATGTAAGTGTGATCATCTGAATGAGTAGGCATGAATTCTATTTTCTTTAGCTGTACAAATCCTTATATTACCTATCCAATGTTTTACGTGATCGGGGTTTCCAATCATTTGACGAATTGATCAAGCGAATAGTCAGTGAAGTAAGCACGTGCCAATCAACACTCGTTCTATCCGATAGACAATCCCTCGATCAAGCAACAAGTACCATTATCGACATGGAAAAGCGTCTTTCCAATCGAATTCAGAGCGAGCGGCATCGTGCAGCGCCACATGAAATACCCCGAAATCTCGAAGAATCATTCGATCGAACATTAGATTGCATTAAACAAATATTAAACGATTTTGATTATTACAAATCAAAGGCCAATTCAGGAAAACGACCGAGATTAACACGATGGTCATCACCGGGTCAACCATCAACAAATACAGAAGAACATCTTGATATCAAACCAAGTATTCATTCCAAGGAACATCAATCCCGACGAAAGGAGAACGATGATTATGATGATCAAAGCTCTGAAGCATCACGTTCGTCGTTTGGAGATGAAGTTCTGATGGAAGTGGCCAAAACTGCGTATGAACGAAGATCGAACCGACATAAATAAACTCAGGAGGCCGTTCTGTTTCATTGTTTTGTGTTATTTTATTATTACTGTTTTTTTTTTCGTTTAAAGAAAAAAGTCAGATGAAAATTTGTGTTTCAGATCATGATGAATTTTAATCGATTAGTAACAACAGCGCGTTTGTTTCGAACGATTCGGTAAAGTTCCTCAACGGAATTGTCTGAAATGCTTCTTCTTGCTTCTGCTCAGACCCAAGTCATTGATCTTTCGATCACGAAATCTGTCAACTGCTCCGATCAATCAGTCATTGTATAATCTTTCCGAAGAAGAACAGCTGATTAAAGAAACAGGTTTTGAACGTTCTTCTCTTGCTTCTGATCGTCATGATTCGATTTCTTTTTCTCGTACAGTGGCTCGGTTCGGTAAGGAACATGTCGAACCTTACATCCGTGAAATGGAAGAAGCCGGTGCTTTTAAACCCGAACTGATGAAAGCAATCTTTGATCAAGGCGTATGTAATTGATCTGTTGTATATGTTATGATTTGTACATGTCTGAAATTAGTGGATGGGCATCGAAATACCTACTCAGTACGGAGGAGGTGGTTCGGATATTTTCGGGTGCATTCTAGCGATTGAGGAAGCATCGAAAATAGGTCAGCCATAGACAGAATTCAACAAAAAAAGATTTTCTTTGCATTTAGATAGTGCATTTGGAGGTAGATGACATTCGAAAAAAGTATCATTGATTTTAGTATTGCTTTTTCTATTGGCTAAGGATTCCTTGATGTGCAAAATACTGTTGTAAATCCATTTTTCATTCAACTTGCTAACGATGAACAAAAAGCTACGTACCTACCTCGATTAGCGAAAGACTTGGTAATGACTTGTGAATGATGATACTTGCTTTTCTGTTTCTAGTTAATGGCAGTTGATGTGCCAGTGGAGTATGGTGGATCAGGACAAACATTTTTCTCTTCAGTGCTGGTCATTGAAGAAATGTCAAAGATTGATCCAAGCGTAGGACTACTGCTAGATCTACAAAATACTCTATTCAATCGATTGTTTCTCAATTACGGAACGGAAGAACAAAAACAACACTATTTACCACAATTGGCTAAGAATCTCGTGTTGTTCTTTTGATATTTAAACCTTGAGGGTGAGAATAGAAGTTATAATCGACTTATTTTTTTCTTTCAGGTCGCAAGCTTCTGTTTAACGGAGCCAACATCGGGTAGTGATGCATTTGCTTTGAAAACAACAGCAGAGAAACGAGGAGATTATTATGTGTTGAACGGCACGAAAATGTGGATATCCAATGCAGAGATTAGCGGAGTTTATCTTGTCATGGCAAATTCAAATCCCACGGTGGTAAATAAGAAAATGAACATCGATTCGAAAGTATCAAATCACGTTTTGTTCTTCGTAGAAACATAAAGGCATTTCAACATTTATTGTCGATCGCGATACCGAAGGTTTACGTATAGGCAAAAGAGAAAAAAAACTTGGTTTAAAAGCATCGTCCACATGTATGGTTCATTTCGATGATTGCAAAGCATGTGTCACTTCTTTCTCTGACTCACAAAGAACTCTTCTCTTATATTCGTAGATCCCTGCGAAGAACCTTCTCGGAAAAGAAGGTCATGGTTATAAATACGCCATTTCTATGCTTAACGAAGGTCGTATTGGTATAGCAGCTCAAGTAAATTCGTTTGCTTTACGCTTCCTTTTGTAAAGCTCGACATTCTGCGTAGATGGTAGGTGTTAGTCAAGGTGCGTTCGACAAAACCATACCATATACAAAAGAACGTAAACAATTCGGTCATCGTATATTCGATTTTCAAGTAGATTCAATTCGAGAGGAAGTTTTCGATCATGTTTTTTTATGTGTCATGTAGGCTATGCAACATCAAATAGCGTTATTAGCAACGGAAATCGAAGCTGCTCGACTCTTGACATACAATGCTGCTCGCTTACGTGATGCCAAATTACCATTTGTGAAACAAGCGGCCATGGCTAAGTATTACGCATCAGAAGTATGACTCATTGGAGGGGGGAGGAGGAGATTCTCATTCTCTAAGTTGATATTTTATGCTTTCAGTTAGCAGGAAGAGTAACCAGTAAATGGTAAGTGATTTGATTTCTGATCGCGTCGTGAATATCGGTTGTTTATACTAGCATTGATTTCATGGGTGGTTTGGGATTTTCATGTGATTATCCGCAAGAAAAGTTCTTTCGCGATTGTAAAGTTGGTGAGTTCGAATTGTTGATTAGAAAGAAGAAGAATTTAACATTTTCTTTTGATGAATTTCAGGAACTATCTACGAAGGTACTAGTAACATTCAGCTCAACACAATCGCTAAGTTTATTGACAGCGAATATTGATCAACAGTGCTATTTTAATTCCAATAAAGAAAAACAGCATTTTCGATTTTTGATTAACTCATTGATTTATTCGGTTAATGCATAATTAAAACTGAAAAAGAATGCTAATAGACATCAATCATAAGTCGGTAATTTTGTTTGATAATTAAGTTTTGGTCCACTGAAGTTCTGCTTTTGCGCAAGACGATTCAAAGCAAAAATACATAACTAAAAACAGACGATAACAAAGATCAAGTTGAAGGCAAACTTACGGTAACTTGTTGAATATTTTGCTTATCGAATAAATCCACCGCTTGAAAAACTTCACTTTCACTGACTCCGTAAGCACGGGCAGCACTTTGAAAAAGTCCGATATTCTCGCGTAATTTCATTGGACCGCCCGATGTGTGAATTTTCGGGATTGAACCAGGTTTGAGTTTGTTCATTAATCTGTACACAATCCAATAGCGAACGTATATTAATGCATAGAAAACTCACTTGCAAAGAAGAACACCATCGTGAAGAGCTTCGGCATAATCATCGGTGGAAAATTTCTCACCTGTAACTGCTTCGATCCATTCGCGTGCGGCTTTATCCTGTTCAGGATCTTGTTTTAAATTGATCTACGAAATACAACCATCGTTAAGCATATTCATATTAAACATAATCCATCTGATTATCCTACTTTATCTTTAACTGCTCGATCTAACGCCATGTTGTACGGTTATAACTACAATCCGGCGCTATATATATACTGTGATATATATATACACACATATATTACATATTATCATCCGCTTTCGTAGGCGTTTCGCCTGTCACCTCTAATATTCAGTAAACAGATCCGAAGCAAATGTCGGTAATTAGAATACCATCGCTGTGCGGCTAAGAGCACGTAGGCTAGAATAACATTGAATGACAACTGTTAGTTTGTATATCAATGTCCATTTTTCAAGCTGATCGAAGACAGTTACTGATTAAACCGCGAATATAATGACATGTCAACATACGCGTTCTCGGCAAGACGCAATTATACATCTCTGCTGATTTCGTTGTGAATTCTGTTGTGTGAACACTCAGACTGAACTAATAATGTTGTATGTCATCTTTATTCAATTGATCTGAATTGAAGATAATTTTGAATGTCCTCCGGCAGTGTTTTTTTTGTGAACGTATTGATAAGCAATGATTGTATGACCGTTGTCATCGTGCTTAACGCTTACTAAGTCTATTATATCGAATGAACTAATAAAAAAAGCCATTTGAAGCAAAAGAGTACATGACGAGTTTCATTATTCTTTATTTGCATACATAGTTCAAATTATACGCTACTTTTCTTTTTCTTCTCGACTACCACGAGAATACGTTCAGTTGACTCANCCGATCAACAGTGATACTCCGAAAGATATTCAAAGTTCATCTCAAACCATCGAAGAAACAGTGGAAATCACTCAAATTTAGACCGAATTCATCGATCTGATTTTGTAAATATTTTCTTACTGATTGACTTTAGAATTAGGAGTGTTCTTCATCAAACATGCATCTGTTTTCATGCTTCTAGATATTCTCTTTCTTTCTTGTTTGCTGTGTAGGTAATCAGTGGCATTGTATTCTTCATTCTTAACTTGAAAAGTTCCTTGTTATATTAGAGATTACATTTCATATGTTCAAACATAAATAAAACTGATTTAGTAGATTCATATCGATCGTAAATGCCTTTTTCAGTGTACATATTGATTGAACTGTGATATCGAATAACTGAGTCGATTTCGCAAACGATCGCAATTATCTCTATCGAATGTTTTTTTTATGATCAGCTTGTCTCGAGTAAGAACAATACATAAATCATGCACTTACGATAAGATGAACAATCGTTCAATCTTAACAAAATGCATGCGATGAGAATGAAACAGTGAATTCCCTGCAGATCTTTGTTTTATCGTTGATATTTTCTTGCATAGAGAACACATAATTCACTTCCGTTCGAAATGTTCTTTCTGGGCACTCGCTAATGCTTTTGTATTTGTGCATTACGACATGTTGTTTTCGATGGATTCAGTTTCAATCGAAGAAACATTCTGGTTAGGTAAACGGATTGATTTCTCTTCATCGTATGTGATGTCTTCACGAAAGTCGACAGCGCGGCGAACTTTCATTGCAAAAAAACGAACGCTCAAAGTACCGTTCACTGCCAATGTCATCCGACCGAGGTACCTGATACCGAAAATGCCAAGGGGATTGGGAAATTTCGACGTATGCTCATATACACTCTCATTTCCAATCGATTTCGTTTTGCTTTAGAGCACAATTGTCCTGTGCGTATTCTGCAACGCACCTTGTATCGAAGATTACATTCATTGTGGTGTTTGCATTAAGACTTACCATTACCAATGCCGACACAATCCAGGTGATGATGAATCGGCTCTCCTGCCCAGTCGACGAAAGAAATATCACAATTGCTCCGAATGTGTATGTCGCGATACTCGTTTGTTTCGTTATTTGAAGTTTTTGCTTTTAGGAAGACTTAACTCAACTGTTGAGTGAAGACGATATTCATCTACTACGTTCTTCGTTCAAAAGAATCGATCGAGATAATGGTGAGTTGATGTTTCATCGAAGGGAATATCGTTTCGTTAGAAAATGGTTTTCTTCAGATGGATTTATCGTTTTGAGAGACTTTGTGATGTTTTGTTTCAATACAAAAATGATGATCTCTCTTATTCCATACGATCTGTACATACAAAAGTTGCATTTTTATATCATGGACATCCAACAAAAAGGTCGCGTCGCTTGGTTGGATTACCAGCGCTTTTATACATGCAAGTTGATCGCAGGGAAAGATCACGTAGGAGAAGTATACTTTCTTCGCATGTCTCGCGTTATTTTCTAGGCTCAATTAACAACATCGTTAACTTACAAAGAATTAATCTTTGCGAAGAAACTCTTTCTTCAAGATTCAGATCTGAATTTCGATCATCAACGAAATATGATCATTACGAAAGAACATTGCGATAGAGTTCTTTATGATCTTCTCGTCATGATCAAGTATATAAAGAAGATGAAATCCTAAACGATATGCTCGTGTTTTATTTACAGGAGAAAATATGGCGGACAGTTCATCGATTCGGTTTTATACGAAAGCTCGATAATCGACGAAACATTCGCGTAAGTTTTCTTACTGATGGAAGGCGTCGTTAGATCTTTATCTGTTTAGAGCACATCGTGTACTCACTTGGGAAGAGTTCCTATGCCAGATTGCTGTTCCTATCATACTGAATCGCTCGAATTTCGATATTCAGCAGTTTCAAACCTATCTGGCGAGTATTCTACCGCCCGTTATCGAAACCAAAGTGGAATTTTCGTATACACATCGATTGAAAACTGAAGTTATAACAACAGAAGATGTTTCATTTATTCAGTCTTGTGTAAAATATCGAAAAGCGGCAAAACATCGGTCAAAGAGTGCATTGCCGCGTGGGACGTTGATTGTCGAAAACATGGAAAGAAAAGATAATTTCGAACGACCGAAATTAAAGCTGAATATAAGGGATGAACGACAAACTATCAGTGCCCCTTGGTCAATGGTTAAACAGATGGAACTTCTGCGGAACGAACCGATATCGATTTGAATGACTCAAAGATAGACTTATCAATCATGAAGGATTAGTTATATTTATTGATATTGAAATAATTGTGAATAAAATAAATGTCTATTTTCACTTTCAATGTCTTCGAAAATCGCATAAATCTATTCGAAATTTTCATTGGCAATAACACGACGTAAATCTTCGTTATCGTCTTGCAATTCTCGTTCGTAGATGTTCATTTGTTCGTCGGATAAAACGGATTCGTCAGCAACTTCTTCGCGTTTACTAAGACCTAATAAGAAAGAACACAATGACGGAATTCGTCGATAATCAAACCAAAAACTTTACGTTTATCGCATTTGATTCCATAGTAGGGTGATTTACATCGGCAATAGTATGTTGTGCGCAATCCAACACATTCACCGCCATTACGACAGGGTTGATCGGCGCAATGATCTTTACGTGCACGATCGGCATTAGCAGCACCAGTGAACATAAATTCTAGAAGCCACACAGAAAAATATGTTTCGTAGATCAAATATAAACAGCGTACTATTTTCACAACGTTTGCCATAATGATCCTGACCACAAAAGCAATAGTAGCTACCACTTGACAAAGTTTTGCATGTACCACCGTTATTGCATGGATTAACTGCTCCGCAGGCATCTATAATTGAATTGAGAGTATGTTTTTCTTAGAAATGCACATCGTCTCTGTCGGTCTCACCTTTTGGTGCCGCAGTTGTTAAGCGTCCAGTACCAGATCGTGATGTGCTACTTGCCACTATTCACAAAAAAACTTTCTTTTCACCTTCTCGGTCATGACAAACGTTACGTACATCTGCTACCCGAAGTTGTTTTGCCTTTATCACCAAATAAACCACCGAAAACGGATGATTTAGTTGAAGTTGAAAGTTTCGAAATCGAAGTTGGCTTTGTTGTTGTAATCAATGCTGAAATCGAGTCGGAAGATGGCTTGGGTGTTGTTGTCTTTTTATTCTTCCAGAATCGTTTGATAGTTTCAATTACATCTAAAGAAACAACTTTCAACTTTGTGAACTGCTTTCCAATTAACTATTACCATCGTCTTCGCTATCATTGGTAAAATCCATTTCTTCTTCGGCATCTTGAAGATTATCGTTACGAGCACGTTCAGCTTGTAACACAGAGATGAACAACGTTACAGCAATGAACAGGAGAAGTATGCGGCGATTGACCATGATTTCTCGTCCTTTTTGAAACCAGACAGTACTGAGAAAACGTCTTTTTATATCCAAACGGATCTGTCCAGTGTTGACAAATGATTATTCATCCGTAGGAGATATTTGTAGATAAGAAAATGAATCCCGCTGTCTATTTTCGATGAAAACCTATTTATCCTTGACTTGATAAGTAGTGGAAAGAGATTATCTCGACGTTATTGATGATTCGTTGTTGATAGTTGCCTTTCTTATTGTTGAGATAAATTAATTGTGTCTAATTTATCTAAAGACGTAATTCAATGTTCACCTACTACTGCCATCTATCGTCGAAACATTCTTGTTAGTTGATCAGTTGAATCCAATCGGAAGAGCTGATCGTGAAACATCATCATCATTGTTTTGTTTATTGATTCTTGCACGCATTCTTTTTGACTTGCAACATACATAACGAGCATAGATTATCATGTCAATCTCTCTTCTTTCCAACACATACAATCGGCAAAATTGGGAAGATTCGGTATGTTGAGCTTCTAGAAGAAAAAGTCTTTCAATTGAATGTGAATTTATTTGATAGGAGTTTCCAATTTTATGTCAAACATGTCTTGGCGATAATCCTTACATTCGAATGGTAAATATACGGCTTTTTCTCATTCATTTATAAAATTAGATTTATTAATTTAGATGAAAGAACGATACGGGCAAGAGTGTAAGATATGTAATCGTCCATTTACGATCTTTCGTTGGTGCCCGGGTGCTCGTATGCGTTTCAAAAAGACAGAAATCTGTCAAACGTGCAGTAAAGTGAAAAATGTTTGTCAAACATGTTTACTCGATCTTGAATACGGTTTGTACTCAAAAATATCTACTAACTAAACATGTCGTTCGCTTTTTCCTTCAGGTTTACCTGTTCAAGTTCGTGATGAAGCTTTACAAATCACTGACAGTGTTCCAAAATCGCACGTGAATAAAGAGTACTTCACACAAAATGTTGAAGGAGAGGTGAGAATTCGTGTTTTTTTGTTGTAAAGATCAATATCAAGATGTATTTAGATGGCACTTGATCAACAACCCCAACCATATGGCCAATTAGCTAAAGCTCAACCACCAAGTGATGTTCTGATGAAATTGGCACGATCAGCACCGTACTACAAACGTAATCAACCTCATATTTGCTCGTTTTACGTCAAAGGTGAATGTAAACGAGGTGAAGAATGTCCATATCGGTATGTACAAAATGTTCATTGAAAATCAAAACTATTGCCTTCGTTCTCCATCGTCTAGACATGAAAAACCATCGGATCCTGACGATCCTCTATCGACTCAAAATATTCGCGATCGTTTCTACGGTATCAACGATCCTGTCGCTGAGAAACTGTTGTCGCGTTATAAAGAAGCACCACAACTGGAAGCACCAGAAGATAAAACTGTTACTACACTTTATATTGGAAATGTTATCGATATCGATGAACAGCAACTTCGGTTTGTTGAATTTGCTCTGCTGTAGGAAAGCGTATGAACACTTATCTTTTTCTAGAGATCACTTTTATCAATATGGAGAAATTCGCTCGGTCACTGTTGTACCGAAGCAATCATGCGCTTTTGTTCAATTTACACAACGAGACGCAGCTGAACGAGCAGCAAAAGAAACATTTAATAAATTAGTCATTGACGGCAAACGGTTATCCGTTAAATGGGGTAAACCACCATCAGCACAAGCTAGTAGTGGACGTGCAGGTGAAGCAGGTGGATATGAAAGCAATTACGAGCTTGTACCGGGCCTTCCATCAGGTAATGAAATATATTTCTTTTCTTGAAAAAGATTCGAACTTTTCTTTCTCTCAGTTGTCCCCATGCCATCAAGTGAATCGAAAACGGATTTCTTTGGCCTATCATCGTCATCAAACATGGCAGCGTCGACAGCCTCAAATACATTTCTTCCCCCACCACCAATGCCACCTCCAGATCTAGGCGACTATACATCGTCGTTATCTTATGGTCATATGCCACCTCCATTATCATTGCGTACGTCTAGTATACATTATCCATCGCAAGACCCATCGCGTGTTGGTTCAACAGCATCACATGGAAAGGCCAATGAATAGAATCGATGATTTTTTCTCTCTTTCTTGATATTATTTCGTTCTGTTTGCGTGTTGTGTTTATGTATTCAATAAAAACGAGTTTTTCGTGAAGAACGAAAACCAGCATGACTCTTTCGGATAAACATACTACAATTGAGAGCGTGAAATTCGTTTGGAACAACAGTTAACTGTCTTCTTCTCAGAAAAAAACCATCGTCAAGATTTTGACATTAAAATAAACACTATTTATTTGCTTTTACAATACATATACATCGATTTTTAGCACACATAAATATGTCATTCAGAATTGCAATGAATAAAAAAGACTTTACAAGACAATTCTCATGGATCAGCTCGAGTACCATCAATACATCCAATATCATCTAAGATAAACGCTAGTTCCACTCGTTCGACTACGGCTTCCACGGCGTTCACATGCACCGGTATACTTTGCGCCTCATACATGGTTTCAATGGTCGATAAAAAACATTTGATTAAGTTGAGAAATCGTCGAACAGACAATTGAAGGCCGTATTTAAACAAAAGGTATTTCCATGTAACTTCGACATTGTCATTTTGAATCCGAAAAATCGTAAGCATACTTGCTGGTTTAACAACCATTGTTGAAGGAACTAGTAAAAGATTGTTACAAAAAGTAAATAGAGACAAACCTAGCTTGAAAATCACAACGTCGGTTTCCATGTATTTTACAACATGTTCGACTAAATTCAGTGCATTTTGACCGTAACAATTTTGAAAATCGGCTACAAATGATGGACAATTGGAAAGTTGACATTGTTTCCAAATGAATATCAGACCGAACCATGTCGTGCTTTCGGCAGCCATACGAAGAAAGCCGGCTCGGTCGTCGTACGACAATTGTGCATAGTTTCGATTCGAACGAAGATAATTTTCGGCGACTTGATATACTTCCGAGAACAGTTGCGTTGATAACATGGTACTGGCTTGTGCAACAGCGCTTTCAGTGGAAATTTGACGAGCAAGGGATAAAAGTTTACTCTCATTGTAACAATATATCAAACTTGATAGAACTGTCCACTGTACCGAATACAATGGCGAACTATCCGGTTGTAAAAGATTCCTGATTGGAAACTAGAAGAACAAGAGACAATAAAGGGTGTTCATAAGAAAATTGAATACTTGTTGACATTGGATTTCTTCTTCAGATCTTGTAAGGATATTCGACGTTTCAGTGAAAGTTTCAGTCGTGGGATTTGCTTTTTCTTTCGATGCAGTTTTCTTCGATAGAGAAGATCGAATCAGTTCCGGCTGCATTCCATTGGCAAAACATTTCGCTAGTCGACATGCGGGGCATACGTGACGATTATTTACATTAACTTCACAGTTTTCGCCCGAGTCACATTTGAATTTGAGCTAGAAAGACAAAGAAAACGCACTGAAGAGATGAACTTATCGATAATTTTCACTTGTCCAGTAATAGCATTTCGCCGAAAAAACATTTTGCATGGCGAACATGATATCGCGCCATAGTTCGAATGCTCCGCTGGCGCACCGCAAATTTTGCATTGAATAGACTCTTCTTTTGCCCTTTCGACTGGATACGATGATGCAATATTAGAATTTTTATCCATCGAATCCTTATTTTATCCAATCTGAAATCAGCAGAAAGGCGCCAGACGTCCAATTAGCTGAAGAAAATAAGTTTAAAAAGTACAAATACAGTACTACTATGTGGATAGTTTTAATCGTTTTGAACAGAACGTTTAATAGTACCTTTGACGTCTTTGCTTTTCTTGTTTTTATTCAAAGGAGAGAAAAGAATATAATTATACAGTTCTTCTTCGTCGTGTCTGTTCTATATTGGAATAGTGTAGTAGAAGTTGGCCGTCTGCTCGGAGTGGACATTTTTAAGAATGAATTGCGTATCGAAATCAAAATTCAAGAAATCATTGAGCAAATCAAAAGATTTCGCTTATCAATGTCTGGTTTGTACAGCACCAACGATGGGCTTTCACTTTGGAGTGATTTGTTGCCCACCGTGTAAGATGTTTTTCAAACGAAATGCTGAATCCAAGCAAGTATGAGTCATGAAATCTGATCGAAGTGAAGAATTGAAATTTATTTTTCAGATACCTCTGGCATGTACTTTTGCAAATAGATGTGATATCGATACAGCGAGCCGGCGAAGGTGTCGATTTTGCCGGTTAAACAAATGTTTTGCAATCGGAATGAAAGTCGAGCTATTCCATGCGCCTCATGCAAAAAATCACCAATGGAAACAAGTAAGACTATTCAGCAGCTTCTGGAAATCGGACGATTCGTTTTTATCTAGCTCAATTCGATTAACTTGCTAGAATCTTATCAAACAACTCTAACTGCTGAAGAATGCAATCTACTTTCACATGTCGACGATCTATTCGACGAAAATGCACAACTAGCAACAGTGTACGGATATTTATCGAACCAGAATAATTTACCATCAAAATTCCGTTTTAAGTCTCAAACTATTTGGGGATTAACGTCATTGTTAATGAGTCAAAGTCAGCCGATTTTCCAGAGAAATCTGCATTTTCTTTCTTTATGTTCTTCCGATCGAACACTGCTTCTTCATCGTGTAACAAAATACATTTCATTAATCACGTTTTCACTAATAGTGCATATCACAAATCTCACAGATCATCTTTTTTACTATAAAACCTTGGAAACTCTCTTTCGATCAACGGCAATGTCCAGCACTAATCCTCTCTTTACTCGACTTGATCAATTCGATGTCCTGTTTCTGAAATTATCATTAGTCATCATCTGTTTCTCAACATTTGACTATGTCATTTACGAAAATCAATCGGCAAGTCATCTCCTTCACCTCCAGCATGTTATCAAATTCCAAAATCTCTACGTCGATCTAGCTTGGCGATACTTAGTTTATGAATACAATGAACAACAAGCCCGACGATACTTTTCCAATTTAGTTCAATATCTCTTCACTGTCAATGACATGATCGTCTCCATGTACGACGAAGGATCATTTCAAAAGATGATACATTTGATTATACAACGCACGAAAGTAGCACTTTGTCAATGAGTTTGTTTTTTTCTATTTTTATTTCCAGAGAAAAATAACAATAAATTCTCATCACTGAAGCTCGCCCTCTTGGGTTTTCCACATTCATAACAAGTGAAGTTAACGCGCGCGCCAAGTCTATATAGCAAATTTATTCCACAGGACAAAAATTGACACAACTTAAAGTAAGTTCAAGAAAGACCATCCACGTAACCTAATTGTTTATTGAGAATTTGTCCGATTGCTCAACAACGATTTCGATTATACTCTTGTATTCTCGAATCTGATCAACTTCTACTATTGTACGATTCACTCGTAGTAAACATCTGAGAAGATGACAGAATCTCAGAACAGCTTGCTGATAAGTATATTTATATACCATGTATTTCCACGCTATTTCAAGATAGGAATCATGAATTCGTAAGACGCTTTTCGAATCGGCCAGTTCATTGCAGGCCCGACCGGAATAAACGGTATATTTCGTAGTTGAGAAGGCGGTAATCACGAGAATTAATTTGACAAATGTTGCATCAGAATCGAAAATTTCAATTAGTTGTAGAATCTTCAGCATAATATCGACTCCGAATATCGTTGCAGTCGTTTGATAAAACAGAGGATCGTGGAGAAGTCCAGCTTGGTATAATGCAAATGTTGCACCAATACATTCGGTATGTTTGACAGTGTTTCGAAGAAGAATTGAGCGATCAGAACATCCAATCGAACGAAAATCGACATTTTTCTCGAACATCTGCTGCATTCGTGCCATATTCAATGTGACAAAGTCTGTCGTCGATGTCAACTTGTAACGTAACCTCAATGGAAAACGTATTTGTTCATGCCGAAACTGTAGAGCGTTCTCAACTCCACTGTGTTCGTCATAACAGTGAAGTAAATTCGAAAGAAGAGTCCATTGCTTCGTTGTCAACGTCGACTGATCTGAACGTAATAAATTTACTGTTGGCAACTAAAGAAAATGCGTGTTAGTACGTGGAATATCTACGCGATTACTTACTTGTGATGATACACTAGTTTTTTGTTTCCAGTTGGGTAATTTTGACTCTATGCCGTGCTGTCGCTTCACGTTTTTTCTCAACCTCGAGCCGCGTATCAGCTCAACTTGCATTCCTACGGTGAAGCACTTCCGCAGTCGACATGCGGGACACACTCGTCGACTGTGAATATTAATGTCACACTTGTTGTTTAGATCGCATTGAAAAGAATCCTTAAAAACCAATCGAAAATAGCAGATGACTAAATAATCGTTCTCTCAGCCGGACCTGTTTCGATTCAGCGTTTCGTTTGAAAAACATCTTACACGATGAACAAGAAATGGCTCCGAAATTCGTGAAGTTCGCTGGCGCACCGCATATTTTGCAGACTTCAGATGCTGTCGTCGATGGCTGTTCCATTATTTATCGTCGTGTTCGCTCGAGAATGTACTTTCTAAATAGCGTCAAAGTCGTGGTTCTGAATGCACGTTTGAAGAGAATAGAAAGAAACCTTTACCCTCTGTGTCGAGGAAGAAAAAAGAAAGGAGAAAAAGAAAGAAACAACGTGTCAAACCGACGTAAATTCAAAGGAATGGCTAAGCTTTCTGTGTTAGAAGAAAAATAATGCTCTCTTCAAGAATGATACACTCCTATTTATTACGAATAAACTAGATGTATTAGTAAATGACACATGCTTTCAGATCTATTTAACCTCGCGGAACTGTCGTGCTTCTTTCAATCCTTGCTCAGTCTGCCGCGGAATTGGTTTTTATCAGGGATGAAAAGAACATTCTGTTCTGTACCCAAATCAGTACACAATTAAACGCGACTGAAATGCGAAAAAGAGTGCGAGTGGAGCGCGGCAAACTGCTTCTCGGATAAGACTTAATGAGGATTATCGTAGAGGAAATCTGTTCATTATGTTTGTCATAACTCATGCGTAAGAATTTATTTTCTGAGTGTTTGAATAAAAAAATGCAAACAACGTAAAATAACAAGACTGTCATAATTAAATAATCGACAAAGACGATTGCGCGAAGAAGATATTATTTTGGCTTAAACCATGTTGCCACTTCAGCGAAGAGATTAGCAGGGAGTGTGTTAACATTGTAAATTGAAAGTAAGTCTAAACTTGAAACTTCCGACAATAAACTAGACGCTTGGCCGCGCGGAATGATGCGAAAATAGACCGGTGTAGAGCCCTGATCATCGGTCTTTGAAGACAATGGCTGTAAATACAGGCATGACGAGAAAGAGTACTGTTTGAGTTTGATAAAATAACCTAGATGGATCGAGTCAGAAGGTAAATTCGACGGAAGGAATGACATACCTTGAAGAATTGTGTAGATTACTTCAATGAGTCGTTCATCGAAGTTCTCTGCCAGGACGACAATGTCATATTCTTTTCTTGATGTCTAAAAATAACACATTGATGGAGAAGAGGCCACGCAGTAAGCTGAAGAATGATACAATCTGTCGTGTTCTTTCTTTATTGTCGTTGACGACATCGTTGTCGTCTTCTGTGTTTTATGTCCTCGCAAAACATACGAAAGAAGAAAAAAAACGCGACCATATACTACGAGAGTGTACAGACGAGACGTGACAAAATATTATTAGATATCGATGTATATACGGAGATGTGCGTATCAATTGGGGCATAAAGAAGGCGAGGTGAAAATTATGCATTGCGACAAATCAGAATAGGACATATCTAAACAAATGGCTGAGACAAGCAAAGCAATTGATCAAAATCTTCCCTCCGTATTCCTACAAATTCAAGAACAATTAGTACGTACTGAGTTTCTATCAATTACGGACAAACATGTATGACATATGCTTGAATTTCGTCTGTTATCTGAGTGCAATAATCAAACATGTGTCGAACAAGTTTTGTACATCTTTTTTAGAAGCACATTCGCGAGGATAACATGGATTTAACCGAACAATTAACATTGCTCTACAACGATCTTTGTCACATTCGACGAATTCTCAGTAATTCTCAACAGTCCAATGTCAATTTGAATCTGAACACAACGAGTCTGATTGAACCTTCAACATCGAGTCGATATCATCCGAAACAACGTTCGGATAGCGAACCGAATATTCTCTCTGATCGGCAGCGAGTTGTCACGATTATTGATGACTTACAATAGGTGTAAACACCGTTATACCGCCCAATGATAGCGATAGATTCAATGCAGCATGAACATCTTGTAACGCGCGGAAATAGTTCGTTTGTTGATGTCCTTCGACACTTTTATAATCGCGATAATACTGCTCCGCCGTTGAACGTATTGATTCGAATTGACCTGTTGTGTTTTTTCAAAAAAAAGATAGAAAAACCAAATCCTGAATTATTTTGTTCTTTTTTTTTTCGTACCATAATAATGATCTGAATGAACTGTGGTGTGAATATGTGGATGCACTTGTGAGGCTCCTCCGTGTGGAAGACTATCCCAAAGTAATGTAGGAAAACGATGAGCAGGTGACTGTTTATGAACAGCAAGAATCCTATAAACAAACAAGAGACAATTTTCACAAACAAACAGAGCATTCTAGTCGAAAGAAGCAATACGAGTCGGTTAACACATTTTTACCTTTGATAGAGGTCTTATCTAGATATCTTTGTTTACACAGAGTAAAATCGATGTAAACGGTTAGAAATCTTGACTTACCATTTCCATGCTAATGTGTACACATCTTTTAGTTGGTCGAAAGTGAGCTTGGTGACATCGTGTTGTCGTGGCATGAACATCGAATGCCATTGATCGAATTTAAATGCATTAGCAGCTGAATAAGCATGCCGGTTCTCCATTCGACCAAGACTATCCATCGCTGTCATGCTGTTCATTGTAGAAAGCGAAAACATTTGTTCGAAATTCGACAAACTCGAAGCATTTACTTTTGATAATTACATAAATCGCAAGATTGACTAGTTTTGTTCATGGTTTCTTTGAGACTGCAATGATCCGAATGAAAAGTTCGACGAAAAAGCAATGTTCATCTCACTATTGATCTATCGGTACTTCAGGTCGTTGTACAGGACGACGGCCACGGAGTGGATTGTAAACTGTATGTTCAAATGAATACTTGTTAATTACAAAATGAAGTTCCTAGACAGGATAATGAAGAAGAAGACGTTATGTAAGTGTTTGGCAGTATGTCTGAACCTGTTTCAGTGCTTTAGCATACAGATCTTCGTCATTGTTAAAAATTTTTTTTATTTTTTCTGCAAACGCCGATGGATATTGTACTTCTGCGACTTTTGTTTTGATATCATAGATAGATTTTATCTCACCAATGACCTTCCTACAGATGAACGCATTGTCAAAACATGATTTCGTGCACGGATTCCCTTACTGACAAACTGAATACTTCGTATAATTAGTCTTGTAATATTGATCGGAGTTTTCAGTCGGTAAGATCTTTTGGTTCAGCCAACAGCGTGAGCGCCACGCATTCTAATGAAGAAGGTTCTTCTATGATGTCAATCAAAAACGAATTTCTCCTTACGATGTCATAGGACAGATCAGACAAGAATATCGGCCACTTTGAGTATTGAGCAAATCGACGTTCGGTATTCGTGTTCGGATATTCAAGATTTGTGTTCACTGCGCCTTGGTTTGTCAGTAGTAGCTTAGGTAGAAAAAGGGTCGTGACTGTTCCTAACAGTAAACCGCATAATAACCATTTAATTTTGTAATCATTTGCTCGATATATCATCATCTTTTCATTCTAAAAGATCAAGACTCGAGATTAATCAATGTTAGCAGTATCTCTTTGTCTATTTGTAAATGAATCAATGAATGAATGAATAAATAAGAAGAAAAGCGCACAATTTCAGGCAGAGAGAAAATAAAAAAAAGTGAATGCTTAGTTAAGGAATGATCTTTTGATAAGGTGCTGGTATACGCTCGAGTAAACCTAAATGAATGGAATGTTCGACATGAAATTGGATGGAAATGCTTGTCGTACCTCGTTTGGATAGTTCGGCTTTGTTGAACAGACGATTGTAGTATTTCTAAAGGTAAAACAGATGAATTGCAGCGTGGTTTTTCGCGTTGTTTACCTGTCCGTTATCACAAATACATGTAACAATAGTCGACCCTTTCGGCATCGATTTACTTAATTCAACAGCAGCAGCGACGTTCAGGCCTGATGATGCACCAACGAAAAAACCTTCTTCACAAAGAAGTTTATAAACCTATGGAGATAAAAATGAATTCGAGTAGATACGCTTTAGCTAATCTACCATATTGACAGAATCTTGATCACTGATAAATAACGATTCATCAATTGGCGCATCTTGTAAATTTTGTGTGACACGTCCTTGACCAATTCCTACAGAAATATTTATCCTCACACAGGTTCAAGTCTTTTCCAAGTATATTCAAGCCTTCAGTTATCGATGATCCATCTGTTCGATCGAGTTTGCCAGATTTTATGTAATGATACAGAACACTACCCTGAATATAGATGTATACAAGGCATTTTATCAAAAATATCTGTTCGTATACCGGCGGATCAGCAAGAACCGTCCGAATATTCTTATTTTTCTCCTTTAAGTACATTGAAATGCCAGCTAATGTTCCACCAGTGCCAGTACTCATGACAACAGCATCGACTTTGCCGTCTACAAAATGATGTGTTTACATCGATTGACAAGAATGCAGATTTACTAGTTTGTGTCCAAATTTCAGGCCCAGTTGAAACATAATGACCTTGACGGTTTGCTCGATTATCAAACTGATTCGTCCATAAAGCATTGTCACGTTCGTCTGCGTATCGTTTCGCCTTAAAATTGAAAAAAACTTATTGACATGTTCTTCTGAAGAATACCTTCATACGTGATGATTGTAGTTGTTTGGGTCTGTGAATGCTACAACAGGAACTGTAGTCACTTTTGCGCCTAATAATCGAAGTAAATCGATCTTTTCCTTGACAGAAGACGTAAATGAAATCGTTCTTGAAATTCAATGATCTTCTTCAATTTACCTTCGATTGATTGTCTGGCATGAAAATCACACATTTAAAACCCAGTGCATTGCATATATGTGCTAAACCAATTCCCGTGTTTCCAGCTGTACCTTCTACAATTGTCGCACCATCTTTGATTAAATCTAAACTAGATTATCATTAAATTCGAAGAGTCTATGCTAACAAGAACATGCATACTTTTATCGAGTGCGTCTTGAATTAAGAAAAAAGCAGCACGATCTTTAATTGAACCACCCGGATTGAGATATTCAGCTTTTACAAGAATATTACATCCTAGAGATCAAATTTGAGTATTTAGATGTACGATTACAATCACTAATACCTGTCTCTTTGCTTAACTTTGGTAATCGAATCAGAGGTGTACTAAAATTCGAACGTTCAGCAATGAGTGTGAATAGAAGACATGATTCAATCTTACTTTCCAACTGTGCCACGAAATCCTTCTAATATTCGTGCCACGGATGAAGCCTACACCAAAACCATTCGATTATCGTCATGTTCCCTTCAAAAACTCTTACATTTTTCGATAGACTTCGTCGACTTTGATGGATGACTGTACTTGTCAACATGTTTTGCTTTCCACTAACTGTTAAACCTTGAAATCAAATATCAATTGCTCGAAATATTTCGCCTTCGCCATACCATCGCGACGTGATAGACATAGTCTAGTACGCGACGGTTATAGACTAGTTCCAATTGGTAGATCTGATTTTCAAATAAGGTAATAGTTCGCTTTCTGGCCCCATGCTCGTACACAGGAGACATCTACATGAAAATGCGAGCTGAAGGTATTGTTAAATCTTTTGAATTTAGTGTACACTTCACATGAGCGAGAAAAAACGAAAGCGTGTGCGCGTGTGAGAGAGAGAAAGAAGAATGACTCGTTGGAATAATACACTTCAGAAGAGTTTAAATACACTGGTACGTAAGACAAACAAAGTAAAGTAAAATAATCGACGACAGAGTTCGGTGTCATGCAACGTCATGGACACTAATGATGAGACATACGATTCTGAGACAAACGATTATGATGAAGATGTTGGACAAGTATCCGAAAGTCAGACAATTCCTGTCTATGCCAACGTTCAAACGTACCCATGTTCGACATGTGGAAGAAGTTTCAATAGTGAATCATTAGTAATATGAAAGTAATTCGTTTGTTTACCGTAGAATTTCGTATTTGTAGAGGAGACATCAAGCGGTATGTAAAAACGCTTTACAAAAGCAACCTCGCAAGATTTTTGATACTGGCAAACAGCGTGCGACTGATTCTGATGTGCCATACAAAGCCACGAGAGAAACAACACAGGTTGGAGATGCCAAATACATTGAGAATTCTTTTGAATAATGTCTAAGGAACTGCCAGTTTTATAAAAATGGTCGACAACCGAAAGTCGACAATTCAAAGAACAAGACAACTAACTGGCGAGAAGGACACAATGAACTTGTTCGTACTATCCGCCAAGCTCGACAAGTCACACAAGCCATTGAAAATGATGCGCCTCTGCCAAAGCAAATTCCTTCTCAAGCTCCATCCGATTATATCGAATGTGAATATTGCCATCGTCATTTTAACAAATTTTCCGCAGAAAGACACATTCCATTGTAAAATAAGACGAACAATGTTCTTCTTCATTCGAAGTTTTATTTTTAGTTGTGAAGCTCAACACAAACGAAAACAGGCGCATTCAACTGTTACAGCGACGCATAATGTCTACACACCACCGAGAAATAACGGTCGATCCGAACGAGTCAATAATAATGAACATCAGATCAACTCTGCACCTTCCAAATTAGTCACACGAAGACCTCAAAAGTATCTCTGAGTCTTGAATTGGTTCATTAATTGACTCTATTGTATATTTGCAGAATCAACGAGGAAAAGGAGTATAGAAAGCCGACAGTAAATTCAAACGCTTATAGACGTCCTACTTTTCAGGAGGTAATTATCATTTTTCTATAAAAAGAAGTCTTTTCTCGTTGAATTAATCATCCTAGCCAATGAAAGCGCATTCCAATGGTTCCTCATCCAATTTTCATAATCCTCGCTTAATAAAAGCACGTAATACAACAGGGAACTACTTACGAGGTATGCGTCGTCCAGATCGAACTGGTGACCTTGAACAATCGAAAAACGAGTCGACGTCTTATTATCAACAACATATAGCCGAAATGAAGACTCGAGCGCTGAAGGTAAATCCACGCCCATCACAAACAAAAACTGACGATGATTATCAACACCACGAGACGCAAATACCACGTGGACCGACATTAGCAAAACATTGTCATGAATGTGGTGAAGCTTTTCCTACCGAAAGAGCGAAATTTTGCTGCGAGTGCGGCGAAAAACGTTTTGGTATTGAATAAAGTCTTTTTTTTCAATTTATTTGTTATGTTTATTTTTTCTCGTTTCGATTAAATATTTACATATTTCGCCTATCCCACATGTTCTTCATTTTCCTAGGAAGAAAGTGTCAGTGACATCATCAAATCATCATGGCTTTCCTTGATCATGTTTATCGGGAGCTGTCATTGACTCATGCACTGCTTATTCACCTAATTACCATTCCGTGTCGGTTAATATTCTGTATTGATCATAAAAACGTGTTCTGATATATTCATACAATTCATATTCGTCGCGAAGTAATCGTTTGAGGATATCCCTGGTTTTGCCATTTGGTAAGGGCACGTTCGTATCTCGTTCGTCGATTAGACGATCAGAACTTCGAGTATTCATGAATAGAAGACGAGCAAGTTGAAAATATTGGGGGAGAAGTTTCTCTAGAAACAGAAGAATTTCGTTCATTGTGACGTGCTCGAAAATCACCTACCAAGAACGTATAGAAATTTGTAGAACAATTCAGCAACGCCAACTACGGTATAATAGTATTCGATATTATCTTTCGCTTGCTGCAATGCAAAAGTTGAATTCATTTGACATTCGTTTGTGTGATTTAGTCCACAGAAGAATGGAATCATCTGCGACACACCGAATTCTGCTGAAAGACATTTTACGGGCGGCCATTTCGAAACACAAGTATCAAGTGTATCATTCACTGTTTGTTTGGGAACGAGACAACGATTTGTTGTGCGGCACTGCTCACGTGCTGCATGAAATTCGGATGTCACACGAGAGATGGGATCGCGAACGAGATTAATCCAAATTGGCTGTGTAGGTAACTTTAAATGATAGCAGTCAAAAAAGTAGATCGAACGGTCGTAGATTAACTGATGGAATTTATGTTGAGTTAAGGATTGGCCTATGTGAATCAACGAGGATTGATTGTATGCGTATGGATGCGAGATTCGACTGGAAATATAACTGAATGAATGCAGCGTCGATACTTGTTCGAGTAAAACTCGCATTGTATGATCATAACTGTGTGGTATTCGATTGTAAATAATAGTTGAAGAATCACCTTTGAGACTTAAGATGTGCGAAAATCGATGAGTATTTGAAAATGATGGACTGACTTTTACATCAGAGGAAGACCGGTGCTCTTCGTCGAGAATGGTGATGTTAACATCGAGATCGTCAAGATCAATAAAAGAATAACGTGAACGTATGTCAGAAGAGAATTTTGTATATGATGGATCTCTGAATAGAGAGAAATGCACATATCGTTTATTTTCCAATCGAATGCTTACCGATGATCTGACTTGACAATTGATCCAGATGCCGAACTAACTTTTCGACGTTCCTTCAAACCGGTTAGATGCCCATACATCCCATTTCCATGAAAGGACGAGTCAAGATCCGATGCAACTGTCTGTTCTGCGGTATAGATATAAATTATGTAATATACAATGACTATGAGAATAAGTATTGGCCAGTAACGTGAAGTTCTGCTAGGTGTTGTCATACGTCGATAGGTAACGCGTACTGTTTTTCGCAAACTCATAGCAAACTCATAATTAACGCTATTCAATTGAAAGATCATGTTCTTTTTGTGCGTGACTAACTTCACTCATGAAAGACACGCACTCCGTGTGAAGACTGTTTTTCTTACCTTTGTCATTATATGATGTTACACTTGAATGATTCCTCGGTGCACAGTCATTTATTCGCGATGACACCGCGTGGTGGAAGTATGATTCAAAGATAAGCAAAGGTAGTTACTGTTGCAGTGAATACTCTCAAGGTCATTATCGTCTTTTCTGTTATCGTATAAGCATGGACGCTGGCTCATTATTTTTGTAGAAGAAGTCATAGTTTGTCTTATTTTATTTGGCTAAAGGAAAAAAAATGTTTTTAGGCCAATTTCGTCACCATTTCTCGACTAAGTAAATCCGCTTGTCGTATCGGTTCGCAGATACGATATTTAGTCACAGATTTGAATATTTCACAAGCTGTCGGCAATGTTATTTGATGTCCCACGCTGATATAAACCGCATTTTTCACATAACCGGTTACGTTATAAGCCAAGCCAAGAACATTTCCACTGTCACCGATAATTTCAACATATTGATCTTCTTTCGATGCTTGATTCGTCAGTAATTCTTCAACTCGCTCTCGCGTCATCCCGTCTGCGTAGAGAACGTTCTTCGATACACCAAAACATGGTATACCACTTAAAACACCGAAATGCGAGGCAATACCAGCTCGACGCGGATGCCAAACACCGTTTCCATCCATGAGAATCACTTGCGGTGTTAAATGAGGACAATGCTCTTTCTGAATATCGATCAATTTCATAAAAACCGGTGCTTCACGGAAAGCGAGGTAATTTGCAATGTACGGAATTTTCATGTTACAATTCACGCTGATTTTCGCCACGATATTCAGTGTCGAATAATCGAAAATAACCATTGAAGCAACAGCTTTGTCGTTTGTTTTAACGAAACTTATATCTAAACCAGCGATATATTTAACCGGCTGTTCGATTTGATCAACATCGATTACGATTGATGAGACAATATTATTTTGTTCTCTAAAATATAGGTGATCGCCATGACAATGACTGAAACCAATCTACTTACTGTGTCCAGATGGGCAAAAGATCGTCGGGGGCTAGTTTATATTCGAATTCGATAAAATCTTTGATTTCGATGGTCAAACATGTTTGATCGATGTTTGTCTTCATTCTCTCTCGTGATTCAATGTAGAGTTGTTGAACACGTTGTCTTAATTCATGAAAATTGGTTTTATTTCCAGTTATATCAAGAGCATGTGGCACTTGTAATCTCGATGGATCGAATAGGACTTCCTTGGTCGATTCATCGTATTCCAATCCATTTGCAAGTAGTTCACTAAGAAATTTATACTCATATGAACGTGATAGTTGATCTTGGTCAACGTGACTGCGATTGATCGTTGTTTGCCGAAGTCGAAGATAATCTTCAATGGTTACGACTACATATGGAAATACGTAGTCCGCGTATATATTTCCTTTCCGTCCTGCGGTGTGACCAAGATGGATCATACAATTCATGATCATTTCTTCGCTAATCGTCGTTTCATTGGGATGGATGTCTTCAAGTACCTGTGCGACGATTGAATGTAAAAGAAAATGACCACTGGTTTGATTCGGTGTACAACTGCCATAGAATTGTCTCAATTTATGATCAAAATTTTGCTTTACTTGATCGATAAGTGTTCTCAAATCAATTCGTTTGTTTTCCACATCTTTATCCCATAATGGTTCCATGCCGAAGAATAACTTACTCGGACACGAAAATCGACCAAGATTGATTGCATACGAAGGTACCATAGTCTTCAATGGCGTATGATAATTTCCGAATACTTTGCCGTTGACAAGTTTTTTCAACTCCGGCCATTGAATTTCCATCTTCTCTCGTAATGCTCGGTATTTGATGGCAAAATCTGTATACAATTTCATTGGTCGATCGTGCACTTCCACTGTTGTTAACATAAACAAGACGAATGAGACGATTTCACTTGGAAGTATCGTCGAATAATCACTACTCATATTACGAGCAAGTTTAGTAACCGAACGAACGAATCGATGATGAGATTCGCCCAAGAAATCGCGTAAATGTTCGTTGTCGATATCGATTTTCTTCAACGAATCATACAGTGGAATGCCACAGAGGGTATCGAAAAGCACATTGCATAAGTCTTGTTTGACATTAAGCAAATGCTCCGGCCCGAATTTCGTTTTCGAACATTGACGCTCGATGCACATCAAAGTAAAACGTTGTCGTAGAAGGATTTGAATAGTATCGTTATCCAACTGATGGTATTTACAATTAAAATTCAAAATTCGACATACAGCTTGAATTGGCTGCCGTAAAAGTTTATCTCTGTGCTTAACGACTTCTTTTATCGCCTCGGAAAATCTCATCCGAGTTCCCTCTTCGGCAAATGTATCAGTTGTATAGATGTTCTCAACCATCTGCCTTAGAATATACTCTTTGACGTTCTTATCGAGCCAGTTGAATTGACATTCATCAATTATGGATAAAAGTAACATTTGTGCATGAGGAAGGATTCGATTACCAGTGAGAGTTTGAAATAAAGTGTAATTAATAAACTTTCGATTCGATTCAGTTGACCAGTTCAAGGGTAGAAAGCCTGAGTACGGCTCGCGATAGAGAGTTATCTTCGCTGGAGATGAATTCATGTAAGGTTTCGCGCAGAAACCGCAAACAGGATTTGCAACGAGACAGCCCGCTAAATTTTCGTTTCCTTCCAGAGGAAAGTTAATGATGAAATCGCTCGTTGTATTATCAAGATTCGTCGGTGATTTTAACCAGAGTACAAATGGACCTTGTTCCATGCAAATTGCGCATTCGAAGAGAGGAACATTTGTATGATCCAAGATATCGATTGTATCGGAATGTTCGTCGTCATTCGCCGTGAGAACTCGCGCTCGATTGGCTCGATTCGATGCGAAAGTGAAATCGTTGATCGAATAAGAACCTGTTTCTTGCTCGTGGATGAGATTTTGAACTGTATTCCAATAATGGCGTGTCTTATGCAAATTTTCGTTGACATATTTCAGATATTCGATTTCCTCGAGTTTCGCTTGATCGGATACTTCGTGAAGTTGTCGACGAAGGTCGCTCAATTGATGGAAACCTTCGGTTTGATTCAGTTTCAGTGTAACGATTTGCGAAACGATCTCGTCACGTTGCCGACAGAATTGAAACGGAAACTTCGATTTACAGCTTTCCGTATCCACTCGTATTGCTTGCATTTTCATTTGTGAAACAAATGTGCGAAAGTCATGTAATTTGTTTTCAATTTTACCATATTGAATCAATGTTTTCCAATCATTTTCGTTTAAATTCGAAACCGATTCGACATCTTTGATATTTAAAAATTGATTCAGATCAATGGCGACAATCTCTTTCTCATCATCACGAATTGGAATACAACCCTCGGGAATCGTTTGATGTTCGTAGATTTCCGTATTCTCGAATAATTCTTTCATACTCAATGTCTTCAAATTTTCATATGAACTCAAATCACCCGACGGTGAATAGAAGTTTGCGATATACCCTTTTGATGAGAGAACATAGAAGATTTCGCCGTCGTAGAAAAGGCATAGCACATTCGATGCCATCATCAGCGGTGCAACAACAGACACATTGATCTGCGATGGTGATCCGTACTTGTTCTGAACAATAATACAGATAACCAAAGCTTTGTTTAGATTGTCTTTTGTATAAGTAGCAAACTACAAAGAGCAGATAATCGATGGAGATATGAGCTGATGTTTCTACCTGAGTGACACTGTGATTGTCGATTTGTCCGTCGGTGACAAAAACAACAACGTCACATGTTTGAAACGCCTTTCGTGTTGATTCATTTTGAAAAATTGCTATGGGTGACGTACCACCCTCCGGTCGTGCTGATTTAATATCTGAGCATAATCTTGCAGACGAATTCCAAAGCACAACATGATCGAAATTCGTTGCTTGACAGATACTCAATTCAGCTTGCAAAACATACTTTCCAGTTGTTATTAATTGTGAACCTGTAGACCCCGAATTGTCAATGAATATTCCGGCCGAAAAATCTTATTTCACAAAACTCAAGTTTCTTCAATTGAAGTTCAAAAAAAACTCTACCTCCTACTTTCTTCAATTGAAAATCGCTTTTCGGTATGGTAATTACATACGGTGATGTCATTACTAGACGATATATGTTGTTTGCAAAGAACAGAGAACAGTCGTATATATAGCGACGTATTACATCATCCATTCCGCAAAGAAAGTCAGCTTTTTACATACAATTTAAGTAATCGAATGTCATGACGAATATTTTATAGTGTAAGATAATGCAATGAGTGTTTGCTTATCAAAGACTCGTTACATAAGATATGATTTCAAAAACTCAATGAAGAATGAATGAAATATTTAGTCACCTTTTGTGCATGTCTGGAGATTGCTTCATCTTTATTTTGAGTGCAAATCGCGATCGACCTTTCGAGGTTAATTGGTTACAAAGATCGCTAGTAAATCTATGCCATTTAGATATCATTGATAAACTATTTGAAAACGAACAAACATTTCATTTCCATGATCAACGATGCATCGTTTGTTAACAAGTGTGGTTCTTCTCATTTTTCTTACACAAGCAAATACTTGGTCGATCAAACAACGGAAACCAACTTTGAATACCAATGATACATGTTGTGTGTTGGCAAAACTGAACATCAATGCGACACGTGCGAATCATGGCCGAACGTTCTTCGAGAGCTTGATTCTGAACAATGATTCCTATAAGGATGTTAACGAGGATAATGTATGTTCATTGATGCATTTTTTTATGCAAGAAGCCGTACTGAACGGTCGACCCATCAAGTTCTCTAAAGGTTGAATATGTTAATCAGGAAAAAATGAGATGTATTTTTATCCTTTAGGTATGTTTGTCCTTTATGATTCAACAAAAGAATTTTTCGCCCGATTAATGGCCGCCAAGGATGCTCAAGTTCAAGGAAGTGAAGAGCATCGTTCGGGTTATTTAAAACGCTTGAAATATTTTGCTCTTAACTCACTGAAGTCAATATTAAAACTAAAAAAAATGAATCGAACCGTACCCGATGCATTTATTTATGTCCGCGGTGACGAATCATCACATTTTCGGGAAAGAGCGCTCTCGAAACTACGCCGAGCGAAAGATTATCCAGCCTAGTAAGTCTCCCGAGTTGCTCCACTCGAAAAATCTCTCACCGTTTCCTAGCGGAATGGATGTGAAACACGGCTGCATGCCAAACGGCTTCGGACACATTCTCTTCGGTAAATTAAAAGGTTTATACAACAACGAGTCCGATCCGTATTATGGCGATCGAATATACATCAAACCGGAAGAGTTTGGCTTGCAGAAATTTGCACATTATATCGGACGTAAGTGTGTTGTAAAATAAAGAAACAGAAGGATGATGTCTTTTGAAGAAAATCCGTCTCGATTTTCGCCTTAGTTGTCATGAATGATCACAAATGTATTCATTCATGATAGTTGCCTTTGTTCCTTCGAGTAAACAAACGATGATTATTTGATGATGTTATGAATAAATTAAATAGCAAATTAATTTTTTAGATTCCGGCAAATATCTTAAAAGTATTTCGCGTCGTGTAATCTGCAAAATCGCGAAATTCCAAACGTCACCCATGTGTTCGAAAGACGACGCCTTTCGCGAGAGTATCGACACGAAATTAGTCCGCAAATGGAGCCAGATTCTTTCCACCATTCCAATTCTCACCGAAAACGAACGAACATTGATGCGTTCAAAAGTCTCTCAAGAAGGCATCCATGAAATCTATCGTCAAACTTCACTCTATGCCGCCGATTACATCCAGGTTCGCGACTTTCAACAAGAAGTAGAACAGAAATACGGTCGTGATGCCCGGTCACGGAAAGGAAATGAGATTATTTTTACCACAGAACAATTATTACAAAGTCGACTATCATGTGATTCAACAATGCTAACAAGCAGCTTAGTTCGTCAGACCCAATGTGCAAAGACACGCTAATTAGCGTGTTCGATACAAATCTTTAACTTCTATTTACGAACATTGCCATTTGTCTTATGTCGAAGTTGATTCATTATGAAATTTCTCGATTAAATATTCTTTTCTTTGTCCAGAAATTGTCTCTCTAGAGTAAGTGAATTATATAAACGCTGAGAAAGAAGATTTATTCTCTTTGATTGTGTTCACTAAAGCACGTCTTTCTATTCATTTCAATTAGACATCCTCAGAATTTTCTTTTTCTTACTTGCTAACAAAGAAATGCTTTTTCTCAAAAGCAGTTCTCATGATTAGTTTCTTCCGGCAAGGAAAAGGAAGAAAAGCTCATGTTCTTCCATTTTGAAACTTGAATCTTACCGAAAATTTATTTCCACAACAACAAAGACAAATCTCCCGACGCGAGAGTTGCTTGCCTTGTCAGATCTCATTCATACCTGGTTAATCGTTTATTTTAGTCAAATGTCACGTTCAATTGATGATTATTAAACCCTTAACCTTGCCGTTTATCATTCTATTCAAGTTTTCTGCTCCAGAACAAAACTTTGCATCGTTCGGGAAAGAGAGTGTGCACATCGATTAAAATCGAGACGTACCTTTCATTTTTTGTCTCTCTCTCTCTCTCTCTCTCTCTCTCTCTTACCCGCTTTCACACTTGCTTCTCATCACGCTCTCTTTCCATTTTCTTGCTAATATTTTTCTTGTTACATTGGAGACAAGAACGAGAGAGAATCGGATTGCTCGAAAAGAGATAAAGATCTTATTCACTCGAGACACAAAAGAGAACGACAGCGGCAACAAGAATGGATTTGATGTTTTACAACGCCCAGATTCAGCCGAATTGAAAAATCATGACGAGAATTAATATGCGAGGTCGGCGATGGTCCGATGCTTTACTATGCAAGTAAGTCAATATTAACTGGACAAAAATGAGTCTTATCGGAGCTTTAATGAAGATGCATATCATTTCCCTAAAGACAAAAGTTCATTCTTCGGGACGTCCGTTTTGTTCGATAGTTGCTCAGATAATGAATTTCCGTAACACGACCAATCGAAAGTTAGTTGAGTGTAAACTGTATCTTTCTCCGCAATTGATTTTGTCTAACCGAAGCAAAAATGGCAACCTGGAGTAATACTCGTTCAATTTCTAAACGGAAGAAGGGACAAAAAACTTATTTCGATAAGCAGATGAGATCCTTAAAATAAGCTCGCCGATTTATTCCCTTGTAAGATTTACCTTCAGCCGTTCTAATCTTTGTTTAGCAAAGCTTAGATATACTTGAGCCTCAATGTAATTTTCTTCTCTGACCTTGAAATAACTATTTTGCTAATAAACTATGTTATACTCTAATCAATGAATACACAATCGCCGTTTTGTTTTCTTATTCATCTGAGTGCTGGAAAGTTATTAAAAAAATAACAACAGATGACGGATGATGACAATATGAAATGTCTCTCTACCACACGAAGAGCCAAGATGATTGATTTGACGGAATAATGTTCAATGTTGTTCCTTTGTTCGTGAAATTTTCTCCGTTTAAGCACATGTTGTTGTTCGTTTCGAATGTCTTTTGGAAATCTTGAGAAAGCCGACTAATTTGATTGGAAAATGTTAATCTACTCTCATCAATATTTGATATTTTGACAAGAAATTTTCTTCCTTTTGCGACATGAGAACAGAACCTTCTGTCATTGTTTTTTTCCTTGACTAAATCCTCACATTTGACTGCGCAATTTGATCTGTCTCGTATCAAATCATGTTTTATGAGAAAGACCAAAGAAACGAGCCTGCCAGTCGTTTTACGAGTCAAAATGGATGAAAAAGAGAGAAAATAGCTTATATATTTACCAATTAATACAAAAGGAAAGCAGCACTTCATTAAAATGTTGCTTTCTCTCTCTCCCCCCTCCTGTTTCCTTTACAGTTCGATATAAAAAAAGAAAAAAATAGGTCTAAATAACATTCTGTTTGATAGAAATTGATAGAGAGTGTCAATGTAAGCCGAAGAATACGTAATGAGTACTAATAGTCAAACGCGCATCGCACGCAAACTACCAACGATTTCGCCTGAACTTATTTCTCAGAAAAAACAATCTCAGCCTTATGCAACGACAATGCCCACTCATCAAAACAGGTTTGAAAAACATTGCTTTTGTCTTCAATGATTCTTCAAAATCGATTAGGCTCATTAGAGACCGTCAAACTTCGTTTTCCTGCCGTAATAATACTCCGATAAAAAGGTTCCGATAAGAGAAGCAGGCTAGCGAAGATGTTTTGCTAACACGTCACTGAAACTGTGTACTTTCAGCTGTTTAGTTAATTGCGTAGTATTTTTCAGACAACCAGGCGCTTGAAAGCTTTATTCTGTATGTGCAGCGATGCGATTTATCGAGTGAAAACAAATAATCGGTAGCATTTAATGTTTTATTGCCATTGTGTTACGCACAATAAATGTATATTTCATCTTATTTTATTTTTGATTAAATTTTATAAATAATCATCTATTCCCCAAGGTTTATCCTCAATTGATAGAGACCTAAGCCCTAGAAAATTCATTTTCTTTCCCGTCTATATCACGAAAGAGAGTTCTCTGTGCTTGTAGACATTCTTTTTTTCTTTTTCTCCTCGTTTTTCTCCTTCAAACAGGCAAGCATCAGTATAAGCACATTGAAAAATGAGAGAAAGAGAAAAAAAAAGAAACACGGAAATACTATTTCTCCTCTTGCTGCTTTTTTTGTACTCTCCTTTGACGTGTGACAGAGGAAAAGTAATCAAAAGAGAATATTTAGTTCATATGTGAACAATGACTCTCTCGTTATCTCAACAAGAATCAAAGTTCTCAGCAATATTGTCCAAACGGTAGATGACAAATGAGCATAATGATTTGTTATTTCCGTTCGTTTAGATTTGATCCTGAACATGGCAATTCATTTCTCGAAGCGTTCGAATCTGTGACTCACAAACATGAACAACGAAGACAGAAAATTAAAAAAGACGTAACTACTCTTCCAGATTTCAGTTGACTCATGTCTACTCGGTCTTCTTTTCAGGAAGAAGTTGAAAATGAGAAATCACCTCCCGAATATCGAATAACTTTCGGAGAAAAACCTGAAGGCATTACATCGAAAGAGTATGAACTACTCTATATCGAAACGCTCTACACAATCAAACATAAGATCGGCACGACGACGTCGAAACATAGAGAAGGAGAGAATGATCTTTACGCTTACGCACAGGATGCATTTGGTTTATCACCGGCAGATCATCGACGTTTATTAGCAAAGGCGAGTGAAGAAAAGGTTTGCAGGCAAATGTTTTTTCTCATCAAGACAATATACTGCTTTGCTCTGTTACTTCTAGCCACCCATTTTAATCTTAAATATTGAAATTGTCGAAGCGAAGGATTTGGAAGCCAAGGACGCGAATGGTAAAATGAATTATTTTAAAAGTTTACGTTTCATTTGATATTATTTAGGATTTTCCGATCCGTATTGTATGCTGGGTATCGTACCGGAAATCCATCATTTTCCTTTATCACGTCAGACTAGTGGAGCCGGTGGTGCGTCGTCAGACGAGGAAAACGCTAATGATAGTAAACTCGGTTTCATGAAACGTCTGAAAAGCTTTCGTAAATCGACTATTCGCCGTTCCCAAGGCCGAGAGAAGAACGCATCTTCGTCGAATTCACCTTCGCCGGCAGCGTCGTGTTTGAGAGATAAACTCCCGGCGAAGTATATTCAAACAACTGATGTCAAAAAAGCCACATTGAATCCGATTTGGATGGAAAAATTTCGTTTGTAAGTTTTAACAACGATGAAATCGACCTCCAATTGATCGACCTTTTTGTTGTTAAGTAATATCGAGAGTAGCAAAACAGAAACCATTCATTTGGACATCTGGGACCATGATGATGAGTTCTCGGTGTTCGAAGCTGCAAGAAAGCTCAATCAAGTGCAAGGATTCAAAGGTTTGAACAGGTACTTTAAACAAATTGCTCAATCTGCACGAACAAATTCCAACGATGGTTCGCATGTTGATGATTTCTTAGGCTCAGTTAACATCAAAATCAGTGTAAGTTGATAACGCCAATTTCAATTAGCGTTATTTTCCTGTTTTTCCATAGGAAATCCCTTCAACAGGAATTGACAAGTGGTTTCCACTTGAAGGTCGAAGCGAAAATTCCAAAGTTCATGGTCAAATTCACATTCGAGCCAATTTAGCCACACGGGAAGATCGAGGCGTTTCGGAAGAAGATAATTGGACTGATATCAAACAACATGTCGAGCTCTTACAAATATTTATTGATCACGAACTAAATACATATAAGGTTTGATTTCATTTTCCATTCCATTAGTATGTCAAGATGCAAATGAAGTTTTGACAGATACTTATTACTGAAATTTGTATTGTCAATCGAATCATTTCGAGGCGTGTCTGATGCGTTATCAATGATTAGGACAGTTTCCAATCGATTTGAGTGCTTTGAATGAGCGTAGGCAACATCAATGTTGATTTTTGTAGGGCGCAACAACCGAGTGGAGTGGTGAATTATCGCGTGATGCCGAAACAATCCTCCATCAACATGCGATTCAAGGTGATATCACCGATATACAACGGAAAATGTGTCGATGGATCGCTTACTCGAAAAAACATCTGGAGCGAACGTTAACACATCGGTTGTTACTGTCAATCACCGAGCAATTGGAACAAGCTTGGCAGCCGACCTCCCTCAGTCGAGATGAAAGCGATATGCTACGAGAAGGATTTACACTATTCATCAATCATTGTTTTAAACAATTAGGAAGACTTCGCGAACTGTTTCCCGCTGCAAATCGATTAGCGATGGAACGTCTCGAGCAACTTCTCACGTAAATTTCCCTTTCAGCTCGCTTGTTTTTCTTCTTATTTCTCACTCATAGAATCGTCGGGAAACTGCACAGCATGGAAGTATTTCGCTATTGTTGTCCGTTTCAAAATAGTCTTCAACATGAACTATCGTTGATTATCAAAGCGGGGACAATCGAATGGTTTGATCGAATGGTCGCCGAAATAACGAAACCGCGGTTACGAGTTCGTTGAAATCGAAATGCTTTGATCGAATGTCAAGTGTACCTGTTTTGTTTTTAGTCAGATGAAGATATTTTACGCAATACAAGCGAGTTAGTCTATGTTCTCATCGCCGATGGTAAGAAAATTCCTCTGCGCACAAATGCGCATCGAACCATTTCTGAAGGAAATGAGGAGAAAAACGTCGAGAGTAATGCGTAACCACTTTCGACAGCGACTTTCTATGTATTCATCGAGATGTAATGAGATTGGAAGTTAATCAATATCTTTGCATGTTCCCTTGAGTTCTAACGCATCTGTTCCTTGTGACGAAAAACGTACTCATATCTTCAGTTTTTCCATTTCAGCTCACTCGGCTGTGAAATACTATAATCCTGTATTTGAATCGTATGTGAAATCGACCTTCTCTCTCTGAACTTTTCATCTTCATTGTTGCATTTAGAACGGTGAAATTGGCTTTTTATCATATATCGTTCAAAAAAATTGATGTCAAAGTACGTTACCCGGTGGTGTTCTGTGAATGTCTGATGTTTGATAGAAAAAGAACGGAGACTAAGAATAAATGACACATATTCAATGTGTATTCCTTCGAGAAATGTCTCTGATGATCTCTTCAATTGATTTGCCATGAGAAAGAACGAAAGTCTCCTAAGAATATCCAGTTCATGTCAATTGAAAACAAATGACAAGTTTTGTTTGAAATTGTAGCTTATGGAAATCGTTACCAAAGCACTTGAAGAAGAAGTGAGTCAAATTCAATTGAGCATTCATCATTGTGAAGTCGGTTTATATAGCTTGGTGAACAAATTTATCAATCTCCATTGAAGTTATTAGAAAATACCGAGCCTGACTCGGCGGACATCGCTGCATTCGCATCAGCAGCGGAGCAGACCAGTTTATCCCTATTCGAACTGTATTTATCTCTCAATGAACTTGCTAAATACAAAGTCTATGTCAATGAAACGTATGTAAATGCTTATTTACTCAAAAAGAAACACCTTTCGTGCTTCTAGTCATCGATCAAATCTGAAAATTAATCAATACTATGGGTACTTCGGTATTGCCATGAAGAAATGGTTATCCGTTGTTCGGAACAAACTTCTCCATCGGATTGAGTATGCTCTCGATAAAGATAAGATCGATTTATCGACGAACAATAAATTCACTTCATCATCATTGGATGTCGCGAATTGTTTTCAACAGATGACTCAGTTTTGGAAACGATTAGGTAAAAAGCAAAGCAAAAACATTGTCCGGACTATACTCTCTTCTCGTTTTAGCTTGGCCAGATATAATTAGTTCAATTGTATTTTTAATTAGAATTACTGAAGACATGGCAAACGTCACCCGTCTTTATGCAACGTTGAGTGAAGAGAAATTAAACGCCAAGAAATTGCACGATACTAATGATTTACTTTTTAACGCGCAAGAAGTAAGATTGGACTATTTGTAATGAAGTTTGATTTGAAAATTTGATTTTTCCAGCTTTCGTTAACTGTCAATAACATCGAACGTATTCGCGAATCATTCAAAGCCTTGCCAATCGAACTGGGTTATGATAAACTACTAGTCGCCGCGGAGAAATTTCATCCAATCGCTGTTGTGGACGAATATCGAAAGAAAATCGAAACGTTAGTCGCAAGTTGCAGCCAAGAAATCATCGACCGTATCTATCAGATTCTGAATAAAGTGATCTCTAATATGGAAATTGAACTTAAACAGTACTTATTTCATGTTATCGAAGCACCAGATGCGACCGACATTCAAGAAACTGTTCTGCCATTGTTGAATTTTCTTAATCATCAATTGGGTTCGTATCGGGAGTTGTTAATCCGACAAAACTTTGTTAGGTAATGTGAGTCGCAAGGAAAGAAATCAGTTTCGAATGAAAGTTTCGGTTTAGATTACTCGAACTCATATGGACGAAATTACTCGACCAAATCTTAGCGGAGGTGGAATACAATGGTTCTTCTGTAAGTCGAGTTTATACTCCTCGAAGTGATTTTCTCAACATGTTCTCTTCAAGAGATCGATGGCGTCGTATTTACGACTGTTAAAAACTCTCGATTATCTCACGGAATATTTGACGAATGATGATCAGTGTTTATCGAAAGATAATCTCAAAACTGATAAATACCGAGTAAGACGTTCGAATTCTTCATTCCTGTGGAAACGCTGTCCTTTTAGTTAGTGAAAAAACTCTTGAAATATCAATCGAACGATACTCAATCTTTAATCAAAACTTATTATCAGGTAAATTCAATCCTTTCCTATGTACGCACTTCATCCAAGCTTCATTTTAGGAAAAACTTCAAGAACAAGACCGCGCAAACAACTCAAGTCAATCAGACTTAGGGAAACTCTATTGTCGAGCTTACTACCATCCCAAACAGGAAACCTTGTACATTGAAAGTAATTTCTAACTTGGCTCTTTAGTCTTTTTTCATTCTCTCATTTCCAGTTATTTCATGTAAAAATCTCAAATCATGTGATTCGAATGGTTTAAGGTATGAAGCACGACGTTCGAACATTTCGGATTATTTCGATTGAATTTTAGTGACCCATATGTTGTTATACAATTGTGTCCAACGTTTTTGTATCCACATATTGAAAAACAGCAGACATCGATTATCAAGAAAACATTGAATCCTCAATTCAACGAGAAATTCGAGTTGTAAGTTCTATTTTCGGCCTTGATTGACACTCAGGATTTCGCATTTCAGTCGCTTGACGGAAAAAGAGTGTGGTCTATCAGGTGGCATCGTACATTTCGTTGTGATGGATCATGATTTAATGTGGTCGAATGATTTCGAAGGTGAAGCATTTCTTGAAATTTCGAAAATAACGGGAGTGAATCATGACAATCGAATGGTTGATGAATTGAAACAGATCGAATTGGCTTTAACGCATCCGAAAGGTAGAATCTCCTTGAATTTAATTGTTTCCTATTTGTTCGAATCGTTTTAGTGCTGCGAAGTCGTATTATCGAAATCTTAGAGCAAAGAGTCAATGATAAAACAGCCGTGGAATTTGTTCGAAGACGGCGCGAAACCGAGAATCAATAAATTTCATTTCCTTCACGGATTCTATTTAATCTTCTCATGTATGAACTTTTATTTTACTGAGTAAACGTTTGAAAAAAAAACACGAATGTATACTTCACCTATCTTCGACAAGATTGTCTCTGTTTTTCTTCTTTTTTTTTTTTATTAAGGATAACAACAAAACACGGAGAACAAAAAGAAAAACATCAGGCAAGAGCTGATGTTCCTTTAATAGTCAATATAGCAGCTGATCCCTTGTTCTTTTTACGTTTTTTACCCTCCGCAGAGGATAATTTCTGTGTGGCATCAGCGAACAGAATAACATCATTCTGCTCTTCGATTTGTCGACGAATTAGCTTCAAACCTGCATAATTGAATCCAACGTTGTTCTAAAGACAAAACATTCAAGTTGCTCGGCAGCTTTTTTCATCAAAATTTACTCGTAATGTTTCGACTGTTTCCATACAACGTGTTCGCAATTGTTCGACAATGCTCAGATACTGATGTGATGATGTTAGAACACCGTGATGGATTCTAATGGAACAGAAAGCATGAGATTTCCGGAGAAATGGAAAGAACATACTTGATTAAGAATACCGCACATTTCACGCACAGTTCCGGTGATTGAAATCGATCGAGATAATACACAAGTAATGTCAATAGTTTTTGAACGTAATCGAACGGAAGTAGAAGAAGTGCTGCTTCCAAATCACTGAACATGAGAATCCGGTAGAACTATTTGAATTTGCAAGATGAAGAGTCGATTACCTTGCAGAGATTTTCCGTAACGATTCCAGAACGAAACGTTCGGCTGTATAACCATTTCCTAGCGCTTGTAACATAATATGTGGAGGTGGCAATGGAACCTGAGCGAAATGATATTAAACGAGCTTTTGGAAGATTATTGATGAATTACTTCTTTTCCTAGTGCTTTTTCGGTTGCATCATGTTCAGCGAGTTTCAGTTTCTCTTCGCGCCAGATGTCGAGTGCTTCGATGACACTTTCAGCCTATGAATATCAAACGGAATGGAACGCGTGGATGAAAACGAAAAAAACGTACGCCTTTGAGACTTTCGATGGTTTTCAAAGCAGCTAAACCGATTTCTTTGTTGGTTTCGCCAGGTAAAATGAATTCATCATTTTCCATTTCGTTTTCAAACTGTGCTTCACGTTCCTGAAAAAACAAACATTCATTATGATCAAAGTCAACCGGTTGGTCATCTGATAAATCCAACCTGTTCCTTTTCTTCATCAAGAATCAATGGTTCTTCCGTTCTCTCCCATAATCGAATCGATCGATCATGAGCAGCAGTTGCAATATGCATTCCGTTATTCGTAATTGACATACACCGGATTTCTCCACAGTGACCCTACACAGAAAACGCATTCTTTTAACAGGAAACTCTCTTTTTCCTATCGAAGCATACGTCCAACGTTTGAACATGTAAGAACTTATCAGCGTCCCAATATTTCAACTTGTTATCTTTTCCAGTTGAAAAGAAAAGATGCGTTTTCGGAACAAATTGTACTGCTGTTATTGTATCGTCGTGAGCAAATAGAGAGCGATGGCAATCACCGAAATCTAAGCCCCAGATTTTGATATTTCGATCACTTGAACCAGTTATAACTAAACGACTGTCGAATGATATGTCAAGGCAAAGAACAGGTTGGGAATGACCATATAACGACAGGAACATCTGAAGAAGTGATGAGATAAATGTTGGAAATAGAAGGGAAGTTTTACTTGGCATGAATCCATAAAAAAGACTTTTACAGTGGTATCCATTAATGCTGCAACAAAATATCGGTTGTTGGGACTAAAAAAAGATCAAATATAAAAGTTTGTTTTTTCGTGAAAGAACAATTAACTGACGAGATTTTCAGAGCTAAGACATCTTCACCAACATCAAACGAACGTTTGTGTTCAAATGACAATCGTTTTCTCGTCTAAATTATCATCCATATTGATAAACATTCGAAGAGAAAGGTTTTACTTTTTTTGATTGACTCTCTCTTTCATCTTTCAATTCCAAATTCCAAAATTGAATCTTTTTATCGCTTCCACCAGTCAAGAACGATTGCTAAACAAAAGCACATACCAAACAGTCCCATGCATTTCCTCTCCTACTTTATCCGGAGTCATACACATCGTCCAAACAGATTGATTCTCTTCATGCCCTTGAACAGTCTCAACAATCGAAGCTGAATCCAGCGATGCAATTTGAAGTGAACCATTCTAAAACACTGAAAATGTCTCATCGATTGCTTTCACATCGGTCACTTACTTTACATCCAATCAAAACTAGATGATCACCCGGTAAAAACATGCAGCAAAGTGCATAAGTACAAGGAATCGTTCGTATCGATTCACAGCTATTTCTGAAAAGTCAAAGGGTAAAGAAAATCCTACAAGTGCGCACAGACCTATTCCAAATTTTTAACGATTCTCCACTTCCGGAAGCGATTAACATATCATCTGAGCTGAACGCTAAACAACGCACTTCGGTTCGATGTGCCGATTTTTCAATCGAAGGCAATTGTTCGACTGTCTTATCTTGAATATTTAATAAATGTAAATCCAGTTTGTTACTCAATGTTAATGCCACGATTTTGCATGTCATTTGTGTTTCCATAAACATATCAAATGCTCGAACTTTTCCATCGAATTTAATTTCGCATAACGAAGTAAAAACTAACGAAAGATCCCAATCGATTTTGATTGCTTCATCGCTGAAAAGAAGCATTACAATCGAAAAAAAGCCTAACAGTGTCTCACTTCTTTTCGTCACCATTTTCTTTCCGTTTTCGCGCTTTAGACAAACGCTTACGAAGACGCGTGCGAATTTCATCAATAGTTGAAATACGAAAGAATTCGCCGAAATATTCCACACCCTAAACACATTCACCGTAGAAAAATAAAGATGATGATATGAAAATCAAGACATACATGACAAGCGAGAACACGATCATCTTGGTCAACATGTAGATTCGAAACTCGTTGTTTACTTTTACGAACAATTGAGCCAAGAGATTGAACATGAATTGGTACTTGATCTTCATTCGTTATTTCATCGGTCAGAGGCGGAAACATCAAAGCATCATCTTCATCCTATGCAAACGAAATAAACTCTATTATTGTTCAAAGAATCAACTCGTCATACTGCTATTGTTGATCGTAAAGCAAAAAATCGTAATTCGTTATCTGAACATCCAGTAATTAAATATCGATCGTATGCTAACGCGATGCTCCACACCTAAAGTTTGTTCAATACAAAGAAATTCATTTGAATGGCCAATACAAACCTCTGTTCGATGTGTTACAATCGTGTGAAAACAATGTTGAATGCTCATATCCCAAAATTTAATTGTCATATCTCGTGAACTAAATTACACGTTCTTTTTATTGATAAATTCATTTCACGAGAGAAAAAGATTACCTAGAAATTAGTATCGATTGATTTTTCATCATTAAAACTTTCGTAACCGGTGCTTTATGACCACGAAGTCGATAGAGACCAGCTTCAGTAATCAAATCCCAAGCGATGATATCTGTATCCTACAACAACATCAAATCATTGCACATCTCCTTCAATATGTCCAATTCTCCTACTTTCGATCCCGAAATCAACGTTGCTGAGTCGTGTGTAAATGTTAATGTTGTAATACTGGATTTATGCCCATGGAAATTCACTGTATTGTCATTTTGTGTAACTGTGAATAGTTTTATGATACCATTCTGATATCCAACGGCTAAATGTTTGCCATTCGGACTTGCAGCAACTACAATCGCTTCTTCACGAATTTTTTTCTTCAACGTTGATGACGATGCTGTTTCATCAACAAACGTCTTGACCTAGATGAAATCTTTTATTAGGAGACAACGAAATGTATAATTTGTATTACTTGTGTGTGAGTTTTCAGATCCCATAAAAGAACGTTCTCACATGCAGGAACGAAAATTCGACGTGAAGTTGATTTATTTCCTGCGGGTAATAGTGCAACATTACTTGCATTACCACTTCCTATGATCCCGAAGACTTTCTCGGGTGCATGTCGATCGTACTGTTTAGTAAGAACCATTTTTTTTCTAATAACGAAATCAAACGAAAAGAAATTCTCGTTTGCTGGTCAAGCCAATTCCAATAGTTAATCTTTTTCAAACCTCTATGACGAATAGATGTCGCTAGTGAAAACAAGTACCAATAACAACAACAGTCTCTTTTTTATTTACTATTTCTCGAAGTCACTCGATCATCGACATCAAAATGGTGACATAGCAGCACAGCAGCTGATGTTTCATTCTCTAGTTTAATGAATCATCAGACGACTGGAACATTTATCTCTTTTAGATCTCTTTCTTCTCTTTTCAAATATACGAAACGAGTGAAATACACGTTTACATAACCGATGGCTTACGCTTATCTTTTTAAATACATCATTATTGGCGATACAGGTCCGATTCGTCTTTTCTTTTTGTTTCATCAAAGACTTCGATTGTTTTTTCTTTCTGATCGGTCTAGGCGTCGGGAAATCATGTTTATTACTTCAATTTACCGATAAACGTTTTCAACCTGTACATGATTTAACTATCGGTAGGGAATTGTTAAACGCACCTGATATGATTTCAAAGGTTTCTTCCTTCACAGGTGTGGAGTTCGGTGCACGAATGATCACGATCGATGGTAAACAAATCAAATTACAAATTTGGGACACTGTATGTTAGTTCTGTTTATTTCAAAATCTACTTTACTTTTCCTTCAGGCTGGACAAGAAAGTTTCCGTTCGATCACACGCTCATACTACCGTGGCGCCGCTGGCGCTCTACTTGTCTATGACATAACACAGTGAATAAATAGAAAGATTATCTTGAGCAAACATTGATTCTTTCTAAATAGACGGCATACGTTCAACCATCTGACGAGTTGGCTGGAAGATGCTCGACAACATTCGAATTCGAATATGGTTATTATGTTAATTGGAAATAAATGGTAAGTGCTAAGCTTCTCGTTTTTTTTTTCAGGTGAGGAATGACTCAGTGTTTGTTTAGTGATCTTTTCGCACGTCGCGAAGTACAGAAAGAAGAAGGCGAAGCGTTCGCACGTGAACATGGATTGATTTTTATGGAAACATCAGCTAAGACAGCTGCTAATGTTGAAGAGGTACAGATTTCTCTCAAGAGCTCATCAGCAGTAACACAGCACATTCTATTCTTTTAGGCGTTTATTAATACAGCTCGAGAAATTTACACTAAGATTCAAGAAGGTGTTTTCGATCCGACAAATGAAGTAAAACACAACGAATATCTTTCTTTTCGAATAATTTTCGCTTCTTTCATTAAGGTCAACGGTATTAAGATTGGTCCTCAAAATAGCAATTCAGGAACTGCAGCAAATCGTCCGAGTACTAACGCCAATGAGAAGTCAGGTTGCTGTTAAGACACTTCTAGATGACAATATAAATCAACTGCATTAGTTTCGATTCGTTTTTTTTTGTTCGTGCGCATCCATGTATTTATGCATTGGTGTTGTCTGTCATTGCTCTTTGTCCGCTGTTGTTCGTCTCTTTTTTTATGAAAGCCAAAACACACTACATATACTTTTACTTAGATGGATAAAATAAATGTTTTCTTTTCTGTTCTAGTGAACTTTGTTGAGGAGAACTATAAACCTTAAGACACGGAATATTCTTTCTCTTTCGGATTTTATTGTATATTATCATAGAGGAGAGGCTACTATTTATTCGCATATATATATATATAACACATATTTATCCGCTATTTCAATATACAGTGAACACGTTGTTTGTTTTTCTCTTGTTGTTGTTGTTGTTTATTCTGAAAGATACACACACATATATATCTCTGAAAAATGATACTCTTATTTCTTCTGTTTTTCGTTTCGTTTTTTTCTCTCTGTTGTCGGAACCTCTGTATGTGTGTATATGTGTTTGAAACAAAAGGAAGAACGAGACAAATAAAAATTATAAGTCATTGTAGAACAATGTTTTTCTTTCAGAGTCTTCGTTCGATCAATGTAATAAGAATGGTAAGAATTCGAGTGTGAATGTGATGTGAAAGATTTACCTTCTCTTTTGTTTTGTGTATTTAGAATGAAAAAGAAATTCGACAGGGAAGAATGTTGATTATTCCCGAATCGACAAAACAATCGCGGAAGAAATTCTATTCGTTACATGATTATAAGAAACAAACAGATTTGATCTTTTCTCGTCAATTGTAGATATTTTAAAAATGTCACATATTGAAGAAGAATTTGAGGAAATCGAACGAAATCATGGATGGAATATGTTATTTCGAGTTGGTCTAGTGTTTGATTATTTTCTCAATTATTGTCTGTCTCTTCATAGAAACTTGCCAATGATCATGGTGTTCGAACATTAGAGAAGAAGAATAACATTGCTTTGTTAAATGTCAATCGAGGACTCAATCGATTTCGTGATGTTCTACCATGTAAGAACTCATCAATTAATCATCGAATTGATCGGAAATTTGAATATTACAGATGATGACACGCGTGTTCGTCTTCAACATGGACCAAACGATTATATCAATGCAAATTTTGTCGAGGTGCCTTGGGCTAATCGAAAGTATATCCTTACACAAGTAAATCATCAGTCTCAATGCCATTAGACAATTCAAATATCTCATTTAAATGCTAGGGTCCACTTCCATCCACCTCAGAACATTTCTGGCAAATGGTTTGGGAGCAAAATAGTCGTGTCATTGTGATGCTAACGCGTCTAATTGAAAAAGAATGTGTAAGTAAAGAGTTTCGTCTTTTTGACAAAATCATTGAATATGTATGATTTAGAACAAATGCTGGCTTTATTATCCGGATTATGAAAATGATAGTGAATTGTTATACGATGCTGTTGATTTAAAAGTGACATTTGTATCTGAAAGACAGGAGGAATATTATACACAGCGAAAATTTGAATTAACAAACATTTTAGTAAGACGAATTTGGTATTGAATTGGAAGGAAAATAAAAGTGTTTATTTGATATAGACAGGAGAAACCCGTCCAATAATCCATTGGTCAGATTTTGAATGGCCAGATCATGGCGCACCGAATAGTCCCGAGCCATTTCTTCAGTTGTTATGTGATGTTCGTCAATCTGGTGCCTTTGATTCTCGTTTCGGTGCACCGATTCTCCATTGTAGTGCTGGTATATTTATCTTGAGAAATTCATCCTCGCAATCGATATGTTCTCTTCAATTCTCTAGGCATTGGTCGATCTGGAACATTTGTTCTCGTTGATAGCGTTCTAAAAATGGTAAGAAAAGAGACATTGCCGTTCGTATTTCGCATAGAATTTTCCTTTCAGATTGCGCATTCAGATAACCCGAATGATATCTCGTTAGTCGAAGTTCTCGCTCATATCCGCACTCAGCGTCATGGGCTTATTCAAACGGCTGAGCAATTGAGGTACACTACCGATTTAGGTTGAAATCATTTTCCTAGTTGAAATTCTAGATTTTCATATATGGCTATTGCTGCTGGTTTGAAAGAACTTGATGAACTTGAACAATGTGAAGGTCCATTCAATGAAAGTGACTTTGATGAATTAAGTGAAAGTGATAATGATAATGATTCGAAACTAAGTAAAAGTCTCGAGGATATTAATTCGGAATTACAAAAACGTGCTGATAATTCTCAACCGTTGTCAACAGCGTAAGAGATGCATGGAGATGTGTCTTTTCTTTTTATCTTTCTGCTCAATTTGCATTTAGGAATGATGTTGAAACATCGCTTCGTCTTCGTCAAGAACGTTTAAAACGCAATGAAGCCTTGGAGAAGAAAGTGAATGAAATGAAAGCGAAACTACATGAGCAATCTCCATCTTCGCATTTAAATGATGGGAAAAATATGTCGATATTGAGCGTTCTTTTGACAAAATATCGCCGTCCAATTTTCTTTGGTTTGATTACATTGGTGACTGGCTCCTTTTTTTTATACAAATTTACTAAGAGTAATGATCGAACACAATAAATCTTCTTTTTTTTCTTCGTCTTCTTTTCTGTGTTAAATTTTTTTTGTATTTCTTCGAAGTAGAGCAAAATGTGAACGGATTAAATCAAATTTGATAAATAAATATAAACATAGTAGCATTCGATATAACAAATTAAGTTTTTCAACAACAACAAAAAAAAAAGCTTACGACACTCGGTATTCCCAGGCGGTCACCCATCCAAGTACTAACCGAGCCCGACGTTGCTTAACTTCAGTGATCGGACGAGAACTGGTGTATTCAACGTGGTATGGCCGTAAGCGACTAACAGTCTCGCTCGACATTTCCTCATACTCATTGGCCCAGGATCTGTATTCATTAACTTCTATTTCGTCGTAAATAATGGAGTAATTGAAACCAAATACGTGACTTTCTCATATTTCCGATTGTAATACAATTGAATTAATAATAACTTACTGGAAGTACAAAAGAAAAACGAGTTGCATATGACTTCGTTCTCTGATAACTAAATTGACTATTCACATATGATTATGAATAGATGATTTCTATTCATATCACACTTGGTCGGTGCATTCTACCCCTCCGGTTCTCATAACTCATCGAGCGATATTTGATAGATAAAACAACCCAAATATATAAACATAATTATCGCAACAAGTCTGTTTGTTTAATTACAAATCCATAAACAGAAGAACATTAGATACACTCGAGTGAAACAACAACCAACTGTCAGTTTTCATTTCAACTGTTCTTCCAACTAGACAAGGTAGTTCAGTGCATTTATCTTTGATCATATGCGCTACTCATCAGTGTAGAAAGGATCTTTCTACAACTTAGATTAAGATAGATTCGTTTTTGTTTTCATACTGTTCATTATATTTCGTCGCATACTCACTGACAAGAAATGTCAAATTTGGAAAAAGAACTTTGACATATACACACATATACATAATGAAGAAAAGAAAAACGACAGTTTTGCTGTTTTTTTTTGGTACCACAGAAATGGATAAGACAATGAACCATAGAGAAGAACAAAAGAAAGAGAAAAGGTGTGTTGTTTGAAGATTTGAAATACATGTGCAACGACAATGATACTACCACAGGTACATAATCTAGCACCATAGATTCTATTGGATTAAAGGAATTGTTGGAGTGGATAGTTGCATCGAGTAATTAACACCGGAAAAGTCTTAATCAACAAGAAAGATCATCGTTTGGATCCAACGAATGTTTCTAAAGTGAATAGAAAAAGGGTTTTTCACCAAAGAACATCGCAATTTACTTGTATATTCATGAGACGACGGTGATACTTCGGGTGTCGATAAATGAACGCAATCATCAGTTGACTAGAACAATCGAATGTACAATCAGAAAGAGAATTTCATTTACATACGACAACAATCGTTGCTTTCGTTTGTGTAACAACTTTTAGAATGCCATATTCATCAAAATTAATATCTTCATCATTTTCCGAGATCATGTCGAAGATATCACTTGTTGTTCGATTCTTCTGTCGACATGATAAATCTTCGAACGAAAGCGATTTGTATATCCCTCGAAATCCAACGTAATTCCTTACCGATAGGTGATGCTGTTTTTTCTACGGCAAATATTCTTTGATTATCGTAACAACCAACCAATTCGTTGATATTCAATGGAACTAATGAATCATTCTAGAAGAAAATTCGATTAAATCAGAAAAATTAATGAGATGGATTCTCAACTCACAGCATAGAAAACATATTGTCGTATAGAATATCTGAACTTTTCGAAGATTGGTTGCAGGACTTTCAGAAGTGTTCGTTTCGGATCACAACGAACACAAATTGTTTTATTCGGAAAATCGAGACGGAGTAGAATACGAGATTCGACATGAATTTCTTTGCCACTCAAACTCGATAATGGGTCTTGCAGATCAATGTATTGCTAAAATGGACATGAACTCAAAAATTTCTCGGATGGAATGCAATGGTTACCTGATCAGCTGTGTATAATTCTGTTCGATACCAGGTGATACCTCGTTTCGCGAATAGGCGATCGATTGCATGCCGGATTGATTGAGATTCGTGTGCTGTTAGCACTACAGCTGATGTCGAATCGGGAAACATGAAACGACAAAAACGCGACGTGTCGATTGATGAACAATCCTAAAATAATCGTGTAAAATGCATTCGAAAACAGATTAATCAACTAACATTTAGGAGTTTTTTGTCCATTAACTCTCGATTGATGAGATTTGCCAATGATGAATCTTGTTGATTAATCTTTGTGATTTTATTTACATGTCCAATCGGAATTAATGGAGATTTTGTTGGACTTTGCAGAGACATGGATGATGTTGTCGATGGAATCTTATTGGAGTTCAACGTTGGTGTTAATTCAACTGATGCTGATTTATTGCAATTGTCATAGAATGATGTATTTGTACTGGCATTTGCAGTTTGAGGAATACTGGACGATGAAGAGGACGTATCACGTTTAACTAAAGACAAATGTTATTAGTTGATACAATCGAACGCGCTTTCAATGCGAGAAATCTTAATTTGTATTTGTTTGTTAGTATATGTATGTGTGTTTTGTTTTTCGTATTGACTATCTACCTGATTAGAAGTCGAAAACACACGGAAATACACTAAGCATCAATGGAATCTTCGTTGAGCGCATTACTCGCCGAGGTTGACACTGCAACGAACAGAGAGAGGAATCTTGATTCGATCGAATTCGATGAAAATATAGAAGAATATGTAGTGAATAGAATCAAACGGGGTGAATTGGATAATGTGCATTGAATATCATCATTAATTAACATCTCTGTTCAAAACTCGATTGAACATCAATATAATTAATACTGATAAAGAAGAGAGAGAGAGAGAGAGAGAGAGAGGGAGAATGTATAACGTGCAATAAAACATATTTATGGTGCGTTAATAACACTATCAACTGGTGACATGCTCTATCATTCTCTGTTGTTTCGCAGTAGAAGAAAAATATGCATGTGTATTTGTGCGTTTTAGCAATAGATTAGGTTAAAGTCGATCAATCATTGGTTTCAGTTCACACCTCATTCACATGCAGAGCATCAACAACTGACATAAAGCTATCAACACGCATATACACAGAGACCAAACGTCTACGAGCAATAGCAAATAGCAACAGTACAAGTTGATGATCATTATTACTAATCTTTTCTCTATCTATTCGTGGCTCGATGTTGTTCGAGTTAACACGAGAAGATGGAGAAAGCAACATAACTAGGAGGAAAACGGGGGGTTAGTTATAAGGCANAACTTGATTGATTGTATAATGCGGCTGGATAGCCAGTCGATTGATAGCTTGTTGGTGATGCAGCTGTTGGATATGTTGGACGAAATGTATGAGGAAAAGGGCGACGTTTCTTTGCTTCGACATTCACTTGATGCGTTTTCAAAAAAGTCTCATGATCGGCAACAATTGCTTTGGCCATTTCGATTGATTGACAGACAACAAAGGCGAAATTAGCTGCGCCCACCTGAGATCCCGTATTACCAATGCGAACAAGTAAAAGACTACCATACGGGCGAAATAATCCGTGAATCTGAAACGAGGATTTGCCCAAAAGATTTTCACTTGCTATTATTCTTACTTCGTTTTCGGTGACTTGAGCGGAGAGGTTTCCAACGAATATTTCTTGATCATCAGTGTAACCTGTTGAAAGATAACCTTCGACACCTTCATTTTCATGATACCATGAGTCATCGTAGTAATCATTGGCATCTTGAGGATGGCCGCGTTGATTACGATTGCTATTAGCATTGGCTTTCGCTGCTGCTTTCTTCTGTTGTTTATTGGATTTTTTCGTTGATGCTGTTGATTGATTTTCAGCTGCTGTAGCTCCTGCTGTTGTTGTTGTAGTTGTTGCTGTTGTATTTGCTGGCGACTGTGATGCTGCAGCAGTCGACTTCTCTTTTTTACCAATGGCATCGCGGTAAGACTTCGGTTTTGATGGTTGCTCTTTGGTTGGGTCAGCAACAGCTGGTGTAGCTGGCGGCGTTTTAGGAACAGTTGAAGAAACATTCACGTCGCTTTTACCTTCCTTTTTCTCAACAACGGTATTATCATAAAATTCGATCGTGCTCGATGCTGACGGTGTTATGGGTGTTTCAATCACTGTTGACGATGACGCTGTTGCTAGAAAAACGAGAATCGCAACACCTACATTCTCCTCAATTCAAAATCGTACCTTCAGGAGTAGTCTTGATATTCTCAGTTGTTGAAGTTGGTGTTGGACTATCTTGATAACGAAAGATGTCATTGTGGACATAGTACTTTTGTTTGGAATTATCTGCTGGTGTCAAGACAAATGTTTGAACGAAACGTTTCATGATCGGTTGAGTTTGAGAATCGATTATTGGCGATGACGATATTTCTCCGCAAACTTGAACAACAACAGACGAACCGACGGTCGAATGACAATCGACTTGACGAATCTTCACATGACGTTGCTTGAAGGATAATTCTTCAATACGTTTGGAAATCTCTTCTATTCCCTTAGCGGTCTTTTGTTGATCGTCGTGCATAAATGTCGACGTTGTAGAATAGAATCGATGTAAAGATTCCGGATGTTCATGAAGAAGACGATAATATTGAACAACAAACGCTTTGCCAATTTGTTGTGGCGTTGCGCTTGTCGGAGTTGAAGGTGATGAAGAAGACATACTTACAATAACAAATATAAATGAGCAAACGAAAGAAACATTGAAAAAAAAAGCAATCTAGAAAGAAGTTAGGTTAATAGTTTATATTGAGGAAAAAAAATACGTCGTGCTATTTGATATCTTTCTTAGATTTTGTTTCTCGTTTATTTAATAATTAAGTTAAAGAAGTATACAAGATAAAATAAAGTTCTTTGAGGAATTTTCTTGCTTTTCTTTACCATCCACCACGTAACGCTAAGACTAGATGAAGTACACTGCCAGGATTGACATTGTATTCATTAACTGTTTTGTCATCTGTCATTTGTTTGCCGCCGAAGATGAGACGTTGCTGTGATGGGGGAATTCCTAAAACGAAAAAACGAAATGCCGTAGTATGGATGAAGAATGACCCGAAAGACGAGCCTAACCTTCCTTTTCTTCGACGCGTTCTTTGATACGCTCGATTTTATCAGTACCGTCGATATCAACTTCGATTTCTTTGCCAGTTAATGTTTTCACTTTGATCATCATCTTGTCAGCTTGTTTTCTGAGTCACGAATGAAATGCAACTTTGATCCAGTGAATAACTGAGATATTTCAAAATTTCTTTGCAAGGTAAAATGAATGAATGTTCCAATCGGATCAACTTTTGATATTTGATGGAATAGCAATCAGAAAGCATTGCTTTTTCAACCAGAAAACATCTGTTAATTTTCATTTTTCATCTTGCAAAAAAATTATTTATATTTTATAATATTCAGAAGAATCTGTCACGTTTGAGAATTATTACAGATGTCGCTATGGCAATCTCGAGTGATAAACTCAATGTATGTATGTATGTGTCTCCTTTTCTCACTTGATTGGCCGCTTGTTGGCATCTAGCTCAGAATAGACGAGCCGATCGGATCGGATCTAGTAGATCGAATTAGTGCGACAATTCTTAGCGGAAATGTACTATCAAAACATATTGTCATCGAAATAACAACTTTTCTGACAGATGAAATTAAGTTTTATTAAGAGATTCAGCTGCAGAAAACGCACATATTGTTTCTTTTTTCAGTAACTAACGAAAAGAAGTTTTTCATCATGTTGTGTTTTATAAAATGATTATTCGGTAAAGAAGCAGTTCATTTCGGCGTATCCTGTGATGCTGTATTGCTTTGAAACTCGTATTTCTCCTTTTGAATCAAGAACTAGAGTACCGAAAAGAATGATAAATTCGATTTTCTACTTTAAAAATCTTTGAAGTGTGTGTTTATCTTGTCTTAAAGAGTATTTCCATACAATTCGACATCATCAAAGTGCACAAAAACATGTTCAACTACAAGGCAGCAAAGGCGTATTAAATTTGCATGTTAAAATCTGTTTTTTACAATCTGTCTAGAAAACCTGCGTTTAAAATAGAACGAGCCAACTTGTCATAAATATCAAAGAATCTTGTCTAAAAAGTCTTTGCATCAGCCTCACTCTCATCTTAAAAACTTGTTCTATAGGCGAAATAACATAATTTCCACGCGCAAAGGTCAATCATTTTCGAAAAGAGAAAATCAAGATTAGTTGATCTGCATGATTGAGTATTCAAAAAAGAAGGCAGATCGTACTATCGATAGGAATTCATCGTCAGTTCGATGATAACTACTGATACGGATTCCATTACGGCCCAATTTCTACTTGTGGAAGACATTTATTTGTATAAATACGAAAATATCACATTTTCTTCCGTCGTGAGTTGCTGCATGTTTATGAACATTTTCAGCACTACTTTGCTTGAACTGCTCTGAACGGCGTTCATGAACTGTGATCAAAGAAAGAAACTTTCTATCAATCTAGATGGTTACCAGTTACATAGGCCAGGATTGATTTGATTCAGACATTTGTTCTCGACAGCACATATCTGATATTTTTGAAACGAGTTATCGAAAGAACTTAACCATTTTTTGACAACTCGAGTATTGAAATGTTGCCAGCTGTCAACGGGAACTTTTCTCCTCGGCCGTATTGGAGAAATCTTGTTGCTGAACTTGTGCCACTATTAAACGAACATTTTGCGCTGAGTACCTTGTTGGTGTCATCTGCAATTGATTTTGACGGTATTTCGACCATTTTTCTAGAGCGCTGCCGAGACATCACGAACAGATATTTTACACAGTGATTATTTCTTTTTTTATGTTTGTCGGTCTCATTTCCAAGATTCATTAACTAGTGGAAGCACGCTTTACGTTTGTTTCATGTCTTCTACAATCACCTTTATCCGCAATATTTTAGCGTTTATTAAGAATTATAGTCTCTACAGTAGTATCGTTACATTAACTTTTGGAATCATCGGAAATGTAATGAACATTGTCATGTTTACCAGTTCGAAACCATTTCGAGGAAATCTTTTTTCATTTTATTTTACCATTGAATCAATTGTGAATACTAACATAATGGTTTTGAATCTTCTATCACAACTAATACCAGTTACCGACACTTATTCGATCTGGTGTAGAATCCGAACGATGTCAAGTCAAACCTTTTTACCTTTCTCACTCCTTTTGATATGTTTTGCTGCTATCGATCAATTTTTTTCCACCAGTCCTATACCTTACCTTCGTCGCCGTAGTTCGCCAAAAACATCACAAATCTATGCAGGTGTTACTTGCTGCTTATGTACTCTTCACAGTATTCCAGCTGGTATTTTTACTCAATCATTTTTGGGACTTACTTGCTATTCAGTAAATGCAGTTTATACTGATTATCAACTGTATTTCTATTATCCTGTTATATTAGCATTTTTTCCGATGTCAGTCGCGTCTTTGTTTGGTCTTTTAGCTTATCGAAATGTTCGACATATTGTTCGGCGACAAGTCCCATTAGTTCGTCGTCGATTAGATCATCAAATGACAGCATTGGCTTTTGCGCGTGTTATTCTTTTCATCGTTTCATATTTGCCTTATATTGGCTTCTTTATATATTGGGCTGCAACTCCTATGGATCCAACAAACTATGTACAGATGATGAATTTGTTCGCTGCCGGCACAGTTATTTATTCCATACTTCTTCTTAATCATACGGTAGGTCATTTTGTCTTCTCCGTTGCGTTTATATGAATGTTTCCAAATCATTTAGATAGCATTCTATGTTTTTCTCCTTGTCTCATCACGTTTTCGTCGGCAAGTGAAAAATTTATTTGTGAAGAGACTCTGGCGTCGATGTAAACAACTATACAAACGCAAACTACAGAATGAAATTCATCCGTTAAGAGAAATATCAGTTGAGAATGTTACTGACAACGAGTGATTTTTCTCCAACCATACAACATGACAAAGCAACACAATAGATGACAATCAAGTCGTATTTGTATATCTAATCTTCATCATACTTCCTCGTGATGAAATATAAATGTTGTTTTCTTGTATCATAAAAAAATTTGCTTCTGTAACTATGTGACAGAGACTTATCTCTGAAAATTTTTCTGATGATGTGTAAGTATTGCTTCACTATGGTGCAATGACTTCTGCAGTTAAAAGACGTGAGTTTAGCTATCGGATTTCTATTTTTATGTAAATAACAATGCATTTTACTTTCCAAGTAACTTATCATATGTCGTTCTTCAATCATATACGTCATGTTTTAATACCTACACTTCTTTCCTTCCAATACTGACGTCAGTTGTCTTGCACTCTAACAAAAATGCACCCCATCGTTCGCCCGTGTGAGTCATCCTTCCAACATTCTATTAAAACAACGTATAAACCGAGATATTCTCTTCATATTCCATATCGTTATTCAAATTTAGTGACGCCAAGGAAGTACATTAGCCGTAATCGCAAAAATGTTGATAAAAATCATGATTTGCCACAGGTAATGTTACAGGTTAGTCAAATCATGGAAATTACGTCAAATCGAAAGAAAATCATGACCAATCTACGTTCGGCACACCTTTGATTTTCTTGTTATCTTTCGAAAGATTGAATAGAAATTTCGTCATTATCAAAACTTCAGCACTTTGCGGTTGAATAGATGAAAATTACAACAAAGTGAATTGTTCTTCTAGCTAGTTTGGAATCTTTCATTCTATAATTCGCCTCTTTCTTTCGTTCTGAAGAAACATGAATGATGCCTGACGTAATGTAGCGCGTGGGCGTGGTCACGTCATTCTCTATTGTATAAATACCGGACCATTACTATGTTTTTCCTTTCAGATTTCTTAAGACGATGACTTGCGTAATCCGACAATTGTCAGCTGATATTCCAACTGAAAATTATCACCCTCGCAAACTTTTCCGTGCTGTTACCTATGACGCAATGTCATCATCTCGTAAGCGACTTTTAAGCGAACAAAATGAAAGTCCGGACGGGATGATGAAATTCCCTAATGACGATATTTGCTTAACAAAACGAAGCAAAATAGGTATGTAACATTGTGAATAAGTCTACTTTTTTCTTTCTATTCACGTACGTTCTCTGTTCTCTTTCACCAATAGAATCATTGGACAATGACTCATGCGGCAATAATATATATAGAAATAATCATCAATGTCACATGCACTCTCCTGCTCTGACTTCGCCTTTCGAGAACATCGAATCTTGTCGTCAATTGTCTTGTGACCAAAAACGTCGTATAAATACCGTTGCCGATAGATCATTGACTTCTACTAAAAACGAAAATATGCTTGTCTGTCAACAAACGTCTGTTGCTGATAAAAGTAATGAAGGCGAACAAGAGGGGAAGAATACTTCGTCGATTTTCATTACATGCGCACAATTCTCTATCTATGTAACGACGATAATGAACACTTCCAATGGAAAACTGCTAATTATTGACTGCGGCTCCCCGTTACGACATAACGAACGACGTATCAAAGAATCTTTTCTATTAAATGTTAATGATAAATTATCTCGAAAGCGTCTAACAACTCGTGGCTTGAAGAACTTCATTGACCAACATCAGCTACATCGTTTAGATCAATCTGAAATCGTCATTCTTTACGATGATTCAATCACCTCTTCATGTTCTAATTCCATCACTCAACCAAAACTATCTCCAACGATTCAATGTATTTTCGACCAAATCCAACAATACGATTCAAACAAAACCATCTACGTTCTCCAATCCTCATTCGACGAATTCTATCAGCATTATCCAACATGCTGCTATGTAAGCTCAGCAGACTCACACACAACAGATCATATATCACCATCACCTTCGATTGATCTTGATACATATGAGATGTCACAGGTCTTACCGGGTCTTTATCTGGGCAATGCTCGCGATGCCGAAGATCGAAGTTTGTTAAAACAAAATGCGATCAAAGCAATAATTAACATCTCAACGACTATTCCATGCCATTACCAAGACGATCATTCATTGACTTATTTACAATTGAATTGCCAAGATTCAACCCAAGAGAATCTTCTTCAACATTTTGAGAAAACTTTTGAATATATTCAGAAGAAATTAGCATCGAACGAGAATGTTCTTGTTCATTGTCAAGGTGGAATCAGTCGTAGCCCATCGTTTGTTATTGGTTACTTGATGAGATACCATTCGAAGACATTTAATCAAGCTTATTTGTTTGTTAAAGAGAAGAGAAGAATAATCAATCCAAATCTGAATTTTCTTGCTCAGCTAACACGTTATGAACAAATGATCGGATAAGTTATTCATGCTTTTTCGTTTTTTTTATAAATTGTTACAATTCGATACAATGTGTGTATGCATCTACGTCAGATACGACGTTATGTATGGTTTTTTTCTTATTGGAATAGTAACGAAAGTTATACTTTTTTATTATTATTCTTTCAATTGTCAAATACATACATTGCTATGGATATTTTCAAATGAAATCTCATGAGTAACCAGGAAATTTCTAATCATTGCGTCATGAAGGGAAATTAGTCATTGCCAATGAAAAGCCGTGCTGATAAATACATTAGTAATGTCGTTAAATTACTCATGTGATACAAACACTTACAATGCAAATCATTACGAAAAGGTGATTTTATGATGCGATAGGAAATTTTCATTCCATGTCGACACTTTGACTTTCTGTTCTATTGTCTCTTGTTGGTTGAATTCGGTTGTTATTATGAGCGTGCCTACGTCCCCATCGACGCCAGAATTTTTTCGTAAAAACGGACTTGACCTGTCGTCGAAATCGAGGTGATATTATTGCAAACAAATAGAACGATACCTAGGGAAACTTCTCATTATACTGATACTCCGAAAAAGTATTTCGTATATCCTACCGCAAAGTTTAGATCGAAGATGATAAATAAAATGGCTGATGTCACATTATTAATCGCATATCGAAGCAAATCTGCTACAGTGATCTTGCTATTAAATGTATAGATTGAATGAATCGTGTAGGGTGTACTGAAAATGGTGAACATGATGGCTCGGGCAAGTACCATTGCTGTCAGTTGTTGATCAAGACGACGACGGACTATCGGCACTTGTCGACGAACGATTTGTCGAACATTTCGATATGCCAACAGACTGAACATCGATGTGATCATCACAGGAAGAAGACCGGATAGTACAGGATAGTAGAAGGATGAGATATAAGCTGCCATCGATGGATTGAATACAGTGCAAACACTACCTTGGATATCGGAGAAAACGGCGAAAAGTATTGACTGAAGTAGTGCAAATACGAATGCAATGGCAAGGAGAATATAGGCGAGTTTGATGGTGGAAAGTTGTCTGAAAAAGTAGCGATGGCTGGTGGAGAGATATTGATCAATGGTACAGAAGCAGATGGAACAGAAAGCAACGAGTGTGGAGATGACGACTAACAAGACTCGTAGTTTACACCAAAATAAGGATAAATTAGCGGGATCTCTGCCGTATACGATGATTGATAGGGTAATGAAGAAGTAAATGGCTAGTTGAAAGAGATTGGCTAGTGCTTCGACAATAAGATAGAGTGCACACTGATTGTTTCGAAAGGCTCTGAAGGAAGTGAACACGAGAATATTGATTGCATTTCCAATAATTCCTAAAATGAGTACGCCGGTGCTAAAATACAAGCTATATTGTTGTGTCAGATGAAGAATATTTAAAGCTGTTGCCGTGTTCGTAGCCATCATAACAGAAAATGATGCTTTGTTCAACTGAGCCTGTCTTAATGTGCATTTTCAGAGTAGGAATTAGTCTTTCTCTCTCTCTCTCTCTCTCTCTCGTTTCATCACGTACGTTGACCGGAATGACAGTAGTCTGAAATTAGAAGTGTAGGTATACTCGTGCGTGATAATTAACAGCCGCAATAATTCCGAAAAAGTGCTTTATTAATGTGTTATGGTAGTAATGTTCATTCATTGATTTTCCTAGTACGTCTTCGAATTGAACTATTTGGAAAGCATCTCAATATCGAAAAACAGTGTTACATTATTGTTGTGAGTCTGATAGGGTCGATAGAATACTATTAGTAATTAGTTCGCCTTGATGTGACTTGATATGCCGAAAGCCTTTTGGATCTTTGCGAAGCATCAGCGCATGAAGATCAAGCAAATGGCGCATATTTGTTTTATCTCTCCGTATAACTTAGTTCATAAAGAAGCGAACCTCAACTAATAACCAATTAAAAAACTTGATAAAAACATTTTCTTGATCGAGTCTTTTGATCATACACACAAGCATTGTTTTTCGCGTTTCACATATTAAAACTCAGTTATATTTTTACATCACCACCCGGTTTTGAGTGAAAGAACATGTGTCAGATAAGCCATTATCGATTCAGCACAACGGAATCCTTCCATACTGTATATTCCGTAATGCTAGTTGGAAATCAGTTCTTTCTTGTGGATGTTTCTCCGAGGCCTTTACTTATTAGTAAAAGTCATTTATATTCCTGTCAGAGCGTTGTTGTTCTTCACAAGGTCATCGAGTGAATACGCAGAGTACATTACTTCTGAAAATAACTTTGGTGATAACAAGTAATTCGTTAGGTCTAGAAAAAGCTTTTTCGAGAATTAGTCTTTGTGAAGTCGAACGAAATGTGATTTCCTCTTCTATTCGTAGAATACTAAATCGCTTTGAATATTCGCATAGAACATTAAATAACTGTCATTGAATATAATCATTCAACATCCCCACTTGATTCCATAGGTCGTGCATTTCTCATCGGATTTACTTGATTATCACCACGACAACACCATCTTCTCCATTGCAGGCAAAATTTCTTCGACAGAACATATTTTACTTGTCGGCGAAATCGACGGGAAACCGCCACGAACAAATAGAAAGATATCTAAAGAAATATCATGTGAAATCAGCTATTCCAGGTAAAAGCTTTTCTCTCTAACTCACGGCACAATTTAAATTAAAGAACGAAGTTGTAAATGAGCCCACTAATGACACGATAGCATACATAACGAGATTTGTCGGATTCACCTTTGTTATAAACACAAACATTCTCTGACTAATATACGGCACCGACAAAATCACCAGTGCGATCACTCGAACAAGCACCATTGCTGTCAGTTGTTGATCAAGACGACGACGGACTATCGGCACTTGTCGACGAACGATTTGTCGAACATTTCGATATGCCAATAGACTGAACATCGATGTGATCATCACAGGAAGAAGACCGGATAGTACAGGATAGTAGAAGGATGAGATATAAGCTGTCATCGATGGATTGAATACAGTGCAAACGCTACCTTGGATATCGGAGAAAACGGCGAAAGGTATTGACTGGAGTAGTGCAAATACGAATGCAATGGCAAGGAGAATATAGGCGAGTTTGATGGTGGAAAGTTGTCTGAAAAAGTAGCGATGGCTGGTGGAGAGATATTGATCAATGGTACAGAAACAGATTGAAGAGAAAGCAACAAGCGTGGAGATGATAATGAGCGAGGCTCGTAGTTTACACCAGATTATAGATGATGCGCCAGAATCCTGGCTATGTGTAAGAACAAATAGATAAATGAAAAAGTAAATGGTTAATTGAAAGAGATTGGCTAGTGCTTCGACAATAAGATAGAGTGCACACTGATTGTTTCGAAAGGCTCTGAAAGAAGTGAACACGAGAATATTGATTGCATTGCCAATAATTGCCAAAATAAATATGATGATAGCGGAGATTGAAGAATACTTTTGTGAAATGCTGAATATTTCATTAACCGTCAATGGCATGACGACGACTTAAATGAAAAGCGTTAGTGAAGATAATCTTCTGCAATTACTCGCTTTTCTTTCTGACGACAATATTTATGATTTTCATAGCTTCTCACGGGCATAAAAGAAAAGACAGCATCATTCTTTAAGTGAGACGAGGGTATCTCACTGGCGGAGACAGTTTATCTCAATAGTTTTTCTCTCAGACTGAAACTTTCTTCTAATACATCGGACTACATTTTTAAAGCGCAGGTGTCGAGAATCACTTGAGAGAAACGTGTGTTCCTGACATCCGCCGTTCATGTGAAGAACCAGAGAATGTTTTGTTCGAAAATAATAATAGTTGTCGTATGTCCATAAACTTTCATGATATGACATTGTAGAATTTCACCCGGAATAATTTTAACATATACTGTAAAGTACTGTGTTGTGCAGAAGATTTCCGAACTTTCGAACCATTGTTATTAATAGATAAAGTTAAATTGTAATATTCAGATACCCAAAGAGAATTAAGATTCTTCCATAATTAATAAAAGTATTGTCTCTATTTAGTTCATCGTGAAGTAAACTGGCGAACAGTAACTAAAATATCCTCATTGGTAATCGTCGAATTCGTATCATAACGCTCAAAATCTGAAGAGCGTTGAGTTTTTTCCGATAAACGTATGCATGATTTCATGAACCAGACATATTGACAGCTAAACCTAACCTGTATCAACGGATGAAGTTTTTAAGAAGAACAACAGTCGAGTATACCATTCAGTAAAACGTCGAAGTATGATAACTAGAGATCCTTGAATTCTCAAACGTTTACTTCGCACGGGTGAGCACATCTTCGTTCTGGCTTTGTTAATCTCGAATACATGCACACCAAACCTAATCTAAACAATAAGAAATTTGTTGTACTTGACATTGATCTTGAAGAAGTAGACCATCCTCCGCTAGTAAATTGTGCTAGCAGAAGTCATTCGTCAAGAAAGCAATTCTCCTATATTTCTTGAAGCAAAAGTAATTGAATGTTCTGCTGAGCTAGCTTTGAAATATTTCACTGTGTTAACGAACAGAAGCTGTGCGAAAAATCTCAAGTCTCGCGTGACATCTATTCAACAATCTCTTATCGAAAACGTTATCAATTGGACTTTTAACAAATTTTTTCGATGAATGCTATACTTATCTTGTATTTCATCGAAACCGTACGTTTACATTCTTTCACAAATGCCTTCAACATTCTCGTTATCATCGTGTGACTGGATCGGGTTTGATCTCGATCATACTCTCATTCGCTACCGTTTATTTCCACTCCACACGTTAATCTACGAATCAATTCGTCAATATTTAGTCGATTTTCATCAGTACAATCACTCTCTACTTCAAATTCCATACGATGATCACTTCGCTGTTAAAGCTTTGATCTACGACAGTTTATATGGAAATTTGATTCAATTGGACTCTCAAGGATTAGTTCACACAGCATTACATGGCGTGCATAAACGTTTATCATCGAAAGAGATCCAAGAAATCTATCCACATGCTCTAGAAGAGATTGAAGAAGACACAACGAAACGATTCTTATGCATTTACACATACTTTGAACATAGTACATCGTATTTAATTGCAAATCTTGTGGATTTGGTTGATCACGAAAAGGCGAGTGATTCGGAGAATAAATATAGCTTCTTTTTGAAAGATATTGCCGATGGTTTCGAGTATTTATTCAATGATTTCAATCGTGGAAATTATTTTGCAGCAATACGAGCGAATCCAGAAAAGTTTATCTATCAACGTTCGGACGTTCGACAATGGTTGGAAAGACTCCGTGAAAACAAGAAAAACTTATTCTTAGCTACCAATTCGCGATTTGATTATACAAACTTACTATCAAGTTATGCATTTGGTCAAGATTGGCAAAGTCTATTCGACATGATTATCGTTGATTGCAAAAAACCATCGTTTTTTTCCCAATCACCGAAACGAGTCTTTCATCGAATGATCAATGAGAACACGTTCGTTCCGATGACCAACGACGAAATCGTCGAAAACTTTCGTCAGAATTATATTTACACAATGGGTAATAGTGAAGATTTACAGATCATCATGAATCGGATTAGTGGAAAAGAAGCGACTGTGATTTACTTCGGTGACCATATCAAATCGGATATTAAAGCATTGAAATCTCACACGAATTGGTTCGCTGGAGTTGTGGTTGAAGAATTAGAATTCGACGTTCCGCCCACAGTTGTTCATACGAAAGCTCATCGATTAGCAGCGAAAAATGATTTGTACATGAAAGGAAATCGATCGAAATATTTCGCAAGTTTTTTCACTTCACCTATGGAATCGATGGATTTCAGTAATGAAGATTCGAGCGAAACACAAACAAAACCTGATGCAGTTTTACCTGCTCTATCTTCTTACTGGTACACTTATATCACCAAACACGCGCATTTAAGTTTGAGTTGCTTAAGTGTCTTAGCGAATGAGTTCGATTTAAGTCACGAATTTCAATCGAATGATGAAACGAAACATTTCGTTCTTCTGCATTAACAATCAATTTTTTGTACGAATGCTTTATAGCGAGAAAAGTTCTTGGAAATAAACACTTACTTGTAAAAGAGGAACGTATTCGACATCGACCTATCACGAACTGATTTTTCCGAGTGTAGTTCATGTAAATTTTTGTTGATTGTATTCGAAACAGTTTCAAAGGTGAAAGTAACTATCCACTGCTGTCGTGTTAAGAGAAGAAACTTGAAATCAGTCTGCTTTCAGCTATTTGGTCGTCTATCAGTATACTGACACTGAAATTGACGACGTGAGAAAAGTTTTTTCTATTTCAAGTTTACCTGATCGATCGTATGTGTTAGGAAATATACTGAAAAATTGATCAGCTGTACGAAGATGATCTCATTTCGTGCTGACTATGGAAATATCAAGACTTTATCAAGTGCTATACGTAGTTTAGGAAAATATTTAAAAAAAAAAACAAGAAACAATTAAATTTGTGCCGAATGTCATTTGGTATTTGTACTGAATAGAAGTATATTCACAATGAAACACTTTTCACGAGCGAATTTTGTTTTCTGAAATTAAAATGAAACTGTAGCATAACGTTGAACATAGAGTTTTTCATTTACCGTGCTAACTGTCCATTTTCTAACCCCAACAGGAACAATGTCCGCTAGGCTTATCATTATGACCACAATATGCTTTACAACAAGCTGTACCATCGCCACCTGATTCTAAAACTAAATCATCCATTTCGTTTATGTTATAAAAAATAACAAGTATATTGATTTCAGTATGTCTTCTTACATCGCTTCAAGCTGGTGCTTAATTTTTTAATTCCTTCATTTTTTTCCAATAAAGATCTGTTTAATTGTGCAATCCGACCTATATTTTCCCGTGAAAGGCTTTGCGTGTCTTTATCATCATATTTCTTGTAGAGATGGATAATCCAAAAGCTTTCAGCGATAACAATTGCTAATAAAACCATCGATATCGAAATACATAACAATTGATATTTCTTCTCCTTTGATGATCCAACACTTTCCCCAAAGCAAAGTTTTCTCTTCACATATTCACCCGGTGCCATGCATTTGCTATTCAGGTTTTTGCCGTTCCCTGTCATGCTCTCATAGTTGAAACCTTCGAAAATAAGCGCATCGAACACCGTTCATTTACATTGTTCGCTCTCTTTCTCTCGACTTACGTGTATTTACAGTTACTTTGTCGATATCCTCTTGATCATCGGTCAACGCCTCAAACTTTGAAGTCGTTTGTATTATCTGAGCTTCTGTCGACTCAGTCACAACTCCAGTCGATCGTACTGACTGCATATATTCTAAACACAACAATCAAACATCTTACATCAATGTGCTCATCATACCTTGCAGATCTTTAGCTGGACCCATACAGTCAATATCTCTGAATGCAGAGATCAACACTGTCACGTCGCTTTCGTTGATTTTGCCTTGATCAAACAACGATTGCCAGAGATCAAGAGTACCGTGGATTGTCGTGTCATCTTGAATAGGTCGAGTAACAGTATCACCAAGAAGAAAATGAAGTCGTTTGCGAGATTCATTACTAAGACGATCGCCGACTTTCAGCAGAACTTTTCTTAGGTCTTGATTATTCATTAGATGTAGAGATTCAAATGGCTAATCTGAAAAGAAAACAGTCGATGATATAGAGGGAAAAGTAGATGATAGTGCTGGGAGATTTCGATGCAGTTGTACATTAGAAAATCTCGTCTATTGTAAATGAATACAGGAGAGGGTGTATGTGTGTTGTTTTTCTCTTGAAAAACATAGTCAGAGAGAAGAACACGAGGAAAATAGAGAGTAGGGCGATGAAGAATGACGCAGAAGAGACAGAACGAAAGAAAACAGTATTTTGCTAGTAGCATACCAAAACAGACAAACGCATATGAGTAATGGAGTGACACGAGGAAGAATCGTCACAAAAGCGGAGTAGAAAAAAGAACGAAATACGATTTTGATCAAATAGTACCAGGACAGAATGAGAACTAGAGTGATTAAAATAATAAAATTACAATGATACTACATAAAAGCCAGAAAATCCTACAATCGTCTGATTTCTCGCATTTTTCATTTTGAAGTTCGCTATAAATAAATAGGATCACTCATACACAAGTATTTGGTAACTGTAAAAATTTTAAAAAATGGAATAAATTCAATTCCAGGGACTGTGCTTTTATCGCTATGTTATCCATTGACATTTCATTCATATTATATTCTAACCTGATATGCTACGTTTTCACTTTGCATACGTCAGTCAATTCAATCCACGAGTAGTCAATACTGACTTTCCATAAGACATAATTTACGATTCACATTACGTCAAAAAACATTGATCAATCTGACGTCGCTCTGAACTGAACTGCATGTAAACCAAGATGCAAATTCTTCATAGTGAGAGTATCTATTACAATGCGATTTGTAGAGTACTGCACACACGACATCTTTTGAGTTTGTTTTTCACAGAACATTTGAGTAATTCTTCTTGTGAATATTGTTTTTTTGTTTTCATCATTCTTGGGTTTTTTTCCATACAACGCAGTACGTCAATTTCTTCAAGTCAATTCCATATGGCTCTGAATCTGGAAGACATGGTATGTCTTCTCCCAATGTTTCGTTTTACAAAAACGCTTTTGTTTAGAAGCGGACATCTCGATTCAATACGTTTTCATCGCGTGTCTTAGAAGAATTGCATCACTTTATTATTTATCCTCATCAGCGTGATGCTTTGTTGGCACTACGAACATGGTATAACAACGACTGTACTCGTATAGGTCTCGTTGTTATTCCAACAGGTGGTGGAAAATCAGGAATCGCTGTTCTTGCTCCGTATGTTCTGAATACCACTCGTGTATTAGTCGTAACACCATCATTACAGATAACGAATCAACTAGCCGCAGATTTCGGGTATGAAAATCGATTTCGAGTAGATTGAGAAAAAGAAGATTTTTCTGTAATTGATTTCAGACGACAACCAACGAAAAGTTTCTATGTAAAACAAGGAATTGTGACTGGAGATGCAGCAGATATGTTCGTTGAGCCAGTTCGTATTGTGAACGAAGGACGAGATCTCGGAGATCTGGCTGAGAATTTAGTTATCGTAAATGCGCATAAATTTGGAACAAATTCAAGTGTTGATTGGGAAAAACTGAATCAAAAAGCTTTCAATCTTTTAATCGTTGATGAAGCTCATCATTTTCCCGCACCAACATGGAGCAAAATTGTCTCGCATTTCAAATGTAAAATTGTATTTCTCACTGCAACACCTTTTCGGGGAGGACAACCCATACTGGATAATCAAGATGGACGAATTTGTTTCGAAATTAGTCTAAACTCATTGATGAACAATGGAATCATTCGTCGAACACAGTTTCTAGAGATAGGAAATCATGTCGATTCAGGCGTTGAACGAATGCATGTGAGCAGATCGTGTATTTCCTCTCCGAACTTCATTTTTCTTTGATATTAGTTGCTGAGTAAAGAAATTCTCCGAATATTAGATAAACACGATCAATGTGATAACGTTGTTCAACACCAGGCAATGGTTCTCATGAAGGAAAAGAATGACACGACAAGTTTTGCTACACAACTCAATAAAATCAGCCCAAATAGCGCCGCGTCATATACAGGTGACACGAAGAATTCGAATTCTGTCCTTCAACGATTTGAAAATGGTAAACGAGAAGCTTAAGTTAAACTTATTTATGAATATGATACTTTTCGTAGGACAGCTTCGAGTTTTGGTCGTTTGTGGTAAACTTCTCGAAGGATACGATCGAAAACAAGTGAGTTTATGCGTTATCGCTCGGAACGTTCAACCGCAATCAAAGGTTTGTTCTTAGTTGGGATGAGACAGTGTCGTTAGGATATTCATTTAGGTTTTATTCACACAATTTGTTGGTCGTTGTCTGCGAAAAATTCGACCTGACGATCCAGTAGACGGAACAATTCTTACGCATGTGTTTTACAACCAAAGGCAAAATTACGAAAATCTGAACGAAATAGCAGAAGAGGATCCTGACGATGAGCAAGACTAACCATTGAATTTGTACTGAATGTAATCGACAGCAGTGAATGTGTATTATTGCACTGTTTATTAATAAAAAAAAGCTTAACGTTGAATAGAAAAGTGTAAATTAAAAAAAAAAGAAAAGATCAGATCACTTTATTCCATTGGTGTATCGATTACGAAACTGTCGTCTTTGGAATGGTTTCTTTTGCTCCGTCATCGTATGATGATCGTGCTGCATGACTTGACCAGGAACTGGGCCATTCGGTGGCGGAGGAATTCGAAATGCTTCACTGGGTATTTTATCAACATTGAGATCCTAAACGCGAAATTGGATTTCTCTTGTTTTCATACAAACATCACCTACTTGATTTTCACTAAAATAATAATGTGGAGGTCCTGCACTTTGGCAAAACGGAACATCTAACAGATTATCGTCATTAACCCAATACATCATATAGAAATTGCACATTTCGTCATCGCCAGTAGGACTAAACAGAATTCCAATAAATGCAAAAGCATCATCTCCGGAACGATAAACCTACCCGACTCGGACAACGTGTGATCTTGAATTGAACATTGTGCAAGCGATGGCGATGTAGTCACCTTTTTTAATTGTTAAATTACCATGAATTGGGTAGAACATTTGCGGTAATTGAGGTGAACGACGACCGATTTCTCTCCATTCTTGTTCGTTTTTTTCACCGCGAACGCGATAAGCCGAATTGACTAGACCCAACTTGTGAGCGTGAACTCGAAATGCAAATGGATGCATTTCGATATTTTGTTCAATTTGACAAGCAGCTTCGAAGATCTCTGTGAAAAACAAAGAGCACAGCTTGGAATTGATTGCGTTTTATATTGATATACCTTCAGAATTCGGTTCGATTTGACCGCCAGTGCCGGCAAAAAAGACACCAGCGCGCTTAGGTGTACTAAAAGAATAAACAACAGATAAATATCATGTGTTTTCAGCTGGTTTAGTTACGGATTAGGCGTTGTTGTTAAAATCAAACCAGAGCGATCCGTTTGACCAGCTATCGAAAAGAATAACTTGAACAAATTTTATCTTTAATCCCTCAATTACCTTTGAATTTATCAATATTAGCATAATGCACTTGTAAGACAAGGTATTTGATCGGTGTTGTCGCACCGATTTTGAACGCCACATCTGAAACCCAATATTAAACAGCATCGACTCACATCGGCACTTTACCTTTTGGCAATTCAGTTTTATCAGCATCCAAAGCCCATGCATAGACAATCGTCGAGCCTGACGCACATGTTGGTCCTGTTTCATATTTATTCGATGCTGAATCCGATGCTTGAGACATTTCACCACAATTCCTAAAAAGTTTTAAATAGATCTTTGGAAAGGAAGTAATTGTTTACCGACCAAACTTTCTTCTCACTTCCGGGTTCTGTGCATCCATAAAGTAAAATATGATGCGCGTCGTTGGAAGTTGCAGATGGATTAAATGCCGCTAAAATCACCCATTGAAATCGATCTCTCTGATATGTAACCGTTCTTACTTATATAAACTGGCTTGTCATGATCCAATTCAACTGATGTACAAAGATAATCATCGACCTAAGAAACAATACTCGAAGTTTTCTTTAAATAGATGATGAACATTCTCGTACATGATTAGCAATAACATCAGGCATAAGAACAGCTAATGTATTCGACGCATCTTCACTAGCGAAGCTGAGTAATATCGAGGAAAAGACAAGAATGATTGACAATAGCATCATTCTTGGAAAATACGAATTCTACGAGGATCGACAACAAGTCTTTGTATATATATAGTCGAAAACAATCACGAATCAAATGCTTTCGCCGCAGACAACGATTTCATCTTTATTTTGTTTTCCTTTCTGTAATATATAGTTGTCGTTACTAACACAAACAGTTCTGGACAAAAACACATACGTGAAATGTAATTTGGTTGATATGTCACATTACTTATTCAATGGAATAGTCTCACAGAATTCACCGAGTCAGACAAAAATTTATGATGATTACTACTTCACAGGTCACGCATGTTATATAATCAATATTGTATCGCTCGTATGATTATTCAGTTGGAAGGAGAAGGAGAGAATTCGTTGCTATTGAATCAATTCTAGAGCGAACAAGACTCATGTATATGCGTGTATTCGCTGATCAGACGAACTAACGGTTAAAGAACAGGTAAAAAAAAGAAAGAGGTGAATTGGTCGAGCCAGATAAATCCTCATCGATGCTTCATTCTTATTCTGCAGCGTGTGTGCGTTTAGTAATAATATATGACATTTTATGATGTATGTGCACATTGACATTTGACCGCTTGACAAAGAAGAATGAATTAAGAAAGAAGAATTCGATTTTACTTGTTACAAATTCTACTCGTATCGAATAATGGCATTATTAATCTTTTTTTCTATTATAGAGAATTATTATCAAAAGAACTATCTTCTGTGGCAAGCGCGTCTTCTCTCTCTCTCTCTCCTGTTCTTTGAGCATTATAGGACTTGGAAACGAATAGAAAAAGAGGAGATAAGAAACACGTTACAAGAATGATTCCATTTCGACGGCTGACACATTCGTTGATCGTTGTTTTCGTTTTAAGCTTTGTACTCATTTTATCGGTATTCACGAAGATCTTCTTTCAAGCGGATCATCATCACGTAAATGTAAGTATTTGAAAAGTACTTGAACTTTACCTCCGAACTTCTACTTCTAGTCTTCTCATTCCGCAATTGTTGAAAAGATTCTTGATCCGAATGATCAACAGCTCGATGTCATTCAAATCGACAATCATCCATTAGCATTTTATGTTCATTTCGATCTGAAAGGTGCGGCACCGAAAGTGTCCTATTTCAAAAAGTTATTTCCTTTGCTGCATCAATGGGGCGTGAAAGGTATCTGCATGGAATACGAAGATATGTTTCCGTTCGATGGAATTGTCCGTTCGATCAAACACAAGCAAGCCTACACGAAAGATGATATCGAAACTATCAATCAATTAGCGAAAGACAATCGATTAGACGTTATGCCGCTACTACAAACTTATGGTAAAGATGAAAATCACCAGTGATCAGAAAGATCTCGTTGTTTTCTTTAGGACATTTGGAGTTTTTGTTGAAGTTGAACGAGTTCAGCGATTTGCGCGAGAATCCAAAATATCCACAAGTGATAACGCCGTGCGTAGATCGAACGTATACTGTTCTATATTCGATGATTGATCAGTATTTAAAACTTCATCCTGACATTCGTTTCTTTCATATTGGTCATGATGAAGTTTATTATTTTCTAACGCATCCTGCTTGTGCAGAGTTTCAACGTGCAACTGGAATTCATAACCAATACGAACTATTCGCTTATCATTTAAACAAAATTGTTAGTTATATCAAACAACGATCTCCAAACATTGAACTGCTCGTTTGGCATGATGTTTTGCAAAATTTAAATTTACAAATGCTGCAACGGTATAACTTCCTCAATTCAATTCATCCGGTTCTCTGGTCATATCGTGAGGACATGCAAGTCGAAGGGTTCGTCATTGGTTCTCAAGCTGACCTCTTCGGACAATACAAATCACTGTGGGGAGCAACTGCATTCAAAGGAGCAACACATGAAATTGCCACGATTAGTGATGTGAAACATTACTACGAAAGTAAAGAATAGTTTTAGCATCGTGCTGTTTATATTGCTTGGCATTTAGATCAAGTGTCTTGGATAAAGCAGCTGCAAATGTATCATCGAACAAAATGGCGAAATTTTCACGGAGTTATTTTGACTGGCTGGTCGCGTTATGACCATTTTCTTTCCCTATGCGAGCTTTTACCTTATTCGATTCCGTCGATGTTATTTTCAATTGCCGCATGGCACAAGCAATTTCAAAATCTTCCTCGGAATCAAAATATACCTCATCAGCTGCAAAACTACGTTCAACAGCAATTACAATGCTCATCAGCACTTCATTTGAATACTCAGGATCATTTTTCGACAAAACCGATACCGAAGTTAGTTTCACGTTTCTCACCTTATTTTATTTTGCTTGCTGATGTAGATGCCAATTTCCTGGGGCGGGTGTGTACGAATCAATGATTTCTTTGGGACGTATTTGGAACCAAGTTGAACAAGCAGAATCGTTCGTAAATAAATATGTTACTGATCTTCATGTAAAATACAATTACATTCATGTCAAGCGCGGAGAAGAATGCTTAGAAATCCTACGACCTGCGATTCATGCCTTACAAAGCTTTATTAACTTGTTTATTCATTCTATGAATGAAGTTTTTCCTGAGCAAGTGGCAATTGAATGGCTTGAAACGTATTTTATGCAACGGTATAATTTAGTTCATCGCCGATATGAATTCATTCAACGTGCAGTTCGTGAACAGAAGTCATGGGGCACTCGGCCAATACCGAATATAAACAAACTAGAGGCGAATTTGACAAATGCGAGATGATACTTTTATTTGCAGAAGAAAATTTGTGATAAAAGTCTGTGAATTTTTGAAAATATTTTACGTTTTGAAATTATGTTTGTTTTGTGTATGAAAATATGCTTAGATAATGATTAGAATTAATATTTTCCTTGTGGTGTTGTTTCAGAGACGACTGTCGTGTATGTAGGAGGTGCATCCTCGCGCATGCAGTGAACAGGAACAGCTACTGGTCGACCAGTAGCAAAGTTATTAGTAAAAGAATGGACTTGATACACAGGCTGTCCAGGAGCTGGTGTAAAGACTGGAACTGCTTGTGGAACTCGTCGATTATTGACAGTATTCAAGTGTATACAACAGCGTATACAGATTGATAGAATGACAATGCATGCCGAGACGATTCCGATAATTGCGTATGTTGGTAAACCGCGACAATCTCCATAGTACGTGCCACAGGTTTGACCAGCTAACAAAGCATATTATTAAGAATGAATCCAGAAATACGAGTCGAACTTACAATAGCAATAATATGAGCTGTAACCGCTGTAACACCAGTCAGCAGATATTGCACTGATGGATGATAATAGGATAAACAAAGTGAAACTTTTTGATCGAAACATGCTTTAATTGCGACGTGATGTTTATCTTGGAAGTGAAGCAAAATAGCTGAGAAGATCTTTGATTAAATAGAGACCGATATGATGTCATTGATAAGACGGAGCAAACAGGATTTTTTTCGCGTTACTACGATAAATGTGAGTCAGAATTCTAAGCATTAGAGATGTGTCCACGTGTGTCAGAAAAAAGCGAAATGTTCGCTATTTAGAATCGAGATACAGGTATACGTAATAAGAGTATCATTCCGGTTGCTTTTTTGACATGAGTGCATTTTGAAGAACGGCCGAAATACTTCATCGTATCTCAATTCTGATGCATCATAAAAGCAGCGTTTTCAATCTGTCATCAAGTTTTTCAAACATCATATTCTTTATTGCAACTTCGTAACAACGAACAATTCCACATGACTGGTTTAAAACAAAGTTGATACGAGGATTTACAATATTGTCATGCTCGAAGTAATTCATTGTGTTGTATTCACATCTAGTTACATTCTTTTCACTCGAAAATCGTATATCATGAACAGATACAAGTGTATCCATCGCCACAAATTCCACCGCATTTATGAGCGTACGTTCGACACCACTGATCGCAAGTACATGCATGGCCTAAAACCATACGAGATATCAATCAAAAGACTCTGGTTACATTGATTTACCTTACCGATAGAATCATATGGAATAAATTCATTGCGACAGACACATGCATGACCATCAGCACACACTCCAAATGATGAATTGCGTTCCTTACACCATTGTTGACAACCACATGTCGATCCTTCGGTAAACTCTAAAGTAAAAAATGTTTATTTTTGAGAAAAATGCGCGTATCTTGTTGTATTCTTCACTCGAACGTTCTTTGTCATCATCGAATCTTTTCTGTGGAATTGCAGATGTACTTAGTTGAGGAATATCTTCCGTATTTCCCCACCGATGACTATTCGAATTATTCGCATTCCGATGATTCATCATTTGACCAAGTTTTACATGAAGACATACTATCCATACACACTCAACAATAGCGATTATCAATAGAATTAACAATATGATATTCCATGGTAATTTAGACACTTGCGTCTTCGCACAAGAATGATATGATTGTTCAGAATGTGCGAGAAGTTTTCTCTGTATATTATTTACAGGTATCGTTGGTATATGATCAATACAATCATTTTTATTATTCATTTCATCGACAAGTTCTAAATGACATATCTTCAACTTTTCACACGCATGGCTAAAAACCACTTACTAGTCCTGATCGTGACGTGATCTTCGTCATCTTGCATCAATCGATCGATGAGCGATGGCATGAGTTCCGATAGACTTCGTGTTGGTTCATTCGTATTATTCATATGTGCTAGAAAAGAACTCAATTGTTAATCAATTTGCCTCCTTAAGCATTTACCTCGTAGACATCGGGCAGCATCAAAGCATCCGATCTGTTCGAATGCTCTAATCAGCAATGTCACATCAGTTGGAAGAATCTTTTCTTGATCGAACAAGCTTTCTAAAAGACTAAGAGTTCCACCAAGTGATTGATCATCTCGAATACGGCGAGGGACATCATCAGCAAGAAAGAAATGGAGACGTTTTCGATCGTCATCACTAAGACGATCTTGAAGATTTAGGAGTATTCCACGCAAACGGAGATTATCCATTGAACAGCTAGCTCATAATATTGTAAATATCTGAGAATCAAAGGATAGAATGCATACTTTGTGTCGGTAGAAAAAAAAACACAATATTGACCGTCTATTGAAAGGTATTATTCATAAATATGTACTCGAATGCATGAAACGTCTATACTCTCAGAATAATTCGATATAAAAATCAACATGCTGTCGTCCAATCAACGAAAATTTCAAGCGATGACAATACTACAATGTGAAAAAATGTATTATTGTCAACAAATGGCAACTAGAGGTCTGGAGAAAAGTAAGTCACATAGAAATTCACAGAGAAAAACTAATTATATCGACGTGGTCTTTAATGGTTAACATCTTTGTTATTCACATGGATACGAAAAACCTGAAGGTGATGGTGAGGATGCTTGAAGATTTTTTTTAGATTATGACAAAGACCCCTGCCATCTACAGATGTTTACTTTAATTTGTACACAGGTAGAAGCCACATAAGTGTTTTTCAGAAAGTTATTTTTGTTCGGGGAAAAATCGACAAAGCAATTCTCATGCGTATTTTTTCAGTCCTAAAGAAAATCAAAACACAATTGTTTGTCAAGCCAAACAGTTGAAAATACGTTTACTCTATGGCGCAAAAAGCGACCAGGTAATTCTGGGTGTTTCCGTTTATTTCTCAACTAATGATCTTTGATACTAATCACATGAAGAAGCTATTTGTCACGCAACTAATATATAAACAAAATGTCGAAAGACAGTGTCGATGTTTCAATACGCATTCGAAAAATCCGACAGTGTTAACCGTATTTTTCTAAGGAGGATATAAAATGTACTGAGAAAAGATCAAAATAAGTGCGAGCCGTCTTAGAGCATGTATCGATTCGATCACCGAGCATTTGATTTTCAAGATTTGAATTCATTGTAACTTGTTCGTTCCATAGAAAGATTCAAATGACATATGACGAAAGAGAAACACTAACCTCACGTCGAATTTGTGCTGAATGTTAAAAGAAACCACCGCAAGTTCAGTGTCTCCATTGTTCACAATTCGTCTGTCTTGAATGTGCTCAGAAACATGTCAATTTAGTGGCATTAGAAAGCGAAGGTGCAATGCATTTCTTAAATGAGAAACTTGATATTCTTGACCAGATCGCTGCCATCACTCGACAGAAGATAATGCAGGAGCGTGATATGATTGTACGGTATGCAGATGAAGAACGTGATCGATCGTTTATGCAATTGGATCGAATGATCGACGTAGAAAAACAACAAGTGCGTTATAAAAGTCAAGAATTGAATGCAATCCCGGTGTATATTCGAGAATTAAAAGCTGAACTTCAATATTTAATTACCGAAAAAAACGATTTAATCAATGTTAGTAGTACAGCAACGTGGCTCACAGCGGAAATTTGTTTAAGATGACGACGACAACATTTTCAAATGAATTCATTTTTGCACGAGCTCGTGCTTTCCTTTCGAGCAACATTTGTAATCTAATTCGCTGCTGTATGGAGCAAACGTTACTGATTTTTCTTATGCAGCAATTTTCCATACGATCATAACATAAAAGTATCAGTGAAAATGTGTAGCTTTTATACTTCAGCAAGATCATACGTCATTCTCTTTTACGAAACGTACAAGTTCAGTCTGACATGCTTTCATTTGATTAAACTAAACAAGTTCATAATACAAAAAAGAACAAATTAAGTTTCTATAAAACTCCCTGGACATTTTGTCTATTATATATAAGTAAATTTACATTTCAATCTTTCATTATTTTTGGATTTCGTTGAGCACATATCTCGTGTTCTTCATCGCTCACCGTCTGAAAGTAGAACAAAACTATAGGGTGATTTTGGCACTAATACAGGTTTCCTTTACCGTACAGATTACCACTTTGTCGGTTTTCGTCACATTTACAGTGCCCATCTGATACCCCAGTCCAATAGTGACAAAATTTATTGGTACCAGAGCAGCACTTCGAACCCCCGCCTTCCAACCCTAAAATCAAGTCATTATTTTCATTAATGTTATCTAATATACCAAATATAATAATTCAAGCATGTTTTCTTACACCATGAGACGTTTGTATTTAAACTTTCCATTTCTCTTTCTTTTTCCAGTAAAGATCTGTTTAATTGTGCAATCCGATCTATATCTTGCAATAAATGATTCCGCGTATGTCTACCATCATATTTTATATACAACCAACAAATCCAAATACTTTCAATAGTGATAATTGCTAATAAAACCATCGATATTGAAATACATAACAATTGATATTTCTTCTCCTTTGATGATCCAACACTTTCCCCAAAGCAAATTTTTCTCTTCACATATTCACCCGGTGCCATGCATTTGCTATCTAGATGTTTGTCGTTCTCCATCATGCTCTCATAGTTTAAACCTTCGAAAATAAGTGCATCGAACACCGTTCATTTACATTGTTCGCTCTCTTTCTCTCGACTTACGTGTATTTACAGTTACTTTGTCGATATCCTCTTGATCATCGGTCAACGCATCAAACTTTGAAGTCGTTTGTATTATCTGAGCTTCTGTCGACTCAGTCACAACTCCAGTCAATCGTACTGACTGCATATATTCTAAACACAACAATAAAACATCTTACATCAATGTGCTCATCATACCTTGCAGATCTTTAGCTGGACCCATACAGTCAATATCTCTGAATGCAGAGATCAACACTGTCACGTCGCTTTCGTTGATTTTGCCTTGATCAAACAACGATTGCCAGAGATCAAGAGTACCGTGGATTGTCGTGTCATCTTGAATAGGTCGAGTAACAGTATCACCAAGAAGAAAATGAAGTCGTTTGCGAGATTCATTACTAAGACGATCGCCGACTTTCAGCAGAACTTTTCTTAGGTCTTGATTATTCATTAGATGTAGAGATTCAAATGGCTAATCTGAAAAGAAAACAGTCGATGATATAGAGGGAAAAGTAGATGATAGTGCTGGGAGATTTCGATGCAGTTGTACATTAGAAAATCTCGTCTATTGTAAATGAATACAGGAGAGGGTGTATGTGTGTTGTTTTTCTCTTGAAAAACATAGTCAGAGAGAAGAACACGAGGAAAATAGAGAGTAGGGCGATGAAGAATGACGCAGAAGAGACAGAACGAAAGAAAACAGTATTTTGCTAGTAGCATACCAAAACAGACAAACGCATATGAGTAATGGAGTGACACGAGGAAGAATCGTCACAAAAGCAGAATAGAAAAAAGAACGAAACTATTTTTACAGAGGAGAGTACGAGCGTAAAATGAGAACTACACTAATTGGAGTACCATACCATATATTATCAGAACAAAACGTGAAAAAGAAATTGGATTTTACATTTTTAGAAAACTCAAAAAAAAGCGGACAACTTTTTTCGTAGTCTTTCACTTTCTTTCTATTTCAACATTTGAATTAGTCTCCAATTTCACATCTATTTTCGTGATACTTGTTGTCGAACAGATATGAATAATGTATGAGAAAGAAAACTTTCCCATGAAATTATAAAACTTGCAGAACGCTGTGTATGTAACAGGTAGATAGTTTCGGAATGAATCATATCTATAAATATCTGTCTATAAGTCATCCATGGGAGATTTCAATAATTTCCCTTTCGATAAAACTAACACAGATATGTTTGAATCATGATACGAAGAATCTTTTCGTAGGAATTTTATTGGCAAACTAATTATTAAAAAAAGAGTATCTTCAAGTTTGTCCTATTTATCGTTGAGTCTATTGTATTTTCTTAATATTTGTTTTAAAGTTTCATGCGATAATGCATCGACTTTTAGTCCTTTATATCCAATCATTGTTTCTGCTGCTATCATCGAATTCACAATTGCTTCTTCAACGCATTGAATTGTTGCCTCAAATAACGGATTCATCGCGTCATTGATCATGAATTCTGCTTGTTTTGTCGTTGTTGTTTGGTTGGAGAACTCAGCTGTTGAGAATGCTAAGAATATCTCCCCAGACGAATCTCCAGCAATGCCTCCAAGTCTTGCTATCCCAAGTGAAGCACGGACGGCTAAACGTTTGAGTTGATGCGGTAACAAAGGTGCATCAGTTGCAATAATAACAATAATCGAACCGACATCTTTGTCCGGAACTTTCGTGTTCACTCTTTCCATTTCTAAGATTTCTTCGCCCACAGGAATACCGGCGATAATTAATTGTTTTTTTCGTCCAAAATTCGACTGTACTAATACTCCGACTGTATAATTCAATTCTGGAATTACCCTTGAACTTGTTCCTGTTCCTGCTTTAAACCCGAATGTCATCATTCCAGTTCCACCACCCACATTGCCTTCTAGAACCGTTGTTCCCGAACCTTTCGCATTCTCTAGTGCTTCGAAAACGTGTTCTTCCGTCACATGAAATCCATGGATATCATTCAAGAATCCATCCCACGTTTCGGCAACCACTGGTAAACTTGAATCGACAATATTGCCCGTCTGAGGGATGACATTTTTCTTAACGAACCATTTCATTAATGATTGATGGCAAATTCCAACCGCATTTGTATTCGTAATCAAAATCGGTGTTGTTAGAAAACCGGATTCGGTCAGCCAATGAATTCCTGTCATTTCACCATTACCATTCAAACTAAACCAGTTGGCAAAACAGAGCTCGTTGTTTAAAACTCTTTCCGGTGCACGCGGAAAGATTGCTGTGACACCTGTTCGTACAGAATCGCCTTCGATAATCGTACTAAATCCAACCTCGACCCCTTGAACATCAACGATCGAGTTCGATTTACCCGGAACGCCACTAAACGGAATGCCTAGATCACGAGCACGAGGCTTAGCTTTGTCCGAAGTACTCGACATATTCGCATCAACGTAATAGAATGACAAGAAGAAGAACAGATTTACAACTTTGGTTATCATATTTGCACTTTATGACCATCGTTATCTGCAAATATATATACATAGTCTTGTTGATAAACTTTGCCTACTACTTAACGATTTCTTTTAACATTTGTGTGATACATCCTTGTGATTTATTTTAAAAAAATACATTTCACATCAAGGTTATTTTTAAAGAAGAGTGTGGTATTGATTTGTTTCGTTATTTTGTTGCAGACATAATTTAGTTAAGAACTGAAGTTTGCGATGAATCACCGCTTGTTTAAGTTGATTTTTCTCTAGAGCTTCTTTCAACGAATCGATCTGTTCTTCCAACTGATGTTGATTTGCCAACATGCGCGTTTGGATCAGTAAATGAAATTGTCGCCATTGTTTTTCAAATTCATTCAATGTAATAGATGCATTCGGACTGGAAAACTGCTCGGACGAATTTGATAAGGTTTGAGAGGAGAGATTTTGCGAAATCAAATGATAAATTTTATGATGACCTAAGCGTCGAGCTAATTCAATGGGCAATTCATGTCGACCATTTCGAATATTCAACGAAGCATCAGCATGAATCAATATTGCTGTACAGCCTGCATGTTTATAACGAATAGCAGAATGCAATGGTGTATCGCCATCACGATTGACTGGATTTAAATTCGCACCAGCATAGATTAACAGTCGGCAACATTCATTATGACCGAATTTACAAGACATATGTAATGGAGTATTGTTATCATAGTCGAAATGATCGACATGAGTTTCATACTCGAGAAGGAGAGTTAAGATTTGACTGTAACCATAGGCAGCCGAAACATGTAGGCACGTTTTACCATCTCGATCGTAGAGTGAAGTGTTAACTCCTTCTTTTAACAAACGTCGTACTACTTCGGTATGGCCGAGGTAAGTTGCCGTATGGAGAAGTGATCGTCCATTTAAGGGATCGATTGAACTGATCGAATAACCAGCACGAATGAGAATTTGCAATGTGTGTGGATCGTTGGCTTGCACTGCGGCAAGAACAGGATCTCCGTGTCCATCAGTTGTTGCTGATAGTGGTTGAAGAATTGATTTGAGTTGTGAATCGAATGCAGTCGACATAATTCAATGTCGTGTATTGCATAAGAATGGTTTCAGTTTTTTTTTTTCATCATTATTATTGGGGACAGAGGAGGACAAAGATGAAGATTGAAACAGAACGTAACATATTTGTCAATGTCGTTCTTTTCAAGTAGAGACACTTATATGTAAAAAAAAGGTTCGTTTCTTGTACGAAACGAAAAACTTTGTCGAAGTTCCAATGACATTGAAGTATGAATCTATCCTGTATATGTTCTTCTTGATTATGACCTGAAGAAATTGTGTTGTAGATAGAACGAGATGTCTGAGCATGAATTTTAACACTGATGAAAACGATCAACAACAGTTCCGATAAATCAGTTTATCAATCTTTCGCCTCTGTTCAAGCTTTTCTTCTTCCTTCCACGATAGTTATGTCAATATACGCTCTTTTCTTTTCCTTTACTCGTAATTATTCTTATTTGTGTTGGTCGGTAGTAAAGAAAAAGAAAATTTTATTTGTCTGCTTAATGTCAGCTCGACGAATTCTTTTTTCTAAGATTCTCCGATGAATAAAGGTAAAAAAGCCCACAAAAACAATTATCGATCGGGCGTACCTTTTTATACGCTAAGCGAAATAAAAAAATGTCATTCTTCCTTTTTCTATCAAATTCTACAACAGCAGGTACACTTGACTTCTCCACCTCAAGATGCAAGCGGAAAAGGTCGCTGATCATATCACTCAATGGCTCAAAGATTATCATCAAACTAGTCATACAAAAGGCTTTGTTGTCGGTGTTTCCGGTGGAATCGATTCGGCTGTTGTATCAACACTATGTGCTCGCACCGGCTTGCCTGTCTTAGTTATGGAAATGCCTATTCGACAGTCAGCGAATGAAATACGTCGAAGTCATGCGCATATTAATTGGTTGAAGTCAACATTTCCGAATGTACGCGCGGGTGAGGTCAATTTAACTGAGGTCTTCGAAACATTCCAAGCAACAGTCAAAAACAATGAATTGAACGAAACAAATTCTGCTACCGACATCGCATTTGCCAATATGAGATCTCGATTACGAATGGTAAAGAACTTCTTTTCATGACAAAAAATTATTGTTCTATGTTCAGGTTAACTTGTATTACTTCGCGTCGATCAACAACTATCTCGTTGGTGGTACAGGGAACAAAGTGGAAGACTTCGGTGTTGGATTTTTTACGAAATATGGCGATGGAGGAGTTGATATTAGTCCAATAGCTGATTTATTGAAGTCGGAAGTACGTGCTGTTGCTGCTGCGCTGGGTGTTTCGAATGAAATCATTGCGGCACCACCTACTGATGGTTTGTTCGGAGATACACGAACTGATGAAGATCAAATCGGAGCAAGCTATGATGAATTAGAATGGGCGATGAATTATATAGATTCAGATAGAGCAAAACAAGATGCGACAGCATTGACCGAGAGAGAAAAGAAAGTTCTGGAGATTTACAATCAACGACACACAGCAAATTTGCATAAGATGGTTGAAATCCCTCGTTGTATCATTCCAAAAGAGTTAAAAGGTCAATAAGAACTATTTTCGATCTTCAAAAAATTTCTTTATTTAATCGTACACAATATTGAACTACTTCTCATAGATTTTGATTGATTCCGTGCATTTCGTCGTCAATAAAACTCACTTCCGTACTGTTCATCTGACTAACGTTCAGCTCTTTTCTCTGCCGATTTCTTTACAGGCACAACCGTAGCGGTCGGCGATATTCGTATGTGGCGGTGTTTGTCTAATGACACAAAATTGACACAAGCAACAACGGGTAATGATAATGTCACACAATAAGTTGCGGTAAATAAATATATTTGAATGCCAAAATCGACTGCTGGATCTTTGCCTTGAACCATCTGTACGAATGTAATGATAATCATTGGTAAATGAAGAAAGACATAAACAGCGGAGACAGATATCAATTGCATTGACATTCGCCGATGTTTTCGCCATTGAATCGGTTGTCTCAGTCGTTTCTTCTGACGAATTATTCGATAGAGTAAGGCGACGTTAAATGTAACAATAATCAATGTCGGAAAGACATTGTTAACAATCGTATCCCATATCGTGATGAAATTCATCGCGACATAACAAGGCGATGAGCCACATTGAAGATCGGTGAAATCAAATAAGTTTTCACACGGCGGGAAGACTAAAACGTTTGTATGGAAACTAAATAGGTAAATTATGATAATCAATGGTGGTAAATAATGCAAGAGAAATTTTTGTTTTTGTGTCGTGATGTATCTGCTGTGAAAGATTAATAAATGACGTTCAATCGATGCCCATGCAAGAATGAAAGCTTGGATATTGTACAAACTATCATCAATCACCCACCACGTCAAGCAGAAACTCGTGGTTGGTATCGGGGGAGGTCCGACTTGATAGAGACTGATCAACATCCAGAGAACATCGGTAAAGATTAAAATAACGTTGGTCATGATTAAAAAGAGAATACTGTGATTGTGTAAACCATGACGCATTTTCCGATTGGATAAGAAACAGTAAATGGTAAAAGTTGAACAAATCAATGATAGGCCAGCGAATATAAGTAGAAGCCAGAATTGCAGAGTAGTTGAGAGATCGGGAGTATCCATTTCTCCTACTCTGAGTTGATGTGAACGATTTAGTTTTATGGGTAGCATTTTTGCTATTGTGCGTAATCGTAAATCAGATAAAAGTTCATCAAATAACTAGTTTGACGTACGAACTCATCTGCCTTTTCCCCCCGTCAAGTAAACAGGAATCCGAGTATTTTACTTGGAAGATATGCGAAAAGGTTCAATCAGAAAACCTCACGTTTATTTGAGAACTGAAATCAAATTACAACCTTTTCTTTCTAAGTCTCTAAACGCCTTTGTACCATGTTCTTGTTTATGTTCGAAATGAATAGATCTCATCATTATAATACTTGAGAACAGTCACGACCAACTAGTCGTGACAAAAGTTAAATATTTTTTCTTAATAAATAACGTAAACTCGTTCCATGACGCTCAACGACTTCCACCGTATCCAATGCCATTCCAGCTTTGCAAGCAGACTTCCAAGAAGCTTCATTATCAGTCCTTGCCGTCGACACAATTGCTTGCAGTGAATGACCATCTACAGTATAACCATCTTGTTTCAATCGAGTGGCATATTGTACCAATGCACATGCTTCAATTGTTCCAACGCCCGAATAGATTTTTCGACCGATTGTATTCACACCTGCTGTAGTATTGTTCGACGAATGATTCCAACATTCTGTTCGATTTAAACGTGCCATTTCTGTCGTGCCTGGCTCGGTACCTTTGCCTAAAGAAGCCATACCTATGAACATGTCCGTTTCAGCGTCCGTTACGATAAATCCGCTATAAAGATATAAAGGTGAGTTGCGATTTTCGAATCGACCGGCCAGCGTACGTATTCTGGATGTAGTTTGTTCTAGAGAACATATTTGACCATTACTATACTTTGCTCGGACAGCAGGTTGACTGTTCAAATATGTGTGAACATCGTCAATATCTTTTTCTTCTACGGATCGGAAATGATATTGATTTCCGTTATGTTCGACGTCTATATATACTTTAGCCAGTTCATTCGATTCGATATCGATTGAAATATGTGCTTGGGGAGGGATAAAGTATGTTTGACTGGCAGCATATTGATTAAATTTGTTTGTTGCGGCATGGATTATACGCTCTAGTTCCTCATTCTCGCCTGCCATTCTAGTTGAATCGTGTATCGATTAAATTTTTTCAATGCAAATAAAGCAACTTGCTGTTTCTAATCAGAAGGCCAACGATCGTCTACTAAATTCAATAACTCACCTTACTCAACGTTCTGATTCTACTATTCCTTTATAAATACATCGAAGTTCTCAAGTGGAATAGTACTAATATTTGATTGATTCACATGTACTTCCTCGTCCGTATGTACCACTCAAATTGTTAACATAGATGTCGTGTAGTTTTACCAGGAAAAGGAAACGTTTATTTAAAAAAAAACTTCCATTCGCATTGAAATACCAGAAGGGCTACCTGACAAGTACACGTTTGATGGTTCGGAGGCAATGGAACACGTATTTCTCATTTTATTATCGACTCTATCCACGCAGCCTGATTGTGTTATGTCTCTGTGTACGAAAAATACATTCATTTTCTCATCAGGTTTTATTTTGTAAATGAATTTTCGCACATCTTTCTTCGCATTGTTTGCTCAATCACAGCAGCTATTAATATTCGAGCGGGTCAATAGAAGTGACGGACGTCCAGTCTTGAATAATGACATTCACATGTCATGTACAGGTAAATTTTCTAGCTACACTAGTATACTAACAGTATGAGTACCGGCAAAGCAATATTCTTCCACGTTTCACACACTACACTTTTGGATAAACTCATATTTGTCCGATGTAGTCTCATAGTCATTTTATAAAGCAAGAAATCAATTGTATGTTTGAATATATTGAATAGTTAGTCAATGTTAATGTTGTATTTTGAATTACTGAGTTAAAAGTTAGTTGAATGCGAAGAGAAAAGGATTAGTCAAATGAAGTCGTGCGCTGAATTCCGGTTTGGAAAAAGCTCTTCAAACCATTTGATAATTTTCCTGTGCTTTGAGTAATTTTGACAATTTAAATCCAAAAAAGACCGATAAAATCTATTGAACAAATACAAAATGGCCTCTGGTCACGCAGAAACTCCCGTCCGAATAAAAAACTTACCACAAGAATCGAAGAAATACCAACCACGACAATGATGATGATACTAGCAACAAATCCGCCGACAATATAAGTCGTAGTGATGGTCGAGGCAAGAATAGTCAATACTGTAATGACCAAAACAGCACCAATGAAGATCAGTTGAATCACACCCAACCACGTGACCTAAGCACACGCTCAACGATAAGAAACAACTGTAACAAATCAAACATACAACAAGAATTGGAATGCGGAGATGAAGCGTGACGAAAATCAGAAACAAAATCACATAAACTATTGAAATAACACCTAGCAAAAACGTTTCTGCGGACAATCGTCTTTTCAAAGAGCGAAAATCATACCGCCGATGACTCCGGCAGTATATAAAGTGCCTGATGTATGGTCGCGCATATCATATGACATATTATTGTATCGTGTGAGGTAAACACTTTGCTGAATCAGGTAGATGATTGAGAGGATCTAAAAGAAAAACAAGACTCAATGATATGAATTGAAAAATCTCGAGAGAAACATTTTTACCAATTGAATTACTAAAACAACAATAAGAATTGTTCGAGTTCGTCGGATTTCTCGATTATCATTGAATCCCATCGGTTGCGACGACTGCATAGGTGATATTGGAGCTTTTTCGTTAGTTGTCGCGTAACTCATCGTCGAAAATAGTCGCTATCAATGTTTATATGAAACAAAATGAATGTACACTCATCAAAAGGAAAAAAAGAAAATAAATGCTTGGTTTTATCACTGATCGGCGAAACAGAACGACACGTTTCGTTATACATTTTTCGCGAGTTATGTCTCGAATGTATATTTATATGAAATGCAATACACTATTACTGCTGTCACCCAGAGAGATAGGTGATTGTTGTCCTTTAGTTTTTGCTTTCGATATACTCGCTGAGAGGAGAGAAAACATTTGTACATGTTTTTTGGCAATGTGGGTGTCTATGATATGAATGCTTTGCTCTCTAGATAGGATAAACGGTGACGAAATGGCCTTTTTTTCACCTTCAAATGCTTTTCATTGGATGATGTGGAAAGGAATAGTTTATATATGAATTCTCAATGTTGTTATATTTGATCATGCGTAGTTCACATGTAGAAATAGAAATGAGTTTGGTAAACAGATGTTTTCAGCACTGCATTGTTGTCAATTATGAGCACTTATTGAATTCGATTTCCATAGATGTAGGCTGAAGATGAGATGACCTAATAAAAATGTCGATTCGTTGACACAGTTCACAAGAATAATACCGTTTCCTTAAGGGAGAGAAAATGCAGAAAAGTCTCCCTACATACTGATCAGGTAAACATCAGTGAAGATTCGAATTTTATGCAACAAATTTTTGTTCGAAGTCTTGCTATGTGATTGATATGATTTGTTTTCATCACGTTAAAGTCAAGCGAAATCGAAAGTGCGAAGCAGAACATTTCCCCTACTTTCACGAAGGAATCTAACCCGCCGATCTGTCGGTACATGATATTCCTAGTCGCTTCGACGTATTTGAAGGAAAGATTAATAAAACGCGTTTGTTTCAGTAGTTATTCGTGGGCACAATTAATTATCGCGACTCGACATCTGAAAAAATGTTTAACCAATGGCATAGTGCAGAAAAGCATAGTGTAATTGGCTTTTTGATTAACTTCGGATGAATTGGAATATTATAGTCAGTATTCCCTTAGTTCTTTTGAACTGAGATTATTTACGATAATTTCGTTTATTTCTTTCTCCATTAACGAGCCAAGAATATACTTTATTTCATAGGAAAAACATCGAAATTTATTTCAGTTCTCCATTAGTTTAGCTAAATTCAATAAACATAAATAAATCGACGCCTAAAAACAGCAAAAAGAACATACTTTCCGAAGAGCAAATTATCCCTACCGATAGACCAATGATGAACAAAGCTATTACGATATAAATTACATCGAGAATGATTCCAAATCTAACAGCATGTATCAAGGATAAGCTAACGACTGTTGTCATAATTGAAAGAACAAATAAGAGAAACGCACTTGCTAATTGCACTAAAGTCAGACAGGAAAACTACGACGAACATATGCAAATCGTTTAGTGAAATATAAATGAGAACAATTTACCACAGAGATTGCACGTGGGAAATATTCAGTTAACATAATGATGAAAGAAAGATTATAAACTACTAAAACACCGGCTAAAACGGAAAACTCACGGAGATGAAATTTGTCCGAAACGAACTTACTGACGATCAATTCGATAATAATGCTCGTATCGACTTTATGCGATCCCGAATCGTCCAAAATAAAAGCGACAATTTGAAGGATTACATAGCTAATCATCACGACCTAAATAGAGATACTTAAGTCATTGTCAACAATGTGTCGATTCATTCCTTACAAATTCAATGAAAAGATATGTGATTATTTTGCGACGAGTTCTCTCAATAGCCGGTTGTCGTTGGAAAATATCACTGATGAATGGTCCATTCGATTGTAGTGATAGAATCGATCTTTTTTCTGTAAATGATTCCATTTCCATGGTAGAATACGATGTGGAGGTCATGTTTGCCCCTAAATATCCATTGATATATGTTAGACGAGTACGTGTGATTAAAAGTGGAACGAAGAAGTACACAATTAAGTATCAATTTCGGAATATAAGTTCACGTTTATGATAGAACAACAAAGAAATGCTTTCGTGTCTCATTCGTATGGGTTTGAAGGGAGAAAAAAAAATCTTCGTTGTATGTGATGATGCGTATATCTCTACATGAGCTTTTGTCTGTTTGAATCTTTTCTCTTGGAAATTCTTTCGAGAGAACCAAATAAAGCAGCTTACTACTGCACTGCGTCAGTGAGAAACCCAAGAGAGAGATTATCGTTGGCTTTTGTTCTTTGAGATAATATATGGTAGATGTCAAGCAGAAGTCGAACGCCGAAGAATTTATTTGCGACAAATGAACAAAGACCGTGAAAATCTTTTGCAAGATATTTATACGAACTCCAAAGGAAAAAGTTAAGGTGTAAATATTAATTAAAATTTCCTAAGAAGAACACAACGTATTTCATTTCCTGCTCATTAATAACGGTCAACGAGCTCAATGGAAATAACGGATTCCTATTCGAGTCTTGTTGACCGTGATGAAAAATCAAAAAAAAAGTTCTAATCAGATTAGAATCGTTCGGATCTCGTCCGATCATTCGTGTATTACGACCGGATAAATCTGCAATCAAGTAACCTATCTGCTCGGAGTTTTGACATCACTCGCATCTCATTATGCTCTGTTTGTCACATTTGTTAAACTGACAACAACGTAGGCGGACCGACATCCACTTCTTCGAAAAAAGAAACGAACGAGCAAACGTCGAAGGAAGTTCGACAACGTGCATCAAGATAATCTTGAAACTACAGACATCGATTTCCTGTTTGACTACTACTAAAGAGAATGTCGTCATACAATCACATTGTATCTGAAAATGGAAAGACTGAATTTCTTCGAGCGTAAAGACGCGCAGCTTCTGAAATGTAATGATATAAGCGGAGCTACATAAAAAAACATTTTATCTATCTGACGTCAATAGTATTTTCTATACATTGATGATTTCTCTCTAAGAACGTAGCAATTAGTGTTTTGCTTGATACGGAAACACTACTAAAAAAGTATACTCAATGTCTGTTACACAATTGACAATAGTCTAATATTATAAACAAGTTGGTAAATCATGCGTATGTTCCTTCGTTCTGATAATTATATATTACTAGTATATGAAGTATGTGAAATATCATAATGAATGATACAGGAGAGTGAACACTGTGAAATTCATGATTTCGTCGTCGTTGATGATAGAAATCGATGTTGAGTCACAACAGAAATTAATCATTTCTTCCAGGGTAACATCCTTTCTTTTGTATCATGCAATCATGTTCATCAACTGCTTATCTAGATCAACTGGTTCAAATCTCGGTTTCATATTGAATATGAGAGGCCACTTTATGTTTTCTTTTGACTGGAAATACATCTTTCGATTTTTTTCAAAAGTCATTTGATCTTTGCTGATTCCTTGTGCCCAGATAAATCACTCCTTTCGAGTGAGTACGAAATCCAAAGTATCGACTGGTGAATTTCGATTGGTTACGATCAGCCATTTCTATTGCATATACATCTTTGTCACTAGCGACACATATAATCGAATGTTTCCAAGCCAATTAATATGACTTGATAAAATTTCTTTTTTCAAAACGACTTCTTTCGATTCAATCCATCTTTTACCTTGAACTCCACGGGTCTTCTTCCTAAATTTACGTCATTATTTCATCTTGTTGATCGTTTCGTATGCGTCATCAACATCTCTTTGTGTTTTCTGATAATTAATCGTACATATTTGTTTACGTAAGACAGTTTTGTTTTCTAGATCGTTCTCACCAACTTTCACGAAATCATCATGCCTGATAATAAACTATACGATTTACTTGGTGTTTCACGTAGTGCAACCGATCAAGAAATCAAAAAAGTAGATCATCTCGTGCTTGTTGAAAAATCAATTTGTTCGAATGTTTCTTTTTAGGCATACCATAAACTTGCCAAAACTCATCATCCAGACAAAAATCCAGAATCCGCTGAAAAATTCAAAGAAATCTCCTTCGCCTATCAAGTTTTAACAGATGAGAATAAAAGACATATTTATGAGTAAGAATATCGAGTCATTTAGGAAATCTTCAGCATAGATTCTTTTTTCTAGCATGTACGGTCTAGAGGGATTGAAAGAGGGCGGCGGCGGTGGTGGTGGAGGTTTGCAGAGTTCAGAATAATGTAATGTTTAAGCTGTTAGGCTGTGTTTTCAGGTAGTATGGCTGATATTCTTGGTCAATTTTTTGGCGGCGGTGGCGGTGGTGGTGGTGATCCATTTGGCGGCTTTGGTGGATTTGGAGGTTTGTTTGGTGGTCATATGGGTGGAGGAGGTCGAAATCGTCGACGCAAAGGTGATGATGTTGCTCACCCACTCAAGTAACTGTTCCTTACTTCAACATTCAAATTGTTTCATTTGAAAATTTTAGAGTAACACTCGAACAACTCTACAAAGGTGATACACGTTCACTTGAAATATCTCGTAAGGTTATCTGTCAGGCATGTAATGGGTAAGTCGATGACCCCGATAGAAATCTGACAGAAAACTCCTTTCGACTTAGTAACGGCGGAAAAGAAGGTGCCAAACAAACATGTGCACCATGTCGCGGTCAAGGTATTCAATTTGTCACACGACAAATCGGACCAGGTATGATTCAACGAATGCAACAAGTATGCAAAGAATGTAACGGCGAAGGCGAAATTATCAATGAACGTGATCGTTGTAAAACGTGTAATGGACGAAAAACCGTCGATCAAAAGAAGAAACTCGAAGTTGTTATCTCGCCGGGTAAAAATGATTGCGATTGTGATTGTCAACGAAAATAAAGCTGAATTTTCTAGGTAGTAAACATGAACAACAACTTCGCTTTCCTGGAGAAAGTGATCAAGCGCCGAATATGGAACCCGGAGATGTGATTATTGTTTTACAACAAGAACCTCACGCTACTTTCGAACGTAGCGGAGATAATTTGATCATGAAACATAAAATCAACTTAGTCGAATCATTATGTGGATTTCAATTAGTGGTTACACACTTAGATGGAAGAAAAATTGTCATTAAACATCCGCCAAATGATCCAATTGCACCAGGTGAGTCTTGTAACTTAAACGAAGACAAACATCATTGGCTTTGTTCGATTTGTAGAAACTTATCGATGTGTCAAAGGACAAGGTATGATCAACATGAGAACACATGATACAGGAGATTTAATCATTCAATTTGATGTGGACTTTCCATCGGAAAAAACTTTTACCGAAGATCAATTGAAAGTAATTGTCTACCTAATTTCCTTGCCAAAACGCCGCAAATCTCGTCTTTTCTCTCCTTCAGCAATTAGAAACATTTTTACCAAAACGACCACATGTCGAAATACCTAAAGGTGAAAACGTTGAAGACGTCTCCATGATCGATTTTCATACGACCAAATCAGCACATGATCATAGACATGGTCAACGCCGTGAAGCCTACGATGGTGGCGATTCGGATGACGAAGGTGGACAACCGGGTGTTCATGCATGTAGATCTCAATAATACCATCGATCAAAACTCGATTATTTTCATGGGAAAAACCAACATGTCCGAACAGAAAACCTCTTTTGTTCTCTTCTTTTTTTTCTTTCTTATTTAATTGAGTATTTTGCACTTCACCCGACGTCTATGATGACACTTTCAGTTTCGTTGAATAAAAGCAAATCTAGAGATGAAGCGTCCTACCGTTCGAACAATCTATCCTTTTTGCTAAAAAGCATCTTGACAACACATGTGATGTTCTTCACACTCGCTATATAAGTAAAAACGGAGCGTGCAGCTTGTTGTTTTTCGTTTTGTAGAACAGATAAGTGTCATAGTTATCATGTCCGTAGGCATGACTTGGCAAGAAAAGGCTCGAGAAAAACAAATTGCATTGAAAAATTTAATTCCATCTGAATGGAAACTTTCTGAATCGATTATCGAAAATCTTCCGAAGAATTTAACAACAATTCCATCACAATGTGGGCTCCTTTCAGCACTCGACTTGGAGATAACCGAACTCGATGATATGGAAGAATTGGCACATCGGATAGCGCAAGGAAGATATTCCGCTAGACAAGTCACCGAAGCTTACTGTAAACGAGCATCGATCGCTCATCAATTAGTGAACTGTTTAGCGGAAATCTTCTTCGTACAAGCATTAGAACGCGCGGATTACCTGGATAAGTATTATCAGTCAACCGGTGGCAAAACAGTTGGACCATTACATGGCATTCCGATTAGTTTAAAGGATCAATTCGATATCAAAGGCGTTGAAACTGTTATGGGTTACATTGGATATTTGGGAAATTTGGCTGAAAGAAACTCGATTCTTGTTGATATTCTTCTTTCGCTCGGCGCTGTTTTGTATGTTAAAACAGCCCTACCACAAACGATTATGATCGGCGAAACAAAAAGTAATCTTCTAGGTCGAACGATAAACCCGTTAAATCGAGAGTTGAGTAGCGGGGGCAGTTCAGGCGGTGAAGGAAGTTTAATTGCAATGAAAGGCAGCATTTGTGGATTTAGCACTGATATTGGCGGAAGCATTCGTTTTCCTTCGGCTGTCAATGGAGTCTACGGAATGAAACCATCCCATGGACGAATTCCTTATGGTTATTCAAAGAATTCTTTAGATGGTTTAGAATCGTTGATGAGCGTTGTTGGGCCAATGACACGTTCTCTAGCGAATATCCGTTTAGTATTTAAATTAATACTCGAAGCGAAATCTTGGTTAGTCGATCCACAGGTACATAACATTCCTTGGCGAGAACATTTGTATCAAGAAGGACAAAGCCCGAAGTTAGCATTCGGCGTGATCCTATTCGATCAGGTTGTTCAACTTTCGCCACCGGTCAAACGCGCGATGAACATGGCTATCGATGCACTGAAACGAGCTGGACATGAAATTATCGAATGGGATACAAATGATTATCCTCAGGTGAGCTTTGTCAATGTTCTCGTCTTGATTCATTTAACGAAACAACTCAGTAGGCGTGCGATATCTTTGTGAAAATGTGCACAGCTGATGGTGGAAAAGATGTTCAGAAAGCACTTGACTTAAGTGGAGAACCACTTGTCACTGGTGCTTTCATCGGATCGCCTGAGACGGAAATAAGTGTCTATGAAAGTTGGCAAGTGAACGTTGCTCGGCGAAATTATGCGCTTAAATACTACGAACAATGGAACCAAACAAAAGAGAGAACGTCCACAGGTCGACCTATCGATGGGATTCTGTCGCCTGTTTATGCACTACCTGCATATCCACACGAATACAGTCTCACTATTGGTTATACGGGTGTTATTAATCTACTTCAATTGAGTTCGGTAATTCTGCCGGTTACTCGAGTTGATTTGAACTTAGATCAAGTTACTGAGGAATATCGTCAATCAAAAGTGTTAAATGAATTCGATGGTTTAGTGAAAGATACCTACAATGATCCGGCGAAGTTCGAAAACTGCATGGTGGGCTTACAAGTGATCTGTAGAAGATTAGAAGATGAAAAAGCTATTAGTATGGCCATGGTTTTAGAACGAGCATTACAGTCCTCGAACTGATTTATTTTTTCATCTTTTTTTTCAAGCTTTAACAGTAGACTCATATTGAATTACAACACCATAACGACTTAGACGTGTTGGCCCTTGAAATTTCAAAATAACTTGATAATTAGCATCCGAATCTTGCGTCAAGATCGGCTCACGTGTTGTCACATCGGTTTCTTGATCATCGATAATTCGATAAACATGTGACACAGCACCTTGTAATGGTTGAGTTTCAAGACTGACTGTAAAACGTTGACGTTTTTGAGTGAATGGCGTTTCGATAACCAACGTCATGTTATTCAGAGGATATGACCAGAAGAAATTAACATCGGTACATTTCACGTACTCAGTATCACGGAGCTCGATCTTGCTTGAATAACAATCTCCTGAAAAGCTTATCGTACCTGCACAAGTACTAAGCTTATCAACATGAGACTCACAGGAATCATTGATCAACGTTTGTGCACCTGAAAATGACACTAGGCCAACAATTGCGAAGATAAAATAGTACAACATGATGAATGAAACAAATCGATTCCATAGGGGCCTTTATATACACCTCCAAAACAGCCGAAAATCGAAATCACGAAAGAAAACGTCATCATGATGTGTTTCTTTTTTTTTGCTTTATTGTCGATGATATTGTAATAACTATAGTTCGAGCACTCTTTGTCCTTGACGGACGTGAAATAAATCATTTTCTTCGATTGTGTTACCGTTTATTGTTAACTATCATGCAATGAATGAAATGTTTACATTTTCGACGAGGTACTGCAATACATTATTCAAGAACAATAGTGAGAACTGAAAAAAGGTCATACTATCGATGATGTTTCCTGTGTTTTTCTTCGTATAAATGAGAAAGCAATTTCATTTTGAAATTCAGAAGATCTCCGCTGAACTTTCTTAGAAATCATTTTTCTGCCCAGAACCATGCATAATGTGTTTCGGAAATAGTCGATATTATTAACGCATGAGTTTATCAAGTCGCGTGCTACTCTTTTCCTTTTTCTCGTCTTTGAATCAAGTAAGTTTGGAAATCTTAAGATAACATGATAGTTTTATTTAGCCAACAGCGATTATAGCTGAACAATTAGTCGACAATCTGATCGTGATCTTGACGATGAATCATCCGGAAACGGTCGCGAGCTCATTTCAATTTCACTTGTTCGTAGGCGATTCGTGTCGCTATATACGCTCGGACGATGTTCAGTTGGGAAATCTTGTTTGCTCAATGCACTCGAACGACGACGTAGGAAGAGAAAGGCGTATAAATGCCTGCGAAAGATTTGTCCGGTTAAAGTGTAAATGTAGAAGTGTCCAGCATAGTAGATCTGTTGTAGCGAAATGAGGACTACTTTTCGAAGCCAATACGGACAAGAAGATTCGTAAATAAGATAATTAAACGTATCGTTGATTTCAGCAGGCAAGCAAAGAAACAGAAATGCGAAGGATGTACCAATTAACATGCAAGATAGTTGAACATCTTTATCACGTAGTCGTGATTGTTTAACTAAAAAAAAGGCAGGAAAGGAATGTTATTTTTCATCAATTAGCAAGATTTCCTTTACTTCGAGAGTTCGAGCGAACATTTCGACGTGAGATGAGTATCTGATAAATAATTAATACCGAACAAATACTCATAACAATGAATGGAATGGAAACAAAACATATACTTTCAATATAAGAATCATAGAAGAGAAAGAATTGGGAATAAAGAGCATTGTTGCTTGGAATAGTACAATCGTAAAGCTCGAACGCGTCTTGTTTAAAGACAAGGACTCTTTCATAGCCGTATAAAATATGTCCACTGGAGAAAAAGACGACAATAATTACAATGGTAGTCAGCCATTTCGCCTTTTGGATGTTGCAAAAGTTTCGCGAACGCGACGGATAATAAATGAGGAGAAATCGGTCGCTAAAAACAAACACTCATTCTTTTTATATTTAAACTTACAAAACAAAAACGACAGGATATTAAAAGCAATCTACATCATACATTACAAATTTCTTGTAATTACGTATGAAAACAATGGCACAGTTTAGCGAGTATTCTTTCTGATCAGACTTGGTCTCATTGAATCTCTACTGTTTCAAGAATCATAAATTACAACCCAGGGCTCAACCTTAATTATAGCACAACATGTCTTCGTCATACTGTGAAAACATGACTTTTAATTATGACTTTTCTCATGGCAGAAATTATTAATAAACGTTAGGTACCTACTTATAGATATTCGCTCTTCATTATTCTCATTTGAGATTTGCAAGAATTCATTTTTTACTCTTCTGACAATGCGCAACTCGTTGAATTATTCAGGTATGAGGGGGAAAATATGTATAATTCACAATAAAAAGTACTTACATCGATGCTAAAGTTAGGATAATATTGGATAGATGATTAGAGAAATATATCAGAAATATGATGAGTTTACAAATGATAGAATGAATAATAACGAGATCCACTTGAAAAGCATATGGTAAATGCTCAATCGTCATCGTTGTTAAATGTATGGAATCACTAATAGCTAATATTAAAAAATAGAAACAACAGGACTTCCGACCTAAAAGGTAAAGTATCCGTAAACAGTTCGGATTTTCAAAGAACGCAATAGCATACGAAGAGGTTTTCTGGTAAAGACTGCAATACTCAAAAGTGTTGAAATGATTCCAATAAAGAAGATGAAAGTCCCCAAATATCGAAAAAAGATTTCATTCGTTGACGTGCACTTGTGATAGCCACTTTGATAAACACCCGACCAGTTAGTGGGATTGTCCATAAGAAATTTCTTGAGTACACAGCAATGTTCTATTTAAGTGAACTGGAAATAGAAGAAAGAAAGAGAAAAAAAAGATTGTGTGACCATAAAGATGAAGAGCGAAGAAAAAATAATGAAATATCAGAGATATTCTCTGTTAACTAATGGGGAAAAAAACATTGCATGATGCTTTTGAACTACGCTTCGAGAAAGTCTATTCAAATGTCAAACGATTGAGAAAATTTCATTTGCGAAATAAGATACATAAAACAGTCGTGAAATGTTCTACGTACGACGATGTTTTGGAGAGACAAAACTATTATGATCTATCATTGCTATAATGTGAATGCGTGAAATTAATCGCGATGTAAAATATGTGGTTCACTATGCGTGTTTCCACTCTAACCGCGAGACGTCGAATGCGTTCTTCTTTCCTTTTTCTCTTCGCTATTCAAACTCATTCTTATTTGCTTTTTCAACATAGATTGAAATATATTCAAGAAAGAACCAATAAAAACAGAAAACTCGTTATCGATAATATGTTCTTCTGATTATATCTCGCCTAATTCTGACATGTCAGTCAGATCCAGCACTTCGTACTTGTTTTTGAGCAGTCGTATTAATAAACAAATTATTTGATGACTAGACACAAGCATGAACGAATCATTTTGCAATATAGACAAGTAGATTTGAATTGATGTAATATTACTAATCCGGTGTCTCATGTCAATGAAGCTTAGCGAAAGAAAAGCATCATTAGATTGCGAGCGCTCCACTTGTCTTTCTCGTGCGGGGGAATTTTACGGTGGTTCCCTTATTACTTTCGGACAGTGTGTTTCCTTCGGGTTATTGAATATAACAGTATGAACACGCACAGTTACTCAGACTTCCTGTTATCAGCACGACTTGTGGAGTAGAAATGGACTTAATGCTTGTCGGAAGGATAAATGTTATTCGATTACATACCATGGTCTAATGATCTATCTTCAACGAAGGGAACTTCAACAAAACAAGCATTTCAGTTCTCAGATTTGACTTCTGATGTTTGCAGTTGCTTTTATAATTAAATTTCATGATGTTTGAGACCAGACAGCATGTCTCGCTTTGAATAGAGCATCAAGCAGACTTCGACATTCCCTTCAACTTCAGCTACATAAGTTCTTTTATTGCGTAAGTAGTATTTCTATCAAAATTGACTCTTTGTACTTAAAATGAAAAAAGATTTCTAAAATCTGACATCATCTGGCACTTTGACAGACTTCAGCACTTCTAATTTGACCCGCCTGTTGACTGTTTTCAATGTTTAAATGCGTTTTTAGTGCTCGAGATGAGATAATGTCATTTTATTATTTCCTCTTTTCTCCGTTTCCCGTCCTAACTTAATAGGATTATCTCTAAAGTACTTTCTCGTTCTCCTCTTCCTCGACTATCTTTATCACGATGATGCTTGATGGAAGAAATAAATGGATAGGCGTGAAAATCGAATGAAAATTAACCAAGAAGGATTATTATATGCATATATCTATAAGCATTATACAACCTTGAGTGTCATCAACACACACACACACACACGCATGCGCATACAACGATAGACTACGATCTGTAGTGCTTGATTTTAACCATTCAATGTTTATGATCAATGTGGAGGAAACTTCGTGATGCTTGGTGTCATAAAGGTAATGTGCCGGTGTAACCTTTATTCTATCGACTAGTTCAATAGCTAGACGGAATGATTAAATCGAGTGGCGAGAGAAAGACTAAGAACAACAAACTTGTTTATACAATCTGAATGCTAAAAGCTCTTCAACAATGAGATAAACAATCATCATTCTCACAATTGTTTTGTAATCATTCAAGGAACAAAAAATGTCTAACGAATGATACACATAAGCTGTCTTTCGCCCATGGACAATAGTACATCATGCAATCTCTTTAGACGAGGTCGATGATATGAGCAGACAGTAACGGCAGCAGTAGCAGCAGCTGATAATCCTATCTTTCGTCTATTAATCAATGACGTGTGCGGTCAAATTGTCTGTACAAACTGTTTCTCTTTCTCGAAACGCGATTCACGTCGAAAAAATTCACAGCTTGGCCGTTCTTGTTTTGTTTTCAGACTAGTAATCGAGGTTTTTCATTAGTGTGTATTGCTATTGACATTCTCGTCGTCTGACGAATAACCTTGAGTAATTATTCTAATCAAATGTGGCAGGTCTTATCAATCAATTGGGTTTCTTCTGTTTTGAAGGACTTCTCATTAGACAAAATTTGATCATCGAAGTTAAATGTAACACCTTTGTACTCGTTGTCATTTTGAACGATACATTGCGATACAAAACATTTAGTTGATTTTTGTATGTAAAGAATGAGAGAAAAGAGAATATCTCTCTACTCATCGACAAGACGATAAACTTTCATCAAATATTATATCTTTCTCTTTGCATGCTCTCTCTCGTTCTCTCATTTGTTCTCTTCCTATTACTTCCCATCTCGATTTGGTGTCGAGAGAACGGAAACGCTTGTTGCTTACTTTGACTCTCTCTCTCTCTCTCTCTCTCTATCCCTACCCTACTCACGCTTAACACACTACTATTCATTCAATATCAACAAGTTCTACTCCGCTATTTTTGTATTCATCGAACAATGTTGATGAAACTGATTGTCAACGTTTTCGAACGAGCGAAATCCAAGTTAACATTAGCGCATTCGAATGAGAGGATTTCGTCAGGTTTGTAAAAACATCTTTCTACATCTGCTCATACGTTCCTCACATCTATGTACAACTCATTCCATTCCACTTAGAATCCGATCTGGACAGCACTGATTTCGATTTCAAACCGAACAAGTACAAATCTTCGTCGGGAACTTTTTGCGTTCGACAACAACCTCGTTCATCAGCTTCTAAATGGCTATGCACAACTCCGACAACAATCGATAAATCGGTGTGTACACAAACGCGAAAGTTTTTTTCTTGTTCGAGATTTCATAATCAATGATAAGGATGAAAACTAATCGTACTACGAGCTTTTATATGATGACAGAAATCAAAGGGCAACTAGATGTATAACTTCTCACAAGTGATTAAGACAACTTGAATGATGTTATCGGAGATTGTTTAAAGATATATGAGCCATTTCTCTCTTTTTTCCTACCAGTGAATATATTGCAATTGTTACCACATCGATTTGAATGTGAGATAAGAAAAGAACAATTGCCTAATCGGTATGGTCAAAAGAGAAGGAAACGTAATGAACGTAACGATGATAATCATCGTGATAAAAGAAAAGAATGTTCAGTGAACGAATGACAAGAATTAACAATTATTATTAACCCGAAAGAAAAACAAATGACATGATCTAATTGTCATATCTAGATCCTATCGACAAGATCAACAAGAGTACGTCGGAGTAGTTCATGGCGGTCGTTGAAAGAGCGCAGTACTAATCCGATTAGTTCAAGAACATTATCTGTTGATGAACTTCATCGAAATCATAAACAATCTCACAAAACAAAACGCAACGATTGTAAGTTATCGCTTTGTTGATCATCACATATCAATCGACTATTTAGTTTTTCATTCTTCAATCCTCGATGTATCGCATAAACGTCAGAAATCTCCAAATGGTGCTAAAAGTTCTATGCGTTTCGATCGTTTATCGTCTACGCTTGTTCAATACACCGATCCGAACAGGAAAACGCTTCGTCGCGCGAGTCGTCAACAAAATGACCAGCAAGGCTTCTCGACTTTGTCACGTTCGAGTGGCGGCGGAGACTCTGGCTATTCAGAAGAAAGCTTCGCTACACGATCATTTCGACGACCGTTGCACACATCGTGCCCACATTGTCACTGTGAACGACGTTCATCATTCAACAACTACAAAAAATCGCGAGAGAATTCTTCAACTGAATCATCGCCATTCGATAAAGAAAACCTTTTAACTAGCCAATCTTACCCACATATAAAGCCCTTACCGAAAGTACCTTCGCAACCTCAGCAGAAACTTACGCGAACACTTGATGAAAAACGGCGACGAAATTTGTCATGCGACGGTTCACTTTGGACAAGACTGCCAACGCAAAAGACAACGATGATGGTAAATAAAACAGATACGAGACAGTCATTTGATAATGACTGGATAAAATTGAGAACTTAATTGTCTTCTTGAATATGTCATCGTCATGTTTCTTTTAGACGTCATCTCCAGTTTTCTCCGAGCCAAATCACCAATTTACCACGATCGACATGTCATCATGTCATTCAAAAGTGCCTTCGCCACAAACGAATCCAAATATGTTTGGTGAACTTAATTTGGCTGCTATTGAACTCGATTCGTTGCGTACATCACTGTCATCCTCGTCTTACTCATCTTCATCTTCGTCCTATTCGATTAATAACGATAAACAGCTAAAACGTACGTTTCTCGTCTGGCACGGATATAAAAATTCTGCATTGCTGTCGACCACTCATGGGCCCAAGATCTTCTCCGTACGACGAGGCGATCAAGTTCGCTTATTAAAACGTATCGGTAAATCCACGTTATTAGTCGAAAAACAAGATGACGGCGTCATTGGTTTCCTTCCTCAGACATGTCTGGCACAGCATCAAATAAACTCGTTCTTATCTCTGAAAGGTTTACGCGAAACTGTTTTATAAGCTATTTATACATATAATCAATGTGTGAGAATAGATTTGATATGATTAGAGAAGATAAACAATCAGCATGATTAACGTTAAGAATCGCTGAGATAAAACCTTGCTAGTATAATTATTTTTGGACTACAGGCGATTAACAAAACTCGTTATGAGATTCACTCAAATGAAAAATATTCAGTTAGAAGATGATGTTCAACACAAGATGACGTAAGAATGAAAATAACTTCTATTTTCACGACCTTGTTCAACCACGAGCGACTTGACGCTATACAACGATTATTCTGCTTTCGAATAAATCAATACTGATGATTACACATAGGAATAATATTGATATAGATGATGTTAACATTAGTTCAATAACAAACGCGATCCGTGTTGTGAGAAAGTCGAGCTTTTCCTCCTTATCATCAATGCCCAACGGGTGTGAAGTGAGGACGAACGAGACATTTGCTGTTTGAGAGAATAATTCACTTGTGATTTATTTTGTTTACATTTACAGAGAATGTCTCACAAGTAACTCAATAAGAAAATTGTTGTTTAAAGGTGAACAACTAAAAGAAAGGACCAGGTGGTGGTACACGCACAGACACGATACGACAATTAATTTCGAACAGAAATAGACGAATTTGGACAAAGAAAAATAATTCAAGAAAAATCGCGTTTGGAAGTTAAACTAGCTCCAAGACTTTGACAACTCCTTGACTGTTGGCTGCCAATAAGATGTTTTCACGCTAAAAAACAACGAACACATCATTCGTTCGTTTCTGTAATTCAATTTACTTACATTACTCCAGCACATAGCGCTCACAAACTCCGAGCCGCCTTCCTCTTTCTTCACACGATCCTAAACAAACGAATTCTTTGAATTATTCATTCACAACTTTCTTCTTACTGTTGTGGTGGGTACTGTTTTGCTTGTGCCATTATTTTGATCATCGAATTTGTAACTTAGTAATGGTCGAGATATTTCACGTTGGTATAAATGCACTGTGTTCGTTTCACTACCTGAAAGCAGAAGATAATCCAATCGTGGATGGTTTGACCACACGTTCGTACGTACCACAGACGATATAACCCGACGAAACAGCCAATCCGACAAAGTTCTTTTCATTGACATGTCCACGATACGTTCGTAAACATTGTCCTTCTGTCACACGCCATAGTCGTAGTTGACTATCGGTTGATGCTGAGACAATTTCATTATTCGATAGGAAACGCGCATATGAGACTGCTTTCTTATGACCCTTTAATAGATTGCAAGGTTCACGTGTATTGCGTAGGTCAAAATAGTATAGGTTATGGTCAGCTGTGCCAAAGACGATGTTGTGTTGAGAGTCCGGTTTGAATTTCACGCAACAGACATTGGATTTCGCGTCGATTGTTGTAACGGAATACTCATTATGCATGGACCAAATCTTGACTAAAAATATTCACGTAGATTCGAGCAATTTCATGGATTCATCATACCACGACAGTCATCTGAACACGATGCGAGTAATTTTGGATCTGATGAGCAAAAATCCACACTCCACGAACGTTTTTCATGTTCCTAAACAACTCATTCTTTCTCTCAAGTAGAACAAAGAAGACTTCTTACTTGAAATGTTCGAACTTTCTGCGCGGTGGCCATATCCCAAATCGTAACGAATCCATCATAATCACTCGATGCCAAATAGTTTCTCAAATATGGATTCCAACTAATACAACTCAATTTAGCTGTACATGCGACTTCTTTCGACGGATAATGTAAATCAACTGAATTGTCCAACACCGATTGATATTCATACAACTTGAAAATATTGAAGTGGAATTTTGAAAAGAAATGCTTTCAAATCTTTACTTTAATCTTTTTCGATACACCAGCAACAGCGAAATGTTCATAATCACGATCGAATTCAATGCTAAAACAAATTCAAAATCGTGATTGTGTTCCAACTAATGAAAACTTACCTCGACACAATGCTCGCTTGTGCGAAGTTTTCTCCGACAAAATTCACGGTAGCGATCGGTTTACATCGCGAATATTTCGTTACTGCTGCAAGACTATCGCGAAATGTGCCCAAACCACTATCACCATTACACGAACCATCTACTCGAAAATACCAATGAAAATAAGTTGAAATTCAGTGGAAAACAATTTACCATTGTCAACAGTTAATCTTAGAGAGTTTCGTGTAGAAAAATAAATATTGGTCAAATCGTCCATGAATCGCATCATGATCTTCGTGCGATTTTCGATATCGTCATATTGATTGGTTTCCTCTGGTACCTGAGAAAAACGATAGTGAGAAAGGAAGATTCGAAGGGAATTTCAACATACAACAGCACCACTCGATACAATTCGCGCTGAAGTTGTTGCTGCTGTCGTTGTCGGTGGTAAATCTTGTTTTTCCGTTTTCATATCTGGTGTCGCACGGAGATCCTGGAAAAGTTATTCTTGACGATGGTTTTTCGTTCGAACGCAAGTTTTACCTGTCCTCCGGATTGAACCCAATTTGGAACAGTATCATTAACAATCGTGATATCGTTCGACGAAGACAATTCCTCTTTAATGTTATTTGCCGAGTCCGATGACGGTAAAGAGTCATCATCGATTGTCTGTTTCGAAGTTGGATTATTCGGTAAGCTGGCATTTGATGTTGTTGAACATTTTTGTCGTTTATTCATTTGTTTCAGATCTTTGTCAACAATATTCAATTCTTTGGAAAGAGACTCGATTGCCTAGCGACAAAAACAGTTTATTTGAATTTCAAGAAGACTCCTGTCTTACTCCGCTTCGCTCGTGATGAACGTGAGTTAGAAAGATTTCCAATAGACGATTATGAACATATTCATTATTCTATGAAAAGAATTTTAAAAAACAGAGTCTTGAAAGAAATCGAATGAACAGAACATACCGAATCGAGTTTGTCCTTATGTTGACGAATGACTGATATTAGTTTATCGAGATCTTGAGCATTTACTGTATGAACATTCGTTACCATGTCCGAAATATGATCAATAATGCTCTGAATGAAGTCTTATTTTCACCAAGAATCCAAAGAAAATTATACTTACACCATATTTGGCAAATGTTTGTGGTAATGGACGTTGTTGGCGATATTTTTCAATAATTGCATTCACTAAGCAAACAAAGACGGTAATGATTACTGTAGAAACACTTTCTCACAGGTATAATTAGGAAAGATGTCAGATGTTTGAAGGCTTAGTTGACATTTTGGACATCGCCGATGTGATTCAACTGTCCGCTGCAGACATTTGTTACTAGATCACAACAACGAAAAGTATGTTCATGCGAAGTCCTTTGTGCTTTTCACTTACCAAAAACTATGTCCACATCGAGAGACATATGCTTCGCTGATCAACTCGAAACAGATTGGACTAGAAGAGGAACTTATGAAAAACTTTTCGTTTCGTTTTCAATCTTTACCATGTGTATTCTTCTTCGATAGTACTAACGAATGGTGACGCCGATGGTTCGACTTTTGGTGATCGTTCGGTTTTGATTGTTTCCAATTGACTTGACGGAAGTGTATCGTCAGGTCGGGTTCGTTTAATACCAGACATGATTGAAATATAGAGTAGAAGTCAACCTGTGCAAAGAGAAAACGGTTTGCTATCACAAGTCAATAAAAAATATCCTTCTCACTTGTATCGTGAAATGTGCGTGAATGACAGAATATATACAACAAATGCACTGGCTCTCTCTTTCTCCCTACCGTTCGCTCGCTTGGTTCGTCTTTTTGTCTAACGATTTCTTTTATTTTCTTTCTAACTAAACAATAATGGCCTAGATTTTTCGTGAATGATACTCTTAACTCAGATGAGAAAATGCGGTGTAATAAAATGTAAATTCACCAGACTTTTATTATTTATATTGATATTTAGAAAATATATTTCTCAATTATTTTGAGTTACATGCAAGGAGAGCAGTAATCAAGATTTTCATTGGTCTTGAATGCAACCAATAGGATTACAGGGTTCTTATAATGAATAGAAAATCTCTGCAACTCAGTTTTAGACAGACTTTTGCAATCAGGAAGTGCAGAAAATCTCATAGTCGAAGAACAAGAATGATGATCATTTCAAAAGCACCCAATTAAAGTCCTATTTGACTTGATTTTCGAACTGCGAACGACTTCTCGTTTATCTCATTGGGAGGAAACTTGGATGAAATAATGATGATCCAAAATAGTAGAAGATAATTTTTCATCTTGAAAGATTGAATGTGATGTAAAATCGGCGAGCTCTTAAAATTTAACCACTTTGACAGATAGCGACATCTACGATACTCCGCCAATCTTCTTCGAAAAATCTTTTTTAATTAATATTTAACTATCGAAACGTGATAATATCGTCGAATTCATCGATGAATTATGCGAGAATATTCGAATGACTTTGATTAAATTACAATCCAATCAAAATTTAACTAAGAGAGACCGATAAACAACAAATGAAATCGTCTTTGCACAAAATAGAAAATTTTCAAGATAATAACTGAAAAGTTTTTTCTTTCAGATTTCTCTGTTCAGCTATGGCTCCCAAGAAAGATACCAAGGAGACCTCTGCTACAACCAAAGCAAAAGACACTGCAGTAAGTGCAAGTGCCAAGAAAACGACGAAACCAGCAGGTAGCGCAACAACAACGACTACCAAAGTCGTTACAAAAGAACGTAAAGAGAAGGTTCAAAGCAAGGCATTAAAAGCGAAACAACGAGTCGTTCGGTAAAGCTAATCAATTAATTTGCAATCCGAAAGTCATTTCTTCGCTCGTTTTTAGTGGTAACAAATTGACACGTAATCGTAAAATTCATCTCAAACCAACGTTTCGTCGTCCATTTACTCTTCGTTTACAACGTCAACCCAAATACCCACGACGATCAGTGCCCAAACGCAACCGGCTCGACCACTTCGCCATTGTTAAATATCCTTTAACAACCGAATCGGCCATGAAAAAGATCGAAGACAACAATACATTGGTCTTCATTGTCAACATCCGTGCCAACAAACCAATGATTAAACAAGCCGTCAAGAAAATGTACGATGTCGAAGCTGAGAAGATCAACACATTGATCCGTCCAGATGGTGAAAAGAAAGCTTACGTTAGACTCAAGGCTGATCACGATGCACTCGATGTTGCAAATCGAATTGGTATTATATAAATCACATTTATACATGTTCCAGTCGATACAAGAAGATACGAAAAAAGAAGATTTTTCCGTTGTTTATACATGCTCAAATTGTTTTTTAATTAACAAATAAAAAAAGAAAGATGGATTGAGCATTAAAGAAAAGTCCTGCGTCTGTTTATCTCATTCAGAAGTCTTGAAATGGGCATGTGTGTGTGTATGATATTAGTTTTTCTTTTAAGAATCAAGATATAGTTTCATGTGAATAACAATAACAGTGAAAAGAAAAACAATGCTACATATAAATAAAAAAAAAGGAAACGAAAACCCAAAACGTTCTTTAATAATGCAAATCGATCATTAAACTTGTATGAATATTTTTCTAACTCAAGTAGCTGGGCATTTTAATGCTAAAAAGAAGAAAAGACTTTCAATGGATTTTCTTTCTTGTGCAACACGAACGTACCGAATGAAGATTTTAGTCGCACCATATGCAACAAGGATAAAAATAAATGAGCAAAGAATCATCAGTACTCGGTTGAGGCGTGGCATATTTGGTTTGTTTGTTTGATCGAGTAGAATAAAGCCAAGACCACCTAATGTGAACATGAATGCAGCAGCGAGACCTTCCATGATATATTGCCCATTGATACGCCATGGCATGAAAGCTACGGGCTTGTGATGGCCATATTCATCAGTTGTGCTGCCTGTAAAAATTTTCATATGAAATTACAGTAGGGTGAATGAAGGATTCATACGAACCAACGCTTGGAGGTTCAACAATAATGTCATAAATAACACCGGCTGTGACCAAGAAGTAAGAAACGAGCAGACCAAATAGAACGCTGTGCGATAAAAATGCGAGAGATAGAGATATTCGAGAGAGAAGAAACTTACGTTGTATTGGACGGTTTTCGGATCCATGATGGTTTCTTTAATTTTAGATTTGGACATTGAACAAAGTTGAATGGAAGTCGATAAAAGCTTTCCATGGTCTTGCAAGTTTAACTATAGAATAAAGCAAATCTACAAGCAATAAAATCAGCTAGTTGCAACCAAAAAAGTTCGTTCTTTTCTCAGCATTAAACCAATAGTCGTTGATGACTTGGCAGCTAAAATGCTGGAAGAGAACGAATCAACCAATCGTATGCAAAATCACCAACACTGGCGTCTAACAGCGACAACTATTGAAACATACATTTCATAAAAGATATATGGATATTTCTTTTCTTTAACGAATGTATATGAAAAACGTCTATGCTGTGTATTCAGATGATACTTTTATTTTCAAAAAAATTGATTCCATAAAACGGAAATTCTATTTGTTAATAAGTAATTTCACCTCGATAAACTCTTGCCATGAAAGTCATATATTCGTCGTAACTGACTCGTCCATCTCGGTTGAAATCCATCTGAGATAAGACACGTTGAATATCCGCATCAGTGTATCCAATACGAAAACGCTGAAGACACTCGCGCATCTCATCACCGGTTATATAACCATTATGATTCGAATCGATTTGATGAAATGCTGTTTGGAGTTCAAACAACTGCTCAGGACGAAGTCTGTATAGATTGGATTCGTTACCACCGCGTGACACCATTATGTAGTGCTTGTATTTGATTACCTTTTTAATGAGTAATTTCTATATGAGAGTATATGAAAACAAAATAATCTTTTTATATTAATCAGGAAAAAAACAAAACACCTCCGATTATGCGTCATGAGAAACATGTTTTTTCGTATTGCGCTATTCTCATCTGGCGAATTGGGCAAAAAAAGGAGGTGTATTTTATACTAGAGAAAACGATAAATATGAACCTGCCATTTCAACACATCGTATTGCAAGGAAGAGCAATGTAGTACAAAATTCACTTGTTCTGACATCATTTTCCATCGATCAATTTCGGCGCAGATTAGCCTTCAGTAAGAGAAAAAAGCTTTTACGCTTGATTTCACGTCTCTCATTCGTGTGGTGAAAAAGAAACGAACAGTCAATGCGAGATAAATACACGAATCATAGCAAGAAATACAAAAACACTTAATCTGAATGTGCACAAATCGTACTCTGTTTGTAATTGGTTATCAATTGATATTATTATCAAGATGAATATACTATAATACTATTTTATTCAAGTTTAATCATCAATCGGAAAAAATTTCGTTTCGTCATAGTTCCGTGCTCGGGGGAATGAATCTTGCCGTACGTTCTTCTTTTTCATTTGAGAAGAACAACTTGTTCTTCTGAAGAAATAATGAATAATACAGGATGCATCCATAAGAAATTTATAAGATGTGAAAAGAGACATTTTCACAAAAAGAAGAACATCAGCCATCTGATTTCTTCCCCATTACAAAACTAATATTAACGATAATAACTTTGCGATGAGGAACTTGGTATATATTCGGTGGTAATATGCGTGTGTCCGTTGGCATAGGGATATTGGGATGTTGTATAATAATCGTATTTGTACACTTCCCAGTACAACGGTTGTTGATTTCGGCCCTTTATCAATGCCGTTACCACTTTCGCACCACCAGCGAAAACCGCACCGAACACCGCACTCGCGATGGGAACCACAATGGGAATCCATTCTGCCATTTGAATTTGAACTAATACAGTGCACAACGAATAAATGTGAAAGTACTAGTGAAATGGTGTCGCATATATATACATGTAGACAAGTTTTTCTTGGTATGTTCCAACAAAACTGGATAGTTGGAAAAATTACAATGTCATATGTTATATAAAAATGAGGAAATAGCGATAAACGTACCAACGTCACAAATCAGTTGACTCATCGAACTTGTATTTATAACAATTGTCACTCTTTTGATTATTGATTACTCATTCAAAAGAACAATCATAGGAAGTCGGCTTTGTGCATCATTATCGCTACAATTTTTGTTTTTCACCAAGAGAAACTCGTCCATGAACTGCATATTCAGTTTTATATTCTTGTTGAACGCCACTGAATCTCGATAATTTATTTTTGATCGATAAAAGCAAAAGAAAGTTGATAGAGCACAATCACCAGCATTTTCTCATACAATGAAGCAAAATAAAGCACAACAGTATTATCTTATCTACACGATGATGGGATACATCACTCGACCTAGTAGTTCCCGTACTTGCTGTTGTCGATCCAGCAATCAGTGCCGCTTTTCGTACAGCTCGTCCACTACATTGTGACATTAACGGATTGACGGCAGTAAGAGTGTTGCTATCGTTACTCAATAGAACGGTCAACTTCACTATACTTATTGATAAAGATAATGAATATCCAACCGGATAATCAATCGAACTCGTGATTGAAGGTAGACCGAAACATTGACCTGATAAAGTTGCATTAAAAGTCAAGATATTTAGCGATGGACGAGTAAGAACAATGTCATTGACTAGACAACAACAGGTACTGGTGATACATGTAGTATTCAGTTGATATATTCCAGCCCATGTTTGGCTTTGAGTCGTTGTCCAAAGAGTGGCGAATATGAATAAAATTGTCAGATGTACCATTGTAGTTGTTAGTTGACTGAAGAGGAACAGTTTGATATGTAAAATAAATGTGGTGTTTCTATAGATGGAATGCAGCATTTATTCGGTGTGAGAAATGGGAAAATTTAGTAACCGGTTGTTATATTTCCTAATTAAAGTTATTGAATTTATAATATCAACAAAATAGGGTTTTACAAGGAATGGGAATAGCATCTGTCGATTGTTTTTAACATCCACTTTGCATGAAAATGTCTATTACAATACCAGCATAAACAGGCGTTTCCACATATTGACTGGCTGAGACGCATGAAGAGTAAATGTTCACTTACATCATTCCATATTTGCAGATGGAGAACGTACCTGTATGAGAACAACGAATGAAAACAAAAAAGTCATAAAGAGTATCTCGTCTAGATAATTCATGTACCTTATTGCTACACAAAAAACTACTAACAGAAGCATATAGAGGCATGGAACTTTAGTTTTTCGTTTAAACACTGGAGACAACGACGCTAATTGTTCATAGCTGCTAAAAGCTACTTATCTGTAGCCGTTTGAAAACATTTCCGCGGGTAATTAGATGTCAGTGACTTTTTTCCAAGGTGGCTTCGATCGCAGTTTTTGTTATAACTTAAATTAACGTCGGGTTTTCTTTCCCAATCAACGATATAACATAAGATGTGTATGTAATTCACAGCGAGCAGTATACTGTGTATACGGAAAACAGCCTATCTTCCATGTGCTTTCGATCGAGTGACTTGTTTTTCGTCTTTCAGCTATGCTTTTCTACTTCGGAAATCGGTCAATCGTATGAATTTCATAGTACAATTAGTTTTTTAGTACGACTTCGACTCGCTGCTCGATTTCTGTGTGAGAAAAGCAAACAAGCGCCTGCCATTGTGTCGTGTAATCCTTTTACTGAGTTTGCCTCTTGTGCTTAAGTTATAATTTGTATCTTCCACAAGAGCTGACGTTTGAAGTTCACCGGAAAAGCACGAAGCGTTTATCTCGTGCCATGGATGCGATTATTATTCTTTGAAAACAAGTCAGAATTGAACTTTATACTGCAATTTTTTCTCACAAATGTTTTCATTTTCTTTGTAAAAAGGAATAAAATAACGAATCTTTGTTTGACAAAAGACAATATCAATACAATCTGATAATAGTACTGGACTATGACGCATGTACTCCACAATGAACAAGGGGTCTTGTAATCGAGCTGATAGTTCATTATTACATAGACGGGAGCGGTTTTATGATTCGTTGTGTCTAATCGTTTTATCTAATCCAGACTGTGGCGCTATTTGGTTAATATATATTTTCTTTTGATGCCATTGACTCAACATTACATAACAAAATTGTCGCCGAAACCGCTCAGATACACAAAGGTAGATGTAAAATGGACTCTAAAAACACGGACTTCGATCAATCGATCGTTTTTTCGGAAACTGTACACTTACTGCGAAGTATAAATAATACAAACATGTCATGATAAGATTGATCAATTGCATTATCGCAGATATCAATGGATCTTTCGTTACATTTGTATACGATATAGTCGCATTGACAATAAACGAAGGCGTTATAGCGAAAAAAGTGAAAATCGCTTGAACTAGGACCATCGTTGTCAATTGCTTATCAAGTTCACGGCGAACGAGTGGAACTGTTCGGTAGCTAATCTGTTTAACATTACGATAAGCTAAAACAGCAAATACGAAAGTAATTGTAAGAGGAATCACTCTTCCAATGACAGGAGATAAAACATAACTGATATATTGTTGAAATATTAAATTCGTATTGATACACGAAACGACACCGGTTGGGAGAACCACTTGATTCATGAAAACTAAATATAAAGATCCATGCAGATGCCATACGATAACTGATATAGCCGAAAGGCAGTATGCTAATTTGACGTTAGACCATTTCTGCCATTTCTGTCGATGACATGTTGCCCAATATTGATCGATTGTTGCGAGACAAATACTTGTTAATGAGATTAACATACAAGCTTGAAAAAAGAACGTTCTCCATTTACAGTAGAACAAGGAACTTTGCGTCCAGTCAATACCAAACCCGCCAAACGCTATTTGACGTAGTAAACCTGTTGCTAACTGACCGACATTACACACGGACATAACGAGCAAGTAAAATGCACAGGAACTTTCTCGAAATGTTCGCAGGCTAAGAAAGATCAGCACATTGAAACATCCTCCAATTACACCGACAATAAGTATCGCTGAACATACATAAATATTGATTTCTTTCGAGATCAAATTTAATTCGACTATCTCCGACGACGACATGTTTAGTATGATCCTTACATAAGCGAGAGGTAACTGCTTTTGAACCGGAATCACCACTCTCTCATTGTGTGTAACACTAAATATATATCTTTGTGTTATCCACGAATGAGCATTTATTAACGTTAATTAAGCATTTCTTTTATTAAATTAAATGCTCCTACGTCATTAAAAGTATTGAAGAGTAAACTACCCTGCAACCTATTATGAACCTGATGTAAGAAAAGTCTTTTTAAGATTATACCTTTTGTTATTTTTGAATTACAGACAAATGTCAGGCGAAACCATAAGTATTGGAATTAAGGCGAAGGGACGGTTGTAGATTTTTAATTTATGAAATAATCATGCGGCGAGTATTTGAATCGAATCTTGTCGGTGCTTTTAATTAAGACGAATTTGACCTTGTTTTATCGGAGCAAGGAAGAGTATAGTGAACCAAGATTTTCAATTTCATCAGAAGCGATAGGTTCATTTGCAATGCATTTTTAATCAATACAAGATCCACGTGTATGAATAAGTATGCCTAGACGACTGAGAAACAAGCTGTAGGCAATTTATTCACAACAAGTAGCATGCAAATGAATTTATTAACGATCACGCAAGGATTACCAATCTGTCATGTATTTTCCCTTGCAAAAATCGGTTTTCATTCGATATCAAGTCAGATTATTCGGTTGACAAGTGCAATTCCCCTCGTGTGGTTGTTATGCCATTGTCTCGGAGTAACACAGACAATAAAGAATTGTCTGAGACGTATTCATTCATTTATATCACGTTTTTCTTTTCTAACATAACTGCGAACGACCGAACGACAGGTCCTTATTGACATTTCTCGTCGGATATCTTAAGACGATCGATAAAAACTTTCCGATCATATTGTCGTCAATTGAAAGAAAAAGAAAGTGTTGAGTTTTTGAGAAAAGAAAACGAAAGACCGGATACAGTCGTTGTCCTTTGAAAGAAGAAATATATATTAAATATTCCTGTTTCCTATTCTTTTTTTATATACTGTAGTTAAAATGCTGTCAAGCGAAGAATTTAATGCCATTTGAAGAGAAGGAAAATATGAGTAGGAAGATGTTTTTCTTATTGCTTTTTTCTTTGAACTTTGATTTGATTTTCTTAGGTGGACGCTTGGAGAGACCATTGGCGCCTGTTTTTGTCCATTCTACGCATCATTCGATTGAACTAGAATGGGAACATGTGCGAGCTCAAGACAAATCTCGACCGGAGCATCGACGAATGTTCGATGAATCAGGGGCAGCACATTCCGGTTCCTTAATTTATTTACATAAACGTGATAAGAAATCGGGTGCAGTGTGGGAAAGCGTTTATAGGTATGTTTTGATTATTACGTCATTCTAATCGATTTCTTTATTCGAATCAAGTGGATCTGCCATGTCGTGCAAAGTCGAAAACCTCAAGGCGAACACGCAGTATGAATTTCGCATTCAATGCAAATCGAATGTCAATGGAGGCGAACGTTCGGAATGGTCACCGATATTACAAGCAGGAACAGCAGCAGAACCAATGACTGGAGAAACAGTCTACAAAGCAATTGCTATGCCAGGAAAAGATCATTTAGAAAAATTACTGGCGACGTTGTAGGTCTTAGACGATAACAGAGATATTTTACGTACGTGTGCTTTGTAGAGGTCCAGAACATCCACTGTTAGAACATCCGGATAAGGATGGGAATTTACCGCTGATGCACGCGTGTGCTAAACTTGATCTAGCGTAATGGGCGATTGACAGAATTTTGTTTGTTTTTTTTTTTCATCCAAATTTCTGTTTTGTAGGAAAGTTGAATTGTTGATCAATGCTGGTGCTCAAGTGAACAGCATCATTAATCCGCGTAAAACAGCGTCAGTGGAAACCTTTCCGATGTTGATAAGTATTTCTATAATTGAGTATTTTCAGGCTAATGGTCGCTGCCAGTACTGGTTTTAGCAAAGCTTGCATCATGCTTCTTGAACATGGTGCGGATGTGTATCATAGAGATCAGAATGGTAGATGAAATGACTCGAAATAGTGCAGTTTGCTCATATCACACCTGTTTAGATGTGTCGATACTGCATCATGCGATCAACAGCAAAAATTTCGAGACCGTTTCTGTCATTGTTCGACAATTGAATGAAAATAAAGAATTAGAAATGAATAGAGAAGTTGGCATTCATCGATGGACGCCATTGTATCGAGCAGGTAATGCATTTTAATGACAAATGATTTTGAAATGAGCCTTTCTTTTCTATAGTTATACATGATTGCAACAAAGAAATTATCGAACTTCTTCTCAATCATGGAGCCAATGCACAATGTGAAGATGCATCGACACATACGACTGCATTGCAAATGGCAATTATTCGGGGCAATTTGAATACAACACAGTTATTGGTTACTCACGGTGCGGATACAAGAATATTAACTAAGGTTGAGTCGAAAAAAAACTGATTTTCCTGGTTTTAGACGATTCTTTTCAATTAGGGCGGTGGTAAATCACTTCAACAATTAGTTATATCTACTCATAAAACGGTAGGAGCGCTATTGCAATGGACACACGACTGATAGACAGAGGGTGCTGAAGGCAATCTTCTTTAGTAAAGGCAAAGACATTTTGTCAACATGCGAATAGATCGATTTCTTCTCTTAATAACAACAACGCTCGTGTTTTTTTCTTCTTCTATCTATTTAAAGGACTTAATCAATTATGTCAATTCATTGGTAAACATGCCAAAAAGTCAATGAGAAATCTCTCGTGACAATCAATCGTTTTTATTTCTATCGAATTATTCTAATCTAGATGAATGTATTTATCTATTTATAAATAACGTACATATTATTGTTTTTTGTTTGACGATTTAACAGCAGATGATGTTGTACCTTGTTTGATTCTCGGATAAATATTTCTATTAACTTTCAATGTTGTCGTTGTTGTTGTCGTTGTTGTCGATGTACCACGACCAAAAAATTTGATTTCCGAACATATTTCTGGCAACGCATAACGACTCCATTGTCCATTGGGTTCACATCGTTTGCAGTGTGGCCCGAACGCAAATGCATAAATCGCAAAGATCGTCGATGGAGCGTAAAGTGCACCGCCATCTAATGGTTTAATTTCACCCCATTCAGTAACCAGACGTGGATTAGCTCGTAAAAGCTCGGCGTCACAACGAACTGTCTCACATACAGCTAATTCACCCCACGAACCTAAACGAAAAAGCAGAAGAAAGGAAATTTTTAGAATAAAGGATATGTGACTGACCATCATGACAAGTACGGCAGAAGTGAACACCATCCGGATCTGAGCGACGTTCATAAACAGCGGTGGATAGATCGGGTACAGCTTCACGCGGATCATCATCGAGAAATTTTGTATAGTGATCAGGTTGTTCAATACGCAAACGACGAAATTCGAACGGAACCACCATGTATGTTTCGATTTCGTTCAATGACTGGAACGAACATGACGCATAGCTTCGTTCAACAACTGGTTCGACTAAAGCTTTTTTAAGAACCGATTCATCGAGGTCAATAAGTGGCGGTGTGGACGATACTGATGTCGACAATTGCTTGACGTCGATGTAGGACAGTGGGATCGGTTCGGCAACGAAATCCGGTGAACGTTGATGATCAAGCATGCGTAAATTTCGTAGAAGTATCGCTGATGACGAACGATTGTTGATTGACGAAGTGTTCTCTTCAGGTTGTTGAATGATATCCGTATCGATGATGATACATGTAGGAACGGCCGAAAGGCGATGCTCATAAATTAAGATTGTCAAGTAGAAATAGATTGGAAAGAACATGATGGAAATGAATGAGAAGTGAGTAATTCGCGTTGATTTATAAAGAAAAGCGAACGAAAGGGTAGGAGAGAAAAAGGTATTAAAAACGATAGACAGAAGAGATTAACGCTAACGAATCATGTTCACCGATGTCACATTTTATGCAATCAATTGACGTGAGACAACAGTGAATGTAACGTTGAAGAGTTAATCTCTTTTCACTTGTTGTTACAAATCATACCAAGATGAGATCGAACACAAGTCCGATCAATATCTTTCTTTCCCGTCGGATCGAGATTTGACGTGCTTTGTTTCTTTTTCGATCGGATAGATTTTATTCGAAAACAACTACTGGGTCCTTAGCGAAACAGAAAACATTCATTTAAAGTTTCTCGAAAAACATCATATGACCTGATAGAATTACTAAACAACGAGCTTTTTCCGTACGCAGTTTCAATTAGGCAATAAAGACTTCTTTGGTCAAACTTTGCATAGACATTCGCACAAGTGTATGACACTGATTGTCTACTAAGTTAGTAAAAGAAAAAAGTTCTTTTTTTTTACATGGGTTATTCAGTGAGAAAATGACAGAGCAAGAAGGTATATTGACTCTAATTTAATATAGATATCATATGGCAAAGTAAATGCGATTTAATAATATTCAAATCGTGATGAATTAGGATAAGTTGGTGTACGCGGTGTTTGACGATAGTATGGGAGGTCGCATTGATCGATAACTAAAGTTAAAATATGAGTAAGTGCGATTGAGTTATGTAGAATCACTTACATGGCTGTTGAACGAAGATTGTCATACTTGATCGCTTACGTGTCGGAGGTTCTTAAAAAATTAAACAAGTAAAATATCGATGTGTTGTTCGACTTACCTCGCTTTGGTGGCCAGTTATCAGATGAGATACGATTCTCCCGTCCTATAGTTAAAAATAACGCATTTCATTGAGATTTTTTTCTCGGAAAACAAACAAAAACTTACTCATAGAACTTTCGTCATGTTGTTTCATGAAACTTGATGAATAATCATCATTATCTGATTTCCTATACCGGCGAACGTTACTCGTCGATGAGATGCGTTGTATCGGTATACTTCTTGTCGAATAATTATTCCATCGTCGATAGGTGATGGGAATCGGACGACCTAATCCATAATTATAATTAAACAAATCATTATCGAATCGCCAACGTAAACGATCGAAATAGAACGGATCGTCGAAATCCGACTGCCATGCAAGTGATGGACATGAACAATCTCGTTCGATTAAACGAGTACTTAGTGGCCGATCGTCGATAAATGAATGAGAAGCATATGACGAACTGCATCCATTATTTGTGCTTGCAAGATACGAAGACGAACGAGAATAGTGCGACGACGAACGCGATTCTTTTGAGTAGCTTTTTGTTGAGAATGACATATCTAATCAAAGAAAAGAATGTGGATAAAATTTTTCGTTGATCAAAGAAAGAAAGACTTCTTCCAAGACAAATATAACCTTCATCCCTAACATATTGATCTCGTTCGATGCTATATCATTATCAGACAAGTATCCTATCGATATTGCAAAACGAAAGAGAGAAAGTGGTGAAGAGAAGAAAAACAAGAGTAGCACATCTTATTTTTCTCTTGCCGAAACATCTTCCTATTACGACAAGAACGTGTCCTGTGGTTTGCCGATTTCCTTCTCTTTCAGGAAAAAAAAACGATCGATACTGTCATCAATAATCGACAGAAAATACCAACACAATAACAACAACAACAACTATACCTTACGCGACACTGACAACTACTTGCTCGGCACCTCGGTCTCTCTTTTTCCATCCTTAATTACCGATGGTACAGTTTGATGATAAGAGAATGATAGATGTGAGAAAGAATGAGACGATTAGGCTTTAGCTAACACAGAGAGATAGGAAGTCAATGTTCGATAATCTAATGTTGAAACTACCATATATAATTATGCGAAGAACAAAACAACATATCTGTCAGCTCATAGGAAAAAGGGTAATTAACACAACCGGAAACAATTATAAGCTTAAATTATTATCAAAAAGAAAGTTAATGATAGTTGTCTGAAAATCATATGACGAAAACTGACTGTAAAATTTGTTGACACGTCCTTGATCAAACAAGTATAACATCGAGATGGAACTATACTCGATTCATCTTCACAAAATGGCAAGGAGATTAACAAAACAACGTACAAGTATATAGCCGAACAAAAGAGAAAGTCAGAAAACATCAACATATTCCTTGTTTTTCTCTACTTACGTATACACATATATATAACACACCCCTCATTCTATCATTAGTGTCAATACTCGAATTAACCTATATCCAACGATGAAGTAAACACAAAAACGAAGAGTGTTTACTATTCTTGACGATTTCGGATGAAATTCGAATAGAGCCGAATCAGGCTAACCTCTGTCATAATGTCGATTCCGAAGAAGAAAAAAAAGAAGAAAATCATTTGCATGAAAATAGGGCATCTGTTTGTCTTTGGATTATTGATAATAAATATCGATAAGGCGAAGCTTGATTACGGAGTCGAGCCTTATGTAAACAATCAACAAAAAACATCTTTTGTCGAGTTTAACTTCAATGTGTTTTCATACAATTAAAAGCTTTTGATTGATCTTTGACGTATCCAATATCTGTTTGGATACCCAGAAGAGAAATCGAAAGTCTCACGATATAATTTCATATTTCTCCAAGATCGGATTTCTCGGAGAAAAACTAACAGATTTGTTACATTCTGTTAATTGAAAAACAGTCGATGGTTTGTCACATCATTTGGCTTAAGTTCATAAGAATATTATAAGAATTAGAATATGCTGCTCGACTTGGATAATAAAAGGAAATCGGATCGATTTTTCAGATTTACTCTAGACTCAATTAATGACGGGAGTGATGATCATCACGCGATCATTAGATGCCTTTTCGGCGGATATTTTGACGTCGAATGTAAATATCGGGACAATTTTTTTTTTGTTTTCAGGAGCGTCGCTTCGAACGACGACAACAGAAAGTTAATCGCACACAATGACAGTAATAAGATGTTTAGTCGTAACGATAAAAAGCAATTGGCATTGTCAATGCAATGGGATAAAAGTTGAGCAAAGGAAGAAAAAGAGACAAAAGAGAATGCTTGAGAGAATAAGCAACTATTATAATCAACAAATGGAAATAGAAAGAGAACGACGCACCTCATTTATTTGCCTTATTATGACTTGAAGCAATAGGCAAAGCACTTCTTCTTTCATTAAACATCCAAGATAATTAGTTCTCGAGGTAAGTCATCTCTTCTGTTTTTATCAGCACACACTCATGTTTGACAGCGAACAGCATTCATTCATTATTAACGAACTTGTTAGATATACCAATTCTATTGAAAATTAAAGATTATTTATTCATACGCTAGCAGTCATTCATTACACCAGTGTCATTCTTCTCGTTAAACAATAAGAGGAAAAAGTGCCTTCTTATCTAATGTAATCAATGTCGACTTGCGAACAAATCGGTAATAGAATTTATCAAAATAAATGCGTTTTCCGATACAATCAAGTTTGAAAGTCGTTCCTGTCTTTTCTAATTAGGATATTTGCGTTTTGAAAAAGACGACACCGACTGTAAATAATCATATATGGTAATGCCAATTTCAACTAGATTGCTTGCTCCCTATGAAAAATCATTTTCACTGATTGAAGATTATATCCTGAGTCAATTGTTTGACTATTTCAAAGCATCCAATCGGAATTTATGGCATTTTTACAATAGATGCTGCCATATCATGCGAAGCTAGTTCAAATTCTTGGTCACATTGACTTTTCAGCAAGCGAACAATGAGGAGAATTGGTAATTTCATGGAACGGTTTACACCATGTTTATGACGTCTAGTATTGCATATTCTGTGCCATCGCTCATTATAGATTAGTGAAAAACAAGAAGATTTTTTTTTCTATTGCTTCATTAGTTCTTATATAAATAAATGTCACTTTCATGATTAAAACACACAGATGGGAAATGAATACATCGCATCATTTTTGTGACAAATGGAACATAATTTCCTATAAGGGATAAAGATAAGTATATTAGAGATAATATCTCTTACTGAAATAACGTTCTCTCATTAGACTACACTTGTTGTTGCCTTTTTTTTCACGTTTCACATCTACTGTGTCTAAAAATATGACTATCCCCCGTTGTTATATATTTCTATCAATGCAAAGAATCAAATGAGTAAGAAGTATTCCTTAGAGAGTATGCTTTATGTTATATAAGTGTCGTGGTGAATTATTTCAATGCACATCGAACGTTTGTATCTTTGTAGAAACACATTTTTTTGCATGTGACTCTTTTAGATGAGTAATTTCTCAATATCAAATGAGTCGACGTGGACATCGGATGATATTGATAATCTTTGGAGGAATATTAATCGTGCACCATCGGATCCTGTCGCCCATTGGGTGTCCATCGCGAGTTTTCTATTCGCTATTCTAGGTTTAATCAGTAATTCACTGTCAGTTATTGTTTTAACTCGTCTCAGTGCTCAATTATCGACATTTGTATATTTATCTGGATTATCTCTTTCGGATATGTTAACATGTTTGTCCATAGTGATGACTTATCTATTAGATTTACGTATCAGTACTCTTCGAAGTACGACCATGAGTATTATTCTTCGATATGTTGAGATCGTTTTCGGCGCAGTTGCTGCTGGCAGTCGGACGTTATCATTATGGATCTCTACAGCTGTTACAATGGACCGGTGGATTATGATCTGTCATCCGATCTACGCGAAAACATTCTGCACATTAAATCGTGCAAGAGTTATTACACGAACATTTTTTGTCATCGCTCTATTCTATTCTATACCATTATGTCTCGAATATGAAATCGTACGTGTGCCGAATCCTTTTCCGACCTTGGATCTCGGTAATGAATCATTACTTACCATCGACGACGATCAAAATGTACTTATCACGAAAGGTTATAGCAATTTGGCACGGTTGAGGCTTTACCGGTGGGCGTATGTTTTCTTCAATATCATTTTTGTCTATACGTTACCAACGATCACGATTATTGGCTTTAATCTACAACTAATTCGCGCTCTACATCGTGTCAAATCTCGAGCCAAGCGTTTAGGTAAATCGAGCGGCATAAACGGTAAAGGTCACCGCAATCAAAGTCGTTCGAGCCAAGTGAAATACTCAGTGACATTGATGGTTATCACCATGGTTTTAACATTACTTTTGTGTCGAAGTCCGACGATTGTTCTCTGGCTTCTATGGTCGTTTGATTTAACCATCAAAATCTTCTTTGACGCCTCATCAAGTTCACTTGTTCGACGGTTTCATAACATCGCGAATTTAATCGCAATTATCAACGCGGCGACGAACTTCTTACCGTTTTGTGTCTTCGGACAACTATTCCGTACGGAATGTCTGAACATTTACTGTTGTCGAAAGTTACAGCAGGGTTTATTGTCGCCATCATTGAGAGGCAGACGAAATATGAACAGTCATTGTCATGGAAAGACAGCGAATATCATCAATCAACAGTTGATCAGAGTTCGAAATGAAAATGAAGGAACCGTTGAAACGAATTCTTGTTCTTCATCGAAAGACACAATCAGACTACATGACGTTCTATCCCCGAATACAAGATCCGAAGACGAACAAGCGACAAATGTTTCAGCAACATCACAACTACTCCATCAAACAAATGGCCTTTGATGAATAGTCGACATTCTCATTTTACCATGTATTAATTATGAATAAATATATCTTTCCAAGTTGTTGGAATCTCTTCAGAGAAGATTAAAAAGACTTGCCAATGGTTTCCATCAATTCACATTAGAAAAAGTCAATTGTGTTTGTCAAGCAATAAATGAGTTAGTCAATATTGTCGGAATAAGTTGACACGTTTGAGTGATGTGTACTCAGAAAGGGAAAACGCGCAGCATTCACACGTTTGTATATTTTGATCAAACAACTTGTTTTTCTATCGACCTTGGCATTTGCAGGTCTACTACATAATTCAATACGCGCAGTATGCATTCGAGGCTGTCATTTCCATATTGATTAACAATGACATTTTCTAGCGGTCATATTTAGCGCTCTTCTTAAGCCGAAAGGATTTTCTAATTTTGATCAGAGTTAATCTTGAAATGTGCGTGATATTTTTTAAAAATAAAGATTCTTGCCATCATCGCTTCGAGAAGAAGACTAATTTGACATCAGAGTCAACAACATGTATGTGAATACTCGCATTTTGCTAAAAGAACTATCTCAAATAAAAGACAACAGTGTTTTTTTTTCAAAGGTCAGTCAAGTGTTCGCATCTTGTAGAATCATATGAACAGCTTTTTCGCCGATGGCATAAGCAGGTGCTTGAGTGTGTCCACTGTTGAGCAAAGGCAGGATGGACACATCAGCGACTCTTAGATTTTTCACATGCCGAACACGAAGGCGATGATCGACAACACCCATGGGATCATCAGCATGTGCCATTTTACAAGTGCCACCAGAATGAAAACAACTTCCCGAGTTTACTTTCACGTGTTCTTTCCAACCAGCAATATCGTTTGGAAAAGATGCACTTTTCGGCCATGGACCACAAATGATGTTTTTTGTTCCGGAACCTTTCATCAATACTTCATGAGCTAATCGACATCCTTCAGCTAGCACAGCAAGATCGATTTCGTTCGAAAGATGAGCATGATCAATAACCGGTTTGTCAGTTGGTCGATTTGATGCAAGTCGTACAGTACCCCTTTGTAGTGCTCCACAGAGAAGAGTTATTAATGTAAAAGCAGCTTCATCCTTCTTTGGATAAATAGGATTCTCCTCTAGAAGAAAAGTCGTGAGCATAGTGGAACATTTAGTTAACTAACCTGTATGTTGAAGATGAGGTGCACCGAAGTACTGTTCCGTACTCCACATTTCGATGTGTGGTTGATTCGGCAACTGTCCACTCGGATCGATAGTCGATTGCTTATTATTCTCACACAAAGATTTCGCGTGTTCCCAAACCGGATCTTGAATTGTTTTGTCAATTCGCGTTAAAGCAAATGGACCGAAAGGAAATTTCCCGAGATAATTGCTCTTCTTTTCATGCCATTCTCTGATGTAATATTCCAGACGATCAGCATCGTGAAACACATATTGATCAAATGTGAGACTACGGTCACAAAGTTCATACGAAGTATACGTCTATAAAATATACACATTATTCAAAATTCCTGGTATACATCGATAGTGCTCATACGATTGGATGATCGAGAAGATTGTTACCAACACCAGGTAAGTTCAACTTACACTCGATATTCACCTCATCAAGATGCTTCTTACAACCAATACCGGAATGCATTAACACCATTGGAGAATTATAAGCACTGAAATAAGAAAAAAAGAATTTAAAAAACAAAGAATATATTCACTGTTTGCTTACCCGGCACTGAGGATAATTTCTTTTCTTGCTTTAAAAATAAACGATTCACCAGTGACATCGTCGTGAGATTCGACAGCAACAGCTTTATACGAAGGTTTATGTTCTGTATTACTGATTTGCTCCAAGATAATTCGATCGACAAAGATCTGTGTTCGAATGTTGAGATTTGCTTTTTCAGGGCTGCGAAGGAAATCGGCACTTGTAGTTCGTTTGCCATCATGAATCGTTCGTGTCGCATGACCAACACCTGAATAACTATTTGAAAAATCACATACTCACGAATACGACAACTAACCTTCAAATTCGCCTTGTGCAAACATATCTGGTTTATATTCATAACCTCGATCGATAAACGATTGGAGAACCTTCTCGGAAATCGGCGCACCAAAATATGGTTCAGTATGTAAAGGTCCATTGGTACCATGAACGGACATATCTGCTTGATACCAGTCAGCAGGATGAAATGTCTCTGATATTTTGAAGAAAGGCAACATATCGTTCCAACTCCAACCAGGATTGCCTAAATCAGCAATTCGATCATAATCCGCCTTTGCACCTCGACACACCAGCGTGCCATTCATTGCACTGGATCCACCAAGAAGTCGACCTCTCGGGGCAATTAAAATCCTATCACCACATCCTTTTTGAGGTATAGTATCATAACCCCAGTCATATTTAGATTTCATCATGGCGAAATTCCGACCAGGTATTTGACTATCGAATACGGCTTCTTCACTTCAATCGCAAACATGATTCGAAATGAAAATTTATCGTTAAATACTGATGAATTTACCTTGGACCTGCTTCAAGAAGGCAAACATCATAGTTTTCTTTGGCTTCGGCTAAACGACGAGCCACAACAGCACCGCTCGTCCCGCCACCGATAACAATATAATCGTACACAGCACTGTTGTCGTTCATTTGCGACATTTTTCGATAAAATTGGCCGACTGATTCTATGATTAATTTCAAAAGTACATACAATGCACGTGATGAAACCAAACACGCGTAATATGCAAAGCTATATTTGGAAGTAGAAAAAGGTAACCTTGCGATGAATGAGAAAGGAAAGACAAAATGGCGATGCACAAATCTGTGTGTAGTGCTACAATGGCAATATAATCGTTCTAGTTATTTGTGTTAAAATGTCTAATGCTTCTAATAGCACCAAGTATGTGAATGGAAAAGCGAGAAAGAAAAAGTTCAGGGATTTTCCATTTCATCTCCAAGAAGAAATTTCTGGTCGGAATCATGCGAACAAATTTGTCATCAGATAAATTTTGCGAAGAAAATTCTTGCGTTTGTTCTATTATGTTATAGCATTAAAAAACAGAACAGAAATCTTTCTAATTAGAAACTTTTAGTGAAACTATATAAATTTGAAACATCTGTACATTCCGCATTAATGATTGAATCAAATAACAAGCATACGTATCTAGCAGAAAGCTATAGCTCAAAAAAAAAAGAAAGAAGAGAACAAAAAAAGTCAATAACGGCTTTTTCCACAAACATTCGTTCATTCACTTCGTACAGATTTCGCATTAGTAAGCATATGAGAACAGGTGCAACGGAAGAAAAAAAAGACGACAAAGAAAACAGTTTCAATTTTGTATATATGTATGAGTGAGTGAGTGTGCGTAAAGAAAAAGATGAAGGCACCAAAAAAAGAGAAGAAAACGTGGGTCACCACACAGCAAAAGGAAAACATGAGTAAAAAAAAGATTGCACGCCAAAGTAGATAATACAAAAAAAAAGATTCTTCTAAATGTTCGTGCTGATTCGAATCTGATCGGTAAGAATAAAAGAAACTACGAAATAATCCTCTTGCCTTTCATTCTCAAGATAAGATCATCATTCAACAGGTTGATCACTATCGTCATCATCATCTTTAAATGAAAGTGATTGAGACGATAATGTCGAATTCCCACTACTCGTCACTTGCTGCTGTTTGACACTGTTCGGCTGTTGGTCATGAGAAGTTGATTTTTTATTCACCCCATCTATTTCATCATTATGGCCAATGTGAACTTGATGACGGAAGTTCATCGGCGCAGATATAACAGCTTTATTCGCCGCTGAATTTGTTGTTGTTAAATCCGACGCAAACGTTGAAATATCCGATGGGCCAATATGCCTGGAATAGATCAAAACGAATGAGTATGACTTCGAATGGCATGTCTACTCACGTTAAATGAACAAAATTCTGTGGACCAGATATTAACGATCGACGGTTAGTATTATTCAAAATCGTTCCACTATTTCCATGAGTAATTGATGAGAGTGTATTGGTTGGACTAACTTGTTTTAAACCTGATATGATTTGTAAACCTTCGCCTTTGCCTAAATGCGATATGTGAGTGAAATCTTTTGGTCCTGATATGGGTGCGATTGATGTCGAGGTAGTTGACTTCATCGTACCACTAACACCACCGCCACCGCCAACGCGAAATCTTCCGCCACGTGCTGCTAAACTTTTCGATGATGCACGTTCAGGTACATTCAAAGATGGATTCAAATTGGTTTTCTGAGTCAAATAGAGTAGTTTCGGATGATGATTAAGAAGTTCAGGATCATGTGATAAACATATCGAACCATCGGGCATCAATGAGCGCGTACGTGATAATGGTAATGATTGTAACCATATACCTGATGGAACATCATAGATATCGATGGATTTATCCGTATATATCAATAGATATGGATCGCAAAAGCCCGTCGAGATGGGCAAAGCAGTCCACATTAATTCTTTATGGCGTGTTCGCATACCAGTCGATGAACTAACATAGATACCCAATTCACGAAATACAAGTAACAGTTCATTGACTGACGATGAAGCTAAATAAAAAATCAACGATTCGACTCGGAAGGCAAGTTCTCAAATAAAACTATTTTACTTGTAACAGGCACAACACGTAATGCTTCAATTGGTCGATCCCGAAAGAATTGTAATGTTGGATCTTCATCTCTCAATAACGAAACACTCGACGATTGTTGATCAAGTCGTTGTGCAACGAATGTTGACGGATAACCATACCATAAAATCTGTTGTTCCGATTGGTTAATATTAATCGTTGAAATTTCCAAATACGTGACATTCTGTATGATATTGAATTCTTTGATAAACGAGTAATGATACGGTTTTGGTGTTGAGAACAATTGGTAAACGAGAATACGATTTTTGATGGCAACAGCAAGGATCAATGACGCTGAATGAGCAGCAAATGTCGTCGCACCTTTCGTTTCAACAATTTTGCTATCCGATGACGATGACGGATGATCGAGTAAAGCTTTTAATGATTGCAAACGAATTGTTCGCTGTTTACCAGATAAGGTTACCAGTAGATCACTACTTGAAATCAACGAAAGTTGATGAACTTTCTTATCACTTAATTTCGTTGACGCTGAAATGAAATCGAACAGTCAAAATGTCATGAAAACAAAGTCGAAAAGTTCTACTTACTATCTTTAGAAACATCGAGTAAGTAGAGTCCGTCTTCACCACAAACAATCGCATGATCTTGATCTAAAGATTTCAATGCAAACAAAGTTCATCGTGACACAGACACAAGAAGAAAAGTAACGATTATCTTTTCTCTCCCAGATGGTTCTCATATCCTTCAGTTATTCCGAATAAACAACGCTTTAACTAGTTCTTAATTAATAGGCATTCTTTCGCAAAATGTTACTTACCAAGAATAACAGCAGCTGTTGCTTCTTTGAGACTCGATGTTTTCGATGTGTCGAATAATTCTTTGGCAATAAAATTTGCACCACGCTACAAACAAGATGAATTCGAATCGGAAAGGCAACAAGCAAATGTGTTTGTACCGTAGCACCGTTTTGTTTCAATGTTTTGACTTTTGTCGAAAGATCAGATAACATATTGACATATTGGTTTTTCTCCGTTTCGTTGTTTGTTAGTAGGAGTGTATGTTGAAATTGTTTCGGTGAAGATAGTTTCAATACGCTGATTTTAAATATGCTCGAAACATCTTTTTTGTTCGCATGATATGCATCCGATGATGTCACGGATGAAACAAGGAATTCGTCATCCGTGAGATCAACGATGAAGGCTGGCTGTGGCCAGGTGATTTTTTGATCTTTGTCCGATGATAGTTCATAGAAGAGTAGCTTCGTTTGGAGATTGAGCAATTGATATTTACTCCAGCCTTTCTTAATTCCACCTGCTTTCGGAATCTAAAACAGGCAATTTCTCATTCATTTAATGACTGATAAACCAATAATACATACTCGAACGATATGTTGATCGAGTAGAATAGTTCGGCCTGAAACGGAAGATCAAATCACGAGAAAATGCAGCAGAAATCATTTACTTCGATCTTTGATTGATGGTCGACATGGTGTTGAGATTTTCTCCATGCAATCGGGATGGCAGATAAGTTTGCAACCTGAAAGCGAAGAACAGATTCGAAATAAAGTCTATGAGATCGTCTTACGTTGACAAACGAAGCCTTGACGAACGATGCCGATTAACGCATTTTGACAATCATCACACATAGCTGTCACATGAAAATTAGCGATCATAAAATCGTGTAAATCATTCTAAAGGAAACAATTCGAATCCAATTGAAGTCTATCATTCGCATTTTACTCGAAGTGGTATCAACGGACGTATTGTTTGAATCTTATTATTCGATCCCGACATTGTTCGAGATGAATCATCACCACCCATACTACTTCCATCGTCAAATGTGCCCGATAAATCATTGTTCGTATCATTGAACTAGAACAGCAACAAATATTGCTTATTCCAATGTAAAACATCAACATACGATCGCCGGTGTATCAGATAATCCTGCAGTGACGTTTCGGAGAAATCGATCAATCGACGAGTTGTTATTCAGATTTGACATTTCATCTAGATGACACGGTATGCGAATAACAGACGTGTACATAACAATGTAACCTACCTGAAACGCTATGAGCAACAGGTGATTTGACAGTTGGTTTCGATTGTTCATGAGTTAGTTGTTTTTGGAGTTTTTCAATTTCTTCTTTGAGACGCAGATTTTCTCTACAAAAGTGAAATTCACTACCGAATAAATTTCTTTCAACAAACGTACTCCGCTTTGAGGATATTCTCTGCTTGTGATTCTTTCAATTCTTCCTGTATGCGTTGTTTTGCGTCGATTTCTTTTTGCAGCGATGTTTGCAATTGTTGAATTTCCATGTGTTTTAGTTTGACAGATCGGCCATGTTTCCAAGCCTGCAACGAAAACCAATCTCACATTTCCTATCGATCATCAATCGTTTCATGAAGTGCATTCTCAGATTGACTGACAAGTTGTTGATGTCTCTGCTATCTCTCGTGACAGCATGATTTATCAATACACACCGTGTTGTGTCCGAGACTTGTTCCAGCTGCATTCATTGATGATGAAGTGCTTCCTATGTTTAATAACGGACTTGTTGTTTCACGAATCTGATCGAGTTCTTCGGCCATTTTGTTCGCTAAGCCTTTCAAATGTGATCGCGCACTTTTCTCTTCGTTGATCCATTTTAAGATATCGTACATTTGAGTTTCCCAGCGTGAATAGGTCAGACGTTTTTCTTCGAGGAAGATTAGCTTGTCGTCTAATTCATTTTTCTCTCGTAGAACGATTTTGAATTTCTCGTAGATTTCATGTAGAAACATGGTGAGTTTTTTCAAGAATATATCTTCATTTGGAAGCAAATCCAGTTCTTCGTCGTGCTCGTTTTCAACTGTAGTTTCGTCCAATTCATTTAATGAATTGTTGTTCAATAACGAGGAGAATTTCTGTTCGAATTTATTTAATAAAATGCCGAGATTAGACGATTGAGATTTGGAAAGTGTGTGGTTTTCATCAGTTTGATGATTGTTATTCACGAAAGAGTTCTTGTCGAGATTCGAGAAGTAATTCATTTGTTGATTGAGTTGACTTTTGATTTCATCTAATGAAAAGAGATTTTGATCTGAGAAAGTTTCGTTGAATCCGCGCAGGTTTTGTAATAGATTTAAGATCTTGAACAGATAATCAATTTGCTCGTTGAGATTTATCTCTGTCTGAGTTCTGTGTGTCTCTTCGAGAGTTTTGATTTGACGAGCTTGTTCGATTGAATCCGATTTGGTTTGTTCGTACACTTCACGTAGGCGTTTGAGTTCATCCAACAGCGATGTGTGTTGAAGTTTCAATGAGTTAATGACTTCTTCATATTCTAAATGTTGGTTGTTTACTTGAGAATCACAAATATCAGACGGAGGAGTTGAAGGAAGAGGAACAGTCACTGTTGTTGCCGAAGATATAGCACCATCAGAATAGCGGCTAGACAAAGTCAAAGTTCATAGATAGAATTCACCAAGCAGTAACTTACTTGTTAGCTGAATGAGTGAAACCGATAAACGGTAAATGATGGCCGGTGAAGGCTGCTTGCGAAACAGGAGGAACAACATCCTAGAAGAGAAGAAAGTTTCGTTTCGATGGAGATCCAATAAAAGCATAGAAGCACAAAGAAAAAGCACAGAACACAGCACGGGTTTTACCTTTTTATTATTCTTAAGAGATAAAAGGAAAAAATTGAAATGAAAATCGAACTGAAAGGATGTGTTTTACGTACTTTATTCGATGGTTCGAGATCATCGACATCAAAGTTGGACGTATCACTTGGACTGGTTACCACAGGAACATACGGAGCGGTTGCTAAATAAAGTAGAGCATAGTTAAAGATATTTTTTAGAGAGAAAACAAACATTGACGAAGGTTTTTCCAATCGATCGTCGCAAAGAATGGATGATTGACAAAATCATCTAGGCCATGTTTTCCCAAACGATTGTCAATTGAACATAGAAGATGCTGCAATAAATCCTTGGCACTATCCGATACTTCAATATCACTTGGAAATGGCAGTGGAAGCTAAAATCAAACAGATAACTGATCCATTCAATCATCAACCAGACATTTACCTCTTTTTGTACGTGCATCATGATTTTACCGTAAGTTTCAAGAAGACTCTCTGCATAAAATGGAGGTAGACCAAATAACATTTCCCACATCGCACATCCTAAACTCCACCAGTCACATTCTGGGCCATAGCGACCTTGACCTGCTTCCATCGCACGTAAAATTTCAGGAGAAATATAATCTGGTGTACCAACAGCCACATTACTCTGCACCGTACCATCCGCTCGCATTCGTAAGCAGGAACCTATGTAAACACAAACTTATTCGTCACAATAGAATTCTTTCTATCTTTCTTACCGAAATCAGCCAAACGAATATGTCCCTCTCCATCCAACAGGACGTTGTCGGGTCTAAAACCACTCGTCAATCGAACAAGAACGATGCTTATTCCCAACTTACTTGATGTCTCGATGAACGTAACCAAGTTTATGGAGTGAATCAATCGCTAGGACCATCTCTGCGACATAAATCCGCGTCATGTCTTCAGAAAAATGATCATTAAATTTTGATAATAGCGTCAATAGATCACCACCAAAATAGTAATCCATAATAAAATACTAAAACAAGAGACGCTTTTGACAAACAGGCGAAAACCTCTATTCTTACCAGATTTTCTGAATCTTGAAACGCATAATGTAATTTAGTTAGCCAATGAGGGTCACCAAAGACGAGAACATCGCGTTCTTCACGAAAGCAAGCTGTATCCGCTCGTTTTAACATTTCCCATTTGTTCAATGTTTTCATTGCAAATACCCGGTCGGTATTTTTTAGTTTCACAACCGCCACTAAAATTTCCCAATTGTGAAAAATCTCATATCAACCCGAATTTACCTTCGCCGAAAGCACCACGTCCAATAATTTTGATCGTTTCAAAATCATTTCGACTGAATCGACATCGTTTCACACGTGTAACAAAAGTTTTAGCTAGAAGAAACAAAGAAAACCGCATTATTTACCGAATCAATATTTAAACTAACCATATTCGATAAATTCTGCAATAGTTTTCTCTCGTCGTAATGTCGAGTTACAACATTCATCGTAAAGAACGATAAACGCATCGAGTAATGCTTCAACACCCAACACATTTTGATCTTTGATCGACGAATTGAATAACAAACGTTCGAGCTCGCTTAAACGAGACTCGACGTCATCATTGAGATTATCAAGCATGTTCGTTTTCGAAGGAGTTTAGATTAGAAAAACATCAATAAGACAGACATAAGACACCGACGTACATTCACGTATATTAGTGCGTAAATACACTGAAAATTCTCACGATAAGATGGATCATCTCTTTGTTGCTTGTTGTTTGTTTACAGTACAGAAGAAACGAGTCAGTCAGACAGATTGTCAAACAGGAAAGAAAAAAAAATTGACCGATCAGCATACAAGGAAGCCGTTAGACGATTAATTAACGTTAATCAGCGACACCTATAGACGCGATGTTCTATGCTTTTTGGAAATTATAGAAATCAACGATGTACACTGCTCAAACATACTTCGTTTCGCTCGACCACAATCTGAATGATTGAAGTTCGAAGAAACCATCAGAATTCCAGGAGTCTTATCAGGGAAAGATCTACGTGTAGGAATGTCTGTGAAAAGAACGAGATTTTATTAAAAAATTTCATTGATGATTTATACATGCGCATATGGCCTTTTTTATGTCGATTAGTAATTACTCCTTGTATAAAACTAGAAATTATCGGCGATTATCTGCATGTTAATCTGTCGTCAAGAAACAATTAACATTTCAATGTCAAATAGGGTGAAAGGACTCATACTGTTCTTCAAGATTCTTCGAACAGCTAAGCATCTGTTCGGTTTCAATTGGCACGATCTGATTTCCGATCATCAATTGTCATTTCGCATTTGACTTAATTACGAAAGAGATTTGTTCTATACTTTGTTGTCATGTTCTGCCATCATTCGTATGGATAGATTTTCATTGAATAAGAACGACGATCCAATCGTCTAATTTTGCTTCGGAATAGAAGAATTCATTGATCGGTCATGGGAGGTAAAAGGTTTTTTTTGCATAACAGTTCGAAATCTGATATTTTTAAGCGAATCTTCACATTCCGATCGAAACGGAATGTACGGCGCTGGTTATTCGAGTCAATCAACAATGTGATTTCTCTACGGTATACATCGGAAAGCGGCTGGCAAATCCAAAAGATTATGAACTCATTCCAAGTTTTGAAGCCAAACAATTCAATGGCGATTACACGGGTTTGTACAGTTCTGCTTATACACCTAATGGCACACGGAATTTACTCGAACCTGCCCTACAAGTGATTCATGCTGATCAGAATCCCTCATTGGACTTAAAATATGTCTCACATCAACAAAAGTCTCTTGATCAATCGAACGAAGTTATTTTAACGAAGATTTACTTAAAAGATCCTGTTTATCCATTCGAAGTTATTCTTCATTATAGAGCTTATTATAAAGAAAACATCATCGAACAATGGTCGAGTATTCAACACAATGAAACGGATAGTGTTCGTCTACAAAAGTATAGTTCAGCTAATTTATATTTTAGTACATTTCACCAGTACTATTTGACACATTTTCATGGTGCTTGGGCACGAGAAATGATACCTGAAGAAATCCAACTTACTGCCGGTATAAAAGTATTAGATACAAAACTGGGAACACGCGCTGATCTCTTCCAAGCTCCATCCTTTCTTCTGTCATTCAATCAACCGATAAATTACGAGAACGAAGATTCCGGTGAGGTGTTTGCGGGTACATTGGCTTGGACAGGAAACTATAAAATCGAATTTGAAATCGATTCTATGCGCAATTTACGTCTCATTGCTGGTATCAATCCATATGCATCGGAATATTTCCTAATCCCAAACAAAGAATTTGTAACGCCAAGTTTCCTCTTCACGTATTCATCGCAAGGATTAAGCACCATAAGTCATCGTTGGCATCAATGGGCAAGAAAATATCGTGTGCCTGATGGTCAAGGTAATCGATTGACACTCCTGAACAATTGGGAATCGACCTATTTTGATTTCGATGAAGCAAAATTAACATCGCTTATTCAAGATGCTCGACAATTAGGCGTCGATCTGTTTCTTCTCGATGATGGCTGGTTTGGAAATAAATATCCTCGAGATAATGACAGTGCGGGTTTGGGCGATTGGCAAGTCAATCGAAGAAAACTACCAAACGGAATTGGTTACTTGATCAGCCAAGCACAAGCAAATAATATTCAATTTGGTATTTGGATTGAACCGGAAATGGTCAATCCAAGAAGTGAACTCTATGAAAATCATCCCGATTGGGTCATTAAGCTACCAAATCGATCGGAATATTACTTTCGAAATCAATTGGTGCTTGATATGTCAAATCCGCAAGTCCAAGAGTTTGTTTTCGATATTGTCGATCGCTTATTTACAGATCATCCACAATTAGCTTATATAAAATGGGATTGTAATGCTGTGATTTACAATGCTTATTCACCGACGAATCTTCATCAATCTCATTTATATGTTGATTATGTTCGTGGTTTGTATGATATTCTTGATCGTCTTCGAAAGAAATATCCATCTGTACCGATTATGTTATGTTCCGGTGGTGGTGGACGAGTTGATTATGGCATTTTACAATATTTTACAGAATTCTGGCCAAGTGACAATACAGATGGATTGGAACGTGTGTTCATTCAGTGGAATTACTCATTCTTTTTCCCGACAATTACTTTGTGCAACCATGTCACCAACTGGGGAAAACAATCATTAAAATTTCGAACAGATGTTGCTATGATGGGTAAATTAGGATACGATCTCGTCGTTAGCAAACTCAATGAAAACGAACTGAAATTTAGTCAACAAGTCTTACATGATTATGCCCGTTTGAAATCGATCATCTGGCATGGAAGACTATTTCGATTAGTCTCTCCATATCGATTAAATCGAGATATTGCCTCTTTAATCTATGTTAACGCGGAACAAGATCAAGCAGTGTGGTTCACATATTTAGTTGGCAATCGTTATTTAGCTGGTAGCAATGGTGTTATTCGATTGAAAGGATTGAATCCGTTGACAATGTACAAGATCCAAGAGATTAATATTTATCCTGGCACTGACCAATCGACAATCGTTTCAGTACAATCGATATCCGGTGATTATTTGATGACGTACGGATTTGATCCAGTGGTAGATGTGCAGCGAGCAAGCGTTGTTCTTCAATTGACAAACGTTATGAACTAACAAGTCTTTCTTTTTATTATGAACATTGTAGTTTTACTATTTATCTGAAACAAAACAGAAAACGATCCGAATCGATTTTTAGTCATTGTCAATAGGATCAATATTGAAAAGATATTGTTCATCATTCTCCTTTAGAAAGCACTTCGCTGTAGCCGTCGAACTCGATGTTTTGTTAATCCAATACCATTTTGTCGATTTGCCTTCCTCCAGTAGTTGATCTTCTTCATTCAGTTGTTCGCCCTTTCTCATTACATAAACGAAATATTCAACGGATTCATTTCCATCAGTGACAGAATGCACTTGAATCGACCATTGATATTTTCGTTTAGCTAAGAAAGGTCGACGAAAATGTGGCTGTTGAAAAGATATGGAAATAAATCGGCCATGATTCGATTGTAAACATTGACTAATCTGTGTTAAAATCAGATCAATTTTTTCTTTTAATTCTTCCGGCGGATTCCACAGATGATGTTCATGACCAACGAAAAACACATCCAACGTACCTTTTTCGATAATTGTGTCGAAATAATTGGAACGTAATGGCATTGCACGAATATCTAACGCAATCCAATCAATTACATGTTGGTTTGTTTTTATCGATCGACGTTTGTCGAGGATGCCGAATGAATAATCAACATTATAAACTAAATGGCAATAGTGTCGATTACACATTTCTTCGGCTAATGAAGATGATCCACAACCGAGATGAAGTAGAACACGAGAAGGAGATGATTTGAAATGTTGATCCAATACAGGATATAAACGTGAACAATCACCAAACCATTCGAAGGAATCTTCTGTTAGAAAACGTTCATCCCAATAGGCTTGTTTAGATAAATCTTCCATTAGCACGTAACGAAAGAATGTCTATGTATTCAATTGAAAGTCGATTTTCGTTCTTTTTCCATTGGTGAATCCACCAAGAACCAATAAAATGAAAATAAACTAATGATGTCAGTCTTTTCTGTTATAGTAAAATAAGAGAAAGTATCAAACATGACAGAATGGCCTTTACTTGGCCTGAGACTGAGGGTGTAGGAATAACTGAGAGATTCAAGATTACTGTTCAATTTAACGACCATAAACTTACTCGTATCTTCACGCCTACACTCGCAGAATCAACTGTAAGTACAAGTAGACTTTTCTTACCATCATTCTTTTTCTCATTGACAACATCAACAAATCATTTATCAATGACTTTAGGCGCAAGAACAAAACAAACTTTAACTGATGATTGTGACGAACTATGAGGATCGCTGTCTATGCCTTTCAACACGATGGTGTGTTGTGTCGTCTGCAACCTTACATAGCGTACCGATTCTCTATTGAATATTACTTATATAAGGGTCAACTCACATGATATAACAAAGAGAGGACAAGGTCAATACCCAGCGAGTAGATCCTCAAGGTGAACTAAAGATATATACATTAAACAGAACAATGGCGAAAAGGATGTACGAGATGAACAGTTCAACCTCATCAGTCATATCGATATCATCATAGAATGATGGATTTTATGGATTGAATGAATGGATGGTTAACTTTAAATGATGAAATAGTTTTTTCTTTTATTACCTAGAAAATATGCACCGCACCTGCCCAAGAAGGTCTTGAACATCAATTGAGTGATGTTAGTGACGATGATTGTTCATTTGAAAAAGATATCAGTTCTGTTGATCTTTCATGTAATGATAATGCTTGCGAACGGGAAGAAAAATCTCCGACAAGGCTTATACACGTTCAGGAAAAATGACTAAGAAGGCGAAAATGCGGTCATTTGATATGTTGATCCAATGCAGAATACAAACGTGAACAATCCCTAAACTATTTGAATAGATTTTCAATTAATATATATTGTCTACGCCAACGAAGCATTTTCCTATTACCTATTTCGCTTACAAACAATAAAATCATGAAATATGATGATTTCAGTCTACTCTATTAAAACGATATAAAATCAACATATTCGATAACGGTTTCGCACGTGTTGCATACGAAAAAACATTATGTGAGTTCTAGTCTCGTTTGTAAATAATTTTTTTTATGATATGTGTCCGACGACAACAGCGAAATCAATCGAGTAAGAGAATAGCGCGAAGGCGTTTCTTCCTCGTCACCTTTGCACTTTCTCCTGTAGATACAGATATTTTTTCTTTCGTTCTCTATACAAAACGACTAGGTTAAGAACCTTCATATTATAAAAACAAGAAGGCAAAGGAAAGAAAGAAGTTTATGTTTCTTACCATCACACCGCCTCGATATATATATTTCAAATAAGCATTATTCAATGCCGATTTTATCGTACGATTATTGTTGACGTAATTTGGGCGTGAATTTTCCTACCCAATGGTCTCACAGGAAGGTTATTTTCTGAGAATTTGACAGAAGTATCTCTCCACGTTTGTCATCTGATCGATTCTATCACATTTTAGATCATGAATATCACGCGATTGTTATTGAAAACTGACTACGATCTCTTTCCTTCGAAATTCGATGATTGTGTCAAACTGAAGAACAACATCGGAAGTACTTTTCTTTTGTATTTTAATTTACCTAATTCAACGATACCAATCATAAATGATGAAGTTGATGATAAGTTGATATCTACATCAGAATCTGATGTCGAGAAACACTCGTTCACGGAAACGTAAGTCAAGCAATGTATTGGCAAACAAATAAGTATCAAGGGTCTATTTTAGTGATGATCAAAACTCGAATGAAATCGTTTATGAAACGTTCTTTTCTCAACTTTCACATCGGTAATGAGTAATAGAAAAATTCAATTCATTTATCAATGTGCTTTAAAGATTTTCCGTATTCAATAGTTTATCTTTCGAAGAACTTCAAGCTGACCTATTTCTTGATACTTGCGAAGAATATTTTTCACTTGTGGGTATGTTTGTTATCATTTCACCTTGATACCAATGTCTTCGGTTATCTTTAAGACAAATTCAACAGTCCAATCTTCACTCCAGTCAAGGCCGATGTTAATGGAAATATTGCTGTAAGCAGATTTGAGACAATCCGATGAGAATTTCTCATATTGTCCGTCTAGAAATTACGACGAAAACTTAATCAAAATCCATCGAAATTTCAAACATTGTTTGCCATAGTCAACGATGAAATCGAATCTCAAACGACACAAGCAAGAAACTCTGCAACAGATGCTTTACTTTGGTTAAAACGGTATGTTGTGTCAAAGAGGAGAAGATGAATCCCAAGTTTCTGCATGTTTAGAGCGTTCGAATTTCTGTCAAGTTTTTTACATCAATTCAGTGTAGGTGATAAAAGTTTAGTAGATGCTGTGAATAAAGCTTATGAATTCTCGTTGAAACCACATCATGGAATGCTCGCGCGAAGTGTATTTTCTGTAAGTAGCAGCTTTCTTTTTTTACAACGGCAATTACAGTTAAATCGATTTTAGATTGCGCTTCGTGCTGTACCGAACAAAGACGATTTCATCCGCTCACTAGCTGTCCATCCAGCAGATGCTTCCAACCCACGTTTCGTTGACCAAGTAAGTCATTTTTTACGTTTTTAACTGTAATTTTATTGTAATATTTTAAGACATACAAAGAAATGTCCAAACAAGCATCAGATATAACATCAGTACTACGAAAAATCACATTATTTTATTCTAAACATGGATTATGACCAAATGTTTTCACTTATTGTTCGTAAAGCGACACCTACAGTTTTTTTTTACAGATTTATTTATTTAATAATGGAATAAAACTGAATTTTTTAATGCAGAGTAACGCAAAGAATTTTTTCGTGAAAAATTATTTATATAAATCGCTATATGATAGAGTAAACTGAGGAGATAGAAATGGTCTTTTGGTCTTTGTATGAATTGACCAATGGTCAGTGTTCTCTCTGTGTTCAATTGTCAGAAGGAAAGGAAACAATTCAGTGTATCACATTTTGTTTTTGTCTACCGATTGTGTTTTCATTTGACTATGGCATTACGAACTCCGATGAAAAAATCACAATTCGGCTCGAGAGATTTACTCGCCAATGGTGGTGGTTGTCCAGTTGAAGTGAGTATTCATTAGTTTCCAAGAAATTTTTCATTGTGCTTCTTTATTGTGAAGGTTTTCTGTCGTTTGCGGCCACCTAAAGAAAGCACGAATGATCAAGAAACCGAGAATTCGACATCGTCAGTCAAAGTCTCAAGCTCAACCGAACTTACTCTTTTCTCATCAGAGGTAAGCGATGAAATACGAACTCTTCTGCTTCAAAAGTATCGTTTTTGTTAGAATACAAAAAATGGGCAAATTCGAGAAGTAAGTCGTCAGAAGTTCGTTATTTCTAAAATTCCATTCTAATCTGAATTTAGTCTCATTATGAATTTTCTCACATTCTTACGGACGATGTGACACAGTCAGCTGCTTTTAAGGAATTAGCCATACCACTCCTCGATGATCTTATTCAGGGCAAAAACAGTACGTAATTCGCGTTCGCCCCCATAGAAAATGTATGGATGAATAAATTGTAGGCGTTTTATTTACATACGGAATTACTGGCTCGGGTAAAACATATACAATGATGGGACCAAACAACAATCCAGGTTTAATTCCACGTTCGTTTGATGTTATTTTCAATTCAGTCGGCCCATATCTGGGAAAAAAATATGTATGTATTCTACGTACGTGTTAATTTTAAACTAAATCTCGTTTTCCTATTGAAGTTACTTCGTTCTGATCGTCAGAATAGTTATGAAATTCAAAGTGAAGCAGATATTCTAATCGAACGTCAACGAAAAGAAATTCAAATGGGAAAAAATAATCAACGGGCTAAGTTCGTCGAAGTTCTTCCTTTATCTACAGAATATATATGAGCTCTTTTTTTTTTACTTGAATAGAATACCAGAGACAACGACAGCTGCGCGTACATTAGACATGACATCATTGTGGAATCCACAATTGAATGAAGACTGTTCGTATTTCGTGTTTGTAACGTTCGTAGAGATTTACAATAATTATATCTATGATTTATTCGACGATGACATTCTCAATAAGTACGATTGATACACAGGATGAATTCAAGATAATAGAATCCTTTTCCTAGAGCACCACAATCGAAACAATTACGCGATGATAATCGCGGTCGACCTTATATTCGAGACGTTAAAGAAATCGAAGTGCGTTCAAGTGATGAAGCGATTGAATTATTAAATATGGGTTTAAAACGTCGTCGTATTGCACATACACAATTGAACACGGAATCAAGTCGATCACATAGTGTACTTTCGATGCGTCTCGTTCAATATCATAATGATATTCCAGTAACATCACTGGTATGGTCCGAACGGTTTGATTCGATAGATTTTTATGAAAACGATTTTCTTTATAGACAAAGGATGATCTGATGATTAGCACGATTCATCTGGTTGATTTAGCTGGAAGCGAGCGTGTCAATCGAGCGAAAACTGTTGGCGAACGAGTGAAAGAAGCGAGTAAGTGATGATTTCATCGGTAGGTAATCTGTAACGATTGAATCTTTTGTCAAGGTAACATCAATTCATCTTTAATGGTACTCCGACAATGTTTTGAGATTTTACGTGAGAATCAATCACAAGGTGCCGTCAAGGTAGTGAATCATATTTTCTTTTTCAATTCATAAAAGAAATCTTTCACTCAGATGGTACCATATCGTGAATCTAAATTAACGTCATTCTTCAAAAGTTACTTCGATGGCGAAGGCCGAATCAGAATGATCCTATGCGTTAATCCAGCCGCAGATGGTTATGAAGAAATTCAAGTAATCTAAAGATGCATCGCATTCAATTTAATCATTTCTTCTCCTTTTAGCATGCGTTGAAATTTGGTGAATTGACAAAGGATGTTTTAGTGCCACGTGCTTTACCTCCTCCACCGCCAGTGCCACCGAAAGTCACTCGTGCAAATGCTCCCTTACGTGAAATTGAAAATCAACCACAAGGATCTGCACCAGTTCTCTTTGCTGAATTCAAGTAAACGTCATCTTTTGTAAATAAAAAATCCTCATTTTTCTCCTTAGTGCACAAGCTTTGATTGCGCCATTCCCATCACTTGAATATTCTCTGCTCGATGGTGATGAAGAAGCAATTTTAGCGCTTGAAGAACATCTCCGACGTCGTATCGATGAACGACATCGACTCACCATGGTAAATATTTTCTTCTAATACACGTTCTCTTGCAATGGCTTGGTGATTTTTCTAGTTAATTCACGAACAACAAGATTATTTACGTAAATTTACATTCGAATTAGCATCTGACTATGATTTGACTATATCTGATCATGATGAAATGACGAAAGAAAATGATCAACAAAGTAAAACCATTCGTCATTTACAAACTCGTATCAAACTGTTGGAAAAAGCTCAACACGACTTTTACAAAACAACAAATCAAATTGAGCGTGAAAACAAAACATTGAAGTCCCAAATTGAAGACAAAAATAACGATTTGAAAACATTGAAAGCCGAACGACGTAAAGATAAAATCGATTTTGAAAATAAACTAAAGATTAAAATCAACGAACTCGAACAACAATATGTGAACGAGCTGAAAAACAAAGAAACACGAATGCGTGAACTCGAACGACAGCATGATGATAAATTGAATATTATTCGATCGATGGCTGCAAGTAACACCAATACTCCAATAAAAGAGTAAACAATTTCATTTCATCAATCGATTCTTTCTTTCACAGTCAGTTTTTATTTTCATTGTTAGAAATGGTCATCTAAACTCCATGTCCGTTCGTAAACGAAGTCAAAGTGAAGAACGTGTTCTTCAAGAAGTAATTTTCATGTTTATTTCGTACTTTTCCGTAGGAAGCTCTTTGTTTTCTAGATACCGATTCAGTCGCCCTCGTCTCGCCAGGGTCCAGCTGTACCACCCAAGTAAATGCGATCTCCTGTTCTTCTTCTACCTTATCATTATCGCTTTCTTTTCTAGACGATTTCGCATGTAGAACAATTCATCATCGATTTATTTGGCTTGTTTTTGTGTCTGTATATTTTCTCTAGTTTATTCGTATCTCTATATATGTATTGTAGAAAAAAAAAGGATAATAATTAAATAAATCTATTCTCAATTACGATTTATCACGTGTCAAGAACGCGAGTGTTGTACTTTTTAGTCTTGACTCTGATAAGATAAAAGAGGTATTTTATTGCATATTTTACGGATGAAAAGAAATAGAAAAGAATAAAGTTAGATTTTCAAATACGTAACCAAAGTGCAGCGACGACCAAAGGCGTCCAGCCTGGTAATGACATATGTCTCTGACGACATCGGTAGAGCTCGTTTTCGAAGATAACTAGATCATTGACGTTGTACTCTTTCTTTGTTTCCCAAAGCGGTGCTTTACTATTGATCGTTTTTACGTGCGATGGTTCAACTACTGGTTTCTGAATTTTTGAAAATATTTGTACAGATGATGAGTTTGTTTCAACTGGTGGATGACATTCCGATGATGGCTTCTTGCCATTGTGTAGGACTTTATGTGCAACACCAATTAAATCATAATCACGATCACCACTCAGCTCCCAAAACATTGCACCAGCGAGTTTCTCTCGTTTGATATAATCAGCTTTAATAGCAATCGATTGATGGTCATCATAACTGATCCATATACCTGTCGTTGAATTATATAGGTAAGGAACTTTCGATTGATTATCCCAATGACGTGTATATGTGAGTACATAACTTTTCTTCAAATGATCGTAATCAAAAACGCCGTTTTCCCATGTGCCTGACGGCGGTTGCAAAGAAGCTGGCTGAGAAAATCCATTCATATCTGTTTTCTTTACACCTGCAAGCGAACGATAGATCAACACACACATGCGATCGAACGTATGAACTCTAGATTACCTTGCCAACCGCGTCCATACAAGCCCAAACCCAACACTAACTTTGAACGAGGTGCTCCAGCAGCAATATAACCTTGAATAGCACCGTGACAATTATATCTCGATTTAATGAATGACGGAGCAACATCTGTTGTTGTTTCAGCATCATTTCGAAACAATGGTGCATTGTGACCAGTCTTAGCTTCCCAACCACCTGTGATTTGAGTGGATTATTGCACATTGAAGGTCTTGAAGAATATGGAACTCACCATGAAAATCGTAGGCCATTATATTTATCCAGTCTAGATAAGTAGACATTCCTCGCAAATCCATATCAAGGATCCGTTCAGTACTTGCTCCTGTTCTACAGACCCCGAAAAGCAATCAAAGACTACAGTTATTTCCTTGTGGGAAGGGTGAATCTTACGCAACAGTTAAAAGATAAGTTGTTCTATCTATTCTGCCAGCGATGTCCAATTTTTCTCGAATTTCTTTCAATAAAAGCACGTAGTTTTGTTTATCAATTGGTCGACGAGTATTTCCTGGCAAGCCACCAGATACAGGATATTCCCTAGAAAATAAAATTGAAATGCATCATCAAGAGAAATAAACTCATTTACCAATCAATATCAACACCATCAAAACTATACTTTCGGATGAATTCCACGCAGGATTGAGCAAAGTTTTCACGGCTCGCTCTAGTCAAAGCAATGTCCGAAAATCTTCCAGACCACGTCTAAAAGCATATCAATTGAACGAACTCGATGCATCAAATTCAATATCATGTTTTACCCATCCACCGACTGAAATCAACGTCCGTAAATGAGGATATTTCTCTTTCAATTTAATCAATTGGTTAAAATTTCCGCGCAATGGTTGATCCCAGGTATCATCTCCAAATGTTTTCTCCACATCTGCCCACGGATCACCTAGTGCAATTCGTCCATCCGAACCAATATTCGCAAACGCGTAATTAATATGAGTAATCTTATCACCTGGAATATCTGCGATGAAGAACGCTCGTGAATAAATGGACCATGCAGTATAATATGCAACGATAATCGTTGGTGTCAGCATTGTTACTTGGATCGAATGAAATCATTCGCCTTTTGTACACGGGGAAAAAACGAAAAAATATTCGAAGAATTATTTATAAAAAAGTTATTTTGCTATGATGCTCTGGTCGTTTTTTTAATGATTAGGTTGATGTTAGATGTGAGGTTATTCAAGCACATTCTCGAAATAGTTTTCTCTGAGATATGAAGAAGACGGTTAAGTACTGACAGAACGAGCAGAAGGACACATAAAATGGCACTTGTATATACGAAGTTTTCTTTTCGAAGTATGTTGAAGAGGTGCAACTCAAGGAGAATCAATGTGTACATAACCGTCGTTCATCATGAATTTCAATATCGTGCCATTTATCAAAGGCGAAACTATTTAGAACAGAACACTAACCATTGCTTTTCTCCTGAGTACTTGATAAAAGGTGAAACAATACGTTGGCATCACGCGATTCTTTCTATTGCATAAGGATTAGGTGCTTTGTATAATGAATTGCAACCATATTCTATTTCGAGATGGAGATGATTGATCATGCTTGGGCCAGTGAAATATCTTCTAGCAAAATGCGAAAGTATACACAACAAACGTCAAGAAATTGTCATCCGACAGTGCCTAGTTTAAACAACAATAATAATAACGATGTCTTATTACCCTTGAGATTACACCAAATAAAACTGTGCTAGAAGATGAACGTTTTCTTCGACGAAAGCAATAGTAATAATGACAAAGACAAAGGAGCACACGCACACACACATTGAAAGAAGGAGTACAAAATCGACAATTGCTCAATGATTTTTTTTTCGATGCTCGACGTAGTTTCTTTCGAAAATGAGCAGATGAGAACACAAATCAAAGATTGATTAACATTCAAATATGCAATCATAATCCGATCGGACGATTTCATCTTTTCTTTACATAAATGAGGAAAATAAAAGCAATGATATGCAGTGCTGATGTTATGTCAATTGAAGAGTTTTCCTTCTTTTTATCTCGATACTTCATATTTCCTAGTTAATCAATAAGAAAAGAAAACGCCGTCGATCATTTTCTATCTATGCAAGCAAGCATTGATGCTTCATCTTTAGTTCTATAGATCTCGAGATGTTGTTTTTCTCTTCATTCTTTTACACAAAGTCGCCTCGTTGGAAAAATAATTAAATATTTTCTTGTCTTCTAGGTGAACACATGCACTGACTTGGTTCAACTTCCCGTTGAAGTTTTTTTTCCTTTAAGACTATTCTGTCGTTCATCTACTTTAATAAACGAGTCTCTTGAGTCAAGAATGAATTAACATCTTCTTGTTTCTACTCTAGCATTCTAAAATATGCTACAATCGAATTTGAACATGACAGTTGATTAGCCCTGAACTCGAAATCGACAGTATTTAGATTGATAAAAGCTTCCATGCAACGATGTACTTGAGAAGCAGAATATACGTATAAGTTGTTGTCAAGGCATTGCGTGCTCTAACAAGGTCCTTTTCTTTCTCCTTCTCCCTTTCTCTCTCTCTCTCTCTCTCTCTCTCTCTGTGTTTCAGCGACAATAAAGATGCAACCAGCAGAGACGAGAGAAAACGCTAAAAATAAAAAACGATGCGTTGTCAAACCAGAGGAAAAGAACGAACGACGCTTCATACAATTCTGTGTATTATTGTGCAAAGAGTGGTTCTTCTCTTGCATCTCAACAGTCTTTTTTTTGCCTTTTTTTGACTACTACTGATGAGACGACAAATCAACGTTACATCGCTTCATCGCTACTCGTCGTCTGAAAACGACATTAGATTCTTTCATTTGCATCTAGCTAGCATCGCTTGATGCCGGAAGAAGAACGCAGGAAAGAGGAGAATAATGAACATACCTCTTCTTCTTTTCCTTCTGCTTTTATAAGCCAAGGAGAAGAGGAGAAAATCAGTTTTTATTTCCCTCTCGCTTGGATCTAACAACGTGCTCTGGTTTGCCTTTTTCTTCTACTCGGCTTTTTTTCTTCTGTTCTATAGAACAAGAAACGAGAATCGTCATTGTCGTTGTCATCATCAAAGAAAATACTCTTGCTGCCGTCTCGAACCAACAAGATAAGTTGTTGCTCCACTATTGCTTTGTGTTGCCGCGTATATTGCATTCGTGCCTAGTCAAGCTATTCTTCTCTCTTTCTCTCTCGCCTTCTTTCTCTCTCTCTCTCTCTCTCTTTCTCTTTCTCCTACTTTATCTACAATTGAACGGCATCGTTCGCGCGCAAGCACTCAAACAAATACGCATATACACATACACACATACACACTCACGAACCCCGGTGTTGGCCAGAAGCGATAAGAACGACGAATAATCGTTATTTTCGAACCTGGCATACAGGTCGACCAGAACAAATTCATACAAACGGAAACCTAGGACAAATTCAATTCCATTTTTAACACAATGGTAAGTTAGATAGGAAACACAAAAGAAATACGGAAATAGTTTTCTTGAAGAAAAAAAACAACAAACTAAATTAATAAGGTAGTTTTTCATCCGAAACAATACTAAAATAATAGGAAAATTTTGAGTTCATCTAAGAAATAAAGAACTCAGCCGTCAATCAAGTTGATGTTTTTTCGATAAAATACTTTATTTATTTATTTACCTGTCAGAAAACGAAGGAAAATAGCATCATGTCAGACAAAGACATCTGATACTTTCGTTGTATAAATACAAGCGATTATTCAGCATTCATAATGACCTAATCTGTCGAGCTAGTAAATAGTTTTTCTATGTATGTTATCATTAACGATTCCTTGTTGGAATACAAATGTTGGAGAATTCCGTGAAGAATATTTGTGTTAAATAACAACAAGAGAAAAACACAAGGATCATTTTCATGTTAGGGAAAATTGTAATGGTATTTATCGTTATTTTAATCATTAAATCAATAGACAGAATAGAAATATATATATATATTTTTTCAGGTTTTTCCTTCGTTCTCGTTTTTGTATAACAAGCAAATGTTCGCGTGCTCGCGTGTGTCAAAGCGATTTCTTGGGCGCCAACTGATTGTGACACACAGACAGAGAAGGTTGAAACTACTCTCGCTTCTTGTTCTCCGCCTGCTTTCGCATGAAAGATGGTGCGCCGTTTGCGTTCGCGCATCTTAATTGATTCTACTGGAATGTGTGTAAAGAGAAAGAGAGAGAGAGGGGGGAGGTCTAGAAACAACACACGACATAGCACATCCGATTCTTGTTCTTGCGACGACGACAACAATATCGAGATATTCCAGATAAAAAATATATATGAAGCTCGTCTTTCCAATTGTTATTGTGTTTTCCTTTTGACAAGTTTATTATTCGATCATTTAATGACATTCTTTTATTTGTTGAATCATCTATCATAGAAGAAAATAAAACAGAAGAAATATATATTAAGATATACCGAAGTTTTTCTCCATTGTCATCAGCATCGTCGACTATACTTGAAGATATCGATTATCAACAAGACTATTTTTAAACTTCAGTTTCTTGCGCGTTCTCATTTCCAACATAGAACACTCATCATATTGTCAACAAGCAATGCAACGTTGACAACATGCCATTAAAGATTACTATCTTTCCTACAATAAGAATTAGTCGAATTAAATAAAACAGCAATTTAATTGATTGAGATATCTTTCTCATAATAGCGACATTAATACGCTAATCTTAGGGGAATATGACCGAATTTGATGCTTTTTGAATGACAATCTACGAGATTGTACATCGGAATGAAGCCAGAATAAACACTCTTCAGAGATTTCATGTATTCATTGCCTTTTGTTTTTCAGGCTGATCAATTAACTGAAGAGCAGATAGCCGAATTCAAGGAAGCTTTCTCCTTATTTGACAAAGATGGCGACGGAACCATTACGACGAAAGAATTGGGCACAGTTATGCGCAGTCTCGGACAAAATCCCACTGAAGCCGAATTACAAGATATGATCAATGAAGTTGATGCCGATGGTAAGGAAATGGATTTTCATCTCAAACTGAATTATATATTTGATTAAGGTAATGGCACAATCGATTTTCCGGAGTTTTTAACAATGATGGCACGTAAGATGAAGGATACGGATTCGGAAGAAGAAATTCGTGAAGCATTCCGTGTATTTGATAAAGATGGAAATGGATTTATATCTGCAGCTGAGCTTCGGTGAGTCAAATCAGCATGTCATACTTCAATTGATCATCTCGTTCTCGTTTCAGTCATGTTATGACTAATTTGGGTGAAAAACTCACTGATGAAGAAGTTGATGAAATGATTCGAGAGGCAGATATTGACGGAGGTAAGAAATTGCCCGCTGAATTTGATTTCGAAACTGTTCTCTTTCTATTTTCTAGATGGTCAGGTTAACTACGAAGGTAAGAGGCTAAGCACATGTTCGTCTTGTGTTGCTGAGATGAGTTTGGATTGTTTTAGAATTCGTAACAATGATGACGTCGAAATAAATTTTGGTCTCATTTTTTTTCTCATCTATTTTGCTCGAACACGCACTCACCCGTCTTGTCATATCGATAAATCGGATGGATGAACGTGTGAATGATCGTCAACAAATTCTTTTGTTCACATGATTTTTTTTTCTTCTTCTTCTTTATATGCTTGTGTGCGTGTGTGGTAAGTTTTCTTTTTCTTTTTCGTATGTCTGTCGATTTTGTCTGTCATGGCGTTAGAAGACGCGAACTAATATAAAAGAAAAACAAGAATCAAACTAAATTGCTATTGGATAACTGACAAAATTATCGAAGTCACGCTGACCGAGAGGTAAAACATACTTTTATTCAAGTAAAGAAAAATCCGTGACACCAAATGATGAATAATGTGTCACATGGCATATCTGTACAATAATTAAAACGACTGATGATGTCTGATGGAATCATAGACTTTTCTTGTGTTTGAAGAAAATACTTGCTAAGCGCTCGAGTCAATCGAATGCCTCCTGGCTGTTGGTAAATATTCTATCAGCAGAAGATCATTCGTGATAAATAGACACATGAGGAATTTTCATGTTTTCTCCCTGGTACAAAAATGGGTTTTCAGTGATATTTTCTCACAAATACGATTAACCGAGTTTAGACATGACTTAAGGGAAAAGTCAATGAGAAGCTGAAAAATAAGTCCAAATCCAATCATAAAGCTATTTATTGATTCGATTTATCATCGAAATCCGAAGGTCAATCAATGCAAGTCAGAGATTCTTGTTGATAAACGAAGGCAAGAATGTTAAACTAGCACATATTTATACCAATCAACTGTATGGTACGTGCCGACGTGAATCAATTATTTCTCGCAGAACGTGATAAAATCTGGCTGATAAATAAGACTTTTATTTGACGAAAACTGATGCGCTGTTCTCATTTGAGAATCTTTCGTTTGGTTATGTTAGCGAACAGACCGTATTTTGTTCGTAGTGTAATCTTCAGATCAGGAACGATCTTTTGTCCAGGTACTAATTTCAAATCACATTGTTGAATAAACATCGCTAACATGATTTTCGCTTCTAATAATGCGAAATTTTGTCCGATACAGTTTCGTAGTCCAGATGCGAATGGTAGATACGCATATGGGTGGGATAGTTTAGGTTTCAGACCTGTTTTCGGGTCGCGTAACCAACGCATATAGTCGAATTCTAATGGCCTAGGCCAAAGATCACTTCGACGGTGGAGTGTGTAACTATTGATCAAAACACTTGTACCAGCGGGAATGTGTAGTTTGTGTTCGGTTCCAATTGTATGCTCATGCACGCATTGGCGAACGAAGAGTGGTGCTGATGGATAAAGACGTAAAGTTTCATTGATGACTGCTTCACATACGACCAGATCAGCGAGATGTTCATTGGTTATTTCAATTCCACTAGGAATAATTCCATCGACTTCTTCGCGACATGCTTGAAGAACGTTGTCATGTGTCATTAAAATGTAGAACATCCAGACCATGAGATTTCCTGTTGTTTCACTTCCAGCAAGCACAAATGTCAGAGCGTGCTCTTTGATTTCTTGATCAGTAAACGCTTTTCCTTCGTTATCAACAGCTGATAGAAGTAAGTCGAGTAGATCAGGTCCGTTCGACATGCTCTTTGAATGTCCCTGACGCCGATCAATGATCAATTGATCGACAAATTCTCCTATGAGTCGAGCACCTTCATCAACGACATGTTTTTGCCAAAATGGTAACTTAGCGAGAAACGGTATTTGATTAACCATGTATAACGAACGATATAGGACCGCATCGAGAACTTCATTGAACCTGCGAATCATAATGTTTTTTGCAGTAGAATTCGCTTCTAAATCTGAACCAAATGCACTTGCTACAATAACAGATAAAGTTAACTTGTTGAATAACACCTGCAAATCAATTGCTTCAGTCGAATCGATTTCATGGAAAATTTTCTCGATTGTTTGTTGTGTTCGATCGGCAATGATCGATATCATCGATTTCAGATTTGTGTAATGAAACGCTGGATTTATCATTCGGCGTGCTCGTTCGTGTTCGCTACCCTCAGCAACCAATAGATTATGATAACCTATGACTGGTCCAAAGATGCTACTGCCAACTGCTGGCTTGACATAATTATGCGCATTTGTTCGACTAAGAACATCGGCAAGCATATCAGGTTCATTGACTACTAAACGCATCACCGGACCGAAACAGTACAGAAATACTTGACCATACTTTTTGACAAGATCTTCGTAATAGGTCATCATCATATCTGCTTCACGATATCGACGAAGAGTTGGAAGCTGACCAAGCAGAGGAACGAATGGTTCGCCTGTAATTCCTTGACCACGCAAATTATCATAGATTTGCTTTTCCGGACGAATAAGTTTGAAGTAGACGAAACCGATTACACTTAAGACAAGAAACAAAGAGATATAGAATAAAATCGACCACATTTGTTTCTATGGGAAGCGTTCGGAGGAAAATATCGATGAAAGTGAAAAGTTTTTCTTTCTTTCCTCATCTCAGTGGCGCGTGTTTAAGTGCAAACGAACGAAAGAAAACAGAAGCACATTTTCGATCGATGTTATTGTCCATTTCCATAGGAGAAACAGAGCAACGTGTAAAAAAAGTACTTTTTTCCTATTTTGAAAGGTGAGACTAATTGTTAACGAATATTTTAATCGTAATATGATATTCATCGATTTTAATTGTCAGACAATCTTGCAGATTCGAACATCCGCTGAGGCAATCGAGAAATAATTTCAAGTTTTTGATAACATGTAAGAGAGTACATTCGACAACATCCTTTCCAGCCTTTTCAGGAAACAGCGATAATACCGTTAAAAGAGAATGAGTATAACTTAAATCAACGAGAGCATCTGGGCAAGAGAAAATAACCTTCAATAATTACTACGAGTAAGAGCGAGTACTGCATGTCCTTGATACTAATTAACTTTCTTTTGTCTTATCGGTTAGATAACGTGTAATTCGCAGATAATTAAATACTTCCGAACAGCGCATATGCTTATCAATAGCTATGCATTTGTTGTAGAACGTGTACATTAGTTCTCGTTGATCTTTGACAAATAATCAACTGAATCTCGTTCCTTAAAAGCTGACATTTATTATAAATCATCATAATCACAGAAGAACGAAAAAATAGAAATCGATAAATAAAATTCATTTGAAATCATCAGCACTGAACATACCCTGAAAAGCAAGACGCGAGAAACAGACAGATGCGATTTTCTCCAGTGAAAAGTTCCTACCCGAGCACGACGTAAAATCGAATCTTTCGACGCATCGTACGGATGTTCTTTACTTGGAATTTCTAAAATAGCAGGTACTGATTTGTCATGTCCATCAACTAACCCACGGATTTGTTCGGCAATCTGAAACAAAAGTTTTCATCCTTTTCACAGAGCACAGAACATATCTTACGAATTGACTGATAAGAATAATACCAATATCCTCTCGAGTGAGAAAACTTTTAAACGTTTCTTCAATGTCCGTTAGTTTCGTGGCTAAAGTTCAATCGAAAGTTTTGAATCGAAAGCGTTTCCTTTTCAATACAAACTTTTATCCACAATCAAGAAATTTGGTTTCCGCGTTTTCGCACTATGTTCACCAATTCCACCCAGCAAGAATCCGGTTACCGTATCCTTTGAATAAACACCGAATAGAAACTTTTCAAATGGAATTACTTATGTCACATACTTCATCACCGATGACAGCTAATAGTTTACTTTTTCCTGCAAAAAGTGACTGGCCAGCATTACCACTCGTCATGATGATCAATTCAAATAGAATAAAGCGAAGAAGAATATTTTAATCCAAATGGTTGTTTAACATTGGTAGACTCGTCTAACCAATGAAGATATTTAATGATAAAAGTTCTTCTAGCTTTTCGAAAGATGTGTGTCCTACGTTGTAGGAGCGATAAAAGTCATTTATTAAGAATTTATTAAACAGAAGCGTTTTATATTACTGTAATACAATCATTTTTGTTGATAGAAATGGCTGGTTTTAATAAATCAAAGTACTAATATATGTCTACTGTCACGGAAAAGGATGTGTTCTGTTGAACTACTGATTAAGTAGAGAGTAGAATGACGTACGTACATTCTAATAAAACTAGATGTTTTTCTGCTTTATCTGATAAACTTGTTTTTCTCTGCGAAAATGTATGCGTTTTTGAGACCAAGGATCACTTGCATTTTGTTTGGTATAAAAATAGGAATCTTGAATCAGCTTGTTTCTCTGATTAGTTTTTAGTAGGTGGAATACGTTTGAAATACACAGATCTACTCGAGACACATTGTGTCAGATAAGTACTTTCACCATCTTTGCGCATTTATAGAAAGTCGCACATGATGTGTGGTGAAGCGATTGACGATTTTTCTGAGTAATCATACTAAGATAGGAACATCATATGATTGTCGATCGTGGTTACTAAATATAAACAATATCGTGTCCCACTCTATACGAATTATCAATCAATTTGATATGCGTTGTATGAATCGAATATTTTCGAGTCATCCGATACTATTTCTCAAAATATGTTGTATCTTTTCCTTTCGATACAACTAAATGATATCTGAAAATCATTATGTCTATGTTATAGATCATATCGATGCATGATGTTTTTCATATTGGCAAAACGACGATTACAGGTGCATTATTTTCCGTCGTAGTGTGATATTTCGAATGCTTTCAGTTAATAGAAAGAAGCAATATTATGGTGATGATGATTGCGACTATTGAAGGTAGACACAGAGTAGTTTTTCATTCTTTGTCGTTACTTTTTTCGATATTTTTCCCTCACTCATCATAACAACCGCAGTCGTGCTTGCCGATGAGAATGTTTCTTGTTTTCTATACGTGTTTACAGGCCGGTTTACACGCTGCTGCCCTTGCGTCTATGCCACGACTGTTTCTCTTACGTTTTCTTTCATTCCTTCATGTTTTTTCTCATTGCGACAGACAGACAAACATCTATCATATGATTTTTTTTCTTTTCTCTTCCATATGATCTTTTCGGCATGCATTCTTTCTACTCTGCCTTTCGTAGACATTGACAATAACCTTGCCTATTTTTGATTTAGTTGTTTGTCATCCGGATGATTAACTCTGAATCCCAATTCGCACTTCTGCAGTGCCGAATGTCATCTCCTGCACTCTATTCGGGACCAAATCAAGATAACGATCAGATATTTCATCTAACAACAAAATCAGTACCAATGTCATGTTTACCACCGAATGATCAATTGCTGCGCGCTTATTCGAAGTACGTATTTCCACTTTTGTTAACTGAATTATGTAATAAATTTTTCAAGAGGTGAACAAGCCAAGTCATCAGATATCGTCTTAACAAGGATGTTGTCGTCAACAGCATTCGAGCCGATTTTATCTCAATCAAATATGAATTCTTCGATTTATCCGTCTCGGAAGCGTAAACAACCGTTTCTCCCCCCACCAGTACCAGCAAAACGGTCACCGTGCCATACCACACTCTTTCCAATTATGATACCGTCCAACGAATCAATTCTGATGTCATCTAGCTCTAGTAGTAAATCCACGCAAACTAATTCGGTACCTTCGTGTATATCTGAAATTGAACAAAATGAATTGATTGCACAAATCAATGAATTACATCGAGCAAAAATGGATATTCAATGTCAAAATGAAAATACGATTGAAACAATCAAACGCTGCTTGACGATGACACGTACTTTATTAATTGATAAATCTCAGTTGGAGAAGAAACAAGTACGACAGACAGCAATGGAGAATCGTCTGCATCTCGGTCAGTTTGTTACTCAACGACAGGGAATGTCGTTTATTGAACAGTGGACTGACGGGGCCGATTTTCTCGAGAAAAAACGTTCGCAAGAGCAGCTGTTTCGAACCAGAAAGAGTCTGAATAAAGATCGCAAAGATCTAGCAAAAAAGAAAGCATTGTTACAAAATTCAATCTCGACATCAGTATTTGATGAAACCAAATCAAACTCCTCGGATACAAATCATTCGCTTAAGACCAAACAAACGAAGAAGAATTCATACAAGTATTTATCTACGAAACAGGATGTTATTCGTAATTACTTATTCTGTGACGCTATTTTGTCATTTTAGTGCACAAAAATCACTTCCGTTGAGTTTTGATTCAATTCAATCATTTGTCGATCATTCGAATGACAGCAGGAGCTCATCATCGTCATCATCGATATCATCGTATTCGACGTCTCCAATAACCTTACAAGATTGGTATGAATATGACGAGATACTTCGACTTCGACAATTGACACTGAAACGTGAAGAAGCGGAGTTAACTCAAGATTTAGAAAAACTTGATCGACATCGAAATCTTCACATACGAGAATTGAAACGTTTGTATCATGAAGACCACTCGCGATTCAATATAAATAATATTCTTCATGACCGTTATTTACTTTTAACGTTAATTGGTAAAGGCGGATTCAGTGAAGTGCATCGTGCATTTGATTTGAATAATCAATGTTACGTGGCATGTAAAATCCATCAATTAAATAAAGAGTGGAAAGATGAAAAGAAAGCAAATTACATCAAACATGCGCTTAGAGAATACGATATACACAAACATCTTCAGCATAAAAGTAAGTTTTCCTGCTTTCGTCAGCAGAGAAAAGATTTCAAGTGAAATCATTTAGGAATTGTAAAATTATTTGATGTATTTGAAATTGATACGAATTCATTTTGTACCGTTTTGGAATATTGCGATGGAAATGATTTGGACTTCTATCTTAAACAAAACAAAACTATTCCTGAAAAAGAAGCGCGGTCGATTATCATGCAAATAATCAACGCATTAAAGTATTTGAATTTAGAAATCAAACCGCCCGTAGTAAGTAGTTGTTGATTGTTCTTGAGAGATTCTATCGAATTGCATGTAGATTCATTATGATTTGAAGCCAGGCAACGTTTTGTTGGGAACAGGAAATCAAAGTGGAGAAATCAAAATAACCGATTTTGGTTTATCGAAACAAATGCATGAAGATTCATTTGATGAAGATGGCATGGATCTTTCATCGCAAGGTAGGAAGAAATATCCGTTACTGTCACTTGATTCTCTTTCTTAATTCTAGGTGCTGGTACTTATTGGTATTTACCACCAGAAGTATTTGTTCAGGGACCAAATCCTCCTAAGATTTCATCAAAAGTTGATGTGTGGAGTCTTGGTTGTACGTAAACATTGCCACTTTAATCAAATTCACTCAATGATTTGTGTTTAGGTATTTTTTATCAATGTTTATATGGTCGAAAACCATATGGGCATAATTTGTCTCAAGCAACTGTTTTAGAAAATCAGATTATTTTAAATGCGAAGGAAGTACAATTTCCAAATCGACCGCAAGTTTCGACGGAAGCTAAAGAGTTCATACGTCGTTGTTTAACTTACAAAGTACAAGATCGTCCCGATGTTTTACAATTGAGTGAAGATCAATATTTAAAATCTTCTTCTCTAAAACGATCAACATCAACGTTCGTTCTTCGTTCGAAATAAATCTTTTCGTGTATCGTTCAACTTTTTCAATACATAGTTGAGAATAATTATTCACTGATCTTTTCCTTTTGAAATAGTAATGTCATTGTTCTTAATCGCTATTTATTTTATTCTAATTTATTCGAAGTAAACATGATTAAATTGAAAGTAGAATCGAACTATTCCAAAACGCAAATATTCAACTCGTCTCATCTCTTATTTGTAAGATGATTCGTCTGAGTTTCCTGTGAGGAACCAATTCAACTCAACATTTATTAATAGGAATGTCGTATGTTTTCACTGCGAATAGAAATGCTCTTATACGTGTAATTATTTGTTCTTCTAAGCACCATACTAGATGAACTTCTTTCCGACTATTTTCATATAGAAAATTGCATCAAGCATGTAGTCACACATCATTATATCACGACTATCAAATGTATTTATATACCTGCCGTGACTTTGCAAGAGCAGGAAACACTATTTACTTCAATTAAAGTAGTTGTTTTACAATAATTTCGATTCAAAGCTATTCCGTCAACACAAAAGAAAGTCATGTAGGGCTTCATTACTGCGGAAAAGAATACACCTACAAATAATGAAAGGATTTTGTTTCTGACCGGAACAATGCTTTCTTCTGCGTTTAAATCAATGTCACTTTTTAACGAGAGAGATTCTCGACGTTCAATGATACGACGATATTTGTCAAGAGCATTACGTTCGAAAAACTGTCTGCATAAACAGAGATTTCTTCCACAAAATCCATCATCCGTAGTGATTGTTACAAAAAGAAAACATGAAGAGAAGAAAGAAAATAAGAGGCACATGGACATACGAAGGAGTAAATTGATCTTTCCCAATCGGAAGAAAACCGAAAAGCAACAACAACAGAAGTGATGAAGGAAAAAAAGAAGAAACAAACACAAGCACTGACGATAATAATAGTAATAATAATGATGATTGAGAAAGGAAATATGTGTTTGTGAGGAAGATGCAGAAAAATGAAATAAATTGTAGAATAACTAATCATCGATCGTTATCGTGCCTGATCGTTTCAGTTTTTTATGAACCGGTGCTACTAAATGATTAATTGGCGATGTCAACGGACGTTTTTCACCAGTCAGATTTACTGATGAGGGTACGTCGGCTATTATAGAAGAGGAAGACGATGAGGAAGATAGAGAGGGTACAAGTAATGGTGGTGGCGGAGCTGGAGACGCAAATTCATGTGTGATACCGCTTGGAGCTGCAATTCCACGTGATCTTAATGTCATTCCATAACGTTTCGGAGGACTAGTTGTCGTCGTTGTTGTTGTTGTTGTTAAAGGGTACTGATCAATCAGCTGCGAGAGTCGTTCGTCGCTGAAATCAAATGAGGACGAAGAAGACGAATCATTCGTTGGCGGACATGGCGCATGCCGACATCGACATACACCATTACCACATAAACGACGGGTATGTGGCAATGTTGACGGCGGAATACCAGTGGGAACAACAGCAGCTGTCGAAGTCGTTGTCGAACTGGATGTCGACGAACAAGAATCAGTTGACTTTTTCGTATAACGGCGTCGGGCAAGAACTCCGTCGTTGACAGATGAAAGTTGAAATTGACCAGCTTTTTGAAATGCACGCATTGTGACATTAACTGCTCGAACCTAGAAGAGAGAGGAAGAAAGGAGAAAACTAAGCATTCTATCAGGTATTCGACTTTGAACGTACAATCAACGATCGAGATGCTTGTGAAAGTATGCTAGGAGTCAGTAGAAGTTGAGGATGATCAAGTATTGTGGTAGTACTCGAACTGCGAAGCCATGTGTTCCTTGTTAAATCTTTGATTGTTAATCGTTTCGATGGATCAACCGTTAGTAAACCTAAATCAAATTATATTTAGCGAGATAGCCACCGAAATTTTCCATGCCTTTAACAAGATCTTTTGCTGCTTGTGAAACGTTCCTCCATCCAGGAGAATTATACGATAGTTTCGACCGTGTTATATCTTCAACAATCTCTTCAGCTGTTCGATGAGCAGCTATTGAATTGAATGGCACTTCTCCGCTTAACATTGTATACAGAATCACACCAAGCGACCAAAGATCACACGATTCATCATAACCATATGTTGTTGCACCTGAATGTATTGTTGTTATTACAGGAACGAGAGCTGTCGTTGTACTTATAGATGATGATGAAGATGACGTTGATAAACATGAAGATTGAGAATCTTTAAATGATGTAGCCGCACGAAGAACTTCAGGTGCAGTATATCTGCAAATAGAAGATTAAAGGAGAACTTTTTCAGATAGGTTGCAACTTACAGAAGTGTTCCACACGGTGTTGTCATCGGTTGATGTTTCGTGCGTTTCTTAGCAAAACCAAAATCGATGATTTTAATTTCTGCGTTTGCATTCGGTGAGGAGAATAGTAAATTCTAGCAGAGTCAATATTCGAGCAGATAAGCGCAAAGTCTTTTCCTACCTCAGGCTTGAGATCTCGGTGACATAGATCATTGCTATGCATGAAATTAACAGCGGAAACAAGTTTTTTCATCAATTGACTCGCTTCTTTTTCAGAAAACGAAGCTTGGGTACGGATTCGATAGAACAGTTCGCCACCTGTCAACAATTCCATGATGATATATGTATGTAGCTAAACAAAGCAAATTTTCATTCTACTACGAATAATTAACTTTCAAAAAGCGATATAAATCTCGATAAACGTTTGAGATAAACTTTAATTGATAGTTACAGTGCGGGAAGCAACAGACCGGAACTGATTTCATGGTCGGTACTGATGCGAGAAAAAAATCTTTTGAACTAAGACTTTCAACTAAACGAACCTCGTCAGTGAATACTTCGTGTAATTTAACAATGTTTGCATGTCCTTGACATAGACGTAATAGTTCGATTTCGTTATAGGTGTCCACTTCCTGTCGTAGTGAAACGATTTTAACAGCGAATTCTTCTTGTGTTCGACGATTTCGACACCGACTAAAGAATAATTTCGTTAAATAGAAAATAAGTCAATGAATTAGCTGAAAGATACAAACCGACAAATAGAGAAACTTCCTTCACCGAGAAAACCTTCGCGATCGATTAATTCGTAATTTTGAAAAAAAGGACTTGTCTAAAGAATGGAACTATCAAAATGTTTGCTGTTCGACGAACAAATACGAACTTTAATCAATCGATGAAGTTGAGAGGGATCAGGTCTTTGATGATTGGTTAGACGAAGAAGATTATATAAATCTTCATTAACTGCATTCTCTGGACCGAAAAGAACCGTTGGGGAAATGAACGAATAACCCTAATGACACATTTTTTCATTCTTATGAGAGACAAGTAATAACTAATTTACTCGGAAAAGACTTTCCGTTGGCGGAGCCAAACCTGGTGAATCCGTTAAGGGCAATCGAGTAAATTCATCGGCAAAATTACTGGTATCCATTTCGTCTTTTATTTTAGGTTTAATTGGTGCCTGAACACGTTTCTGCGCAATCGCGTCCCAGTCGATGTCTGGCCCAAAGAATGGATGACGTTTGATGTCTTCTAAGCCTTTAGCACCTAGACGACGTTTAGGATTTTTCATTAAGAGTTTAAGAATAAAGTCCTTGGCCACTTTCGATATATGGTTGGGTATCAAAGGTTGATTTTTCAAAATTCGCCTATAAATAAACAAAAGAACAAACTAATCCGAAGTAGAGACGATGCATTCTTCTAAAGAACACTATCCCTAGAAATCTTATCTGAAGATTAACTAAATCTCAGTATTAGAATAACATTTTTGAGTTCTATGAAATGTCTGGTTTAGTTATAGAAACATTTGTTCCGAGTTAACGGATTAGAAAGAAAAATCAATTACTTTGAAATTTCCGGTTGAGTATTTTTATCACCATCGACAGTAAATGGTGACGCACCAGTCAACAGTTCAAATGTCAAAACGCCGAGACTCCACCAATCAACCGTCTACAAATAGAAAATATTATTCTCACCATCTACTCAGAATATTACTTACAAAATCATGTCCCGCATCACCACCTTTCACCACTTCCGGTGCCATATATTCAATCGTTCCACAGAATGAATATGTTCTTTTATCCTATGTTAGTTCTTTCTCTTATTATGTGTGTCATACTATTGAATGACTTACCGCATCATCCGGTCGAAACTCTTTGCTTAAACCGAAATCGGCTAGTACAATATGTCCGTCACTATCCAGTAAAATATTCTCAAGTTTGATATCACGATAAATAATGCCGAGCTAGGTGAAACAATGGATGGTTTATGTCGAAACACTTCGAGATTATTTCGTTACTTTGTGAAGTTGCCCAAGGGCAAGTGCTAATTCTGCAATATAGATTTTTGCATCGTGCTCAGCAAAATGCTGTCGTTTATTCAGATGTGTGAATAATTCTCCTCCATTGACATAATCTAAATGAATTCGAAGAGATCTTCTAACTCAGCCTCAGTGCATCAAACAAACCCATAACAAGATGAAGTTTGGCGTCGCTTTGAAAAGCATAATGAAGTGAAACTAAGAATGGAATCTGGCGAATCGACTCTAAAACTTGTCGTTCGGTTTTAATATGTTCAGCCGTTTTCGCCTTTTGTAAAATGGCCGCTTTCTTCAGCACTTTCATGGCATATAGTTTACCGAGATCGGCACCGGTTATCTTTCGCACGAGAAATACTTTTCCATATGCTAAAAATAAACTCCATCCGAGTGTATTCATCATACTAAACAAAACCATTTACCTCCCGTGCCGAGTACTTTGAGTAATTCAAAATCACTCATATCAACTCGACTTGCATTGGTTATCTCGTAAACTAGAAAATAAAACGTAATCGAAAGAGTAAGTTATTTTTTGTTCGAAAGGCTTCGTCGACTTACAATCAAGTACGAGATCGCTCAATGCCATGTTCAAATATCAATCAATTCGAGGCAAAAATCATCTGGAAATCAATGATAATCAGATGTTTGTATTCATTCATTTTTTTTTCGTTCGTTTGTTCAATTTATTTCTTCATAGAATGAGTCACATCTCCTCGTCTCTACTCGTATTTTATCTGATTGGAGCACTAGATAGAAGACGTAAACTAGCGCCGCCCGTCTTTTTCGATGTTCTCTCACGAGAAACACATTCGAAACACAAAGTTCGAAACAAATTGCAGCAGTTTGAAGAAAAGAATTTTGAAAATTTTTCGTAAAATTCACAGAAATACGAACGCATACCTGGTCACAAGTGCTTGCCCGATCGCCGAATTTGTTCAGATGCATGAACAGAACGAAAAGTTTTCTCAATGAGCTGAATAGAAAATGAAAAAAGAAATTTTCTATTGTCGGAATTCTCAGAATGGAATTTGACTGTTAACAGGCAATCTATGAGAATTCGATAGAGCAGAAGAGAGAGGGCGTTCTGAGACGCCATTTTGATCATGTTTCTCCAAGAAAACAAAGACAAATTAGCGAACTTGATCATGTTGCTTCTATTCCAAGCAGCCATCTGTATTGCAGCATTAAGAAAAACTATCGAAAAATGACAGAAACAATATCTATAAGATTGTCGATTTCAATCGAAACAATCAGAAAATGATATTGTGTACGCATGAGAGAATCATCATCATTTGCGATTATACTTCTTCAGGTGTATTTTATTTTGGTCATGCACAACGTGCGCATTCAAATGAAGAAAATCTGTATATGAAATGCTTGAGAATATGAGATTGTTTATTCGAACTGCTTGATCGATGAGGTCGACTTCATGTCGAATCGCTGTATATAGTTCTTTCGAAATAATGAACACGGAGGATAAATGTCAACACATGTTATCGTCTGTCTACTTGTACATCCCTTGTATTTGTTCACATGAAAAACATGCATGCTGTGACACGAAATTCTACGTAGTAATGTCCCATCAAACAAGAGATGTCGTTATATGATAAAGAAATTCAATAACGCTTCACACACTATGACATCTCAAACTATATGAACACACATCATTTATTTGGCTTTCGTTTTGCTTCGTGAATCAATTTGTTCTTTGATTTTTCTTCCGATTACATTCGTTGTCAATTCATACGATTTGACATCGGCGTTGATGAATAAATTTAAAAGTTCATTGCGATATTTGCAAACATTCTCGAACTGTTGGTAAATGGCTTGAGAAGTGTCAATCCAATCTTCTTGATGAATCGATCCGGTAAAAAATAAACCTTGCTTCATTTGGGAGGAAAGTACTTTCCAATCAAGATTTGTTTGCATGTCTCGACGAATGGATTCTAATTCTGATTCCGTTTTCGATTCGCAATTAGTGACAATAACACAAGAATTTTTACGAATTTCAGGACCGAGGAAATCGAAAACTGTTTGAATCGTATGAAGATCTTCGGTACTGATTTTTGTTTCCATCGATATGCAGAAACAGATAAAATGTATGTGGACTACTTTAGAACGAATGTAGTCATCAATTAATCGTATTAGTGTTGTATTATCTGGCAATGATGATGCGTTTGCCGTTCGTTGGAAAAGACCTGGTGTATCGATCAAATTAATGATGACATCCGTTCCTGAAACGCTGTATTGTTCAAATATAGGAAACTCAGTTTGAGAATATGGTTTTGTTGAATTTGCGATCCACGTTGGATCGGCAAGAATATGTTTAAATGTCGATTTGCCTGAACGTGAACGGCCAATTAATAAAATATTTTTTTGATTTCGTCGCAGTTTTTCGAAGACTTCATTTCGTGACGTCAACGATGGAGAATAGCGAGTTAGAATGCAACTGTTCGATTTAGCGAACATTTCGTCCAAACGTTCTTTAGCATCTCGGTGCCATTTAGCAATAGATTCTGTTGCAACACTATTCACATTTCTGAGCTAAAAGAAAAGAAAAGAATTCGAATTCGCCTTTTTCCAGAACTTGAACTTACTAATGCATCAATTCCACCATTAATACTTTCTTCCCGTGCAAGAAGAGACGACTTAGAACGAGGTAGGGGGACTGTAACTGGAGCACCAACGTATTCTCGTACCTCGAGTTTTTTCGACTGCGGTTGAAAATTTGGATGTAAATCATAATCGAAATAACAGAACAAGAATCGACCATTTCCTTCACTACTTGCTTCGATTCGACGAATGAGTTCATAGTAAACGTTGATCCATCGATCCCTCGAGCTTTTTCGTAGTTCATTTGTTGTGTAAAGAACGATTAGTTTATGTCTGGGATGAATATTTTGTATCAATGAAAGTGAGTCGGGTTCGCGCACAGGGATAACATCTTTCTCTCGGAGTTCAATTATGTATTTTAATTTTTCATTCAAATCGCCGCGTTGAAGTTCTTTGACCTTGATTCGCTGTTCTGCAAGCTGAGATTCAACTTCCACTAGTAGTCGATCCAGTTCAGATGGTTGTGTGTGGCAACTTCGAACTTGTACTAACATTTTACCGATTTTCTCCCGGATGTCACGCGAAAAGTGAGACATTGCCTGGTTGTGCGAACTAATTTCATTGATTTCTATTTCGAGAAAGAAATCTTCGGCTTTCTCAATTGAAGTAAATATCGTTCGAACAGTTGTTCGTAACTGATCGCATTCGTCAAATATCGCTTCAATTTCGTGTGTCACGCTCTCTTCGACGGCTCGAAAGATTCGATCAGAAACGATTTCTTGATCAAGGATTTGCGCAACTTCGGAAATAGGTAACATAAGATATTCGAGTGGACGTCCTTTACCACCATTTGTTTTCTGTAAACCAGTCATGATGTTCGGAATCATGGCTAGTAATTCTTCGATATTCTTCGGACACGTCGTCGGTATTAAGTCGCCGAACAAAGTTATTTTATAATTAAAAGTCGTCGCAGTTGATGTGCTCTCAAACGAAATTTGTGGAGCAGCTAAAGAAAATATAGAAAAATCATGAAGACAAGAGTTCGTTTTTACTTGTTCCTTTTTCAATTTGTGCGGTAGGAGCAGATGGAATACTTCCTTCAGTTGTCGGTATTGTTGGTGAAGGAGCCGCTTGTAAAGCTTCAACTGGTACAGCAACTGAATTACGGGGATTAACAGAAATAAGTTTACTCAGTAACTTATTTAATTCCAGTTGCAGTCCAGCTTTTGCAGTATGTTTCGATTCTGCCGTTGTACTTTTCGCTTCGAATTGAGCGAACACATCAGCACCCCATCGAATTGACGTGACAACATGTGTCGCATTTTTATGTCGTAGTGCAGTCGGTTCAACGCGTACTTTGAAGTCTTTATGCGAAACGTTCAAAGCTTCAGTACGTGTGATCGATCGATGAATAAATGTAGCTTCGATATTTTGACTTGTTTTATCTCGAGTGTATAAATAGCTACTACTCGCTCCTGCGCTTTTGACCAATCCACCAAGAATACTAAGACTCAACGAAATATCAACATTCAATTTTCGTAATTTTTTTGAAACGGCCGTATCGAACTCGTACGAAGAATGACCATGATTTTCATCCAATTGTCGAATCGCTGTGGGTGGAATATCTTCATTAACAATAATACGTTCACAAAACAAATCGGTTGTTGCATCATAAAGTGAACCGATAAATGCTGTACGTCCTAATGCTTGACGAGAAATCGGTCGACCTACTTCACGACTCATTCTTTTTGCAAAAGAAAACTCTATGCAATACACGTCGTGAAATATACACCGATTTTCTTTCTTCTTTCTTCCAATACTTTGGAGGTACGACCGTGCATTTGTACAAGGGCAACTCAATTTGGAGAAATTGCATTCAGGTTTGATCGTGTGCTTGCGCACGTCGCATAAGTCAATAAAAAAGCACTTTTTCTTTCATTCTAGAATAAACAGAGAGTACGATTATCAGTATTTATTTGAATCCTATATCGATATACTAAAATTGATTAATAATCGGCAAAATACGAAAAATTCCATCTTGAAAGCTTCTTGCTAGGATGTTGTAAACAATCTTATCAAATCTATCTTGTTATCTGTATGAGAATGCGCGTGAAAAGATCTCTTATCATTTCATCAAAAAGCTTTTGCCAGCACAACCAACGTAGGTACTCATTCTAAATGACGACAACGAATTTCCATGCGAAGTCAACTGCACTTGAAGTAATTAAAGGGCTGAATGCAAACTTAGAAGGAAAACTTGTTGTAATTACCGGTGGTACATCAGGTAGACTATTTTGATGAAAAACTTGTCTCTAGCTTGATCTATCATAAAGGTATTGGTGTTGAAACTGCTCGAGCACTAGCAACAGCCAATGCACATGTGATTATAACAGCACGCGATATGACTAAAGGTGCAGAAGTTGTTGCAGATTTGAAAAAATCAACAGGCAATGATAAAACCGAAGTCATGGAACTAGATTTGAATTCGTTGCAATCAGTCCGAAATTTTGTTAATCAATTTCGAGCTCGTAATTTACCTATTAATATTCTTATTTGTAAGTAGCAAACATAATTATTCCCCTACGATATTCATTCTATTGAAACAGGTAATGCGGGAATTATGGCGTGTCCATACTCGAAAACAGTCGATGGATTTGAAACACAATTTGGCGTTAATCATCTCGCTCATTTTCTGCTGGCAACAAGTCTCGTACCTGAGTTGAAGGCTGGTAAGCCGTCACGTCTTGTCGTCGTGAGTTCAATCGCCAATAGACGCGGTGGAATCAATTGGGATGATATCAATTGGGAGAAGAGTTATGATAAATGGGTTGCTTACGGTCAAAGCAAAACAGCAAACATTCTCTTTGCTAAACAATTCAATAAACTATATTCATCCGAAGGCGTTCAAGCGTACGCTCTACATCCTGGTGGTATTATGACTAATTTAGTGAAATACGTACCTGTTGAAGAGCAAAAAGCAATGGGTTGGTTTAAAGAAGATGGTACTTTAGTTGATAGATTTAAAAACGTTGAACAAGGTGCCTCGACAAGTGTTTATGCTGCTTTGGCACCTGAACTTGATAATCATGGCGGTGAATATTTAGAAAACTGTGCTGTAAGTCGAGGAGTTAACACAGATCCGACACAATTTTGGGGCATGGGACCGCATGCAATAGACATGGAAGCAGCTGAACGCTTATGGAAACTGAGCGAAGAAATGGTTGCATCAAAATAAAGAACAAGATATCTTATCCATTTAGACGAAAGTTGTGAACACAAGAATTGAAATATACTCCCATTTGAAAGTTTTTTTTCTGATTATCTACTACATCAATTGCAATAAATATTGAACCATAATGCCTACAGGTATAGCCATATGATTTCAAGATTTTTGAATCTATCCAAGCCTGTTGTGTTGAATTGGCATCGATCAATAGTCAGTTCGTTAATTAGATAGAGATGGAAAACAACAAGAAAGGATCGCAAAGGAGTACAGCTGCTGTACATGACCTAACGCTTTATATCTCAATGATTTTTCTTCTCCTAAGCGACATCTTTTGGTATTTATTATGTTTTTGCACGACTTTCATCTTTAGAAAGATCGCTTTCATCAATTACTATGTATAAATGGATATGCCAAAGTCTCACTATTCTATCCTGACGAACAAACCAGTCGAAAGAATAGTTATCCTGTATATTTGATTTATCAAAAACTTGCTTTCATGGTCTAAGCGGTATAAGAAGATAGAACAAGTAACATCTATGTACATCGTAGATTTGTCGATATATTTTTTCTTTTCTTGTCTTTCCTTCTCTCTGTATAGAATCAACATATGCAATCGAAAATTTATCTAACGATCGTTCGAACGATTTAGTCATATCGCTTACGATCATTTTCTTTTCTCATTATTTTCTCTGACTTCAATTTACGATGACACCCCATGCGAATAAATTAGTTGATCCTTCGTTATGTACTTGTCTTCCTGGCTCTTATCGACATGCAATATTCAGCAATGTAAAATGGTCTACTCTATCGATTGTTACAGCATTACTGATCATCGTAAGGACTTCTCAGCTAAGTACATATTTTTACATTGATATTCGTGTGCATATAGATCGTCTACCTGAGCAGTGGTTTATATGCTCTGGTTGATGTAACAACAATGTCATCGGGAAAAGCGTACACAGATGGTGGTAGTATGTATTTTTTGTAATTTGAATTGATTGTGAGTCTAAATACGTTATTCGTCTTGTACGATTAGTTTTTTGGGCGATCGCATCCTCTTCAATGATGATTATTTTTGGATGGATGTTAGTGGCAATTTATTTCGGTGTTGTCCTTCTCATCATTCTTCTGCTTTGTGGCATTCAATTAGTAAAACTTTTTTTAAATAAAACATTGGTGTAATCGTCAATACATTGAATTGATCTTTTTCAAAGGAAAAGGCGTGGCTTTTATTTGTTTGGTCTATTCTGATGGTATTCATGCTGTTAGCTGATGGTATTGTTACGGTTCTATCTCTTCGAGAAAATCAACAACAGGTGAGTGTTGTATTTTGTAATTCCTTCTCTCAGCATATACAATTTAGAATTATCGACCAATCAAACAAATCAAAATTCTTTTTTTCGTTATGATTATTCGTCTCATTGTTTCGGTAAATCAGCAAGAATGTGTCTGTATCCATAACTTTAAGCTTTCTATTGCAGCTATGTGGAATATTTGTGACCATCTTTCACTTTCGTCGTTTAAGTAAAGTCCAATCGGACGAAATAAATCGACAAGTAACACACTCGTAAACAAATAGACTGAATTAACTGTATTGAACATTTCAGAGAATGCTAGAGCGATACAATGCAGAATCTTCTTCGTCGACGTATAATGAATCAAACGAACATTCGTCTGCGCCTTTGTATGCATCGAAAGATACTAGTGGTGATCGTTACTTTGCAGAACTTTTTCCTCCTGTTTCGTTGCCAAGAGCGAATGTTGGGCAAATGCAATCTCAACCGACATCGGCCCTGTTTCACACTTATAATGGTCACTCAGATAATCACATGCAATCTCAACGTCGAGCATTGGACAGATACAGGAATGATTTTCGATACAATGTACCATTACAAGAAAGGTTTCACGAACGAGAAATACTTAGTGCACAAAACTATTAGGGACAAACATAAGCTTTTTTTTATAAATAACTTTTTTATTTCTTAATATTAGCATACTGGATAAATTTATATAACTTTTCAATAAACGATAACACACATGTAAAATAACTATATCCATAGAAAAATGGATGATTGAAAAAAATCAATCCATACCAACGTATTGTAGTTACCAGAGCTCCGCGGGACAGTCAAAAAGTTGTCCCGTCCCGTCTCGCGTCCCGCCTTCCTTTAATCCCGTCCCGTCCCGTCCCACTTCTTTCTCAATCGTGAATCCCGTCCCGTGCGGTGTTTTGATATCTGTCGTCCCGTCCCGTCCCGTCTAATCCCGCTCCATTTTAAATTTTCCTCTTCAGTCTAGATAATTTATTTTACCTTTTTAAATATTTCAAACTGTCATTAGCATAACAAAAAAGTGTATTTTTATCAAAAAATATTCTGTATCATTAAATATTCAATGTTCCATAAGTGAAAGTTTCAGCTACTGCTCATCGAGTTACTGATCTGACAAAAAGTATATTATTGAGATTGTCTGGATTGATTGAAGATCGACGTTCATTCATGACGAGACCGCCACCACTGAACTCACGTTCCACAGCAGTTGTTGTCGCAGGAATAGAATGAACCATTCTTGCCAATTTGGATAATAATGGCAAATTGTTCTGATTGGCCTTCCAAAAGATCAAAGGATTGTCGACGAGTAGCTCAGGATCTATGAACATTGATAAGTATTTTTCAACTTCGTCATCTTCTGCTGCATCATATTCGTCACTCAGATTACCAGCTTCATATTCTTGACCAAATCTTTTTTTCTTCTTGAGAGGTGGTTCACCTTTTTCATCTGGTCGAATTGAACGTTGTGATTCTTGATTATGTATTAAACGTTTTACTTTTTCACGCTCAACAATTTCTTTCAATTGTCTTCGTACATAACTTTTACAAGAATCAATTTGAATAGTAGAACATTTGCGAAGATACCTATATCTAGGATGAAGAAATGTTGCTGCAAAATGAATTGGTTCTAAGATAAACATTGATTCCAACAGCTCAAGTAAACGAAGTCGAAAGAATCGAATACCTAAAAGCAAAAATAGTTTTGTTTCGGTTACTATACAAATATTTATTTCGTATATCAATATGAAACTCACCATCTGGTTCCTCCGATTCTATATCATATTCATCATCACCATTATCTTGTCTCTTCTTCAACACATCGTTACAATTATCATTTTCTCTGTTGAAAACGACCAAATTTTCGAACGAACTTAAGGCTTTACGTAAAGTCATAACACAAATAAGAACTAAATATAATGATGGTTCATTTCCTTTTTGAACAATGGTTAAGATATGTTTGAATGGACGTAACAACTGGATGAGTCGTTTAATAACCGATCGATCAATCAAAAATGATTTTTTTTTCTCCTGTAAAACTTTTTTAGTTTCTTTGAAAGAACGATCGATTGATCCCAGTAATTGCATTATTGAAAGCCATCGAATTTTGCTTGATTGACACAAGCTAAACCCACCCTCAGATTGAATATCTTTATTCAATCCGTTCTACAACATAAAAAAAAAAGATCTATCTATCTATCTATTCAATTAGCTCTATTCATCAGCTTACCAATTTGACATATTTCACAACATCTTTACAATTGTTAAGCACCTTCAAAACTTCTCGAACACAATCAGGCAGATCTTGAACTTTTGTCTTCGACATATTAACAAGAAGAACATTATCAATATCACCATCCAAAGTATAGAAATTAAGAACACCATCTGAGTCTGTTTTGCTTTCACCAGTAATATCAGATATTTTTGTTTGTTTTTTGATTGACTCGTTCTGATAGAAGCCTAACACCAGAATGTTGTTCAATCTATGTGCAAAGCAGAAGTACGAAGAATAGTTCTTCATTGCTTTTACAAAATTGGAACCACGATCTGTTACAAATTTAAGAGTAGACAAATCATTGATGTTGAATTTTCCTAATGCTTTTTGTAAAGCCTAAGAAAAGCAAACAATCGAAAAGAAAAAAAGAAATGAAACTTACCACTAGAATATTTTCTGCACTTTTATCTTCTTCTTCAAATGGAGAGCAACAAAGATCATATGATCTATATTCAAATTTATCATTAACAAATGTTGTGGAAACTCCAAGGTAAGAAACTTGGTGAACAGGATCACTCCATAGATCAGGAATAAAAGTAACAGCGTCATTCTCAAGTGGTTCAATTAGTTCTTCACTGATACGAATACGATGTTGATCAGCAAGTCTGGATACATGTGCAGCAGTTACATCAGCACCTCTCAACACTTGATCGACATCAATATAACCATGACGAGCACCTTAAAGAAAAAATTACGGAGAAATTATCAGAACATTGAGGTGGAAAACTTACCAATTGAAATACATTCTTGAACTAATCGTCGAAGACCTTGATCTTCAACAATTGAAAATGGACGAATGTTTTGACAAACCCACTCTGCTTGTAAATCCTTTATCTTCATAACCTCAGGTGTTTTTAAAGTTGGTGATTGTCCTGCAAAAAACGTAGTTAAACGTCGTTGCGCTGAAGGTGTCCCATTTGCTGCTAATCTTTGATTTCTTTCTTTTACAGCTTCACAATTGTGCTGATTGAGAAATCTAGTACTGTTCGATACGAATGAATATGTGATGAAACATTTGCGACATGAAACATATCCACTAATTCGTTCAGCATCACCGTTATCATTGATGACAGCAGGAAATCCAAATAAGTTCCAACAATTAGAAGAGTGTTTGCCTGTATTTTCAATAATAACGTATTCATTCGATTTTGTTTTTAGCATCAATTGAATCTCTGCACAAGCAGCTTTGTCTGTATTACGAGGAGAGGAGGGCGATGAATTAAGCAATGTGATGTGTGAACCACGAGATTTTCCATTTTTAACGCGCGATACAGAAACCGGTGACAAAATTTCAGGAGAAGACATTATGTGGTTTGTTTATTTGAATAATAAGAATTTTCTTCTCGATATCAATGTATATACATTTAATAGATAGACAAATGGAAAAGAGAAATTCAAGTGAAAAAAGGAATGTTTATATACTGATCGACTGAATATTAAGTGATTTAAAGACTGAAAAGATGATTTTTTTGTACGTTCTGTATCCAGTCACATATTTTCGATATATAGATGTCGCGGGACACAAGAACAACGTGATCGTGTCCCGTCCCGTCCCGCTTAGTTAACGACTCTGTCCCGTCCCGCTACGATTTTCGTTTTTGTCGTCCCGTCCCGTCCCGAGGCGGGACGGGACGGGACGGGACAGGATTTATCCCGCATCCCGCGGAGCTCTGGTAGTTACTCATTGACAACTATGAGAGAGCGTGATGCTACTGTGAATAAGAAGATACCCTTCAGATGAGTATTACAACCGCATTTGACATGATCGTCGCAAGTATAGAGCTGATAGGAAGCCATATGGCAGCGTTTAGTGGTATGCCTTTTGATACTGTTGATGGCGATGATGTTGATGTTGAAAATGAACTAGCATAGGAAGATTTCACATAACTTGTTGCTGGATTTGTTGTACAATTTGGCTTTACATTAGGATAGTTTCCTGGTCCAAAACACCCAGTCACGTAAGGATATGTGTTCGTTGCAAAATAGCCATAGTTTCCGATTGAATCATGGAACATTCCATTGCAAATATCAAAGCCTGATGTAACTTGTGTACCTGTCGATAAATATGGACCATAGATTATATGACCATCTTTGGCAATACCAATTACCGTTAATACTCGATACGAGGAAAACATCTGAATGGAATAGTTTGCCACATTATTCAAGCATCCAATATCTGGTCCGCAACCTGTCAAGTTACCTGATGGCGGATTGACCATACATCCACTAGCAACATGATAGTGAAGTTCACCACCACCGCCCGGATGTGATAAGCACTGATCTGCTCCTTCTGTTGGAAAAGTCGTCGGATTTGGATAGAATGGGTCAACTAGATTGGCACTGTTGACATTGAAAATACTTACACCATCAACGGCAACACCTGCTACTGTATCCATCATCGAAGCGTTCTGACTCTTCACAAAATTGGATATTGCTGGCACACTGGCATGATTTGTAATGTTGCATAAAAGTTTGCTGAGATCAGCAACAGTGGTTGGTGATTGAACAGGTACATTGACACTGACATCAGGATTGAAGTTTACTTCAAAATCAATGTTCATTTCGACAATTCGTACCGTTAAGGGTACTAATGAGCATCGTCTTGGCAAACCATTGGACTGAACTCGAATACGGACTGTTGAGCCATTGATGCAGGTGAGAGCCAATTTTTGTTGATAAGTGCAAACCTCATTGACCATCCGGCCAGGACACGAGATATTACTGAGTTGTGAACATGTGACATTATAACCTGTCGTCATTCGAATATCAGCAACTGGGCCATTTGTAACTGTTCGACTAAATTTCGAAACCAATTGCAAACAATCTTGATACGAATTACTTGCTGATCCTGACGTGATGCCAATGATGCATAATAATACCGAAACATATTTTAAGTAAAGCATGATTTTAGATCGTGTTTCTTTTATGCTCCGTTTGTAGTAAAGTAAATTGAAGGTTCCTTAATTATTTATTCTCGATCAAAACGCATCGAGACAAAAAACGTGTGAGTGGGCACGGCAGGCTTGTATACAAAATTATAACAGTATGAGTACGAAAAATATGCTTTTTAGGCTCACACTGCACCTTTCGCTAATATAACGATATTTTTAAAATTAAAAGCGAACATGTTTTTTCCGTTCTCTCTCATTAACTGGCCTGGTTTTCTCTTCCTCAAATCAATGATTGTTGAGTGCATATGCCTGACAAAAAGTGCAACTCGATTGAATGTGTATATAGGTTGACTTCACCTACTTTTCTTCTCGTACCAATACTAGAATACTTTACCTTAAGATAATTTCGTTTCAATGTTTAAAAGAGATGCAAAAGTTTATCGTACTTTCACCTCAAAGGGAAGAAAGAGCTAAAAATACTGTGATTTTCGTCGAGAGAGAGCCATTAATGATGACAATAGAAAACGTTATTATGTGAATAATCAGTCTGAAGTTAACACCACATACTGGTATTCGTCAATTTGCTGAAGTCATTTTTTACAAGATGAGGCTTTCTCATCGTAATATTGTTGCAGCGATACGATGAAAAATATTACGTGTTATTTTTGCATAAATTCCATCTGAATGATCACCTTTAGTTGATCAGAAAACTCTACTCATAGTAAATGCTTTAGCTAAATTAAAGAGCAATACATTAGTGAACAGTGAGAAGGCATTATCTGACTCAGATGGTGCCATAAAAAATGAATACAAGTAGCGCTCATCCTTTGGATTCGCTGACCCTTTTCTGAAAGAATTGTCCCAGTGCTGACCACATTCAAACACTTTGAAAGACAACTAAGGCACTGCGATTGCTACTAGTCCTCAACTGAACCATGGCATTATGTCATACACTAGAGTGAATAGAAGACAGAGATTGTTCTTTTTCAGGAACCAAACCGATTAACTATTTTTCAGTGAGTAATTCTCGAGAACTAACTGTATTGACTGAAAACCCTATCCCTCAATGGCTAGTCGTTTGTTAACCTCCCTCCGGTCGGCCACTCACGACCAGCCATCCACCTTTTTCATCTGTTGTTCTATTTTCACATTACTCGCTTGAAAATTTTACACATTAGCCTGTCTCTTTTCTCTGCTTTCAACAAAATAATGCCTTCTCCAATATTTTCATTGAGGAATATACATTTGCCAAATCCTTTTCAAAAATCGTTGAAGCTTGATAAGGCTATTCCAAGTGTACACTTTACGATTAGTTTCCCATTTTCACGCCGAACAGTTAGCCCGCTCATAAGTGATCGGTTTCTCATCCGAGATATTGAAACTTTACATAATAGTGTGATTTTTGTCACAGATTCTACTCTTCTTTCCACTTGCGGAACTCGATAATTGAGTGGTCTCGTTCTCAAAAAAAGAGTATTAGTTAAATTT